GATTTTTTTATTAATTGGGGAGAAGTGAAAGTGGGGTGTTATAGTTCTGCCTACTTGAGACTGCCTAGTTTTAATCTGGGCTGTAATATAAATTTAATTAATTAGTAATTTTTATAATTATTAAGAATTAAAAGATAATAGAAATTAATTAATTAATTAGTTATATATTAATTAAAGTATTTTAGCTACTTAAAATTAATTTTATTATTAATTTAGCTATTTTAAGTTATTATAATAATCTAATTATCTAAAAGGTTATTTTCTTAATATTAATTAATAAAATAATATTAGCTTATATTAATAATAAATAGCTAAATTATTTAGTTTTTTATATTAATTACCTAAATAATTATAATTATTTTTAATTTCTAAATTATATTAATTTTAACTTTAAATATCTTTTTATATTTATAATAATTATTTTACTTATAATTATATTTATAAAAAAGCTAATTTTATTAAAATTATAAATATTATTTAATTAAATATTATATTTTATAATTATATTTACTATAAGTTAAAATTAATTATAAATAATAATTAGATTTTTATATTTAGCTTTTTAATAATTATACTTATAAAAAATATATATTTTAAAATCTAAATACTATTTAATAAAATTATAAGCTTAATATATACTAATTAATAATATATTATAATTAATAAGTAATTAATTAGCTATTTTTTTTTATATTATATAACTATAAGAAAAATCCTTATAAATTTAAATTAAAAATAAAATAAATAAAAATTTCTTCTTTTAAATTAAATAATATAGTTTATAAGTAAGTAAGCTATTTAAGTAAGTAAGCTACCTTTAAATTCTATATAAAATACTATTTTTAACCCTCTTATAAAAACTATTAAAATCTAATTAAACTTAATTAAAAGTTACTTATATATTTACTATAGTATAATAATAGAATATTATTTTTCTGAGATTTTATATAATTATTTTTAAGAAGTTATTTTAAAACTTTAATATAAGATATTCTTATAAATAGAAACTTAAAATATCTCTATAAATAAAATTATATAAAGTCTTAAAAAAATATTAAGCTATTATTATATTAAAGTAAAATATACAAGTAATATATTATTAATTCTTATTAAAAACTTATAGTTTTTATAAGAAAGTTAAAAATAGTATTTTATATAGAATTTAAAGATAGCTTACTTACTTAAATAGCTCACTTACTTATAAACTATATTAGCTTATATAAATTCAAAATAATATTACATTAAAACTAGATACCCTTTTACCAGCAACCTAAAATATAATAATTAACTATATAGATCTCTATAGCACATTAGATATATAGATTTGGGTTATTTTAAAGGGCCTAAAGGGCAAGGAGCATTCTAGCCTCATAATTAGACTGTAACATGCTGGGTGGTTAAGAATTAATTGATCAAATGGAGAGGATGTAGGTTGAGGGATTTTTATCTCACTCGCTTGTCTGTCTCACTCGCTTATCAAACACGTTACTCATTTAGCCTGAAAACACCTTCTCGTGGCAGCGCGCCCTTGGAGAACCGAATGGCGAAAACACCCTGGGCAGCCGCAGGACAGGCAATGCTGCCACATGCTTGTAGAAGATGTTATTACAATGAACCGAATATGGAGCCGAACAGATTTCAGGGCTTCGGAGAAGCGGTAGGATTTTGGGGGACCTTACTATCCGAGCCAACGGCAAAGTCGACCCAGTCGTATGAAGACACAGCAGTGGCACTCCCACTGCTGCTCGTGTCGGGATTTTGATAGCCGTCCCCTATGAGGCCTATCAGCTCAGCTCAGTACTGGCGAAGCACGACTGCAGATTTGGGATCGCACTCGTTACGTGTGGTTACGAACTGACCTCGGGGGTTCCACGGGCAAGTGTGATCAATCCACTCCTGCGGGTCTTCGCCATTGGCAAATTGCGTGAGCTTGGTCTTGCCGATCAAGACGGCTCCAAGGCGGAGGAGAATCTCCACTAACGGAGCAGTTTCTTTGCTATTAGGAGAGAGGCTGTAGTAGGCTCTGGATCCAGCACCCGTCTTCAAACCTGCGACGTCAAAGACGTCTTTGAGACCAAAACGAAGGCCCGCCAAAGGGCGACGGTGAGTTGGAGGTCCAAAGTAGATGCGTGAAGGAACGGCAACGTGAGCTGTCGGATAGGTCTCAATGAAGTGGCGGTAGTTGCAGGTGCTCGTTATGATGGAAGAGAGGAACGCAGACTGGGTGTCAGGGTAGAGTCTATAGATTTGGTGAAAGCAGGCGTCTCTCCAGACGTATGGACCAGAGCAAAGATTTTGCAGGCCACGGAAATCGTCTCCAGGCAGAATCTTGACAATCCATTGGACCCCCAGGTCTTGCAAGGCGGGAAAACCCTTCAGCGGCGGGTAAATAAGCTGGGTCTCTTTTCCGGAGGCGGCGGTGACATAAAAAAGGGTGGTGCAAAAGGAGCTGCAAAAGACGTCGTCTGTGGCGAGCCAAAGGGCCAAAGTCTGGGCGACGGTAGCATTCGAGAAGTCGGGACAGGACGGGGACTGCACCACAACCACGCAGGGCCCGAACGAGGGGTTTAGAGTCTGCCCCTGAAGAGATGGACTTGTTACTTTTCGCGCAGGTTGGGGATGTGAGAGCGGAGTCGGGACTTAGAGAGACTCACCTCGGGTAAGCAAAACTGGGCGATGACTTCGTTGGACCAACGGTATGAGATGCCTTGGAGCTCCATGGCTCTCATATCAGCTGCTCCAGCGGACACCACGGATTCCCCTACGGAGAGCTGCATAATGGCTGGTCGCCTGGATGGGTATATAAGGGGACTCGCACTTTGCGGCAGAACAGGTGAGTAGGTGTTGTTGTTGTTGTTGTTGTTGTTGTTGTTGTTGTTGTTGTTGTTGTTGTTGTTGTTGTTGTTGTTGAATTTGTTGTGCTCTGGATATTTGTATTGCATTGGTTACAGCGCAAAGAGACTCGAGTTGTAGCCTTGGGTGTCCAGATGAGGGGCCGGCACCGATAAGAAGTGCCTGGCTGTTCTGCCTTGGCCTCCAAGGGAAGGAAAGCACCGCACACTCAATTGACGCTGATAATTAGGCAAAGCTGACGCTGTGAATGGTGACTTTAACAAGAAGTGATTGATGGCAGCTTCTAGCTTTGCCTAATTATTATAAGACCAGCAAGGTTTACGCTAAAAAAATTGAGGCCTGTAGTTGGTCCAAAAAATGCGATCTCTTCATGAACTAATCTAATCTAACTTCTGTCTGCTCCCTCAAGGTGAGCAAGTTGCCGGCACAAGGTGAAAAAAACACAGTTTTACCCACAATTCAAGCATTTCCTACCCAACTCTATCACAATGAGCCGCAGTTCAGTACAAAACACATCAAACGATGGGTCGAAGGTTGAAAATATCTCACCGAACTTATGGAGACGACGGGTGAACACTCAGATAACTGGCCATGAACGCTGCGCCCCTAGTTTGGAAGCATAAAAAAAATAGTACGCATGATTAAAGTATTAAAGTGAATTGACAGCGGTTCTGATGATGAAAATAACTCCCGATGGTCAGTTCTTTTCATTGAAAAAGAAATCCGTTACCCGTTCCAAGGTAGCCTTGGCATCAGTCTCAATCACATTTCCATGGCAAGGGATGATTCTTTCGAAATCCCACTCAAAGACCCTCCTGAAAGATTCGGCAAAGCTCTGGCGATTCTTAGATCCCACGCCATACCACAAAGCCCTCTTCTGCCAGACCATTGTCCCCTGCAAGCTGAATGCCGAGCTGACTCCTCTGCCAAGTATACCGGAGGAGACGCCCTCTGGCACCTTTGAGTACTGTTCAGTGGCAGGTAGACTGAAGAGCAAGTCCGCCTCAATCAACGTTCTCGTTGGCTTGTGCAAGAAAACGAGGTCCTTATTAGGTGCTGCATCAACATATTCGACGCCGAATTCACCATCGAACTCGTCTGTGATGCGCAGCGTGGTTTTATTCTGGGCCGTGAAGACATGGCTAAAAGTGATGCCTCTGGTGGAGGCGTCCTTCTCCCGCTTCTCTGGTAATCCTTCGACGCATATTACATTAGCGTTGGGAAAGGCTGTCACCCACTCGGATATATGGATGTGATGCGTCATGTTCGGTGCGATAATATACCGCACCGTGCCGAGGGAGGTGAGCTTCTCGAGGACAACCGACGTTAGAGCAACCGGTGAAAACACTGCGAGAGATCCAGTAGCTAGGCGGATGATGGTTGCACGGCCACCCGCCTTCACACGCCCTCCAGCGAAAGCGAATGGTACACTTAGTGTGGTGATGGAAGGCAATATGTCTCGGATTACCATTGTGGCGACTGCATCGAAAGCGGCTAGTTTTGGTGAAGGCATTTTGGCGTGATCGGGGATTAGACGGATAAGTCGTTTGGCAGGAAGAGAAGCAAGTCGGACGATGGTGGGGGTTGGAGCCACGGGGATGGTGGAAGAACGTCGCACTGGGGAACAGTAACAGTGCAAGGAAATTAATTTAGCAAAGGAGTGGTAGGTTATATAGTAACGCATGTTGCTGACCAGAGGATACCGGTCGAGAATGGAACTTTGTATCTTATTCATGCAACATAAGCCGGGAAGATATCGTCTGGCCGTCGATTGGCGCTGTACTTGATGTGATTCCATACCACGAATTTTAGTGCTCAGTCATCCGCTAAGCCCTATTTAGTTCCATGATACGAGCCAAGCCAAATCCAGTCCCAAGCCACGAGATTTAGCCTATGCATAAGTTGCCGCTCTTCTGCGTCCCACATTCATCATCATGCTGCGATACCATTGGATTGACAAGCAGGCAGGTCATAGTTCAAGCTCATCCTCGTCATAGTAAATTTAGAGCTGTCAGGTCTGCTTGAGCTGAATTCTGGTGGCTTCTAAACTGCTTGAAAACTTGGCCATCCATGCCCCTGTCCATGCATGGTACTTGACCGGCAATACCGAATGAGCAATCGGCAATGAAAACATCATTGCCTGAGTTCCACAATATCCTGCATGTGAGCAATAGTTAGCTGACATGCAGATTTCTTGCGCGAGTTCGTAGTTCTCTCTCATTTGGCTGTCCTCTGATTGCAGGCAATCTATTCCCTTGTTGAGAACAATGAGACACGCATAGCATGTCGTAATGATGGTTGCAGACATGACGTCTCTGTAGACATAATTGGAATTAAACAGATCGTCGCTGTCTGAAACTGCGTGTAGCGTCTCCAGGACTTGCTTTCTCAGGCCGCCATCAATTGAGATGTATTGGTTGTGCCAACTTCTGATGTCTTGACGTAGATTCTGAGCGCTGGAAAGTATGGACAGGTAAACACTCTCGGGGGTGTCATTTGTCACTCCTTTTACTTGGTTCAGCAGTCCAGGAATAGCTGCAAAATAACGAAAAATGGTGTGATGCAGTTCGGGCGAGTCGGGTAACAATGGAAACTCGATGAGTCCATCGGGGATAGACTGCCAATCCTGGGTATCCAGAAAACATGGCTCTCCGGAAGCCAATGCTTCATAAATCTAAGATCATAAGGTCCTTAGTGATTGCTCTTGGATAACATAGGCCTGCAGACTAACAATTGCTCCGCGGCATGCGAGGAACATGGAATACTCGAATGCGGACTCGTAACATCGTCGGGCGCCCCGTAGTTGCATTAAGCGTGCCGCGCCACCCGCGTGACGGATCCAAGAGTGGTCTCTGTTAACAATGCTCTAACAGGTCATATTGAGTACTGGTACGTTCCCATACGGACTGGGAATGGTAGTTACCTCGAAAAGTTCAAGAAGTAAGGTCGCGCAAAGCACGTTTGCATCCAACCCCCCGGTCGCGTCGCCAATGGCTATCGCTAAACTCTTCAAAGCAAAAGTATATGAAAGGTCGGCATTATGCAACACCAGTTGATCCCCTGACACGCGTGCAAAATATGCCAAGGCAACTGAAAGGGCCGCGTGATCTAGAGATGCACAGCAGTTTAAGCGAGGGGGCACATGCCAGAGCCAACTTCCGAGGAATGACTTTTGTACTGAAGCAGCTCCTAGAGGAAACATGGCACACACAAAAGAAGATAGAATTTGTTGGCGCTCGAGAGTCGAAGAGGTGGGTTGATGGTATATAGTATGGCCTCGCGTTGTGAGAGAGCGGACGAACTGGCCATGAACAGTATCAAGTTTGTCAGCCATTACAGATGAGTTGGAGCCTTGACCAGGTAACCCTGTGGAGACGCGAATAGTAGACTTCCGAGATGGGCGGCGCAATTTGGGTCCTTCATCTACGAACTTCATGCCTCGCGCGTAACCAGGACAAGTCCGGCCGCCCCTTCGACACTGTGAACAGCTCGGTCGTGCCTCATCGCACTGTTCTCAGCTATATTAGTGTTCGCTAGAGACGAAGAGATGTAATGTCGATGCAAACCTTGACACTGCGTTTTAGACACAGGGAACACCCCTTGCTCGTCGGCACACCGACCATTGCGGTTGTCGAGGACGCTCAAAGGCCGGCTTGGTCCAATAAACAGATTCGCAGCTTACTTGATGAGCCAAATAGTATCGCAGGTGTGGAATTCCGTGTCATGCTTACGACTGCACTGAGGTCGGCCATGAATGTCACCACTGAAAATGACAGCATAATAGCGGAGATAACGGGGATAGAGCCGCCGGCCCGATTGATGATCCGATTCGCTTTTCCATCCGCGTGTTCAGCCAGGAGAATGAGAGAGGAGGTTAGCACTAGAGAGTCGCACTGTGTGGCAAGAGTATGAACATTTCCTAATCGAGAGGTTGTTAAAGGTAATTATGTAGGGTAGCATTTAGGGCAAACCACCTCTGAGGTGATGTGGTTGGCTGTGAAACGTGTCACACAGGTCTTTCGAAGTAATGCATGAGCAGTTGTCTGGTATTTCTTGAGGACTAATAATACAATCATGAAACAAATACTCTATGCATGGCTTTCCAGGAATTGAACAACTGCAGCACGAACACGAAGAGCCTCTGGAATAACAGGATCCCAGTTGAATCCGTGCCACATTCCCTCTGATACCAGTAATTCCACCTTGACGCCAGCCTCTCTTAGTTTCCAGTAAAACCGGATACCATTACTGAGAGCAAAGTCGCGTGTGCCCACAGTAATAACAGTCGGAGGGAAGGATAAGTCGTAGTTGGCGTACATGGGCGAATAGAGAGGATCCTTCGGGTCAATATCCTCGGGAGTGTAATTCTGCCCTACCATGGCTGTCAAGAGACTGACTGGCATAATGTCCCGATCAAGAGCATTCGTGACCATCGAGTCGCCTGCGCCGCTGAGGTCCAGCGCGGGTGTACACAGGTAACACCCTGCGGTTGGAATTGGAAGACCCTCTTCCTGTGCCACGAGGAGCGCAGAGACAAGTAACTGGGCGCCAGACGAGCTGCCCATCGTGTACATGTCAGCGGGGTCGATAGGAACACCACCTGGTGGACCATTTCGAATGAGCTCGCGGTATACCGTCAAGATCTGATCACGAGCCACAGGGTATTTTGCCTCTGGCGATTTAGTATAGTTTGTCGAGTAGACACGGACGCCCAGCTCCACCGCCATAGTCAGCGCGGCGCGATCCTTAGGGCTGCCCATAATAAATGCCCCTCCAAATGCATTGAACAATATCTTGTTCTCCTTCTCAGGTTTAATATGAGGAGGTTCAATGACGACGACGGGGATCTCGGCAACAGTAATTTCCTTTATCCGGAGACCATGCTTCTCGATCAAGTCCTCCTCACCGGGAGCCGTTTTCTCGTCAAACCCTTGACGGAGCCCGGGAACTCGACGAGAAGATGCAAGGAATGGTGAAATGGTGTTGGCGAAAGGAATGTTGCGGATATTGTTTAGGAACTTGACGGCTTCAGGACTGATTGTGGCCTTCTGGCCCTCCGTGAGTGACACCATCTTTGCTTCAGTGTTTCATAAAGAGATGTATAAAAGCGAGTAGCTACAATTGAGGCGGATGAAAAACGACCAGAATGACCTGGCCATTCCACCGAAGATTTATATCTTGTAGTGCATAAGCAGATGATGAAAAATAAGGACCCGACCATACGATCAATTAATACGAAAGCTGGGCATTTCCCATCTGGTCTCTCATTGTCAGCATTTAGTGGCCAGGTTCGGAGATAGTGGTGATCTGTTCCGGGGCTAAAATTCGTAGCTTAGAACTGGATCAGGCTTAGTTCGGGTCATGCAGCTGAATACGGTCAAGCGGCGCTGAATTCGTGTGATGCAACTGTATCAGGCTCGGAACTGGATTCTCTCAGCTCGGGACATGAGGCCAAAAATGATATCGTAGACGCTGAGACGCTAAAGTTCGTGCCATGGAACCATATCAGGCCTGGTGCCGCGGATGCTGCGGATATGCAGTGGATTCTGTTAGCGGATCACTGTTCGGATTCTCGGTGTTCTCGACCGCACGTACTCTCAGCGTCATGGCTTGGTTGGGAAGCGTCTCTGCTTCGCCCTATATATAGCAGGTGAGATGAGCCGCAGTAAATAACAGAACACCCTCTATCAACAAACATCAAGCCTCCAAGGTTAAGCAACGAACCACTACACGATTCACTTCTCCCACTTTCACTATGTCCTCTACGCACAAGCATTATGTCAGTGACCTCATCACTGGGCCGCCTCCGACGGAAATGGGATACAACAGGCTGGGGCGCTCCGGCTTGAAAGTCTCCAAGATCATTCTGGGAGCCATGTCTTATGGGAGCAAAGAGTGGCAGAAATGGGTCTTGGAGGAAGACGAAGCTCTGCCTCTCCTGAAGCATGCTTACGACGTAGGCATCAACACATGGGACACTGTGAGTTACTTTTGCTTGTTCTTTGATGCTTAGATTACGTGCAGCTAACAATCTCGTCTGTAGTCCGATCTCTACTCGAATGGCGTTTCGGAGGAGATCATTGGCAAAGCCCTTTCCACCTACAGCATCCCTCGAGAAGGCGTCGTCATCATCACTAAATGTCGGTGGGGAATCAGTGGGCCCGGCGAGCCACAACTGTCCGTCTTTGCATCCACGATCAATGATGGCAGGATGGTGAATCGGGTCGGCCTGTCCCGCAAGCACATTTTTGATGCTGTCCAAGCAAGCGTCAAAAGACTGGGCACGTACATCGATGTCCTCCAAATTCATCGTATGGATCAAGATGTCCCAAGAGAAGAGATCATGAAGGCTTTGAACGATGTTGTCGAAATGGGACTTGCACGGTATCTCGGCGCTTGCTCTGTAAGTTGCCCATCTTGTCATAGCCATCAAGTGAACTTGAGCTAATCCGCGGTGCAAAGATGCCTGCCTGGGAGTTTCAAACACTCCAGAACATAGCGCAGAAAAACGGTTGGCACCAATTTATTTCCATGCAGAACTACTATAACCTCCTCTACCGAGAGGAAGAGCGAGAAATGATACCGTACTGCCGGGACACTGGTATCGGATGCATTCCTGTAAGGGCCCTCTTTCTATCATACCATGTTCCATAGCATTGACATCCTCACCATAGTGGTCACCTAATGCGCGTGGCATTCTGACTCGTCCATGGAACGCTCTGGATGTAAACACATCCTTGAGGTCGCAACATGATGTCGCAATTCCACGTCTCTACGGCCGGGAAAGCGAAATCGACAAGGCCATCGTTGATGCTGTCGAAGAGATCGCCAAGGCTAGACAATTGCCGATGGCGGTCATCGCAACAGCCTGGTGTTTGCACAAGGGGGTTAATCCGATAGTTGGTCTGAACACCAAGGAACGCATCGATGAGGCAGTGCTCGCTGCGAAGACTGCTTTGACAGAGGAAGAGGTGGAGAAGCTTGAGGCGGCGTACCAGCCAAAGAACATGACTGGGCATTAACAGGTAGATCTATATAGTCATCCCCGATGCTCTTGCATATGATGCAGAATTTATCAGGAACAAAGTACCGAATGATTGTAGCTTTCGGAATATCCCACCTTGTGCTTAATGTCGGCTTCGGACTTTTGAAGTCTCGCAACATGTATGTGAATGCGTCCATCACTGAGATAATGATATTCAACACAAGTATGGAAACGTAAAAGGTTCTTTCAGGACTAGAGTTACATCGAGCAAGGCTAATTTGTCTTGCATTCAGCTGTGGCAAAAGTCATAGGGATATAAGCTCTTGATTCCGGGGTAACTGGTGGCACACGATGTGGGCCTAGTCGTCTGTGTGCACGACGCGTTTGTCGAGGGCGAGGAGGCGAAAAACTAGCGGACTTGGCCAGGAGACTTATCACGTACAATGGGAACAGGCAGCGGTGGCGAGCTATCCGTTGGACAGAACATCCGGGCAAGGGTCCAAAAAACTTTTGCACGAAGGGGATGACATCGGTAACGAATTAATTTGCTAGTTTGTTGGTGGAGAGGTCTTTAGTGCAGACCACACCCGTCCGTAGGATAAGGCTAGAGGGATAACAGAGGCAGAGAAAAAGTAACAGCAAAGTCGTCTTCTGGAGGCAAAAAGTATTTAAAGCAGCTGATCAATTGCTTCTTGATTGCTGCCAAAGAAGGAAAAAGAGAAATAATATCAAGAGCTGCTGCGACAGCTGCGGTAGAAGGAGCGTACGAGGACTCAAGGTTCCCTCTTAATTAGAAGAAGGAAAAAGCGTGTCTTTCTATTTCTCAAGCTGACTTGACGCTTTAAGTAGGGACAGCCTAAGCTAGCACAGGCCTTCCGTACCGTATTAAACTCCAGGTGGACCGTTGGCCCTATCACACTAGAAGTTTCGAACCCGACTGATGCAAGATCATCTTAAGCGAGCATGGAGACAGATAACGGCCGAGGACATATACGCAAGCGCGGTGTTCAAAGAGGGCCGGTTTCGAAGGGTGTATGAAGAGGAAGAGGAAAGTGTCGATGGTGACGGAGGGTGAGAAATGAGGAACCTGCTACCAGGCCAAAGGGATGAAGCTAGGAGGTTTTATAATTCATTAATATTGACAGGTCCTCGATTAACCAGGTCGGAGTTTAACGCTCCCACTCCCGACCTAGCCCACGACCCTCCTTGGGCAGCCTTAGCCTGCCAAACGCCTTGTCCGCACCCTCATAGCCCGTGAGCAGACCTTCTTGGGACACCGAAACGGTGAGGGCTCCGCTCTGGGCCAAGTAGATATGCTGTGCCATCCAAGACGTGAGTACAGGAGGGCCAACAAATATGCGTATGAATCCAACTACAACAGAAAAGCACCCAATTCCCATGAACACCCTCGCTGCGGAGATCCATATCCCTGTCCCTGACAATCCATTTCCGTTTAGGTATGGGAACGCAAAATATTCCGTCTGCTTATCATCTACTTGTGATTGATTACCCTTCCCGGACTCGAATGGATGGCTCACACCTGGTACAAACTTCAGTGGAAGCGTGTCGAAGTTTGATAGCAGTCTTGCCATGGCGACCTGGACAATACTACTCACGCCCCTGCGGGGATATTGGCCCCAGTAAGATATCAAGGGCACCGGCCAGTCCATAATTTCAAGGTCAGGTACCAAGGAATCATCGTCTCCTTCGGGGATGGCGGCCTTGTAATCATCGGAGATGACTCTGGGATCATGGTACGACAGACTGGAACAGAACCACCCCTCTACTACTCTTTCCACCTCCGCAACAGCGAAGTGCATTTTGTAGGAAATGCGGCGCTCCACGGTAAGGTCGTTATCCGGGCCCTCGAGCCAAGGGGCGTAGTCCGCCCATTGTATCATGACAACGTCGGCTTGGGGCACAGTCCAGTCTACCACCACTCGTGAGCCTTTCGATGCCAGCCAAAAATTACCATCGGTATAGCTTCGCCGCCAGCCATCAGTATCCCTCGTCATGGTGAAGTCCCCCTCAACTTCCGTCTTTTCGGCGACCATGACAACCTCTCCAGTGCGGAGAAGCCCAAAGGACACTGAATCGGTCGAGCCATCCAAGCATTCCAGCAGCCCCGTCATGGTGATGCTGTCAGGCGGCTCAGCTTTTTCGGAATCCGAATAGAAAAAGCCCCGATTTTGCTCGTTATCTGTGTTGTCGGCAATGCAGGGACTGAACTCGCCATGGTAGCCGGGTTTGGAGATGCTTGGGGAGGAGAGTGACAGTTTTTCTGCATCAACTGGTCCTTCGAAAAAAAGGCCTGTCTGGGAGATGCCAAATTTATATCCTATTGAAGCCGCAATAGACGCTGTGATAAACAGGTACCGTAGTGTGATGAGCCCGGTAAAACCTCGACGGCCATACAGAACAGGTGCTCGAGGCTGGGAGTTCAGGTACAGCCCGTACTCGAGTCCGTCGCCGCGTTGGGCCCTTCTGCTACACCACCAGTCGAATAGATGGGTGTAAGCCTCGTTGAAGCCGTAGGACAATAGTCCAAATCCAACGCCGACAATAGCGATCCAAGCTTGGACGCTCGACTGCGAACCATATTGGAAAACCCTCATCCTGTCGTCGATGGTAGACCTGCCCTTGACCGTGGCTGGGCCGAAAAGGCCGTTGACAGCAGTAAATATTAAGATAGCCCCTCCAAAGAAGAGGGCAGCAAGGGAGAGTACGCCGAGCCGTCGGATGCGGCTGAACATGGTTGGTCTTGCTCAAGGCACACGGCTTGAGCGGATATTCTCAGTACGAACCTGTACAGGACGAGAAAATCCTCTTAGGAGCTCCGTCTTATTTAACACCAGCAAGCTTCCATTTCGTGGCGTCTACTCCTCGGCGCTAACACCCAAGTGTCACTAGGCCTTCCAGTGTTGGCCTAGTGGGAGACGCTATCGCAAGCCCAGCTGAAACATTCATAAAAAATGGGCTAAGAGCTCTGAAAGAGACGGGTCGAGACCAAGCCACGATATCTAACATTCAACGCCCTACGGAGCAGTAGCTGCGCTATTATGTATCTCCCTGCCGCCGTAGACGTGAGGCTTAGAGCGGACACCATGCATAAATAAGGAACTTCTATAATGCCGCCTCACTCACTCAAGGCAACTGATCGCTGCTCTACGGCTGGGAAACTTCCGACTCCTCTACCACTCTTTCCACTTCTACAAGAGCGAAATGCAGATTGAAAGAAATTTGGCGCTCCATGGTAGATCGTTATGCTGGTCCTCGAGCCAAGGTGCGAAGTCTACTAACACAGGCCATTGTGGTTGTCGCGCCGCCATTTGCCGAGAACATAAGCCCTTCTCTCGTCATCTGCGTTTCCGAGGATTCTTTGAACGTCACAGCGGCCAATTACTTCGAATCACAGCTACTGTTTTGGTCCGAGATCATTTCATAGATTACAAGCGGGCATCCATCTAGGTCCTTGAGCAAGCTGCCTAGCTAAAAGTAGGAAGTCCGGCTAGCGGATCGGTATAGCTCGTGTCTGTAGCGGTATCTCGGCTATTATACCCAAGCATTGCGGCTTAGGCGCAATATAGCAAAGGGGAATTACGATGGCCAATTCATACGCTCATATTAAGACACTTTGAAAAGTCATCCAGCAGCTTGGTATTAGTTGGGGTGAAGGTTCTGAATGGCGGCGACGAGGTGATGAGAATGACCTCTAGGGTTATATCGACAACGACTTTGGATGTCACCGCATCCGCAAGCTGGCTTCTCACAGTGCGGCCAGTTCTTGACGGTATAGTATTTATGTAAAGTTGAACAATGCGACTCGAGTGACTCGGACAATTCAGATTCAGGCGATGACCATGGCGCGATAGATGATTGAGTCGCCCTGTAAGATGACTCAGTCGCGCATCGTGAGGCTTCACTAACGCGGCAACTTGGCCGCAAACGTTGCAGCCATCCATTGGTTCTCTCCGTTTGATCTTCCATCTGATTTAAGCCTTATTTAGGCTAACTCGTCACGTTTTATAGCTGGCCACGGCTTATTCCATCCATGATACCTTACTAGTACACATACAGAAGCATGATACCCTGCCCCGAGCTGCGACATGACATGAATCATCTTACCTCCAAATTTGAGAAGCAACATCTTTGTGAGTTGGATTGCAATGGTTCTTACTATATTATGTGCTACATTTCACTCTGTGCAATCTCATGGTGAATTTCTGAATATTTCCAATCTTCCAATTTGCAATGGATCGCGTTAAGTACCTCGACTTAACCCCGCCTGGCAGCGGGCTTTGCTGCTAATATGACGAATATCCTACATCATTCTCTTCTCCAAAGTTGAACACGCACGATCAAACCTGTCGCTTCATTTTCAAGAATGTTGAACCGCTCGAATCCAGATGAATGGCCGCCGTATCACCAGGGACTGGTAACCCATCGCAGCTCCGTGGCGACGAGTTCGATACGCAGCAAACGCCATCTCAAATTCGGAAACTCGCCAGCCTCTGGATAACTGTCAAGGAAGCTGAGGACATTTGTCGGCAGTTTCAGAGATCCTGCATCCAAAACCGTCAGGTCCTATGGAGTGGCATGCTTCGGGAAACGGCACAGCGGTGGGCAGATGAACGTGACTTTCAGACATTGACAACTGCCTTGGGCCCTCTTCTGGATCCTTCCCATCCAGATTGTCCCCATGATCGGAAATCATCGGGAGGGTGGGCCAAATATATTCATGGAGCTTCAGTTTTGTTTGCTTGGTATATCTCCCAAACAGACCTGGTCACTGTCCTATCGCAGCCTCCGCCGCAGCGGTTTCACCCTTCCGGGCAGACATTCTACCAAATGGTGGAAGAGCCGATAATCAAGGGTATGATGGGCAATACGGCCGTGAGCAAAATCGTCGTGGTTCATCCCACCGTTGGGGGCGCTGCTGATTTCACATATGAAATGTGGCCGCATGACGAGCCTTCATTGTGGACAATGAGCTTTGGGATACCAGATATTGTGGTATACTGGCGCCAAGTCAAAGCAAAGAAACCTCAACAGTATGGTAGTATTTCAAAGGTGTGCGGGTGATAATGGCTGAACACACTGACCTGTAAACTGACTCATAGACAGCAAACACAGCCGAAACTTAACGAAGCGCTGGTAGCGAAACCAAATGGGGCAGATAAGGAAGAAAACATCCGACACGGAGCTAACGAAGAGCCGGAGAAAAAAAAGAAGAAGAAGAAGGAGACTGCACAGAATAGCAAAGGGAAGGAGACTATTGCAGCCGGTTTGACTCAAAACAAGAAGTCAGCAAATAAGGAAGGAAAAATGACAAACGGAGCCAACGAAAAGCAGAAGAAAAGCAAGAAGAAAAAGAAGAAGAAGAAGAAGAAGACTGCACAGAGTATCGAAGAGAAGGAGAATGTTGCAGCAGGTTCCACCAAGTCAGCAAAAAAGGGAATAGTGATTATTGCTGCAGCAAGTAAAAAAATAAGGGGGAGAGAGCAGCCAAGTTAAACTTGGTGGGTCTGTCTAAGGTTGATAAAAAAGCCGGAAAAGAAAAACAGGGGATTGCAAAGTCATGACAGTGAATAATGAGGTAAGAATGGGTCATCTGGTGAAGAGATGAGGTAGCACGTTAATGTAAACCTTACGGTCAGTTTGATTGAGCCATTGTTCAGAATCCCCTAAACATATTCTATAATACCTGTAGCCGCATTGGTTTTGATCAGACCTAGCTATGCCGTAAATAAGGAACCTCTAATTCACCACCTCACTCAAGGTAACCGAGTAATCCATCTGTCAAACTTCTTCGCCAACTCGACGCATCGCTCGTCGATAAACCTCGTGTATAAGTGCGCCGCATACAAATTGATCACTGTCAAGATTGCAAAAGCGCTAAGCCATGAAAACGCAAATGGGACAGTGTGGTTGACGGCCTCTGGCCCAGGGTATGATTCCCGAGTGGCAATATACCACATAAAGTTCCTCACGGGGTCGCGAATAAGGTGGTAGATAGATTGGTGCACCAAGTATAGCGAGAAGGAGATCTTGCCTAGGTATTGTATCGGCGCAGAATTCAGCCGGCGCTGGAGATAGGCAGACTTGCTGATTCCGTAGACAACGAGAACTGAGCCAGCCGTCTTCCAGGCCTTGCTCAGAATTCCCCAGTCGTTTTCCCAGCGTGAGGATTCGACGAACTTCAAGAATTGGTACCCAGGTGGTAAAAAGCCGTCGTCGCTGAGGCAGACTAACCAGATTCCAAAAATAAAGCAAAAGTACGTTCTGATGGTGCTAAAGTTGACGTATCGTGCGTTTGTCCGCAAACACAACCTGACGTGACGGGGTAACTTTGGCTCTTCGTTGGTGGTCCCCGACTCTGACAAGACCTGCATCTCAGCCAGGTAGAGACCCGCCAAGAAGGCAAAGGTATCCCACTGACCAAAATAGAACCAGTATGCTATCAGGACAGCTATGGCTATACGTCGAGGCTGCGGCCGCCAGGATGCCAACGCTAGTATGACAAGATAGACGATACAAGAGCCGCGGAACTCAAGCGCCATCGTCCAGAGCTGGCCGTTGAGACCACCGTTGGCTTGGAACGACAGGATGTTTATGTTGTCGAGCATGTAGCGAAAGACAAAGGTGACGTGCAACCAGGGCGCAGTCCAGGGCTTGCGGCCCCAGACAACATCGTCGCCAAACTCCCAATGATAGAGATTGCAAAAGAAGAGAAGTTGCGAAATTGCCGTGATGCAGAAGACGGGCAGGTAGATGCGCAAGATGCGGCGAGTGGCTGCCGAAGAGAGACGGCGCAGAAATTCGACACTGTTGGTGTTTCGCACTCGGAGAAGCGTGATGGATATGGCATAGCCGGAGATGACCAAAAACAGCGGCACCATGGCATGAGCAGCAAACACAAGACGGATAGGAGGCAGCTGAAGAAGCCTCCTATTTTCCTCGGGCGGATCGGCCCAGTACGACCGAAAGGCAACGTCCAAGACGCCGCCCATGAAGTAGTGGTCTGTAGCGACGATTGCCGCCGCGATGCCACGCAGGCCGTCCAGCCAGGTGGTGCGGTCCATGGTCTAGTCCGGTCCTTGAGGCGTCCCGCGTTTGCAAGGAAGAGATTATCGACGGTAGGCAGCAGGCTGGCGGCATTAAAACACGGGCCTTTATTACGTATTCAACTCTACTCCAGTTCTTTGAGTTCCTCCGTTTCTACTGGAGGGCTTACGGAGTCGGGTAAAACATCCCTGTAGAGTAAGATTATTCCCCCCCACACCGTCCTTCTGTGCAATGTCAATAGTAAAGCTTATATACCTTCAAATACTGGCTCGCGATAGGTCTTTCCAGGAGGGAAAGGAATGTATGGGCACTGTAGGGACGCTAAGGATGTAAGAGATGCAGCCGGAGGTTTTGAAAAAGTCCGGAAACCCCTGCTACGGAAGGCCACAAGGGGCAGAGTTCCAAAATTCAATTTTGAAGATTTTTGAATTGGGTCACCCCCCCCCTTTCCCCCGGGCGGACCCCCGTACGGCCCCGTTTGTAGGATTATTTTACCTTGCATGTGCTTAGTCATTCATCTAAATCACTGTTCGCGCGGCGTAAATCTCTTCTACCTAACCACGCAGCACCAGTTGACGATCCTTCCTCCCCTCGCTGGCCCAATTCGATTCCGTACGCACACTTTCTCACGCAATACGGCTTGGTACACATCATCATGGCGCCCCGAGGCAACCGCAACCGCCCCAAGACCAAGGAGACCCCTGCTGCTGCTGATACGGCTGCGATCGACGCCCTACGCGAGGATATGGGCGAGCGCGCATTCAACCTGCTGCCCAAGAAGGTCCTTGACGTTGAGACCTATACTTTCGCGTACAAGACCGATAAGCCCGATACAAATCCGGAGGCCACCATCTGGGCTCTGATGAACGCTTTGAAGGGCAGCACCACCAAGGGCCAGGAAGCTGTTGACTCTACCAAGGTATGTCCTTTATCTTAGGCCTGTACTAGCCTGGTTGATCACGTACTAACCCGTATTAGACCCCACGCCTGCTGGAGATCCGCAGCAAGAAGGACAAGAAGAAGCTCCAGGAGACCCCGTACGTGATGAACTTCAGCAGCGGCCAGAATTGCGACGCTATGCTGCGTCATCTGTACGGCGACGAACGGGAGGGTACGGACCGTTGCTACAAGTGTACGAAGAACAACGGGGCCCTCAAGGGATGCATTGTCGCTGAGGGGACCCCGGCCTGCGCTAATTGCGACTGGAACCGATCTGGCGCCGCCTGCTCCTTCACGAGTAAGTACGCTGCAATACGTTCTCATTTTCTATACTGATTGGCCACAAGAGCGTGGTACCAAGCGCAAGGTTAGCGACGACGACGACGACGACGATTCCGACAGTGATGATACGGACCCGTTCGAAGACCTTGACCTCAAGACCTGCCAGAAGCTTGTGCAGATCTTCAAGGCAGCTACCAACCGCAAGAAGCACAAGAAAGGCACCTCTTCGAAGTCGGCTTAAGGTATTTGACCCAATACGTAAATGTACGAGCCTCTACTAACTCTTTTTTTTTTTTTACCCGTAGTCCGCCTAGTCACTTCGCTCTGAGTTGAATTTTTTTTTTTTTTGATTTACGAGGAAACGCAGAATACATTCGCGTATATTAGCGCACGAGGACGTACGGTGAACTATGATACCCTTTTCTTAGCTAGAGTCTGAAATCAAGTTTTCTTTGATCATGCTTTGTGTTTCACTTATGACATTTTGTTCAAAATCTTGTGGGTCTGACCAAGTGAGGCTAAACATATTATGCATGAGGCAATTTGGCGCCATACGATCACAAACGTAACAAACCCCCTTTTTCAAAATTAAATCGCGCAATCTCAACTCAGACTTCCTCTCTTTCCCTACGCCTACACTTGACTACGTACGGCAACATACGGTTCAAGATGCCTAGGGGTCGCCCTTCAATTGATATATCCCCATTTCGCCTTCAGATTCAACAATGGAAAAACGACGACGGTCTCACGCTCAAACAAATCGTACAGCGCCTTAATAACGAATTCCACATCGAAGTTCAACGTACGACCGTATATCGCAACCTGAAGATCTGGAATGCTTCCATGAGGCAGTATACCGAAGACTCTGAACAACTACGTGAGCGTATTAAAGACCTATTCTTTGATAAGGTCTTGAACGATCACTTTATGCTTCTGCAGCTTCACTCTGAGGGCTTTCTGATCTCAAAGACTGGCCTCTCACGGATACGGCGAGACCTAGGCCTTTGGCGGCGTCAAACCCCTGAGATGACTAGCGAGAGACTTCACGAATTGCGCCGTTTCTTTGAAGACGAGTCCGAATTACACACTAAGCTTGAGACCTACGGGCGCACACTACTCTACGTATATGTCCGTCGAAATCATCATATCTTGAGCCGCCGAGCCCTGTACTCATGCTTTCGCGACTTTTCCCCTACTTGTGTTACCGAACGGTGGAATACGATGCGATATCGCCGAACTGGATGGACTTCTCCAGGCCCCGACTTTATTTGGTCCCTTGATGCGTACGATAAATTGAAGGCCTGGGGCTTTGAGATCTATGCCAGGGCTCCTAATAGTGCAGACCATTTACACTATTAGTGCAGACTACAATCCAAGATCAATAATCAATCCACGACGGGCGTTCGTGGATTGACGACTAGGATGATGCGCCCCTTGAAACGAGCCTTGTTGATCCGGATCGCACCAGTGAATTGATCAGAAATATCCAAAACAAAGTGGTTGGCACAGCAACAATCATGGGTACCCTGGTTTTGTAACACCATGCCAACAACCTAGCGTACTTAGCGTCCACACCGGGCGTCCGTATTCCCTGCCCTGATCTGCAGTCTGCACTAATAGTCTAAATGGTCTGCACTATTAGGAGCCCTGATCTATGCCTCCATTGACGCTTACTCACGGTTTATTACGTGGTTCTACGTGGGCATATCCTCTAGTACGTCACGAAGCGTTGTTGCACAGTATCTCGATGTTCTCTCGCAGCGGAAAACCATGCCAAATATCATCCGTTCCGACCGCGGCCAAGAGACAATCCTTATGGCTGGAGCACATTATTACCTTTCGAAGACCCGCGTACGCGCACGGGAAGGTATCCCACAAGATGTGCGCTTTCGAGACTGCTGGATCTATGGCAAAAGCACGCATAACGAAAAGATTGAGAGCTGGTGGCTTCGATTGAGTAGGGGTAGGGCTAAATTCTGGCGGGTATGTAGTATTATCACTCCGTTCGACCCTATGCTAACCTGAATCTAGGAGTATTTTGGTGAAATTACCGCACTTGGCCATTTCTCGAACGACTCCCTACCCGACCGTATTGCAATGCTCTATCTCTTCATGCCGATCCTGCGGGCTGAGTTTGCCGACTTCGTACTTACGTGGAATTCGCACTACATTCGCAAACAACGCAATAGGCCGCATGTGGTTCCTGGGCAGCCATGGACCCTCTACTTTCAGCCTACCGCACGGCAGGTTGAGAGCTTTGCAGAGGTTATCCCTCAAGATCGATTACAAACGCTCCAAGATATCTTCGACGGGGACCGTATTGATCTTGATGCCTACTTGCCAGAAGATACAATAGCTATCTGTGATCGCATTCTTAGAGGCCAGGAAGATCTGCCAAGAGATCCGCCACAGCAACCTAAGCTTTCAGCGTATCTATTCCTACGAGATCGTTTACGGCAGTACATTAGGAGTAAGCAGCAGCCAGAGCTGGCATTATTGGAGACGCCTACGGGTGGCCTAGACCGCGTACGTGATCATTTGGCCACTCACGATATCGATACTGCTTCGCTTTTGGAACGCATTGAGGAGGAAGAGATTGACTGGGGTGAGGGAGACCAACTATACGACTAGATGCATAACCAATTGTAGCAATTGAACTGAAACTAATCCCTATTCTTATTCTTTCCCCTACCAATCCGGACAGGAAGCCTCTTCTGAGGTGAGAGAGCCTGGGCCTCCGAGTGTTCATCGATATCACTCGCGAATGGATCGTCAAGGACGGCCTCAAAAGTAGCCGAATCCGCGTCATCTTCACCCGAAAGCTCAACCTGAATTTCAGCCTGAATATCATCCTTGCCCTCCAACTCCAAGGGGGTCTCAGCTTCCTCTTTTACCGGTATACGAGATAGCTTTCGTGGCTTTGATTCCTTCTTAATTGGGGATACGCGCTCTGACTTTACCGTACGTGAGGCTTTGCGTTTGCTAGAGCTCCTCGCCGAGGCTTCTGACTCTAGATCAGAGGGTATGCGATCAATCGCTCGCTTGTGACCACGTACGGCTCTTGACGGCATTGGTGACTCAATATCAGGCCGAGGCTTTACATTGAAGTACCAAAAGGTCAAATGGACCGTATCGCGCTTTGGGGCAAGCGAGATATTGCCCACACGAAAGAGGTCCGCAAACGAGGTCGTTTCGTACGCGGCATCAGAGAACTCAACGGGTCCAAAGGTAGCAGTTTGAGTCACTACGGAATGAACGACCTTCCATTCCTTAACTGCAAGCCTCTTGTCACACTGCTTGACAATGAACTCTATCATTGCGGCATGAGAAGGGAACTTTGCCCCGAGAACGATCTCAACATTTCCTGTACGCTTTCCAACGAGGTTTGCCGTCTTGTCGTATACTGGGGTTTCAACACCGTCAAGGACATTGTCATAATACCCATCGCACGACCAAAACGAAGCGTGCAATTCGATGACAATCTTAGCCGTATGGCTTGTAGCTGCGATGCTCCTTGACCGGCTTTCAATAGCTAGGTTCGTAGCGTTCTGATAGGTATCAGGTCTCGGTCGGGATCGTTGGGAAGGAATCGTCATCGCATTGCCTCGTTGGACTGTTGATTGGGAAGTAGGTGAATCGACTGTGAGGTCGATAGAAATAGGGGTAATAGGGCCAAATGATGATGAAGCCGTAGGGAGCCGTTGAGCGCAATGCGGGCAATAAAGGGCCCCAGGGAACTTCGTACGTATATCCACATGACGGCTGCGGTCTTTGGGACAATACTCTGTCGAAGTGGATGAAGGTGTATCCATTGTGTAAGAGAAGGATGATGAATGAACTTCGTTCCCAAATGGCCGCGTTTGTGGCCGAACGTAATATTTGCCTCAAGCAACCCTAACTAAATTAGGGTCACGCAATGGGCTCTCCCTGTTGAGGGATATTTTATCTTTACAGTGATATGCGTCCCCTATATGTGATTAAACAGAAGGATAATGGCACATTGGGGTTGCCCTAGTAAGAAAAAAATGAAAAGTTGAATTTTGGAACTCTGCCCCTTGTGGCCTTCCGTACCTGCTCGTATTCTCAGAATAGCTCACCATGTTCCACCACCAGCCCTACGGGCGCGAGTCGCTTTTTGACACGTGTGCTCAGCCAATTCCAAGCCGGCGATTACTCAACTCGGCTTAAGTTTTGTTGCTCAGCCCAAACCGTGACTTCTTCACATCACCCACATTCCCAAATCAATATTCTCATGGGATGGGACACGGAGAATGGATATCTGCGACGTGTGTATCGATCAATTACTTCGTTATCGAGTCTTTAATTGCGACCGGAAATTTTGGAGTAAGATGCCGTGCGGTTGGAGTGCTTATAGCTCCGTGGGCCCGGAATTCAAGACAACAATCCACTGTGGATCGCAGTGTCACTGATGGAAGGCAACTTTTTGTTTGGTGTCGAATGGATAGATCTGATACAGAAACATATAATGCACATTCCTGGACTTGGAATTCCGATCACGGAACAATTACAGTGGCTGCTGTCACCGACAAAAATGGTCATGTTCGCCTGTCCGAAGACTGAGAGTGTGTTGGCGCTAATCACAACAATCATCCACCACGTCAGGATTGGTCCTCTTTGGGTTAATAGAGGGTGCATTTCGTAGAACCGAAGTAAACAGAAAATAATTCTACGCTTTGGATCTCGTTGACGCTGGAAGCGCACACTCCGTTGGGTTACTCAAAAGGTCGGTGATAGGAAGGGAGCAGCTGGAGCTTTTAAGTAAGTTGATAAATAGCAACTTAGCACCTCAGGGTGATGGTCAATTTTTGCATTTTCCTGAGATTTTACGAACGGTGTTCATTCAAGATCCCAGAGCTGCTAGAAGCCGTCATCTGTGAGCACTGGTGGACTCGTACATGAGCTGCACAAGAGAGCGATGGCAGTAAGTTGGTTGTACAGCTCATATGCGTTTTCTGAACATCCAAAGAATGTATGCTCTGGATTATTTGACAACACGGAGAGTGGGCTGGCCATCCACTTCGATAATCTGTGCACAATTGTCAGCCTCACGTTCACTCCTACAAGTGGTATGCAGAAGAGTGCACAGGGAACAGGGTCAGTATTCAATCCAACTAGACATCCAAACACTTGACTGTTAGTATCGCAAGGCTTGCTCCCTTATGTTGGATGGATGATCTTAATCGCCCAACTGCTCTATTAAACAATAAATATCCAGTCCCCCAATACCATTTCTCATTTCCAAACATGACGTGAATTCTACTGCGTGATAAGCCCAAACCCCGAGGAATGACGACACACTGGATCATAATAGTTTGACCTTGCGGAAGTTCGGATTTGAAAGTGGGCCCTCAACTTCTGCCGTCTCTCCCGTTAATTAACAATCAGACTCCATTCCGAAGCCACAACTGATTCTAATTGGTCTAGACTGTTTATAAGGCTTATCGGTCATTCTCGCCGAGGCACCCCCGCTCAGCCCCAGCCCCGTCGTCGCGCATAACACGAGCGTCGGCTGGGCGGTGATGGTTGGCTTAAAAACCGTGTCATCGCCTAAATTTCCATTCCCCACGATCTTGGATCCCACTCAACTTCGACCCGCCGAGACTGTTGACGCGATGGATGCTGCAACACCGCGATTCTGGGGTGCCCAGACCTCTTACTTGAAGTAATGCATATCCTGCTTTCCTTAGAAGGCGTAGACGCTAATTACTGGGACGTTACAGCTTTTGCGAACAGGTACTGTCAACCAATAGTCACACTGCTTACCAACCAGAAGACAGCCTAACATGTCATCTCGTCGAATATAGGACTATGTCGTCACCAAGTACATTGCTGAATTCATCAACACCTTAAGCAGTTTGGTTTATGGTCTGTCTATTGCAACAGCAACTGTTTTACAACTGGAATTAACCCCAACTAGTCGTATATGGCTTCTATGGCTTGTTCAACGGCCGCCAAAATTCCCCAACCGGTCCCCGCTTGGTCTCATACTGCGGCTTGATCGGGGTAGGTGTTTGTTCAGGCGCATACCATATGACGTTGAAATACCACACTCAAATGTGTATGTTCTCGCATGCACCTTGCTTTTCGATTCTTCTAACTTTGAAAATCCGTAGCGGATGAGCTGTCTATGCATCTCCTGACCACGCCACTTGTCTATCGCGTCCTTACCTTCAACACCAGTCCGCAGCGGACCAAGTTGGTGGGAGTCATCACTCTGACGCTTTTTACTATTACCATGGTCGCCCACATGGTAATGGATGAGTTTATCCTTCATGCAGTAATGTTTGGATTGTCGGTTGTTATCATCACCGTCCGGATAACACAACTTATTCCTCAACGATTTTCGGACCCCGTAGTTCGGAAAACTTTGCAAACCACAGCAAGAATGGGTTGCTGTAAGTCCCAATTTTGATCGCTGCAAACCATGACTAATTTTGCCGACAGTGAGTTTTCTCTTTGGCTACACTCTTTGGTTAATTGATGAGTTCGCATGCCGCATGTTGACTGACGTGAGGCACCTGGTCGGTTTGCCCATCGCGTTCCTATTCGAACTACATGGATGGTACGCTCGCCCCACGTTCTATCTTCTTAGTTAACGTCCAACTAATATGGAATAGGTGGCATGTCTTTACTGCCCTTGGTGGCTACATTGGTGTCGCAGTCGTTGATCTGATAACGTCAGGCGAGGTTGATCAAGATCCAATCAGTCTTTTCGCTTGGCCAGTCCCTTTCGCAGTAGGGCTCGTATCGGAATCCTCAACACCAAAGAAGCAAGCATAAATCAATTAGAGTTGCTTCTTAATTAGAATATTAAAAGGGCGCTTTAACCTCCCAGTCCTGCTGAAGCTTGGAACTACCTGTCCAAACTATCGCTCATGTTGAAGACCGCCTTAGCCTAGACCGGCAGAAAGTCAAGTGTGCTGCAATGAACACGAACATTGATTCTCGGGGGGTTCCCCGCTCTTTTTGTGAACCTAATTACACAGCGCATGCACTTGGGTAAGAGGAAAGGGTAAATTTCCGACAAGCCGTCAGGCCCGCTTGGATCTCACATCATTGTCCTTTCTGGAAAGATTTCCTCATCCTGTGACTACCAGTAGGCTCATTCCAAGGCCCTGAACTCCCACTTAAGTCGTTTGACATGCCCATGGGGTATATTTTCCACTCCACCGTTCGAGGCCGGGTCTCGAACAAATCTGACCCGCCAACGAAGCTGCAGCAAATGGTTGGGCAACATGGGACCATTCAAGAATACTTCACTCTTGCAACAAGAGTTTTATCCTCTTAAAAGCAAAAGATCTGGTCTGTCATCTTCGAAGATGCTCCGGGTTGTTCGAAGCCCAGATTGCTTAGTGACGCTTTCGCCGCGTTTACCAGACCTGGTGGACCGCACAGCATGATTTTGGAATCCATGCTAGGGGCGGGGAACATTTCTGCCATCATGTCCTGCGTTACATATCCAACACCATATGCCCAATCACTCGGCGCATTCTCGAGGAGATAGTATATCTTGAGGTTCTGCGGGTAGCGACGAGAAAATGTCTCAAGTTCTGCTCGTAGAAGAATGTCTTCTTCTGATCGGTTGGCGTAGATGAGACTAACTTGAGTGAGGTCGCGGTCATCTTCGCAGATAGCGCGGATGATCTGGTACATGGGAGTGATACCAGTACCACCAGCCAACATGCCTATTTGCTTGCAGAGACCACGTTGATATCGCATTGCGCCTTTGGGACCTCGGAACAGCACATCATCACCAACTTGGAGGTTGGCGAGGTACTGCCCGGTCAATTTTCCATCCGGATAGCACTTGATGATTAAATCCAAGGTGCCAACATCAGAGTTGTTGGAAATGGGCGTGTATGACCGACTAACGACCTTGCCATCAATTTCCGCCTTGATGGCCAGATGCTGGCCAATTGGTAGCCCTAGAACCGTCGTTGGAGTGGGCAAGGTGAAAACGAATCGGTATACTCCGGGGGCAACGAGTTCCTTGCTAGCAAGCGGCAAGGCGTGATAGGTCGAAGCATCAAGCCAACCTCGAGTAATCAGAGGGTTGGCCTTAATGGCTCTGGGCAACTTCTTATGAGGAGCGTAGCTCATGAAGCCACCCTCCTCAAAGAGAAGGAGTCTTGAGAGTCTGCTAACCACCACGGTGCTGGATATGGTGAATAGGGCAGAGGCTAGGAGGAAACCTTCAAAGAACCCTACACGCGAGTGGCCCGATTTCAGCGACGGAATGTTGAAACGAGGTAGCCCAATCAATGTCTTGGGATTAACGAATCTGGAGGCTCCATATAGAGCCGCTGTGCCAACAGACATGGCTGCCACGGCGGTAGTGACGCTGGAAGTGAGGCTTCGGTCTGAGCCGTTCGACTTGGGCGACATGTTTCGGGCTTGGAGAGTGACTGGCTTTTGGGACGTTGCTTTTGGAGCGCCACTATACTTTCCAACACGATACTCTGCCATTATTTCAAACGCGTCTTCAGAGTGGCCAGCGTTGTCAAATTCCACTGTCGCATCTTTGCCCGCAACATCGATCAGGATATCGGCGCCACCGGGATGATCATCGACGTACTTGGCGACATCGTAGACTATTTCAAAGATTAGGTGCGCTCATGTGGATGTTGGGAATTTGTTAAAATACCTTGTCCTTGGATGATCATCCAGCAGTCATCGCGCGTTTTATGGGCTGCCACTTCCTTTTCGGTGAATGCTTGTACGGATGGTGAAGTCATCTTCAGCAACGATCTGAGTCAGACAGGTTTGGCAGAAATTCGGAGGATATTGTCAAGGGAGATCACCGAAAAAGATCAAGACACGCAATATATCGGCTTTTCGAGTGCGGACCGGCATGTTTTGTCGACTAGGGTGAGTTCTATTCGTAATACCTCTAGCTGTGGCCATCAACATGATTGCCAATTTGATCTGTGCCGAGGTTCAAGGTCCTTCCTCGGCGGAAAATGCGCAAGGAGCGGGTCAATCAGTTTCGAAAATTTCATGTCGATCTCATAATTCATCATTTCGCATCTAATTACTTGCAGTGGCTATCGGGTTTGGTCAATGCGAGATTTCGGGAGTCGCGAAATGTGACGTAGCGGTTTCGCCGCTGGCTTTGAGCCGAGGCACATAAGATTTAGGCCCATTTATGCTCCTTGCTTCATCGTATCTTAGTGGCCCGGAAGCTCTCTTTCTTTCTTCTAGAGCCCCATAGTGGGGATCTCTCATCTCTTGACCCGCTTGTGAATATCAACACACAGTCCCCTTTCTTTTCCAAGCGCCGACAGCCCTGCGCCGCACGTATTTCTTCCGTCTAATGCCGGCACTAAGGCTCGCAGCCCTGTTTGTTTCTATATCAAGAGATTGTTACTGGTCCAAAAAGCGCTCTGTCTCGCGACACGAACTGGCCGACGAAGGACTTACGCGGTATTAGCAATGGCTCCACCATTTCTCACTTATCTATCTTCAATCTTCAATGTGCAGCTGGTTAAAGCCAGGGTGACCCTTTTCATCATTAGTCACCAGGCCATCCTTGTTGTGCCTCGGTCCATCTTGCAGTGTCCACACCGCGATCATCCCAGGCTTGTTACATATTCACCAGTGCGGAACCTGCTCAGAATTTAAGACGAAGAGTGTTGAGACTGTAATCTTTTCCCCGTGTGGCATACCCTGTGTCAAACGAATCCCTTCCATCATGGCTATCAAACGATTTCACCTTCTGGGCGAAGACCCTTCAACAGCCCAAGATATTGAACTGCCTTCATCATTAGATTACCAAAGCTTGCAGCATCTGGTAGCCTCTCACTTTGCCATAGTTGATCCAAATGGTATTAAAACTCACAAATCCTTTGCGAGAATCGCACTGACGCAATAACCAGGCATCGGTTTCGTCACTCAATCCGAGGCCTTGATGACTGTCACAGACGTCGTCGCAGTTGAGGATGACGTTGCCATTACCGTTGACGGCAAGGCTGTCCATGAAGTCCCCGGCCCCAAAGGCCTTCCTTTCATTGGAAATTACTTTGAGGTGTACCCAGACCATCTTGGTAACCACCAGCGGCTCTTCGAGAAGTACGGGCCTATTTTCAAAACCACCAACATGGGTAGCACGGTATACCACACAAATGACCCTGCTTTGGCCAGTATCGTGTTTGGCGAGACCGACTTTTTCTCCAAGCGAATCATTGAAGGGCATCCCCTGTATCCCATCAAAAACCAAGAATCTGGCGTCTTTCTTGGTGACACCAACACGCCAGAATGGAAAGAAGTGCACAAGTTTTTACCGCCAGCGTTAGGCCCCAAGGCAGTGCGACACTACGCGCCAACAATGCAGCAAACAGTCGAGGATGCGTTCAAGGTCTTTGACGAACTTGATGAACGTGATGAAGCATGGAATGTATATCCGTACATGCTTAAACTCGGCTCTCAGGCTGTCGGGAAATTGGTGCTTGGCATGGACTTTCAACACTTCAGTTCTGTCGATTCGCGGCCTCACGAAATGGTGCTGAGGATTGCCCAGTCACTCGAATTGAACAAAAAGATCACTGCCATGGGCGGTTGGTATCGGAATTTGCCCTTTGGAGATCCTCAGCGCCTTCGCGAGGCACGAGCGCGCATCGAGACAATGATGGAGGAGTCCGTGGCGAATGCGTCCAAAGGCGTTGAAGACCTGGACCTGCAAAACGCTGCTCTCCAAGCGGAAAACATGGTCGACTATGTGCTACGCGCCAGCGACAGCAAAGGCAACAAGCTTCCTCGTCACCGCATCATGGAGCCACTTGTGGTTGCTACCGGCGCGGGCTTCACAACAACAAGCTCGCTGCTGTCATGGCTTATCTACGGACTCGTCGTGTACCCGGGCATGCAAGAACGCATTCTGCAAGAATTGATCGACAACGGATTTGAACAAGACACGCAAATCACTTCCGACTTGACCAACAAGCTGACGTTTCTCGATAAATACATCAAGGAGACACAGCGTCGACATAACCCATCTTACCAACCTGCACGAACGGCGGCGGTAGACATGATCCTACCAGGAGGTTATAAAATTCCCCAAGACGCCATTGTCATACCCGCCCTACACCACATTCACAACAACACTAGGATCTGGGACAATCCCACGCTTTTCGATCCAGACCGCTGGGATACGGAGCGTGTCAAGAACCGGCCGAACGCATCGTACATTCCCTTCGCCACTGGACCTCGCATGTGTGTTGGGTTCAATTTTGCTTTGCAAGAGGTCAAGGTCTTTTTACCCAAGCTTGTGTATCGATACAAATTCAGCCTCGCCCAGGACGGCCCGGTTGACTACGATCCTATGTTCCAGTTGATTCGGCCGAACAATCTGTACGTAAGAGCTGAGAGGAGGCTCAAATGGCCACCAAGGAGTGAATAGATTCTTGACATAGCACGCTTTCTTTTACTAGTCATCATTTCGTCCTGGTTGGAGGCAAGCAAATGTGAAATGAATCAAGACCCTTCAACACGATAAACATGTTTTCACTCCCAAAAGTTCGGTCCCAATAACCCTCTACTTCTACTCACATTCTCTACCCCAAAAGCCATGAAGCCCACGTGCAACATCACATCGCTCAAGCCGCGGCACTGCTTCCCCGGATTTTTCATGCCCCTGTCATCTCCATCTAGGTTCCCCTCTCCACTTAACCCCATTCAGAGGTCAGCATTCAATTGGACCTAGCCGTGCTATATTATCCACGCTATATAGTCGATTATGGGGTGTTTATGTCCGAAATACTTTCACGAGGGCCGCCTTGTTGTCATTTTGCATTAGGATCCTACCCTCACTCCGGCTGCACAACCATATGCAGTATAATTGCGGAGGCAATTGTTGGTCTTACTCTTTTGGACGCATGCGGATGGACTCAATGAATAATTTTGAGATTATGGCCGAATGATGGAATTCATGTGAATATGATGAAAGATGACTACCTATATAAAGAACGATTGAATCCCATGGAACGAGTCTCATTCCCCAACCCCAATCTCAACCGAACCCAAACATCTCCAGTCACACACTACCAGCAAGCCCAGCATGATTGTCACTAAGCTCTTTACTCTTTCTCTTCTGACCTCGACCGCTCTTGCGTCGGGTGCTACCATCATCGCGGCCATGGGCGTCATTTCTGATACCACTACGGCCCTCGACAACGCCGTTACAGCTTGGGACGGAAGTCTTGACGGAACGACTGCTATTGTCGTCCTTTCAGACCAGCTTCTTTCCGACACTGGAGATGGCACTTCCGTCGCCGAGGCCTCGGACGAGCTTAGCCTCACTGAGGCTATCAATGTTGCAACTGCGACGAACTCCCTCGGCGCTGTTGTTGAAGCCGCTCTCGACACCATCGTTGATGCAAAGTCCAAGTTCGACGCCTTGGGTGTGAGCTCTGTGATCTTGCAGACTCTTCAGTCACAGAAGGCTGCTACAGAGACATTTTCCGATGCCGTTATTGCGAAAGTGCCCGCAATTTTGCAGGCCACTGCCGAAAGCCTGGTTCAGCCTATTCTTGATGCTTTTGATGACGCAATTGCGGCATATTCGTCCTGATCAAACGGTCAGCATGGTTCACACGATAGCGGATAGTTGTTTTGGGAGTGCAGGACTTGAGGTGAACAGAGGCTAGCTAGACAATTGCAACAGTCGAGACTTTAGTCAACATTGAATCATTAACAAGCCAGCATTTTTGAGACACTTAGGAGGCCGAATTTGACCCATTTTCCAAAGTGAGGAAAATTGTTACTCTCTGTTTACTCTGACGTGTGTTAATTATGTAAATATTTTATCAACCTACACAACTAGCTTGTTATGGCACACACTACGCGGGGAAAGCAGGGATGGTCAGAAGATGTGCCAGATGCAGATATGCTAAATGCAGTTCAGGTCAGCCACATCAGGGCACGAGAAAAGCGTGGTCATGATGGTCAATTAGCGTCGGAGCAAATCCTGATTCACCCAAGGAGGAAGACTCAGAGCTAATCTGTGGCGGGAGATCTAGCTATCCATTTTGATAGGAATTGCGGGGATTTCATGATCGACTCGCCATTGTGCACGGCAACTATTAAAACTAAGCAACCGATTTTCCTCTTCTCCAGGAGATATGAAGTGTTGCGATCTAACCGGTCAAACTGACTATTCGTTGAGATTTTAAGTAATGAAAGTTGGGAGGTCCCACTTCGTTTGCTGTGTCTACTATCCCCACGCGTGTTGTATTGTTCAACGCCGTGCGACCCCTTTCGATAGGACAAAGGGCGTCTAAATAAATATCCCCGCGCGTAGATTGACCCGATGAGTAGCTGAAACTCCGTACTGACAATGTTGGTCAAACTCAGGAAGCAAGTAAGCAAACTCCGCTGTAAGTTTTGGTGTAAGTCTTCAGGCACAATAAGTCGAACCCCATACCGGGCTTTAAAGAGACAGTGATGTGTAGGATCCAATGGGACCTAGCAGATAAAATGCAACCATAGCTAAAATCGACGGTTATCATTATTTCCCTTGCGGGTTGGGTGCAATCTCCGAATCAGGAAAACTTCTCGCCATGGAGTTGTTGAAAGAACCAGGTGTATATACTACACCCATACAAGCCATGGGTATGGAACTCCTCTTTTGCCTCGTCAGCTTAGTGGTTCAACAGATGCGAACCGAACTTCTTGGGAAGAACAAGGCGTGAATTGCAATTGCGTTACGTAACGCACATCACCCTGTCTAACGGTGCCTTTGATAAATCGAGTCCCAAATAAAAATCTAGGCAGTGCGCAAGGTCCGTTGGTAAACTGCAGTGGGAAGTTAGAACGGGCGTGAGACACTTTAAAGTATCCCATCATTACTTATAACTACCTACTGTAATCATTAACTCATCGTCCAGCGGAGTAATACTTTCTACGCTGCCTGCCATATTCAGTCTAGGGTTGTGAAATTTGTAGTCATGATCTAATTTACTACTATAAGCAGCTCATGCAGTTTACTTTTGGTCTGCTAACTCATCAAGCTCGACCTAAAATTCGGGATGGTACTTCACCGAGCTGTTTCCCTGGAAATCTCCCTTCTGGGTTGTGAAATCCTCAATAGCTCCCAAGTTCTTGATGCGCTTCAACAGAAGCTCCAACACCCGATATCCGGCTCCCGCAGTGTATCCAGGCAGCTCATGACCAGCCAATTGAACCTCGTAGTACGTAAGCCCACGCTCACGGCCCCAGTTGCCAACAATGCCAGCTTCGCTCAGTCTTCCGCTGTTGTACTCTGGGTGAAAAGGCACGTAAAAGTCATTGTCCTGCGGGTATTTCTGGAATCCTTGGGCACCGTTCCAGGTTGTGTTCTGTAGCGCGAAAAGTGTGCCGTTGGGGGGCAGGAGGAAATCAAGACGGCCGACGCCGATGATGGTGTTGTTGGTATGCTCGATAACGCGGCGGACCACGTCGGTTTGCGCAGGTGCATTGGAGGTATCAGAGGCATTTGAATTGTCTTTTCCGTCACCAAACACATTCAATGGCGTACATTGGTACCAGTCAACGTGAGGCGCGTTGATTGCATCTTGGACATCTGTGCGATTGAAGTAGACTTGAGCATTGGGCGGGGAGTAGTCGCCCTGATAAAATAATTAGTACCTTTGAATCCGGGATGTTGGGAAAGATTGGACGACGTACCTGATTGACAATTCCCAGTTGCGAGTAAGTGAAAGGACAGGTATCAGTGATGTGGTAGATGTTGAAGCAGGGGTTGGCATCTATCGCGGCGGCATAGGCATAGTCGAATATATCGCAAGTATAGTTGCCAGACGGATCTGCGTAGGGATCTGGGAGTGTCGGGAAAGGTCCCTTTGGTGGTGGGAAAGTTCCGTACTGCTCGAGATAGGTTGAGTAGTTGCAGTGCTCGTGAGTCCAGCGCAGGGCATTTGTGTAAGACTCGTTCAGATTGAGCAGGTTTGACCAGTACTCGATGAAAGGGAAGATGACTGCCTGTTGCTGCAATGTACCATCTCCAATGATGGGATCATTGATAGCAACGCCGCCGAGCTTGTAGTACGTATCGTCCTTTGCGGTGATGAAAGCATCGGCAATGTAGGGGATGTAATATCCCGCGTACGATTCGCCGGTGATGTACGTCGTTGCGCCGTGTAGCTCAAATGCATCAATGAAATTACGCCAGAAACCAATGAACTCGAGGCCAAGCTCTACTTCATTTGTGATATTGGGTGTGCCCTGGCTGAAGCCAACTCCAACTGGCTGTTCAATCCAAATAACATTGGTACTGTTGGAAGTTGTGAGCATGTGTCGGAGGCAGAGGAATCGAGACAACTCACAGATTTGTCCAGCTATAAGAGTTTGGGACTGGAGCAAGAGTACCATCTTGCCACAAGAAGGGGCCATTCTCAGTCAACATGCCACTAAGAGAGCTGCAGCCCGGTCCTCCGTTCAACCTGAAGAGCGTTGTCAGCAAAGAGGCTTAGATTGAGACAGTAACTGGGTCAAGACCTACCAGATGACAACTTCGTCGCCCGCATGAGGGTTGGTACTCGGGAAAAACCAGAAATACAGCTCTCTCTTTTCATGTTTTGACTGTGAGATGGGAAGCAAGCCCGCATAGGACTCGCCGATATCGAAAGGAACATCTGGGATGCCGGTGCCATTGACAACAAATTTCTTGGTGTGCTTGTTGAGGAACCTGGAATGCTTCCTCTTACTGAGCGTAGGGCTCTCTAGAGGAGCGAAATCACGCTTTTCGTCGTGATGGCGAAGGTTCTTGTGGTTGAACGCGTTGAGTGCCCCTTGGTTGAACGCTGCTTGGGACAAAGCCCCAAAGGCTAGAAGAAGCCCGACCACTTTGAACTGCATTGTGAAAACGGCTTGGCATGCATTTCGAATGGGCAAAGTCTCGGCACTCTGTAGTATTTATCACAAACAAGGCGGAGGATCACATCAATGCGCATGCTACCAAGTCACTCACGTCATTGCAGGTTGAGATCATAGCACACAAAGTCAACGAATCATGGCACTTCCAGCAGTGGATGATTTACGCCAACATGCCATTTCCGGCGTCCGCGTCGGTAACGTCGGCAGTGCCTATGGGTCTGTGGCCGTATCCTTGTCCTAGCTGCCTCTTGAGGCCTAGTGGGGAAACAAAAGTTCGGGCAACTCAGCACTCGCGAAGGCAGATTTATTAAACGTTGCACTCGTCGTTCAGAGTAGCCTTGACAAAACCAGCAATGCCCGAAAGTAGATAGGCAGATTCAATTCGCGCGTTGACTCTTCGGAAAGCTTGGTCCCTGGCCGTAGCCCATCTCGGCACTTGGATCAAAGTTTGGTCGCACCCTTAAGTTGAAGAGTGTAGTTGACTATTTTTGACGGTCGAATTAAGTATTTATTTCGTATGTTCGAGTTCAGTGTGACCTCTAACTTTTTAATTGCAACCTTTGTCACATTCATCTTTGGGGCTGTAGACGGCGTAACGAAACACAACATGTTGTTGAACACCAAGCGGCGGTACAAACGAACACCAGCTCCATGTGGCAATTAAGAAAATGCAAACATGTGTCTTGGAACACCCGTTGCCGAGGATATACGATGAACCTCTGCTTGTCAATCAAAACCATTGTAATTTCCTTCTTGACAATGCTGCATACCAATGAGATTTTGTTTCGTAAAAAAATGCCTGCACCATCGTCGACAAAGCCTGTTAGAAAACAATGGAAGCGGGGGAAGTGCGGGGCAACGACGCATGTAAGATCGTTGCCTGCTCACACAACTATAGTAGGAAAGATGTGCGAGTTAATGTGGAACGTTGATCCGCGTGGTGAGTAGCTCATTGGGACTATAACTTTATTTGAAACAATATGATCAACTTAATCCACATGGAGTACCTCAGAGAGTAGCAGTCTAATTGTAAGCCGGAGCTGCAAAACACTTTCCCCGAGCACCCTGTCCTCCCGGTGGACCGTACAGGAGCAAATAAATGACGACTACCCAATCTCTCTTACCTAACACACGTCCATCCATTCCTGTCAGCAGGCAGTTATCCATCGGGTAATGATCGTACTCAGCGGGAAATACGGCACGACAACATAGTGAGTAGCCATGTAGTGTGGGGCTCGTGTTCCCTTATCAGCGAAACTAAGCTGCCGATATTGCCGGATAACAAAAGTACCGTCATGATATCATAAGTACTATCTAGTCATCTAGTGTGATTAATGCGCACGGTGTCTGTAATACGGGATTTCTGCTGCCTACTAAATAGCGAGCAAGGAATAGCTGCAGTTCCTTTCAATAACGCGGAAGCTGCATTGTAGCGGCAAACTACTCTTTTGGCTGCAAGTGGGCTTATGCACAGTCACAGTGGCGTACAGTTCGTAGGTGGGATATGCATTTAGTGCAGACCATGTCGAACCAGAGATGGAAGGTTGTACGAGATCTCACATGGGAAATCGCGTATTTTGTCTTAGCAACCAGCCTCGTCGGCCCAGCCCGCCAAGCGTGCATTAGACTATATAGTGTTCTTTTTCTCCTCCGCCTCGCTCCGAACGCTAGTTATAAGCCATTTCAGCTTACCAAGGTTGCTCTGCGAAGTTTCCACAATCTCATGGCCAATAACGTATAGCCGAGCTGTCAGGATCCATTTCCTAGCGTCGCGATGGCGAACAGATCACAAATCCAGTCTTTATCATCCGTGCAGCAGAGAATGGTGGTTGTTCAGGCCCAGTGGAGTATTGTGTCGTCGTTTTTGACAATTGTCAAGCCTCGTCGCTAAACCTATCTAGGTTTTCGATGTTTCTGTGACAGTTTTAAGCCCCTTATTGATCGCAACTGTTACTGGCGATATATCTTATTGAGGACGGTTTATTGCCTTTGCTGCTGCTTCTCTTATAGTTGCTGCCTTCCCGAGCCGATAATAAATATGCTCAAGGTAAAGAGAATTCTCAACTCGGCAAGCCCGGAAAATACAAAGGATTCCTTTGCCAATATACCGGGACCGGACCTGTATGCTTCATTCAATAACATGTAATTTTTCCTCAGAGTCTTCGTTGAGGTCCAACTTCTGATGTAGCAATTCACTTACTTATCCTCGGCCAATAATCCGTCCCTGAAGTATTCTTGAAGTTGACGCCACACCTACCAAGTACTAATGGATCTTGTTGGAGATATCGATGTGGGGCAAGCCTTGCTGATGTCCCGTCATCGGATGTTGAACATGGTGGGGCTATCGGAGATACTACGTGGTGTCGTTTTCAACTTAGATCGGAATACGTGTCAGGGCTGCAATACACAACGGGAGTGAAGAGGTCAGATGATAGCTGCTAGGCAGCTAGAAAGGTAGAGGGGGTAGTGATGACTGTATTGATCTCTGATCCTTCTTCCAACAGGCGGTTGTCCCTGGCTATTTATAGCTGATATCAGGGCTTCCTTCAGCATAGCTGCAGCTAGATTTGCTAGTCTTGACCAAATACGGCGCTTAGCTATCCCTTGCATTCCGGCACCTGACAATACGAGTCAGGACGGGGGCGCGCTTTGTGCTGAAGCATTGGCTCCAGCTTGATGCATCATGGCAGACTGCTGGTAGTTAGGACGAAATCCAAGCCCAGGCGTCGTTATCACAGGATTTTCAACTCCATAAAGCCGCTTGCGGGTTGTAGGTATCTAATCTTGTGCTTAAGTCACAGCTGATTTACTTGATGTTGGAGCTATTTGTGTGGAGGAAGAAATAAGCATATAACAAGTAATTAAATTAATCCTACTAGGCCTTTTAGAACTCTCAGTGACCCACACACACCTCCCGCGACTGTGGTTTAAATAAGCAGATCGTTACGCCACGGGTGTACAGTAGATTTAACAGAGTTGGCGTCGTGATGCATGCTTACTCAACCTCTGGGTAAACAAGACTATCAGGCTGCGCTAGCCTGAAAAGACAGCCGCCGGTAACTGATCCAATTACGTGCCTCCAGCTGTTCCGCTTACCGTCAGGTGACAGGGCTGAGACTACTGTTGCTTCTGCTGAAGCCTGATCGGATTGAACCCTCAATTGCTTATCCCAAGGAGAGAGATCGATACGCCTGGTCTCAATGCATCAGATCACAACACCGAGTCTGCAGATTCGATAGACTGAGCACTGACCGAGCAAGCAATATTGAGCGTTGATCATTTCGATCAACTCACCGAGGTGGTCCGAGACTCGAGACTGCACGCCTCGTTCCGCAGCGATGGACAAAACCGGTACACCGTCCATACGCACGCCATCTCTCATCGGACAAGGCCTAAGCGCGAGGTATGGATTCACGAGAGGAATATTGGTCAGGCGGGTTCGGAATCATCCAACTGCAAGCCAAGGACGCAGCTGGCCGTCAGGCAGCTGAATATCGAGTTGTTAAAAGCGTTAGGATTTCCGAATCAGATTTGGTCCTAAAACGGTCATTTTATATTCGTGAGCTTGAAGCCATGCCCAAGTTTTCTCATCAGAAGGCTAGCACAGCGTTTCTAGGATTACTCTGTATGTGAAATAACATCCTTGTAGTATACTGATTTCTTCGTCAAATTTCATGGCTGGTATGATAGCCCGGGATGGATACATATTGCGATGGAGTATTGCCAACTTGGAGACTTGCAGTGCTATCTTAAGAATGCACAGCTATGTCCAGACAGCCGTTTGCCAGGAGGGCAGGTCCAGGACATTGCTGCCCAGATCCTCGATGCGTTATCTCTTATGCATGGCGAAAACTTTGCTCATAGAGATCTCAAACCAGCGGTAACCCTTACCCGTAGGATTCAATGTTCACTTCGCAGTCTTGGCTGATAATATTCTAGAATATCCTCATCAAGAAACAGCCCCCTGACCAGTGGTGGGTCAAGCTTTGCGATCTCGGGCTCAGTAAGCGAATTGGTGATAGAGCTTCCACCGCAATCCAAGGCACCACGGGCTTCATCCCTCCAGAGCTTTTGGGCTACAGCGGAGATCCCAAAACAGAAGATCCCTGTCTCGGAGATATGTGGTGCTTAGGGGAACTTGTCTTCCAAACCCTAACTGGCCAAGCAACCTTCGACAGTGTCGCTGAGCTTGGGAAGTACTGCAGTGGTATGGAACCATTTCCGTACCAGGCCCTGAGAGAACGCAATGAAAGTGAAGCGGTCATCGAATTTGTGAAATCCACAATGCATTCCAAACTGTCAGAGAGGCTCTGAGAACATTGTTGTGAGGGGGAAAAGAAAGGGTTCTTCACTAAGCTCATACAACCAATTTTTTTAATCCTTACACTCTGAGGGATGCACGAATGAGAGGTGACAACTATGATTACCCATTGAAAAACTGTTGCTCCGCTGGTTGTAAGTAGACAGATACAGGATTGACAATGTCAAGCTCTCCAACATGAGTCAAAGCTATGTACGGGCCCATAATTTAACCTCATAAGCAGTCTGCATTAGCGTTGCCTTCAGCCACCCCGTACTCCGTACTGCCCAGCATCGGCAAAACCAAGCAAGCCGGTACCCGACCGTCAATGCCGTGGAGAACCCACACAACATGGCACGAATACGGGTCAATAGAACGTAGTACCCGTGGCCCATGCTTCTGTGGGTTCTGGTAGTAGATCCACAATTTAACCTCGTAAGCAGTTTGCATTAGCGTTATCATCAGCTGGCAGTGATATTCGCAGCCCATGATGCTGTGGTCCTGGGAAATTTGCCCCTCAGCTGCCCACCACGGCATCGACGGTCGGGTGCCGGGCTTGCTCGGAAACCGACAAAAGGCTTATGTATTGACATAATTAGCCTGAAACGTGCGTCCCAAAGGCAGAAAGGAGATAGCGGGAACCCCTGCCGTCCATGTCCAGTTTCCATGTTTGGGTTCCTGGCGTACGTCACCCTCCCTCCCAAAGCGCGAGAAAATGAGGCTAAAATCAACCCCTGGGTCGGCAGAAACCTTCGCTCCGTCCCCTGGTGTTATAACAATAACAGATTAGGCACAATCGTGCTGTGACGATGACCTGATTTATTATAATCTGATGTATTGAATACTTATTGCTTCTACGCAACTTGGTGCCAGATGATGTATCCCTAACATAAACAGCTGTGATTGACTTGTAACTCCTGTCGTGACCGTCCCGGAGGATTCTGTTGACTGATGGAATAATATGTCGTGGCTTACTTGAGAAGCGCGCGAACCCTGCTACCCATGCCAAGTTCTATGGATCATAAATCCGTTTTCTGTCCATCCTATGCATACTGCTGACAATTGAAACCGTGGAAAGGGATGCAGGGAATCCAATATAGGAAATATCACCGAAAGAGCGGTGGGGTTGTCGTCGTGACATGGTATGATTAGGCGCATGATGACGAAGCAGAGGATACACAGTCGATTCCGTCCGAGAGTTGACCATCGGCTTTATGAGTTTATATACAACAATCATGAAAGGCATTCCAGCAGAGCATGAATCAGAAGCATTCCAATTTCACACCTCATTCTTTCCAACTCGCCATGGCTGTTAACGCAACGATGCGTGCCGCCGCTTTGATCGGCGCCTATAACGTCTCAATCATCGACATACCGGTGCCGGTACTTCAAAATGCTACGGATGCTATTGTCCGCATCACTGCGTCCGCCATCTGCGGTTCCGACCTGCATTATTACCATGAGGGCCTTGGATCTCCTGAAAACCCAGTTCCTATTGGCCATGAAGCTATTGGTTACGTCGAGGCGATTGGTGACGCCGTGCAAGGGCTGCAAGTCGGCGACTACGTTGTTATCCCAGACAACGTAGACGACGGCCATTTCAACTTTGGCCCTGAACTGCCTCTCTCATATGGTGGACTTCAGCTTGGAGGCCTTCAGGGTATATCTGAATAATATCCATACTAGCTCTTTGGAACGGACGCTAATATAAATTCCTGCAGCTGAATACGCTCGAGTCCCGTTTGCGGATGATAGCTTGATTCCCGTTCCAGTCAATGCAAGCACAGACGCTAGCACTATATTCAACTACCTTTTCGTATCTGACATCTTCGCAACTGGATGGACCGTCCTCGATTTTGCCGGATTCCAACCGGGTGATACGGTAGCAGTATTTGGCGCTGGTCCTGTCGGGCTTCTGGCCGCGTACTCTGCACTCCTCCGTGGCGCGTCAAAGGTGTACTCCATCGATCGTGTTCAGGCTCGCCTTGACCTTGCAGAGTCAATTGGAGCTATACCAATCAATTTCAACCAGACTGATCCTGTGGAGCAGATCCTAGCTCTGGAACCAAACGGAGTTACTCGAAGCGTGGATTGTGTAGGGTATGAAGCTGTGAATGCCCAGGGCGAGATCGAGTTGGGCATCGTTCTCCGCAATATGATCAGCATTACCAGTGACTATGGCGGTGTGGGAGTCGTCGGAGTTTACCTTGGAGAGGAAACAACAACAATGTCGATGACCCAATTCTGGCGCAAGGCTTTAACTATGGGCAGCGGTATTGTCCTACCGTTGCAGCACGCCACCGAGTTGGTCCAGTTAATCGCTAGTGGCCGAGCTGCTCCGAGTTTCATTGTCAGCGCAACCATTGGTATCGAAGAGGTGCCGGAGTACTACCGTCGCTTTGACCAGCAGCTCGAGACGAAGGTTGTGATAGAATTTCCCTAGACATTTGAGACAGTGGCTATGCCGTCTTGTTTCGGCAGACCTCTATGAACGGTGGAGGGAGTGTTCGTGTACACACTAATCTCATCCTACGTAGATGATAATATACATCAGCTCCTCCCATCTGGCCTCAATCATATCGACCGAGTTTATTGATGACGACGTAGAACGGTGCTCACTATGACAGACGAGCCAAGCATATAATCATCTCTTCCTTTACATCAGACACTTGATAAGCATCCAAGTAAACATCAAGCATCAGACTGTCCGTGAAAAATCAGCCGCTTCTCTCCTCTTTTTTCACGCCAATAATTCGTAGAATCAAGCAGTACTCGGCATTCCCGGACAACCCAACCCCACTTGCGTAGAAACGGTACAGTAGCTTCCCAGGCCCGAGGATCAGAATGATCACCCCAGACAATTAAGTTAGGCTTTTCGCGGTCATTTTCTTCGACATCAACGAGATCGACACACAATTCGTCTTCCTCAGCACTGCCACAAATGCGAATGAAGCTGTCCCTCATCTCGGGGAGCGGGAATAGATCGATCCATGGATGATGGTGTACAGACATTTGCAGCGCAGTAGGCTGAAGACTTGGGGGTGGAAGAGGGTCGTCCGGTTTGCGTGGACCGCTGTGGTTGAAAGGCGAAACGCTGTCTTCGGCGCATAGCGATGCCATGGTGATGCCCAAGACAGCCGCGTTCCGGTTGAGGGCATTCAACACATTGAGCTGAACTAACGTTTGCATCACGGCGGGCCGCGGTGATGCTAACATGTAGTCTTGATATGCTTGTCCAGCGAATTGGATCAGCCGGGCCTGTGCTCCTGGGAGAGCAAGAAAACAGCCCCGGCCTGGAGGGAATTGTTGCTCGATAAATCTTGTGAGATGCAAAACTATGCTGTCAGTGTCTTGGGATTCATGTTCCGGATGGCTGCTGGGTTGATGCTCGAAGTGTCTAACTTGACGTTGCTTCTTCCCTTTGGCAAAGCACCAATTAGCTTTTACGGCTCAAACGAGGCCTGCGGATAGCGAAACGAACTGTAAGTTCTCTGAGCAAGGCGGTTTTGTAGTCTCCTTCGTGTTACAGGGTCGCTGACCCCTGTCCAGTCGTCCGCCCGACTGATCACTGCCGACTGTTGCGGCATACGGCTTAACACAATTGCTGATGAGTCGTCACTTGTTGACAAGTCACTCGCATCTAGAACTTGATCAGACACATCCATGATGTACCCGGATGAACCAGTCCCGCAGGATTGAGATCGTGCTCAGTGGATATTTGTTGTGCGTTGTTATGATGCCGCCTTTGAAAACGATCAAAAGAACTTCGTGTTTCTCTGAATTGTCTCGAGTGGATTGAGGGAGATGTGAAATGATGGCAGATTAAGTATTGGATGTTGAGTTAGCTGATTGGTTGAAGCAGCCCCACAATAGGGGTTGAGCTCGTCGTCACCGAAACCGCTCACTGCCCCCCTCTAATTGTAGGAAGAACGCTCTTTGTAGGGCCTCTTTATGTGCTCCCTTGTGCCTAGGCGCCGTACCTTAACAGTTATGAGTCCGGGTGGAGTCACTTCCAGTAACCTCCACTGCGCCAGAGCACAGCACAAGTCTTTTCAACCCGCAAGTCAGCCCAACATCACGCAGAACCGTGATCCGACCCTTCAGAGAGCTTCCGCCCGACGGGACCGAAGTTAATAAGCTGTTCTCACGGCAAACCTCTGCCTCAACAAGCACGATGGCGAACCTTGTATAAGTCAAGAGCATGGCGACGTCATTGAGTACATCAAGCTCGATGACAACACCCAATGGCTTCCGTGGATCGGCAAGGTCTGTTGAAATGAGCAGGTTGTATTAATTGAAGAAGGAAAAACCAGCGCTAACCAGCGGAAGCTATTGACAAGAAGACATCCACATCCTAGCCACCAATGGATAGGAATAGCCATTGATCCGTCAAACAACGGATCTCAACAAGGTCGAGGGCATGGCACGCAAGGGTGGCGTGTGGGACATGATCGACCCAGATTAGCCCGAGAAGTCTGACGATGATGACCAAGCTCCCAAAGCTTCATCCGAGCAACAAATCATCGATAACATCAGAGCTTCCAACATAGCTCTAGAAAGCCGCGAAAGGAAGATCACCCGGGCGGATATTCCCAACGAGCTGAGCTACGAGCACAAGACGCAAGAAGAATAGCGCAAGAAGTGGGAAGAGCGCAAGCGAGCCCCAAGGGAGATCTCTAAATACGCTGAAAGCACGGGCTTGGTCTGACTGCAGCGCGACTTCCTAGGAAGTCGCAACGGGCGACGCGTGGCCGAGGTCGGGTCTGCTCTGTATTTTGACGATGAGGGACAGTGCTCCAATGAGCGCGATTTTAACCCCATGAGGGGCGAGGGGTCGGCCGTTTCTGTTGTCGATGCTTGACAGTGCTCTCTGAAGGTATTAGGCACTCTAGTTGATCGTTCTATTCCCGGTCGTGTACACAGACACAAGAGAGATTTTATACTTCGTTCCGGGAACAGCCGAACCCAGTTACCGATAGTGAACTTGGATGAAAGTAAGAAACAGACACAGCGGTTCCCGTGCTGCAAGATGGGATGCACTTGGCACGTTGTTGGAGGTGATCCCGCTTATATCGAGCGATGCTCGGGACTTACGCTGTGGTGGCCATCTCTTCTAGCATATTAGAAGGGACGTCGTCTTTGTGAGAATTAGAGGACTTTGGACGTAATTTAAAATGAAAGTAAGCAATTGATTCCATTCTTTGCCCCAACACTCTTCCCGGTCCTTCACACGACAATAAATCAGTGAGCTCTGAAGATGCTACGTCCCTATATGCTATTTTATCAGAGCTCCGCCTAGTGTTACGGCCCAGGTTGAGACCAGGCGGTCTCAAGCGGCAGAACCGTAACGCCCACTTTCGTTCTTCCAATCAACGAAGGATCACTCGGATCACCCCCGTGATCCAGCGATCCCCGACATAAGAACCAATCAAGTAAGGGATCACTTGGATCACTACCGTAATCCTCACGATCCAGGGCGATGGCTTACTTGGATTACTACCGCGATCCCCGCGATCTATTATAGCATATATATATATTTATTTAGTACTTTTATAGATGGATAGCCTTACTAGCTTTTAATATACTTAGTTATATTGAATCTACTATTTTGCTATTATTAGACTGTGATTTATATTGCTTATTATAATATCCTGATTTACTTAATTATATACTATATATCTTAGATTTATTTTATACTCTTAGGATAGATCTAACTGTTATATTTAGGTAAAGAAGTATCTTATAAAATAAAATAGTAAGTTAGTTATAAAAAAGTTTATTAATAAGATATTAATAGAGTTTATAGTAGCTTAATATTTAAAAGAAGTTAAAAATAGAAATTAAATAGAAAATATAATAATAGTAAGAAGGCTTAAATAAATTTCTTAAAAATAAAAGTAATTAATTAATAGACTTTTTAATATCTTTAAGCTTTTTTAATCTTTTTAACTTTTAAAATAAATTTCTAATAAAAAAAAGAATTTTCTTTAATAATAATATTATTTTTTTTTTAATTTTTTTTAAGTTACTTAAGAGATATTTCTATTAGTAATTAGCTAGCTTAAGTATTTTTAATTATTTATTATTTAGTTTTTTTAGCTTTACTTAATATTATTAGATAGATTAAAGTTATATAGTAATCTCAAATAGTAGGAATAAATAATAAGAGCTATACCTAGCACTAGAAGAAATAGTAGCTAAATAATAAGATTATTACCCACCAATCTCTACTTAAAGCTTCTATTCAACCCCTCTAACTTTAATTCTATTATCTACAGTTAACAACCTTACTATCTACAGTTAACAACCTTACTATCTACAGTTAATAACCTTAAGATAGTAATCTTATTCCAAGCAATAGAATATAAGAAAGACTAATATCTCCTATTATTAAGAGACTAACTTCCCTTCTAATACTTATCCTATCTTAATAAATTTCATCTAAATAACTTATTACTATATTAACTACTATTAATTACAAAGCCCTTATTATATATATCCCTGCATATTAGGGATATAAATCTAGATTCCAGCATAGCATAGGATTCTATTAGAATCTTTAAGATAAAAGGGAAAGATACAAGCTAGATAACTATTTAAAATTCCTTAAAGGAACCTCCTAGACCTCTTACTACACCACCCAGAATACCTGGATAGAAACTAAAGGATTGTATTAGCCATTTTCGGATGCAGTCTATTTCTTAACGATAGGAATAGAGCCAATCTACAGGGAAGTTAGGCTACCGGCATCGATATTATATTTATCCGGATAGAAATGGGCGTATTATATAACCTGGCCGATGATATCGAAAATACCGACGACAATAGGGGCTAAAAGTTCCTTGTAGAAATTAGCCGTAAAAAATATAACCTCTGGTTCTAGGAGTTATTATGCTGCGTCGGGCTGGTATGGATGCTAGCTATCTAGGGTGGGAGGGGGGATTTGAATGAGGATCTCGGGGCGTTAGGTCGGGTTGTGGGAGTTTTTAGTATAATTATTAAGGTTAGAGTCGAAAAAGTTAGATAGGATTCCGGTAGAGAAGAAAAAAGCAGCTTGAAACTTAAAACTTTAGCCTTGGCAACTATAATGTGCGCGCAACGAAAATACAGTAAATTTAAATACTAGGTTTCCTTATTAAGGGTTAATTATTTATTATATTATATACTTTTAAAGAATTTTATTATTATATCTAGTAAATAGAAATAATTATATATATAAAAAGCTTTTAATATTTTTTTTATTTAAATAAGAGTTTTTTAATTTAATTAATTTAATAAATTTAATTTAATTTTTATTTACTTTTTTAAATTAAATAAATTACTAATATAAATTTAAAAAAAAAAAAATTTTTATTTATAATTAAAATTATATTTATAATAAAAGAATTATAGTTAATTTAATTAATTTTATAAATTTTATTATATTATAATATATTAATAAATATTAAATTATTATATAATTTCTATTTTTATTAAAAATATAATTTAATTAATTTTTTATTATAAATAATAAAATAAAATAAATTTTTTTAAAAAGATAATTATAAATAATATAATTACTAAAATAGATAAAAAGAAATTAAATAATATTAGTAGAAATAAAATATAGCTACTAGAGCTACTATAGTTACTAGAGGAGGCTTAGTATAAGACTGCTTTATAAGTTATCGGAGGCGGAAGGTTTCTGGGTTGAAGGTTAACAGACAAAGATTTGGAGGGGCCGAAGGTTGTTATACATCAAGGTTATACTCTAATTTACTTTGTTGAGCAACACAATGCAGTCTTTTAGACCAAGATGCTGACGATGACCTCGGATGACCTCGGACAGCCGAGAGGCTTCGGATGCTGCGGAGTCTTTGGCTTCAACTAGCTATAGATAAATCAAGGAAAAGCTAGGACTAGGGCTAGGGCTAGGTTGATGTCGAAGCTGCTGACGAGGCCGGTGGCGATGGACGCCTATGATGATGAAGGAAAAGTTTCACAGCCGCAGAAATCCGATATCCCGATAAAGGTGATATCCCTGATACACTGATACATGTGACATCCATCCCCCCGTCTACTGGGCTCCCAACCATGCTGCAACTTGGGCGGAATTCTCATCAGGAGGGAAAACCGGGTACCATACATGCTCCACTTTTCCATCTCTGAGGGCGAGGGTGATTCGCTTGGTCAGCGGCTTCCCTTCCCACTCGAAGACCGGCATCTTCATGGCCTTGACAAACTCCAGCTTCTCATCGCTCAGCAGGTCGTAGGGCAGACCCAGGCGTTCTTTGGCCTCCTGCTGGTAGGCGGAGTCCTGAACGCTCAAGCCGAAGACGGCGTTGGCACCCAGCTCCGTCAGCAGGGGAAAGTTGTCACGATAGCTGCATGCTTCGGCCGTGCAGCCGCGGGCACCAGGCGTGTTGTTCCACTCTGGCTTGACTGCCTCTCCGGCGCGCCGGTGCGAGGGTAGCAGAAGAGAATAGTGAGACCTGGCAGCTCAGCCAGCCTGACAGATGTTCCTTGGGTGGAGACGAGGCTCAGGTCGGCGGGGATAGTGGAACCCAGGAGGTGAGAGGCAAGGCCGTCATCGACGGGGCGGGGAATGGTCTTGGGAACTTGGGCGTCTGGATCACAGATGAGTTAGTTGGATGTTGGGATAGGAAAAGCATGGGGTGAACTCACGGTCGAGAGCCATGGCTGCGAGGACTGATGAACAGTTTTGAGTGAGGTTGGAATGATGTTTGGAGGGTAGAAAGTGGTGCTGTTGGAGAACAACCGAGACGGGTGATGAAGTTGATGAAGTTGAGAAATCCGAGTTGAGAATTTGAGAAGTGAAGTTGGTACCTGCCTATGAAAAGGAGAAGGATGCGGTGGGACAACTGCGTTGGTTGCTCTTGCCCCAGCAGATATATAGAAGTTGCAAGAAGGCAAGAATACGAGAAGGCAAGAAGGCGAGAAGGCGAGAAGGCACTGGCCCAGCACTGCAGCACCCATGCATGGCCCGAGCTCAAAGGGGAATATGCCGGGCAATTTTATCACTCCATTCACTCCGGGTCCGCTAACTTCACCCCGTTGGCCCGAATCTGACCGAGTGGGGGATCCTCCCTCTGAATCCATTCAATATCAGCTTCAAGGGCCCAGATTGACGCCGCCGGTGACCTCAGAACTCTGGAGAGGGGCCTCAGAAAGGACACTCCCCGCGAATCACGGCACGGTGATTCGGGGACGTCCGCCTTACTTTTAACCGCCGGACCAAGAGTGTCCCAATTAAGCGGTTGGTACCACGTCCAGGCCAGATACTTGCTGCCCGGCATGCTACTGTTGTGATTAACGTGAGAGAAGAGAACAACAGCCAAGCACGCGACAACACGGCGGGCTCTACGTGGGAAATTGCCGTCTTATTATGTCGTAATATCCCGGCATCCCCCCACCGAGTCCAGCCTTAACCTCTGAATCATTATGGACTTCCAAGGCTTGGAGTATGTCTACGTACCAGGACTCGGGGCGAGCCTCACCTTTGATCGAGAACGAGACTTTCTTGGCAAAGGGACTGTCGGGGAGGTCTTCTGTGTAAGAACCGAAAAGGTCCCGCCCGCAGCTACGCCCTTGTGAAATATAGATATATGAGTAATATTTCTCTCTCTAGCAGACAGATAGTGCGACCAAGGGGAAACTGTACGCACTCAAAGTGTTCCTCGACCGTGGAGAGCGTCCGCACTTCGCCAGAGAGTGCAAGGTCTTGGAGGCCCTGGCTCTTGTTCCACACCCAAACATCCTACTTTTCCTGTATTACGGGAAGTTCAACGGCTTCCAATTCATCCTGTTTCCTCTTGCGATAGGCGATCTGCACCAGGAGATTGCTCAAGCCGGCCATAGACTCGATGGTGCTGCCTCTAAGTTCTCCCCGCGTTCTAATCTGCTGTTCAACCGTCTGTAAGAGAAGCTCCAGACTTTCGTCGAGGAATCCCCGTGCTCTCAGGGCCTTGCACATCCAAAATCTACATCGTAGGGTGTCCGGATGTTCGTTGCCAAGAAGTCGCACCGACATGTCGACCGATTTGCGGTACAACGCCTCGCTCTCACGGTAGCTGCCTAGTTTATACAACACCGTAGCGAGTTTGCGACAGATGAGGCATTTCCTTCGGTCAGAAACGTCGGCACTTTGACTGAGCTCCAGTGCCACTCGCAGCAATTCTTCGCTCTCGGAATGCCTATGCGCATCGGTGAGAGAATCGCAAAGACTCCGTATAGCTGCCAGGGTTTCACCGTGCCTGGGGCTGAAAGCCACCAGTCTTATCTGAACTAGCTGTCGCAGGAGCTCTTCTTCCTTCTCGAGGTTGCGGAGGTTTCCGAACGACTGGGCTAGAACATGGAGAGATTTCTGAACCAAAGAGCCGCCGGGAATGTCGATGTTAAGGGCCGCGGCATGGACCTCGTGGGCCATCTGGTTTGCCTCGTTGAATCTTCCGAGGTGCAAAATCACTTCGGCCAGGTCTCTCTTGACAGAAACGACGTAGCGAGAATTTGGACCGTGACGCAGCAGCAGAGTCGGAAGAATTCTCTTGAACTGCCGCTCGGCTTGGTCGTAGTGCCCAAGACCAAAATACGCCACCGCCAACCTGTCAATCAAGACAGTCGCCGCCTCGGTGTTTCCGAGGGTCACGCTCTCAAACATGTGTATCTTGTCCAAGCACTCTCTCATTTCGGTACGTAGAATGTCGTGGTATTTTGGCATCACCTTGGAGTCGAAGCCGTCTCGGTTGTATCGAGGAAATGGGTAAAGCTCGACGTTCAAAGGGTTCGCGAATACCATCTCCTGGGTAGAGAGAATCGCATCAACGCCCGAAAACTTGAACGGAGACGGCATGGTTGGTTCTGTTGAGGCAGGGTTATAGAGAGCCATCGCGGTGCTATTCCAAGGAGTATCTCCATTGCCACCATGGCTCATATCCTTAAACTCTTCATTTGAGATAGTCTGGCGGTCCTGGGTTGTTATCTCCGTCGCAGTTGCTCTTTGACAGAAGAACAACATATCATCAGGCAGTGCCAAGCTCAGTGCCGAGAACAGCCGAGGTAGCAACCAGGGCCAGCTGTCTCGCGGCAGAGGCGAGGATTGCGGTGCATTGCTTGCAAGCAGTTGCAGAGAGTCATGCTCTTGGCCTGTGGAAAGTATCTCGTTAGAAACTAGCGGGTTGATTGTGTTTGGCGAGTGGGCCGATGACGAAGCTATCGGGCTGGTATTGTTGAGCGAAAGAGTGGACGATGAAGCGATGGGACTAATCCTATGTGCCGAAAGGGTTGATGGTGAATGGGACGAAACTTTATCGGGACTGCCGTCGGACGTGTCCGTAGCAAATCCTCCTTCATTCTCAGGAGGAGGAGGGTCGGGCCCGGCCAAGTTTTGGTCTTCTCTTAGAGTCGGCTGCTCGGTCGCGGAGGAACTTTGAAATGCCCCGTTGGACGGTTTATTTCTGGCCGTCTTCTCCCAGCGCTCATATTTTGCGGCGGTTATTCTCACAAGTGAGAGCGGTAGTTGGTGGGACTTGGGGATCTGCCTGGGAATCGATCGGCACAGGATCGTCTTCATTACCTACCAAATTGCCAGAAGTCGTGTAATTCATGGCGATGTAGGGCAGCGAAACTTGGATCAACCAGTACGACTAGTTTGGGCTGACATGAAAGGGAGAGGAGAGAGAAAGAGACGCACGAAAACGATTAGACCAAGAGAAATTACCGTGCATGAAATATCTCATCTACACAGGGGGCCACGAGTACCAGTTCGCACACTGGGGTGTATCTACTTTCCATCCAGCAGAGTCCAACGGTCCAACGAGGGCAAGTAAAAACATTGCCTTGCATGAGCCATCCCCCCCGCCCTCTCCTTAAAATACCAATTCTAACCCAACGCCAAAAAGAAAAGCCCTGATCTTGATTCGACATGTTAACTCGCACCGGGCAACAGTTGCGCGTCTAATGGCAACATATGTCTCGATGCAAGGAGGCAGGGCTGGCGTTCAGCCAAGGCTAACGGGGGGCTGAATAATTTACTGGGTGCCGTTGGAGCAAGTCAAGGCAACACAGAGGTGCTTAACTTGTCACTGCCGCATAGATCTTGAAGTGCTATATATGTTTCAAAGATCTCTCAAGCATCATGGGTCAATTTACACCCAAGTTGTCCTTCTCATCCAAAACCGCTGCCAAAAGTTGCAATGAGAACCAGATACTGGAGCTCTGCTCCATTCGCCCTGGCTAACCAACCTGCCTTTTGACTCACCCTAGTCCCACTCGTTCCTAGTATAACTGTTGGTTCTGCGTCAACTCCTTGCCTATGGATCCCCTTAGCATCACTAGGGCTATTGTCGGCCTCCTACAGCTCACTCAAGCTTGTCTGAGGCTGGGCAAAAGACATCTCGGTCCTTCCCAGCATACTACTGCAAGCCTCACTGCTCTCTTACAGGAACTATACTGCTTCAACGACGCAATGACGACCCTGCAAGCTCATCTCCTTGAAACTTGCGAGAAAGACAAGACTAGATTAAACGCTTTCGCCTTCCTGGAAAGTTCCCTCAAGAACTGCAATGATGCACTGTTTTTATTACAGAAACAACTTGCCAGCACCACATTCATGGATCGAAAGGTTGTGGGCAAGAGTTTTGACAGAAAGCTCAACAAATCATTAGACGTCTTAAGGAGCGGACGAGGTTTGTTCGAGATAGTGCTGCTAGCAGACCAAAGGCAAGTCACCCATACTTAACGAAAAAGAATTTTGGAGGGCTAAAAAGACATGACCCGACCCGGGACTGAGTTTTTTTTTTTTTTTTTTTTTTTGGTCTCGTAGCAACTTGAGCTGACTCTACGCCACCCCCCTAGAGCCACAGTCAGTGCTATCAAAAGATACACCATTAACATAGGCGAAGACATACGCGAGATGCAGTCCAGTTTCGACACTGTTGGCGGTTACGTATTAGATCTTAGCCGTCAGTTCGAACGGCATACCAAGCAAGCGGAGAGGAGACATATGGAAACACATTCTACGATCCAGACACTTGACGAGAATGTCCCAAAGCTCCGTGATGGCACGAACCCGGGGGAACAAATTCGGAGACGGGTAGAGTGGGCCTATTGGATTTTAATTGCACTCCAGTCTGTTATGCACTTAGTTATTACTAAGATGTTGTTAATCTTTGACAGTATCTACAGTAATTAGAATAACTAGCTGGCTGTTGCACTTCACCCCTAAAATAATAAATATGCTGATTTCTATCTTCTAATTTTAGAAAGTAGTATAATGTTAGATAAAGTGGCAGCTTAGCTAACTTTATAATTATAACAGTATCGAGAATTTTCTTATTAAGAAGGCTTTTTATTATTTTTAAACCTTTAGAATACCTTAAGATTTTTAATATCTGTATTAACCTTTAAAAGGTATCTTAATCCGCTCTTAGCGCGCACTCTTGCTGGCTATTGTATATCCTACCTCTAAATAATATAAGAGCTTTTTAAACTAAAGCTTATATATCTTTTTACTTAGCCCATTCGTTATTCAGGATTAACTAAGGACTCTGTAGGTAGCCCTAACTAAATGGGTTAGTCCGAAAGCGGCCGAATAATCCGGTACTTGTGTTCAATATACTACTGTCACAAAAAGACGAACGTCCCTTGTGGGACTGCATACCCCCCCTTATATCCTTACGACAATTACGTAAACACTTTACTGCATAACCATACAGTCATTAATATCCACTTTAGCCAAATACAATCATAGGATGTCAGAACTAAGCATGTTATCTCTGAGTTCGTTCCTACTTTGGAACATATCAGAGGTCTCGTTGTTTATGGCCCTAGTGCCACACTATTCACGCTGAGAGCTAATAATACAGTAGAGCAGTTCTATCTCTCTCCATGCATCATGGTATCGAATACGCAGCACCCAGTCAACCTGTCACCGCCTCCCTCTGTATCTGAAGAAACCAGCAATTAGGCACTCCACTCAGATATGAGAAACAACAAATTCGAGTCTGAAAGGAGTTTGACCGCCTTAGGAATAGGCATGTCCGAAGGTAGTGATTACCACCTCTTACAACGTTCCCACCAAGTTCAGCACTACGCCCAAGAGTGAGGAGGTGATCCATATGGATGGATCTGAAAATAATGCCAATAATGCGTTATACTTTTGGCCCCGTCGTAAACACATCGCAGGTGCCGAATTACCGGAGTCTGGTAAACATTTCGGTTGAAATTAAGGTTACATTTCGCATGTTTGTATCAAAGGATTCTCAGGCTACGGATCTTTAAGATGTTCAACTGTGATTATTCTTAGACAGATTGGTAAATATACACAGTAATTGCGCTCATATTGTACAGAAATTTGTAGTGGTCAATTAAAAAGAACCCTTTTATGAAACGATACTCTCACACTGTCCAGCATCTTGCAACGTCACGTACACAATGAACAAGGAGCCGTCTTCGAAGAAAACCGTTTTGATCGCGGGAACTGCGTCTGGAATTGGTTTGGCAACGGCAGATTTGCTCGCTGGACAAGGATGGCATGCTATTCTCTCAAGTCGCCGCGATGAGGAGGGCGAATATCAGCCCTAATAATGTCCTGTTAGGTTGTGGGTGTGACAGAGGGTCGCTATCGAGTATGTAACCAAGGGCATTACGGCCAATCCCATTGCCCCAGGAGCAATCAAAATAAAGATTCCCCACGATGTGATCAAGGCGGGAGAATTGAGGAACGGAATACAGCCTTGTTCCCTGCCAAATGTATGGGAGTTCCTGACGATATTGCACGAACCGTCAGCTACGTTCTGGATTCCTCATGTATGACCGGTTCAGTGATTGGAGTTGATGGAGGATTCTATACCTAAATTGGAGGTAAAACTATGCAGTAATTCAGTGACTTTTGTTTATAGTTTGTGTAAATCATCTACATTGCTCACTCTTCACTCTTAAAAAGGAAGCTTCTATGAAGAACTCCCTTGATCACCTCGGACTTCGGACCATCTCCGGATACTTTCCGAGCTAACAGACTTGTAATTTTAACTAGCTACAGAGCTGAATCAAGGAAAAGATAATCCTAGGCCTGGGCCTTCAGCTATAGGCGCCTCTGACTTTGAAGAAAGAGGCTCATCCCGACATGCGACAAGCCGAAATGCAAAACCTTGCGCAATAGTTCATTGTAGACCGTCCATTTGGGGGGCTCTTTCAGCCGAATTAGAACTCTAAATAGCCTAGCGCACCTGCCCCCATGAGGCTAGTCCTCCCGGGCGGAATAAATTTCATTCATTCATGACGGTTTTTATTGGGACTTGGCAATGTATGTAAGCAAGTAAGCTGATAACCTCCCTACTTCAGCCTAATGGTTCTACAACCTCAAGTAAATTCCAACTGCGGATATGGATGAGGTGCTCTGCTTTTACTGTAAGGATCTTTCCATCGATCGCTTGGTCCAGCTCATGCAAGAGGATCTTCGCCAGAGTTCACGTCTCCCACCCCCGCCAGCGTCCCTGTGTTACCAGCACCACGCGTCCTTCCTCGACCTCGAAAATGCCGCAAATAACGGCTGCCCCCTCTGCCAGTTCATAGTCGACTGTTTCAAGTGGACCGCGTATAAAGATGGACATATACCAAAATGGCCTCGTGGTAACAAGCCGTCGGCCGAACTCGCTGGGAGCATGTACGCTGTTGCGAAAGGGCTTGAGGTGTCGGATGTGAGAATCTGCCTCGATAACCGAGATATAACATCGGAATGGAACATGAGCAGGAGCGTTGATAAAATGAATGTTCGTGTTGGCCCCTTCTACGAGCTGCCGCTGGTCATAACCAGCCCTAGAGGTAAATATCAGTCATCTGTTGATGGCGATGGACACTTACTGGAGCAGCGAATCGGCAGAGGGCAGGCGACTACCCAGTCGGACGTTTCGAGACAGATTTGGATCTTGGATCTGAGGCGAACTACAACACGATGCGATCATGGTTGGAAGAATGCCAACAAAAGCACCCTCATTGCCTGGACCGAGAACATGGACCTTCTGAACTGCCCACTCGAGTCGTAGACGTGGGGGTTACGCCTGCCGGTATCGAGTCTCACCCAGCCAGTGTCCAAATTCTGTGCTCTCAGGGCATGCGAGCGAACTACATCGCCCTGAGTCATTGCTGGGGCGGTACGATCAAAATGGTATTAAAGGAGAGCCGCTTGGCCGAGTTCCAGAATGCCATTTCCACTTCGTCCTTGCCGCGTAATTTTCGAGACGCCATCGCCATCACACGCAATCTTGGCATCAGGTACCTATGGATCGACTCTCTTTGCATCATTCAAGATTCAAGGAGCGACTGGGAGAAGGAATCCAAAAAGATGGGCCATGTTTATCGCAACGCCTTTCTGACAATATCCGCCATGGCCGCTGAGGGGAGCGAAGGTGGCATCCTTGGCCCATGGCCAACCATCGACTTCCCGAAGCCAGCAACTGTGCGGGTTTTCCCTAGTGGCGATGAAAACAATGCTGTTGTGAGACTGCATCTGGACCATTGCGAGAATTTCCCAAGTTGGTATCAGGAGACGGCGCAGTCCCCTCTCAACTCTCGTGGTTGGGTCCTGCAAGAAATGGTCCTCTCGCCTCGCAATCTCTATTTTGGGTCCAAGATGATCTACTGGAGATGCCCTGAGGTGCTGAAGGGCTCCGACGGTGCCCCGTTGCTCAGAGTGAGGCCGTACCCCATTGAGGAGTACCGTCACATCAGCGCCATCATCCACCCAAACACACAGCATGAGCCCCTTGCCCACGACTTGAGGCTGCTTCTCACTAACTACTACGACGTCGTGCAAGAATACACCAGTCGCAAGCTGAGTGTCGCCTCCGATAAGCTGCCGGGCATTGCCGGAATAGCCTCCAATCTCACCCCCAAACTAGGCCCATACCTCGCTGGGCTGTGGGCTCACGATATTCATTGTGGATTGCTTTGGTCAGCTACCACCTTGCCGTTATCGGAAACATTTCTTGCGCCATCATGGTCCTGGGCGTCGAGAGACGGGCGAGTTTCAATTGGCAATGATGCTCCGAGTTCCCAATTCAACCTTGACGAATGGCAGCTCCAGATAGTCGAACACTACATCAGCTTGAGAAACCCAGACATCCCTTTCGGGGAAGTGACAGGAGGGCAACTCATCGTTCAGGGGTGGACAATGCCTCTCGTCTGGGGGAAAGACGCCGTTATTACAAGCTTAAATAGCAGTCGGTTGAGGTTTGATGCTAGGGAAGAAGATATGGCTATGATATTATCCAAGGATTCGAACTTGGGAACTTGCTTTCTCTACCAGATTCGGGATTCCAACAAGTCTGTTGAGAAATCCACCCGTCAGTTTGCAGCTAGTGAGGAGGGCAAGCTTGAGGGGCAGGTTTATGTTGCGCTCATGGTCGTAGCACGTCGCGGCCTACGGGCCATGCGTTCTTGGGATATATCAGAAGGTTCAATTTCTGTAGTTGGGATAGATGGCTTAGTGCTCTGTCCGCGGGGTGAAAAATACATACGAGTAGGAAGATTTAAATGCTCCCTGGATGAGGATTCTTTAGGGAACTGGCCTCAGATATGGGTAAAGCAGAGGTTAGTTCTGATATAGTATTACTCTAGAGGAATTAGATATACTATATAAAATATCAGAAACATTGCCATTCTACGGTTTTTTTACGGAGTACTTTCCAAGGTTTTTTAATCTTTATTTTCTATTTTTTTTTTTTACTTTTTATAAAATAAAATTATTTTCAATAAAAGCTTTATAAATATTACAGTCTGCATGAGAACTAGGCAGTTATAACTAGCAGTAATATATCACGGCCTGTATTAAGACCAGGCAGTTACAGAAAGATCGTGCCCTCCCTTAGGGATCTTGCCCACAATCCAGGAGCGCTACGATCCCTCCCTTGTTTCTAAGCTTAAATTCCGGATTACAAAACAGTGATATCTCACGACTAGGTGCACACAGAAGGGTCGAATCGACTGTTTGTCGGACGGTCCGACGTGGGGAAAGCAGGGGTTGTCTAGTTGGGGCCCATGATGCGGTGGTATTTCGCAAGTGCCGAAACAGGGATAAAAGATTTTGAAAAGTGGAAGATGCAATTGATAACAGAGGTACAGGGTAATCATTGCTTTAGAGTTTAATCTGTCAGCTCGTTGCCAGTCTGGTTGAGCCATCTCGACATTTCTTCAGCGACCATTGTACTTGTCATCCCGCCGCCACAACTTCACAGTCCAGTCGTGTAATCGGCGCCTCTCATCGTCGTCACGACCGGGATTAGAGGTGCACACGCATTCACATGTAATATACTTTCCGATAAATAGAGCTGCTTTTCGTTGAATATTCCACATTTGTTCTTCGTCGCGTAAGTGAGCCGGCGTAGGTATTGTACGTAATACAGCATATCGTGAGCCCCGACTCAGTCCTCGAGCAGCTACGGGCATTGCATCCTATAATTTGACTGAACTGAGCATTATAGAGCCGATTTTATTTCTCAAGCATCATTAAAAATTCGGTGACCGATGTTGATTTTGCTCTCTCCTAGCAATCTGTTTGGTTTGGTTCATCATCCAACAGTATGTCTGTTCCTCCCCGTCCCGTTCAAATTTTTAAAGAAGTGGAAATCCCAACACAATCTTTCCTTCTTCTGAAACACCAGAAAATCCCGTATATCCTTTAAATTTGGACTCGTCAACGACGAGATTCGGACAATCCGGAGGACCTTGTCCAGTTAGCGCCGCCTGCAGCTGCTCTTTGATATACTCCTTGTTTCGAGGGGTAGTCGGGCATGCGGCCACATAAACTACACTGGCGTCTTGATCACCCTGGTGCTCAGGATCGACAGCGTGGCACATCTATTCAAAATTAGTCTAACCAGGACAGCGAGTAGCGTAACGAAAACTCACATCTGTATGCCACCAGACTGTATCGCCAGGGTTCATTGGCGGAATGTGCGCAAGACAATCTTCCAGCCGAAGATGGGGATGGGAGCTCGTACTCAGTCGCTGGCTTTGGTCCGTCATAGTGCCAGGAAGCCAGCTAGACTTGGGGTCAAATGTCCACTTGCTGGCATCCATGATATCCTCCCGGTTTTCTGGTGGGGCAAAGAAAGGTCTCAGCATCACATAGGCAATGACCGTCGAGACTTCGGGGTAGAGCATCAGCGTGCCACAACCAGCTGATGTTGGCGTCAATGCCGTCCAACCCTGAAAGGCACGGAAAACGACAGAGTGAGCGTTGGCCTTGAACAGAAATTGATCGGCATCCTTGCGGACGTTGAGGTCGTAGGCGTCATGAAGTTCGGGATAACCAGAGAAGATGTTGTCATATACTTGGCGGTATTGCGCATCTGCCCAACGGCACAGACTTCCGGCGTCAATATGGGGTCCGAGACCCAAAAAGGCTTGTCCGGGAGGGCGAATCCGCGCTGCATCTGTATAGCTGAGTGGTTCGGGGCTTGTTTCTCCAGACTCATCGTGAAAGAGGGAGTTCAATGTTCTTTGCAACAGGATGTGGTTAGGGTGCGTCCTGACTGCAATCTGGGTTGGGGAATTGTATAGCCTGAGCATCGCAGGAGACTCTATAGGCCAGCCACTGATGCTGTCCTTGTTCGCGGCCACAAAGCCCTTCAGGTTTTTGAACAATGACGTCGCCTCCCCTTCTTCGATCACACCTCTCACGATACAGCAACCACTGGATTTTAGCTCCGATCGTCTGGCATCCGAAAGCCCGCCATCACGGATCTCCTTCATGTCCAAAACGGGAACAGCCTCACTCCCAAGCGAGCTCAGCCTCTCAGTAACAGCCTCGAGATCTTTGCAGACCTTAAGCCAACCTTTGCGGAGTGCTTCTTCACCATACTGTGCGATGACGTCCGCTTTAGCCTTGGGGGAGAATGTGAAGGTGTCTTCAGAAACGCCCTTCGGGGGAGTTTCAAACTCTTGCCAGGCCGGCCAACTAACAAGTTTCCCGGGCATTTTGCGGCCGTGATTTTCAGACAATTGAAGCCGAAATGATGTTGAGGGTGAACCACTGAAGGTCGGTGCAGGTTGATGCGTGCGGATTAGCTCGCTATCTTAGTTTTACCATGCGCGTTATATCCGCGGAGCACAATCAGCGAGGTGACTTGGCTGCATCGGACGGGCCGACAAATTTGTGGATACCCAACCCGGATATACCAGAATCTATCGGACTTTATCGGACTCTATGGACTCTATCGGAGGGGTTGTGTGAGGTTGTAGACGGACCCGCCGCGTCAGCACGCATTCGTGTGGTGGAGTCTTACGACTAGATAACTAAGGTTGTATTTAGTGTTATCTATCAGACTATGACTAGATAACCATATCGAAATCATCTTCACTAGACCGCTCCATCACGCCTCTCGGTCGTCCTTTACCGAAAAGCCGTCTTCCCTTTTCCCATCTTTCTCCACCACACTATCATGCCTGGCCATGCACAAATCCGCATATCTATAAATGGTATTCCCGTGTCCAGAATTGCTTCTTCCATCATCTGCTGACACTCCACCGCTTAGTGGAAACGGTCGCTGACCAATTGCTGCGGAGTATCGCGAATTGAAGCAAATACTTGTCAACGCAAATCTCACCGACAGACCCGCCACCATGTTTGGCCTCAATAAATCCATGTTGCTCATCTGCCTCGTGGCAGCACTCAATTGCGCGAGTGTTGGCTACGATGCCAGCATGATGTCTTCTCTCAACATCCTGGTTTGTTTGCTCTTCCTATCGACTGATCAATAGCTAAACGTTATCCACAGTCATCATTCCAAGTCCAGTTCGAGATAGATACGAACCTGAAAGGTCTTTTGACGGCTGCGCAAAACCTCGGTGGCATTGTCGCAGGCTTATTTGCTGGAGCCATTGTGGACAAATTAGGCCGAAAGGGAGGAATCCTGTTGTCCGCAAGCATTGTGCTCCTGTCTTGCATTCTCCATTCTACTGCGACGCACAAGGCCCAACTCTTTGTCGGTCGAATTCTCGTTGGCTTCGCCAAGTCAGTAGATATTGCTGCTGTACCAACCTACCTCGTGGAGCTGGCACCACCTTCACGTCGTGGCTTTGTCGCTGGTCTATACTGGGCATGTTGGCTTCTTGGTGCCATCATATCTTCGGCCATCGGTTACGGCGCACGAAGCCTTTCTGGAGACTGGGCATGGCGCCTGATTTGCGTGTGCATGGCGGCCCCTGCCTTACTGTGCATCTGCTCGCTTCCATTCATTCCTGAATCCCCTCGATGGCTGATCTCCCGCGGCCGGGAACGAGAAGGCCTTCAGGTACTTGCCAGGTTCCATGGCAAAGGAGACGAGACGAATCCCCTGGTCGTTACTCAATTCAGAGAGATTCGAGAAACCATCGCCTTCGAGCAGGCAAACGGGTTTGACTCCTACAGAGCATGGTGGAAAGCCTTTGTCTCGGAAAAGTCGAACCTCTACCGGGGCTTTATTCTCTTGACCCTTGGTGTTTTTGAGCAGACTATTGGCTCGAGTATCATCACTTTCTATCTCAGCAGTGTTCTTACCCTGGCTGGCATCACGTCTGAGAAAGAGCAGTTCGCTATCAATGTTAGTCAGAACTGTGTCGCTTTCGCCGCTGCCCTTTGCGGAATATGCATTATCGACAAGGTCGGCCGAGTTCCCATGTTGGTTTGTGGAACATCTTTCTGTGCCGCTGTTCTCGCGACAATGGCAGGCCTTACAGCGGATCAAACGGACAATGCTCTCGGACGGAATGGCATCATCGCCATGGTCTTCCTATTCCAAATTGGATACTCGTCTACTTGGACTCCTCTATCTTTCTCATACTGCGCGGAGGTTCTGAACTTCACTATCCGCGCAAAGGGCATGGGGTACGTGAATTCTACTGCCTATCCAATGAAATATGTAACTAACATACATCCACAGCGTCTATTCCATGTTCACCTCCACCGCGGGCTTTTTCAATCAATATGTCATCCCAATCGGGCTTGCAGGAATCGGATGGCGGTAAGTAATCTTCAATGTGTCCACTTAATACACAATGACTAACGATTCAAAAGGTTTTATATCGTCGGCGCTTGCTGGAACGTTTTTGTCGCTGTCGTTATATTCTTCACGTATTTAGAGACGAGTGGCCTCACTCTAGAGCAGATTGATCAGCGCTTCAATGGTGTTCCTCGCGATCAGCTCGTGGACATCATGGAAGTTTACGACGGAAGCAAGCCTATCTCGGAAGGAGAACTGGGTAATAAGTTCAATGGTGAAGAGGTGACTCAGGAGGTCAATCAGATTACCGCGGCATCGGCGGATGTCAAGACAGCTTAGCTCACGAGAAACTGCACATTATTCTTCATAAATTAAGTATTTACACCAAGTCGGCCAGCTAACTTGAGTAATGACAAGTAGTGAAATTTGGCATTCCCCTCCATGATGTCCGGTATTGCCAACTGGTATCTATAGGAACCACCCCCGCTTACACATACATCCTGATTCCCACTGGGACTTGGCGACACCCTTCCTACCCTATACCTTCTGTATTGAATAGACACGGTCTTCACTTCAGAATAGCAGGAGCAGAAATCCATGCCATTGTGTGAATGTCCACAAATGAAAATCTGGTAGCAGTGGCTGTAATTTCGTTGGAAAAGCTCCTTGGAAAAGCTCCATCTAGACACGTTATACCTTGCTGGAAGGGACGGTGGCCACTTTGCCAGGCGAACACAATATTGCCATTTGCTTCATCGCTTGTGTCCTCAAATTGGTTGAAGGACTGGTGTACCTCGCGCACGCGCTTCTCCATTATCCGTTCGGGATCTCATAGACTTTCGGTCTCGGGCCGCAATACGTGCCTCTCTCGCCAACAAAATGGGGCAGTCACAGATTCATCTGTCCTTGTAATCTCAACAAATAGAGAATGCCCCATGCGACGCGAGCGAATTTCCAACCGGAAATAAAACAACAGGTTTTTTCCCCCCATTTATGCGGCTAATGAATTTGGAATGTGAGTGTCGGCTATGGGTGCAGATTGTAGCTGCAGCCGTCTGTCTCAAGTATACAATGCTTCCCTCCAGAGCAAATTGGAGTGTGACTTGGCAGTGGTTGTTGGCCTTGGCGTCCTTATCAGTGCTTGCTTGGCTGGATGAGTAACCAAGCCACGGTTTATTGCCGCTTGTTCGGTCTGAATTAATGGCGTCATGGTGAACGGCCATTCCTTGCCAGGAAGCTCCACGGCGTCATTCGCCTCTGTCGTGTCGTCCAACAGGGAATCATATAGTCGGCAATAGAGTTGGTCGGTCAGTGGGCCGAGTGTGTTGAAAGCGAGAAGAGATGAGGCCAAACAAGAAGCCAAACAGTTCAGTGTGCCACCCTCCAATTACACCATTATGTGGAGACGGCGGCGCTACTGTGAATTGGGCTAGCTATTCAGATAGTAGACAAAATGAAGCGGACATGTTCAGTGGCGAGATGCTTGTCAATCCGCAACCGCATATTTGGCGACCAAAACTCTGCTAAATTTCTCCGTCTTGCCCAAACAGCTTGGCGTGGGCTTCTCCACACCCTGTGGCTGAAACGGCTTAATCAAGGGGCAGGGAAATGAGGACCAATCTAGAGACCGGATGACACCTGCGCCGGGGTCGGAAGATGGCACGACGGAATTTAAGATGAAGCCCTAAGCTGCTTTGAGCCGTGTTGTGAGAGACCCTGCAATAATGGGCATTGAAGCCCACCAAGATTGGGAGATGACGCCGAAGCCAAATCGAATACCCTTGCCGTGAGGTCAAGACCATAATATGCCGCGTCTTCCACTTGTTTTCTGTCGATCTTGTTGCATCCACACCATCACAGATCGTCATCATCATGAAGCCACAACTCAGCGCCCTCTTCCTGTGCGTGGGCTTCTTGTCCACCCTGGGAGCCGCCACCCAGAGCAGTGCGACGCAGAACCTCACTGGCGCCGCATTAAGCAGCAATGCGGTATTTTACAATGACACTTTAATGTAAGTCGATGCCTTCTCATGGCCCCGGGCGGATCATTGACCGGTATTGAACAGCCGAATGATTGCTTCGCCGACGGATGTCGCCAACTTCACGATCCCCGCCACGTTCCCCAAGGACGCCGAAGATGGAGACGTCATCCTGGTCGCTGTCGACATGGAGATTTCGAATCCCAACGAGAGTTTCGACCCACGTTCTGGCAAAGCTCCGCGCTCCGATCTGAAAAAATCCCAGCTCTGTCAGATGAGCGTCGCCCTGAACAACACCATTGTCTGGGTCGGCAAGTTGTTGCCCACGTTTTCGGTCCTCGAAATCGACTCCAAGAAGGCCTTCAACTACACCGACGGACTCGAAGGCATATATCTATCCGTCGAGCAGAAATGCCCTTCCCTCCCGGCCGAGTTTTTGATCCACGACGTATCCTTGTTTATCCAGGTCCCGGTCTCTATGGTCAACGAGTCCGATACTACTACCACTTCGGAATTGCCGACAGTCACTACGAACTCTTCAGCGAACTCGATACAAAGTTCCTCCCTCTCAGCTTTGATCGGCATCTATGGTTCGCTGGCAGCATGGTGGTTGTTGACTAATGTCTGATGCTGGTGTTGAGTGTTCCAATAGGACATCCATCCGCTCAATCAGTATACGATGCTCAGTTTCACAACCATCACCGGATGGAACAACACTGGTCTGTGGCTCGAGGCCTTTTAGCCGCGCCGTGGTTTTCGCACGACGTTTCGAAACCACGCATCATCTCCCTTTCGGGATGCACCGATCCAGCGTTGCCCGTAAGGTCGATGGAGCTCCTGCAATTTCTCTGCTCAAGTCGACCAGATTTGCAGTAAACCTGCGCAGCGAGTTGAGTCTGATTGCAGGATCAGATTAATGGTTGTTCCTCGGCTGTAATGGCTGTGAACAAGACGTCAAATCTCAATTGTCTAGATGGCGACTTCAGATACTAAAGGAACTGGCACACAACGCTACGATGACATCCTAAGCCCCAGACAACGCGTAGATGGAGTGAGATTTTGTACATTTAACCTGCAACACCCATCGCAAACTGAGCCATTGTATATATGCTCCCTCAGAACCAGGAAGGCAAAAGGGAAAACTGCATCGTATGGGGGAACTCGGTATGGAAAATTTAATGCCGTCACGAATATTTCATTTTCTTGTACTTTGGACTATGGCGATAACAGAACAGACCTAACCGTCATAATATACTTCTTCATCCACGTACTCATCAGAGAATCAGATACAAGCTTATATCAAGTACTCTATGTTAAATATCATGACCATGGGTCATTAGCCGAGAATAATCTCCTTCCAAACCGGGCCATCCCCAAGTGCCTCCTTCAAGTCCATCTTCCCAATGGACCCGATAGAGACCCGCTCAGCATACATACTCGGCTTGTTATCGCAGACAATCGACCCCATCGCAGTCTTCCCACCCTCCTTGTCCCGCCACTCGATCAACATGGCCATATACCTCCACCCCTCGTCGTCGTCAAGCCTGCCATTCTCTGCTCGCTCATCCCTCCCCTCGCAAAGGAGGATGAATTCTCTGTCCTCTGGAACCGGGTTGTCCTCCAACCAGGGCGGCTGGACCGTGATGGTGCCGAGTTCCCGTCCGCTGCGGCCAAATATGCCCAGCCGCTTGCGCCGATGCACCGGCCCTCTATATGTGTCAGGGCTGACCGGCTCAGCGAGTCGCAGGGTGAGCGATACGGTCCAGAACTGGAGGAAGCCCGAGCCGCTGTGATTACTGAGAGTGTCATCCACGTAGGTCGGGGGGTTGATATCCGCCAGCACCAGCTTGGTGGGCTCGACCCGTGAGCAGTCCAAGCCGTCAAAACGCCGTTGAGGCCGTGAACCGTAGAAGTTTCGGTTGGCCTTGAAACTAGAACCGACGCTGTCGTTGACGTCGTTGTGCCTCACGAGGCGCTTACAGTCCGTCGACTCGTATCGCTCCCGCTGGTACCAGATAATCCAGGTCCGCTTCCGGATCGCTTTCTTAACACGCGCGATGCTCCTATTGTACCAATCCCACAAACGCGGCCACGAGCAGCCGACCCAGCCGGACCAAGACCAGCTTGGGCCGATGGGTAGCCTGGGTTCCTCCGAGAGCGGCTGGACCTGATCGGAGAGTCGCCGGATCTGATCGGAAAGGGGGCCCCAAAGGAGGAACCAATCGAAGTAGACGGTCGGGATTCCATGACAGAGGTCGCTATCAAGCTGGCACATCATTTTCCGCGCTACGCCGGCGAAGGCGTTGTATACGTCCGCCTCGTACGACAGCACGCGCTTCGAATAGCCCTGAATAAGGCCTTCGTATTGTCCGACATCGTCGACATCGGATCCGCGGCCGTGACCCCCTTGTCCCCTGATCTCGTGCGGAGGTTCGAATACGTGCTCCTCCCACGCGTCGTTGCCCTGACAGCGAAAGGCGACCTTGCCGTCAACGAAGACGAGAGATCGTAGGGCAAAGTCCGTCTCCTGGAATCTACATGCGAGCTCATTAGCTTCGGGCGAGAACATGCGGAATGTGATTGGGTTCGAACTTACGTCCAGCCGCGGGAGGAGTACGGCACAGCTTGCATGGAGTCTGCATATCTGGATCTATACGCCAGTCGAAAATCTGGTGCCATCTCTTCGATCGGCTGTCGTGACGTTCGGGAGCCGGGAAGAACTCCGGCGATCCCGGAATATGCATTCTCGCTGCCTGCGGCGACTATCACCAAGTCTGCCGCGCCGTAGATCAGGTCCATCTTCTTGATTGTTACCGGCTTTTTCTCCAAGTCATCCTGGACGATGCACAGGGTGTCAACCCATAGGTATCTCATGCCGATATTCTTCGTAACTTGCATGGCGTCCTTGACGGTGGGCGGTATCTGGACCAGATACTCAGGCTTTTTGAGAGCGTGGGGCTCTTGGAGGGACTTGACATTTGATGTGACTGTTGAAAAGAACTTTTGCCGGCCCCAGACGTAGCTCAACGCCACATAGCGGCATCCGACCGGCAACGTAGCCAAGCAGTCTTGTTCTACGTCGATGCACCGGAAGTCGGGCACTTCCTTGGCGGGATGGGATCTGTTCAGCTCCTTTAGGATAGGGTTCCTACGGCAGCCCTCGCCGTGGTGCGTATGGCAGAGAGCCAGCCATCTCCGCACCAGGGCAAAGTCGATCATGTCCTGGCGGATAGGGCGTATGAAGTACGCCATGGACTTCGTCGGCGAGTCGTTGGCTAGGAGGGTGATTTCAGGGAAGAGGTTGAGTCTCTTGGATACGGGGCCCCCGCTCAGCTTGCGTACGTACGGGCTCAGGACCCGAACTTCGGGTCGGTAGTTCCACGGCGCTCTGGGATCTGGGGATGGGCCTTTGGTATTCCAGCCCATGTCGACCTTGATCGGCTCGTTATCTTCGTGTGTCGGGACCTCGTCTCCGCCCAAAGCCACCAGGACTAGGCGGCACAGCGGGCAGTCCACCTTATTCTTCATATCCTCCACGTTGCCGAGGTGGATGTCTCGCTTGATCGGCTTGTTCCCTTCCTTGTCACCAGGTAGGACGACGAAGCGTCTGGGGTTGAGGTGGAGGCCTTCGCAGACGCTGCATAGCTTGTCGTTGGGACGCGACACATGGCTGGGAACAGAAAGCAACGGAAGGGTCTCTGCGCCTGCGCCTGTGGGAAGGGCATGTTGGTCATCCGACTCGTCAGACTCCCAGCTATCAGAGCTGGACGTCATGCCTATTTGATGTTGCTAATTTGACAGGTACCCGGAAGCACGATATGGATTCGTCGTCTTTATCTTCATCAAAGCAGTCACAAAGATGTGGCTCGGGAATAAACAGCAGGCTGTACAGATCCGTTCTGTAGGGTGTCGGGGGCGGTGGTTGTTCTATTGATTGACCCGACCAGTAACTTGAACGAAAGGTAGAAGCTGAGATCATGATACAAGATGGATCAAGCATGGTACATATAGACTGCCATTCCTCCCTGCACATTACGAATATACAGCTCCGGCTCCCTCGGGGTAGTGGCCTGGTTCAGCCAAGGACAACAGCGAATCAAACTGCGGGGACGACAGCCAGGCCATTCTACAAACGAGCACTTTTTGTAATCGAGGCGCAGAGCTGAAGGTTGAACTGACACGCGGTTGGCCCAATCCTCATCTACAGGGTTTAGTAGTGCTCGTGGCTTGCGTGGTGCCAACCTATGAAATGTGTTCATCTTTGTGCTTACAAGTGCCTAGCGTTGGGCACCGTTTCCTTCATGTTGGGCAGCGTCATATTCAGCATGCGCTACCAATTACCTCATTTTGCAACCTAATATTCCAGATATACGAAACCAGTGCCCAGAGGACTTCGTGATATGGAGGAGACTGGCTTTCAAAATATCCCGACAGACAATAGCTTATTTACTTCCGATCGCAACCACCGAGATTAATAATTGAACAGGCCGCTCCCATTTAATACGTGAACGTTGTACGTCCAATAACAACTTTAGGCATCGCAGATACTATTATCTTGGGGTATATCGTGAGCCAGGTACGCTCTTGTAGTATCTATTACTTAGAAATACACCAAGATAGCTTCAGAGGCTGCAAGCTTAAATGTAACTTTTCCATTTTGTACAACCGACACTTCCAACTTCCTCTTGCCTTTGATTGAGCAATCTGAGTTCTTAAAGTATTGACCTAATCACAAAAGAATCAGCACCCCTGCAGTAAGATCCATTTAGAGGGCGACGTGGATTCGCAAGATTGGTTCATATCATCGGAGTAGTATTCTTACCTCCAATTGTAAGTTCATTAGACGGATTCGCCTGTTCCAGGCTGGTAGTAACATCACTGGATGGCGCAATCATTCGCAGAGCCTTGATCTTCGCGCTCTTCAAGCCTTTAAGAGTAAAGGTTGTGCTGTTTCGCTTGCCAGTGCCCGAGTAGTAGTCAGTGTTAATAAGTACAGCCTTGAAGGGCTTGCCGCGCTTATAGAGGATGTACTGCGCAAAGGAATTGGTGCCATCATCGCTAGCAACGATGTGGTCAGCACCTTGAAGAGCTAAACCGGCCATCCAAGCACCATAGAATGGCGCCTCGACCTGATCGTCTGACCACCAATTGAAGAATGCTTGCTCAATCGTTAGTGATTGGTTGCTTAAACGAGGGCAGCTTGTATAATTTACCTTGGTTAATAGTGCCTTGGTGGTAGTAAAGTCTCTCGATGCCAATTGATAGAGCTAGGAGGGTCTTGTCAAGGACCTGAAGGGCACCACCAAAAGTAGCATCCATCTCCTCATCGAGTCCATGGAAGCCAGTCTCACCTAGAGAATAATATTCGATATTAGTATAACTTGATGTAAATTGGCAAAGAAGCTTAGCCCAAGCGATAAAAGAATGGCCTTACCAATGATATAAGGCCGGTTAATGGACTTTGCTGTTGCGATCTTGTCGACAAAGTGTGACAAGTCAGAAACCGTTCTCAAATGATTCATCTCAGTGCTCAAGGTAGTGCCACTGGATAGTGCATAGAGATGTGTGCAGTACGACTTGGTCCCAGCCTTGACACTGGCATTGTAAGCCTCGTTTATCAAGTAGTTTGTATCAGGATAGTCCTCGTAGAGAGGAATTGGTACAGCGTATGCACCGGCAGATAGGATAGGGAGAGGGCTCTTCCAGCGATTGATGAAAGCTTGAGCCCATTCTGCGGCGCTACCGCCCTCCTGAGAGTTGTTCCAGGGAGCAACAGCTATTGGCTTATTCCAGATTGAGTAGTAGACTAGACTAGGAATTAGAAGGTTGCCATTTCGACCCGTTGATAGTCCACTTACGATCAGGTTCATTTCCGAGTTCAATGGCCCCGAGATTTTGTCCAGCCCGAGCCTTGGCCTCCATCACTGCTTCAAGTGTATTGGTAATGTTGTCGTTACCGCGATTGAAACCTAAAGGTTTAGTCATTCCCTCCCCCAATGAACCAACAGAGACAATAAGAGCATACCCAGCATAGTTTCAGCACCAAATTCGGCTGAATTCGTGTTAGCCCAATCCATTCTTCCTGTCGTCATGCTACTTACGGATCAAATCAAAGAACTTGGGTCCATAAGTCAAGCTCATTGGGGCGTCTAAAGGGTTGTCGACATGATAAGAGACGTAGCCCTGGAAGTCTGGATCGTATGTTGCTCTATCTTGAGTTGTGCCGCCGATTCTGATAGGAATCTTTTTGCCATAGAGCGTGGAGAAGTGATCGAGGCATTGTAGAGGTGGTGTGATGTTGGTCATGTATGATGGCCACATGAAGAACTCGAAACTATAAAAGTCAAACCCATGGATCTCGCTAAAGGACTGGGACGGAAATCTTTGTGCCCGATTATGACTCACGAAACGCCCAATGGGGTAGAATCCAGCTTCACGGCGCCGGACGGTACCTGTGTAGGGACGGGATACGTCACCCCAGCAGCACTGGCACCAACGACACCCAGGGCCGTGGCAATGGCAAGACGTTTAAACATCGCGATAGTTAAATGTCGACCATGTAGATGATCAGAAAAGCGTGGGTTGGTGTCGATTGATATGAGGCCCAGGGAGCCGAGGCCTTATGTAGATTCTTCTACAGCTATCCTGATCAAAATATACTCCATAAAATCAAAGCAAACATGGGTCGGGACGAATGCTAGTTCGCAGACCAGCTGACATGACCTGAAGAGATCATTCTCGCGGCAAATACGAGCGAGTTTAGACACGTGGGAAACTTGAGATGGTTCCATGTTCGGCACAATATACTCCGCCTTGTTCACATGGAGAGGCTGATCAATACACCGGAGTATGTCAGTCCGATCTGGGGTACTCCACAGTTCTGGGTACCCCGCAGTTCTAGATTGTCCCGGCACCTCGGAAGAAACTACAGACTGGGGAAATACGACTTGTAGTACCGTTCACAGATGGAATGTATCATCTGATCAGTGGATCAGTTGATCTCCAGAGGCTAGCAAAACACAGTCCACGCTGCACCGTGAATTGCTTTACTGTCAAGGTCCTAGGTACAGATGTCTCTCTTATGCTATACCCCAGGGGCAGGTGTTCCCTGCCTCGTATCCTTATGATCAATACCGCGTAATTACCCCGAAGATGATAAATGAGAGGATGGAGTTCAACAGCGATCTCATCTTCACACGAGGTACGGTGATTTCAACCTCATCCAAGGTGGAACGGACTAGACAGGGGAGTTAGTAGTGGTTCACCAATGCCTGCGCGCAGTAGCCAAGACGTTCTAGATAAGCCGAGTTTCTCGTACTTCGTCTCGCACTCTCGTATTCTTGTATCTACCGGGGATTCGGGCGGCGAGAAATCTCTGCTTATTACGGTTATAAGGATCGGGTAGCCGAATCCACTGTGGTACGTGTCAGGACGTTAGCGCATTTACTGACCTGTACCGGTCATTCGGTATGAACCCCCCTGGAATATTTACCCCGAATACCGAGTAGAACGGATCGAATCTTCCAGTTCATGGAGAGCCCGGAAGGCAATACGGAGAGAGAAAGGGGATCCTAGACTTACAGCAAGTATCTCCTACATTAATAGTGTCGGAGGGTGTAGGCGGATTTCGAGCAAGGATTTCACCAGGCAAACGATGAATATAGCATCATTCACCACGCCCAGCTGCAGCAAACATGTCTTTGGACGACACATCGCTGGTAACTACCTGGTGGGAGAAGACTTATCTACCCTGGATCTTTGCTGTTCATACCAGGCTCGTACTCTTCGGTTCATCCACACCGAGGACCTCGCAAGTAGTCAAACCCCCAAACGGACCTCGTCCGTGTCAACGCTTTTCAGATTTGCCCACTTCTCAAGAATGATTGCATCATAATTACTAGCGCCCGGAGTAGGTCCATCCGCTCTCTCGGTTTCCCCGCAGTTCATTTCCGAGGAGGTTTGGGGAGCGAAACTGCCAAGTCACCGGATAAATGAGAACGCTCCACAAGGTAGAGCTGATAATGTACTTTATATACCTAGGCAAAACCCCTGACAGATGGGCATGGATCCAGTGCTGTCGTAGGTTATAAAGAGACCTTAATTGGATGCCTCTTGGTGACTATAGCTCCGACCTCACAGATTATTTCTCATATCGCCAAACAAAGCCTTCATATTCCTCCTGCCATTCTTACTCCCTTTACTATTCTGCCTCAGAATTCTTTATCCCATCGCTCATCTTGTCGTCATTTTCGGAAAAATGAAATTCAGGCCCCTTCTATATGTGTTTACTATCACGAGCTGGACTGGACTGGTTGCCGCCCGACCTGCTGAACTTGATCACGTTGCTCGAGAAGCGGATGCCAAAGTCACATTTGGATCAAAGGGCTCCACTACTCTCACCTCCGATGGCAAATCGCCTGCTATATTAGTCCTTGACTATGACTACAATGTGGAGGGTTTCCCGACATTTGAGGTCGTCTCCGCCAAGGGAGACACCTCCATGTTCCAAATCACGTATGCAGAGTCAAGAGCTGCACTCGATATGTTCATGGTAAGAAATCTCATCAATTTTCATGGCCCCACCAGCACACCAATCTCGTCGAGACTCACATCCTTTCCTTTAGAGCGATGGACCCCTCCCCCTAGCTGCTGCGATGGACAATTATCGCGTGAATCAATACAACATCACCAAGAGATCAACGGTCACCAATCGCCTAATCCAAGGCGCATTTCGCTACCAGAAGCTGAACCTCACTTCTCCCGGAACTCTCACTCTCAGAAAGATTGGAGTTAAGCATACTGTCGATACCACACCTCTGACCAAACTTGCCGGCTGTTTCGAATGCTCCGATAAAGACCTGGCCCGGATCTGGCACACTGGCGCAAGAACTATCCAGCTGACGGAAATCCCCAAAGGATCTATCCCCGACTTTTGGGAGGTCACCGATGAGGGTGCTCTAGTAGAGAGTGCCGTGCCTCAGATTCTCACCAGCGCCGTTCAGTATACCAGCTACGTTCTTGACTTTGAGGTCAAGCCTCTGACTGGCGAATTTGGGTTCTCCGTCCTGGCCGACACATTGAATTCTGGCATATACATCTCGTGCGATGTCCTCGGCGGTACTATCTCTGCATATGCTGGATCAACTAACCTAAATACGCTCATTGACTCTGCCAAGCTTCCTAAGACTCTCGCTCTTAATGAATGGCACACAGTTCGGGCTAATGTCGATATGACTGACATCAGCATCTCTATCGACAACAAGACGGTCTTCTCCTTCAGTCAGTCTTCTGTGTTTTTTGGCTCCTTTGGCCTCGGTGCAGCCTTTACACACTCAGCTGTATTCCGCAACTTGAAGGCCGTGACGCCCACAGGCGACGAGATCTACTCCTCGTCTCTCACGGATAAAAGCTTCCTCGATGACTTCTTTATGGGCACCAATCCCGCCGACTCTATAGTAGATGGATCAAGGCGTGATAGGATTGCCTATAGCGGCGACCTGGACGTCGCTGTCAGGGCGTCCTTCACAAGCACATATGCCCGATCGTTTATTGATGGGTCCCTCGATCTTCTTGGGTCCTATCAAACCACTCCGGGATTTTTCATTCCCGTTGCCAAGATTCAACAGGAGCCATTGACGCAGCTGCTGCCAATTAACGTTACCGGTCTCATAGGCTACTCGTTCAACATCATCACTGCCATGGCGCAAAACTACGAGATGACAGGCGATGTCGCTTTCGCTAACCGGTGGGCCCCTCAAATCGCTCTGATGCTAGACTGGGCGCACTCGCAGCTTGAAGACGGCCTCTTCTCTGTAGCTCGGGCTTCTTTCGGTGGCGATTGGAACTACTATGATCCTGCGCAGACTGGTGTTGTTGGGAAGTTTAACGCCGTGTATGCCTACTCGCTGCTTCAGACAGCGCCTCTGCTGAAGGCCGCTGGCATTAATGTTTCGATTTACCAAGAGCGTCTTGAAAATCTTAGAGTTGCTATGAACAATCAACTATGGGACGCGACTATGGGTGCGTATGTCCTCTCTGAGAGTATGCGAAGCGGATTTGCCCAGGACGCAAACGCTCTCGCAATCTTAGCCGGGGTACCAAGCGGCAACATCTCAGCATTGGAAATCCTCTCGACCATGGGCAAGGAGCTTTTCCTTCCGGCAGGCCCCCTCGCCTTCTCTAAAGCTACTGCTAAGGCTGGCTGGGCTCAAAAGATCAGCCCGTATGCTTCGTCGTACCATCTACGCGCTGCCTTCGACTCCGGCGATACCAAATCTGCAAAGACTCTCCTCAAGAGCCTCTGGGCACCAATGGCCAACCCCTCGCACGCCAACTATACCAACTGCTTCTGGGAAACACTTAATGCAGACGGCACGCCTGGACTCGGTGTTTCCACCTCCCTTTGCCACGGCTGGAGCGCTGGTCCTACAGCTGAGCTGAGCCGATATGTCCTCGGAATTCAGCCCACGAAGCCTGGTTTTGAGGAGTGGAAGATTGCACCGCAAACTCTTGATCTGAAGTGGGCCAAGGGCCGTCAGAGAACTCCGCGCGGCGACATCAGCGTTGACTGGAAATTTGAAGACGGCCTCCTGCAAATGGAAGTCAAGAGCCCAAAGAACGGGAACTCTGTTGGCGTCGTTCACTTGCCTCAGCCATTGCTCATTCCTCTCTCTCAGACGGTTCTTAAAGTAAATGGCAAGGCCACCAGTAGCACAAGCTTCAATGTGAAGGCAGGCGAGAAGATTTTGATTCAGCAGTCGAAGGTACGCAAGGGCTATTGACTGTACTGAAAGACAACCGGAGGGGAGCAGTCTCTTGCAAATGTATTTGTGATATTTTTCTGTAGCTGAAGCACTCCAATTAAATATTAAAACACTTGGGTTTCTTAACAATTTTCCTTGTGGAGAAACCGAAAGTGTATTTGTTTTCTCAAAGGATGTTGAAAGAGCTGTCGAGGTGGTACAATTTCTTTTTCACGTGAAGACGCAGATGCACGGAAATTGGGTAGATGCTGCTGATATGTAGAAGAATTCTGGCTTGGTACGTGAGATCGGGGGTGTTATTATTAGTGGTAAAGAAACTCTAGAGCCTATGATTTAAATCTAGTTGAGAGTAACTTTACAAAATTCAACTCCCATTTAACTTAGATTGTTTCTAAAATTCCATTTTTACTCAATCTTGGAATGAGAAAGGGCCGGTGCTTTAACTCTAAAGTAAGTACTAGAATTAAAACACATTATTTCCAGACTCTTATGGTCGCCACCTGAAGTCAGGATGCTTCCAATCGAGATCAGAGATTTGCTCTCGAGTTAGGCCGGACAATTCCTCCTCCCTCTCTGCTGGGGTCTTTTCATCACGTCGTTTGTTGTCCATCTTCATCCACCAAAGGAAGGTCAACGAAGTTATGGAGATGACCGCTGAGACCGCCAGGTTGAGCCCGTTTCCAATCGGGTACATGGGCCCATCCCATGGAAGATAAGTCCAAGTCGCAATAAGACCTCCAAGATATCCAAACACGCCTGTAAACCCAGCACATAAGTATAGATTCATTATTGATGATAGTTTATGACTTACCGTTAGTGCTAATGGCGATATTACGAGCTGTATCAGAGTCGGTGTTGGCGCTGACTTGGGCGTTTGATAGAGAACCACCGAAAAAGGCACAGCTTGCAGTCAAGAAGATTGCAGCATATCGTACGGTAGGATCTGTACTCTTGAGGAGAATTGCGTAGCCGACCATAACCAGCGGACCGCTGAGAAAAAGGAAGATCTGTCGAGTATCGTAGACCGTTGCGAGCCACGAGACCAGGAGGAAGCAAAAGCTCGCAACAATGTAAGGAGGCACTGTTAGCAGTTGCTGGTGAACTCTTGTCTGGTCCGGATAAATGGTGCGGATAATCGTGGGTAGGAAAAAGGAGATTCCGAGAACGACAACGTTGCTGAGAAGGAAAATGAAGCCGGTTGAAAGGGTAATAGGATTGAGAATTCCGCGCTTGAGCTTGGCCGCGTTCACCTTGTCGAGTACCCTGTCTTGAGCCACGCGCTCCGACTTGACTCGATCAAGAGCTAGCGTCTTTTCTTCTTCGTTAAGCCAACGGGCAGTATTGGGGTTGTCTGTGAGGAGAGCCAAAGTAACGAGGGATAGTCCAATCGTGATGATACCCTCGACGCCGAATATCATTCGCCACTCTTTGAGAGACCCAACGCGATCGAGACTGAGGATCCCAGAAGCCAAGAGACCTCCAAAAGCCCCCGAGAGTGGTGCCATGACGATATACATACCCAAACGGAACGCAAGCTCAGCTCTGCGATACCATCGAGATAGATAGTAGGCAATTCCAGGCAGCATGCCGGATTCGAAAATGCCGAGGAGAAGGCGACAAGCAATTATCCGACCTTTGGTGTTGGCGAAAGCGGTGCCAACCGTACAGATCCCAAACAAGAAGGTCGTGAGGGGGATAAACCAGCCGGGTCCCATGATTTTGCACAGGAGTGTAGCTGGGATCTCAAAGAGAGCGTAAGATATGTAAAACACAGAGAGAACCAAATTGTAGTCGTTGCCTTGGAGGCCAAGGTCTTCCTCGAAGTTTGCGAGACGGGCGTTACCTAAATGGTGCATTAGACTTGACTAACTGGTGATTTGGGAACAGATGGCTACCGATATTGGATCGATCGATGAAGCAGAAGAGGTATAGTACAGCAACCAAAGGCACGATGTGCAGATCGATCTTTCTTCGAAGCCTTTTTTCGGCGTTCTTGTCGAATTGTAGGCCGGAATTTCTGTCAATCAAGCGTATGAGCACATAATTGACGATTGAACCAACAATTGTCCAAGTTGACTCACAAGTCGTCGTCTTTGAGTTCGTCTTTTGGGAAAGCGTCTGATACATGTTCGAATTGCTGAACGGCACTGCCGTCGACCTTCTGAACCATTGTGTAATCGAGATCGGATGGTCCGCTCTTTCGGGCAAGAGTTGTGATGTTCGTCTGGCGATTGGAAACAAGTACGGAGGTCTGCTGCTGTCCTCAGAAGTCGGAGTGAGGATAATGAGGAGACAGGTAGAATTTTCAACATGACTCCAGGTTATATGTTCCCAGATTCTGGACTTGATTCAAAATACAGCACTCATGTTCTCATAGTAAGAGCCAATCATAGCCATCCCTCGGCGCCTCATCCAACCCCGCAGTCCGAGCCACGTCAAGGAGGTCCCCTCTTTTACCCCAGATTGGCCCCATAAGCTTATTGAATCAGGAGATGGCTGGCATCTCGACTCCTTTGGCCCGCCGGCTTGCAATGATCACTCCACTCTACCCTGCTCTATATCCCGAGCTTACTTGCCGATGACCGTGCCGGGGGTTCTATAGGAAACGCCACAGATGAAGTTTGGGGGCGTGCTGTAGCCCCAGATAACTGATATCCGCTACCATGCATAATTCTGGGTTGACAAGCTAATCCAGTCATGTTGATACGTCAGTGTCACTATCATCGACCCCGCTCGTTGTAGACCAAGGCATAAAGGCCTTGGCCTTGTCGGCAGGCTTGACCGGCACAGTGTGCCTTATCCTGTGTCCCTCGGTTCGACAAGTATGGCGCCGAGTCAATCATGTTCAATCCAAGCAGCACCAATATAGGCATGAGAAAGGATCCAAATGCGAATGTCAGATGCCGCTAGTGGTTGGAAGGATCGTGGCCGGCAACCCTCGGAGTATTGGAACAAATGCCAACCTGGTTACTGCACCAAAGAATATAACCATAGTTAGATACTGTAGCTTGCCTTGAACCAGTCTCTATGTTTCTAGACAATTTTAGACATATATAACATATAATTCCTGACATCTCAATCTTTCTGCAGGCCCGTTGATGTAGCTAGTGTAGGTGGAGCTGAATATTGCGCGCGGGGATAACATACATCCGCCCCTTCTATAATTCAAACAGGCACGGGCCGTTTGGGGATAGTAACTTCGAACCCGTTTCAATTGCTTCTTAGACCAGCCCGTATTTTCTATGGTGTAACATACACCTTACTATCTTCTCGCCAACCTGGCCGAGATCAATCATGGGCACGACCTCTTGTGACTTTAATGAGGGGCATAACAGGAAGAGCAGATGGCACTGCACAGCTCGTTTCCTCCTAATCCTTTAATTGTGAAGTAAGTGTTGAAATGAAAATAAGAAACTAGATTTTAAAAAAGAAATTATATTGGATTTGTACCGACCATGTCCAGTACCATCTACAATTTGGCTGCTTGTTCAGCAATGACCTCGACTAGCCAGTCTCTGTGAGAATCCACTAGCCACGGACTATGGCCTGACTTGATCTCGAGAGGCGTGGCTCCCCATTTCTCTGCAATGAATAGCTGCACCTCCTTCGCAAAAATCTTGTCGTTTGCGCAAACGATGTAAGTTTTGGGGATATTCAATTCTGTGGGCGTGCAGACGATGGGGACCTCGAATGGAGCTTTGCTCTGGTGGCAGACATGCGCCCAAGCCTCGTCCTTGGCAGGTTGATCAACATCTGAGTAGAAAGCATCCTTTGCCTTGTCCGATATCAGAGGGAGGCGTGTATTCTAGACCATAATGAGTATCTGTCAAAAGCATAAATGGAAAGGATATTCGAACGTACGGATACATCGTGAAACCAGCTCGTCTTCCATTGATGCCCTCCAGCTTCATACATGGAAATCCCCGTCTGTAAAATAGGCGTTGGCGAGATATATATGGCCGACGCAATACCTCCCTCGAGGCCTTCAGCAGTTCGCTCAGCAATAGTGTGGCCTTGAATCGCCGCAGTGAGAGGCACTCCACCATAGCTATGGCCGACACCAATGACAGCTCTACCAGAGTCCAAGACTGGCAAGAGTACCCCATGAATGCGCTTCACATCGTCATGGTACGTTTTTCCGTCAACGGAGTCATCATAACCGGAGCTGGCGAGAGGCGGGGCAAGCACTGTGAAGCCTTTGGTGTTGAGTGCGTCGATGAGAGAACGGTAATGGAAGGGTCGATGCCATGCCCCATGCACGAGCAGAATGACGGGCTTCTGTTTGTCTTCGTTCATGTTGACCTTGTCAGATTTGTGAGAAGACTGTGAGAGGAGACTTTGAGGGGTATCTGCTTACGGGGGAACATCACTTTAAGTAAATGAAGAGTTCAGCTGCTGACGGAGGGTGATACCTTCCTAAAATAGGTGATGCTGACAGCGATCTTATCACGCCAAGTAGTAAGCTTATATTGGCCTAGAGCCTGCCCTGGAGTCAGTGATAAACTAGGTCCTGTCAGAATCTCATTGTTCAGTACTGCGCCGTATGCTGAAAGGAGACCTATGGCACTGTTCGCAATATCGAGGCGCGCATAAAAAAATAAAAAAATAGAGAAAATATTGATCCATCATCTAGCACAGAATCGTTCAGCATATAATGCTAGTAATTTTTAACTTTTCGGATGGAAATGACCAAGTTCCAATTAATACCGTTACTTTTTCCTTATTGTTCAGCTACTGTTTCTTCCGATGCTGGGTGTAGCACTTATTGTTTATTCCTACTGTTTGAGATTACTGTATGGCTTTGATCTATCTGATGATGTTGAGTAGAGCTAAAAAAAAAAAAAACCAAATACCGTTACTTTTTGTTCCAACTGTCTGATGAAATTGAGTAAGGCTGAAACACACCAAGAGCTTTCTATAGTAGCCGTAGGGATACAGATGTGTATTTCTCAAGCAATTCAGGTCACGCGGCATTAGTGGATTCTTAAAATAGGAAACGTTCAGCACAGATCAATTGTTACACTCGTGAGGAAGGCAGATCTAGCTGAGAGAGTTCGGCCACCTGCTTACAGTGGTGGCATTCCCTAACCGAGGTCTGGCCTCCTGCCGAGCCCGTTTACCCGGCTGCCAAGGCCGACTTGAAGCCGGCGGCGATGTCCTTTGATCCGGTGGCGTTAGCCTAGACCGCATAATTTCGTTATCCCATAAGTGTACCCAGCCGCATTCGTTTGCATACATCCAGCCAGTAGACATCCTTCTCCTCCCTATCCATATCAGACCAGATATGTGTAATGAGCTCAAACACCTTCTCAATCTTGCGGAGAGGAAAGGCATGCATATAGGCGGACATTCGAGATCGCACAAAGTCGCGTGCCTGAGCCATCTCGATTGCATTGCATGCATTACCTCCCTCACGATAGCCTTGCACGATATCCGACGGCATGCGGAGTTCACACGAGACAGCTACGAGCATGAATGGCTGCATGCAGCGTGTTCGAGACTCGAATGGGATGTCTCGCAGGATTTCGACTATATATAGACCTAGGCTGGTTAGCCACATACTCCTTTCTTCCCGAGATGGTTTCTTCAAGGCTGGCTGTGGCTGAAGCAGGGTGTTTCGGTCCCAGGGCTGGTAACGATCGTTGAGCAAATCTGGAAAAACCCGGTACAGCTGTAGCAGGCCAGTGCAATGAAGGGCCTCGTCAATTTTGACAAAGTGTAGAGGGCGAGTATTTACGTCACCGGGATCGTAGATGTTCGTCGGGATCAGCGGTTTGAATGCCAGGAGGCGGCGCTCCAGCTGGCGGGCTTTCCGAATCGAGTTCTGGAAATAGTCCAGGTCCTCCTCGCAGAAGAAGTCGATCTCCGATACTCTCTTCCGATGCTTGAAAATAAGCATGCCGACATCGGTGAGAATCTGAACTATCTTTCCCGACGTGCCAATGAATGAGTGTGGTGTGGTCGACTCGTGAGCGTTGGGAGGACCGGCTTCAGCGATGGAGTGCCGCAGGTAATTCCTATCTAGGTTCGTCTCAGACACAAAAGAGAGAAGCATGGCCCAGTAGTCAAATGCACCACCGAAGAAGGAGAGGCGAGAATGGTCCCGAGTGTTGGAAGCCCAGGTGTGCAGCATGACAAGCGCATTGTCGAAGTTCTCGTGTGCTAAATCGTGGGGGTTGACCCAGCTTGCTGTGTGACCAAGTAGTATAGCTCCCAGCATCTTGTCCTCATCTTCATCTTTACCACTCTTTAGACATTGAAGACCCAGCTGGCGTTCTCTGGTTGCAACGGCGTGCATTTCCGGAAAAGTCCTAGTTAAGCACGCAGCCGCCATGCTTTGCATGGTGTGATAGAGGATCCCCGATGACTGCCACATAGATGCAGTGAGGACTCTTAATGAATTCATTTGACCATCCCACACGGAATAAAGTGAGATGACCTCTTTGAAGAAATAGTCGGATAAGATGGAAGGGATATCAACAATCTCAGTGAACCGGGTAACTGCAGTGGTACTTTCCAAATACGGTTCTCCTCTCGGCTCTGTTTCCAAGTTGACGAGCGGTCGCGTCACTTGCACATCTAGGGGCACCATACTGCAATTCTGATCCTGATGAGCTTGTTGGCGATCGGTATCGTCGAGTGGTTGCTCCTGCAAGTTATCCCATGTGAGATCTTCGAATGGTGTGCTGGCCATGGCTGAGAAAGCGGTAGGAGTTGCGGGAAGGAGAGGTATCATCTGCTCTTCAAAGAACGAGCTGTAGGAGGGCTGTGTGAAGAAAGAGTCTAGCGGCGTCGCAAAGTTCCAGTGGCTAAGTTGATAGGGTAGCTCCGACGTGGGAGATGTGTATGTTTGGCTTGGAGTTGAATCACTATACCAAGACCCCGTTGACATGTGGGTATTCAAGTTGGCATCTAAAGCATCGCCCTGATTTTGAGCCCTGCCGCTATTGACCAGTCTTTGCTCATCATGATGAGCGTCGGAAATGGTAGACGATTGCGCCTGAAGTTGGTTTTGTGGCGCCCACCGCAGGTTTAGCACGTAACCCGGGCAGTGGAGGCCACGATCCGCACAACGAGCGCATGTCGGGGTTCTTTGATCACATTTGACCTGCAGGAATGAGTTAGTTAGCCTTCATTCAATTGGAGGACCCTGGAAGGAGAGTGGATTCGAGCATCGACGCACTCTCCTGGCTTTGCAACGGAGACAACCGTTGCGCGATTTACGGTGTGGAGCCTTGCATGGCATGGTGTTGGCGAGGCCAGTGATGGGAATTGTCGAAACAAGGTGTAAAGGACTCAGTTGCGTGTTTGAGGGGGGACACAGCAGGTTTGTAATTGGGAGAATGGGCAAGAAGATGGGCAGAAATAAGTAACTAAAATCTCACACTTGAATCCTTAGCTTCACAGATAAGCAGTTAGCTAAATGACAGTGGGCGGAGTCGGTGATAAAGATGGCCGCAATTACAGTATTTCCGGTTATCCGATATCGGTGATCCTGGTTGAACCCGATCAATTAGGATTATGGCCGTGAAGCGCAGATGAGGGAAAATATGATGAATAAGATTGAATTCACTGAAAAGAGTGACCTAGGTATACTCATATACGAGCATTCTAGTACTACAATTCGTTCAGTTTCCCCAAAACTTCTTCCATCCACGGACGAAAACATTAACCTGCTTAAGTTGTTCGTACTCGCTCTCGGCGGAGGACCCATCTTCCCAGTGACGGCACTCTTCGTCAACCGCCTGCTTGCGTCCTGCGGCGTAAATATCCACGTCTGCTGCCACTACAAACTTGGTTTTCTTGTATACCTTCCAAAATAGAAACATGAAGCAGAACCAGAGTAGCCCAAAGTAGTTTGTAATCAGGCCACGATATGAGAATGGAGCGAATACATCGAAGCCGATAAAAATGCACACCGTGCTACCAAGAAACAAGTTCATGTAGGGTGTCCAGGTGCCACAAGGAGCAATGTAGGGGAAAACAATGGTGTCCTCGGTGATTTCACTCGCCGGCGGCTTGGAATGGACCAGCTTGGAAAGCCAGGGACGTTGGTTGATGTTGTTCTTCCCGACGAGGGCGTATCCTTGAGCTTTGAGTGCTCGGCGCCACCCAATGAAGACCCAGGCCTTTGCTGTGAAGTTGGCACACAGGGACACCGTCGTCAGTCCAACGAACCAGCTAAAGACGACGTAGGAGCCGTTTGAAGCCACGAGAAAAGAAAGACATGAGATGACGGTGATCGCAGTTACTGCAACCCATGGCACGCCAACTTCAGTGCACTCGAGGAAAATCTTTGGCGCTTGTCCATCTTGAGCCAGGGAGTAGAGCGTTCTGCTTGAACTGTAGAGGAAGGCATTGCCACATGATAACCCCGAAAGCAGAATGAGGAAGTTGATGAAGCCGGGGAGAAAGCCTTCGATCCCCAGATTGAGAAGGCCCACTACCCAAGGCGATGCTGCTGCACCAGACTGTCCCGATGCAATGGCTCCCAAGAGCCGGGCATCTCGTGAGTTGCAAAGAATTCCCACTGCAAGGACACCGATCAGATAGATGCCAAAGACGCGAGCCAGCACCATCCTGGCCACGTTGGGAATGGTCTTGCGAGGGTTTCGGATCTCTCCAGCGGCGAGGGCGATCATGTCGGGCCCAGGCATGGTAAAGACGGCGTATCGGACGGAAATGCAGATGCTCAGAAACATGCCAGTAGCGCCATCGGCATAATACGAGTGTATAAAATCGCCGTTGGACCAGTTGCGGAAGCCGTACGCGTCGTTTTGTGGGTTGCCGCCAGCCATCGTAACGAGAGTTGCCATAACCAAGCCGATAAGCAAGAGGACCTTTGTTGAAGACATAATGAACTCTGTTTCGCCGTACCACCTGTTGTTTCAGCTCGTTAGAGAAATCGAACTAGAGAGGATCATGGCTCCGGGGAGCATGTACTTACTTGACTGCAACCATATTGAGAAAGTAGCAGATGGCCATTGACATGGCAATCCACACGGCCGGATTGATAGACGTATTCCAATATTCCATGACAGTTGCGACAGCGGAGTACTCAGTGCACACGAGCATGGTGCCGGCAAAAAAGTAGGTCCAGCCCATGGCGAAACCGAGAGCAGGATCAACGAAGCGATTCGCAAGCTCGTAGATGGAACCGCGGACAGGAAGCCATGCCACCATCTCAGCGACGTTCAGACACGTAGGCCAGATGAAGAAGACACCATAGATGAAGTAGCCAAGGAAGAGTGGAAGTGGTCCTGCGTCACGTAGAACGGAGCCTACGCCCACAAACAGACCGACTCCAATTCCTCCCGCAATGGTCATGAGCTGCACATGGCGAGGGGATAGACCACGGCGTGTTTGGTGTTGCTGAGTAGCCTCCTGGACACCAAACTCGGCTGACTTCCTGATATCGTCACCCGCCAATTCCTTGTCTGGGAAAGGAGAGACGGTCGCCATTGCTGCCGAGCGTGAAAAAAAAAAATTGGAGTCCTCAATCTGAGAATCGACGTAAATGTAACTTTGCAAGGACAAACGTCTCGAGTTGAGTGGTGGTTGGAGGTTGAACGAAGTGAAGGGATGATCAGGCCTATAAGTAGGTCATCACATATCATAACTGGGGCATAGATGAGAAGCTTATCTGCGGGGTTCTCCACCCTTCTCGAGAATCTGGGGAGACGTGCTTTTTTCTCATGTCGATTCCAGAGCTTGAGCTTCGTAAAACGACTCGAGTAGATGAACATTCTACTTTTCCCAGTTGGCTGGGGGGGGCCAGTCGGTTTATCGGCCCCTGCTTGTTTCGACGAATGGCAGTGTCGCTCTTAGCAAGTCCAAATCTACCCTGGTGAGTGATAGGCACTATTGCCATTAGAGGTTTAGTACAAATGCACCTCTCTCTGCGTTGCCTGATTCAGTCAAGTTCCAACTCCACAATGGCTTCATGTTGAACTCACAACCCCAGATTTTTATTCCAATGAGAGTCGGCATTGAGGAAACCATGCAGCCACCGGTAAAGTCCGGTGTCGGCCACCGCATTGGCCGCCATTGCCAAGAGACACAGGTCCACACCTTCGTTTACTTGCCCGTATTCAGCAAGAGTCTCGTTTTCATTGTCTTGGCCAGATATCGCGTCGTTCTACTGATACATTGAAGATGGGTCCACGAGGCATGCGTCCCGGCAGCCAGACACCGAAGGCTCTGCTAGCGATTCCTTTGATAAGACATATATGAGACGTATTTTCCGGAGACATTGATAGCAATTAGATTAGGTTAATCAACCGAGTCTAAATCTTGGCTTCGTATCTTTCATTTCACAGCCATCTTCGTTCTCTCTTCCATCATGCCGCCAAGACCATACCCACATCCCAACGGGATGCCATCCTTTTGGAGGTCATCACCTGGGAGACTTGACACCTATCGCTCCCCAGAGGGCATTCCTCAGACGACAGATATCGCCATCATTGGAGCCGGGTTCTCGGGCGGGTCGCTGGTCAGTCACATCCTCGCGTCAGAGCACGGCCGGAGCAAGAGTGTACTTGTCCTCGAGGCACGAGAGCTTTGTTCTGGCGCCACAGGACGAAATGGTAGATCAACGTTTATTTTATTCACTCAAACCTCCTAATCCTTTGCGTGTAGGTGGGCACATGAAACCAGACGTGTATAACATGACTGCCTTTTTGGCGTCAAAATTTGGTATCGCGGCTGCTACAGAGGTCGCGGAATTCGAGTTTGCCAATGCCAAGGCTGTAGAAACATTTGCAAAGGAGTCCGGCGCCGATTGCGAATACTTTGTCACGAGGGCTGTCGATGTTCAGCTATCCGAGCTACACAATGCATCCATCAAGGCAGGCTATGATAGCCTTCTTGCGGCAGGTGTCGACGTCACTCGCAACGCATTTTATATGCATGGCAAAGATGCCGAGATGGTAAGAAATAGAAAAGCCCATTCTCTATAATTCCCTAAATTAATGGCGCTAATATTTAATACGTCCCAGATTTCCGGTGTTAAGGGTGCCAAGGGAGCATTTAGCTACACTGCAGGCCATGTTTGGCCGTATAAGATGATTCACCACATGTTTTCTCACGCAGTCGCAAATGGCATCAATCTGCAGACTAATACACCCGTCCAATCAATATCTTCTACCCAAGATAGCCAGGGGTACTGGGTGATCAACACTCAGCGAGGCACCGTCCGTGCGAAGCAAGTCATTATGGCAACGAATGCATACACAGCAGCCTTGTTACCAGAGTATCATGATAAAATCATACCCTATCGTGCGATATGCAGTCGCATCGTGTCCCCTGACAGCCCGCCTCTCCTACCCAATACCTACACGATTCGATTCAATGAATGGGACTTCGACTATCTCATTCCTCGCAAAGATGGCAGCATTGTTGTAGGAGGAGCTCGGAGGGCATACTTGCAGCGCCTCGAAGATTGGTATGGTAACGTTGATGACAGTGGGCTTATTCAAGGTGCTAAGCACTACTTCGATGGCTATATGCAGCATCATTTCAGAGGATGGGAATCCAGTGGTGCAAGAACGGATCAGGTCTGGACCGGAAGTGCGTTGAGCTCCCCTCCTTTAGTTCACACGGGCACCTCAGCTAACCTTTCCTTGTAGTCATGGGATACTCGTCAGATAGGCTTCCAAGGATTGGACGCATTCCAGGTCGGGAGAACATGTTCATCATGGGAGGCTTCACGGGCCACGGGATGCCTCAGATCTTCTTGAGCGCCAAGGGCATCAGTCAAATGGTGCTGAGCGGGTGCGGCTTCGAGGAGACAGGGCTGCCAAGAGTGTTTGAAGAGACCTCAGAACGGTTGTCAAACACCGAGAACTTTGTCATGGATCTATACAATAGCATCCCTTCAACTGCTAAATTGTAAACCTCAACGGTTCGATGGTCCGTTGACCTTGTATGTTTTATACGCATTGCAAGCCGCGCATAAGGACAAAATGTGAAATCTTTATGGGTAAAGATAGGGAACAAACTCGCAAGATGGCTTCTCACAACTAATGCACCCCCAGTTTAATCCTCAAGATATCTCCTATGAGGAATCTGTCTTCGTCGTGAACTGCTGCCCGTCACAGAACTGCACCCACCCATCCAGATCCATCGTCTTCAGCAGGGTGCTGAACCCCTCCGTCCCCTTGGCGCCAGAAATCTTCCCCCTCGACTTTGCGCTCACGGAACCCGGGGCGCCACGGGGATATTCGATGTGGAAGACGGCCTTGCCAGCATTGATGAAAGCCCCAAACGTCTCACCCTCGTTGTACTTGACACACTCTTCGTTGACCTGGAAGTCGACAACGTCGATGACGTCGGGGATGATCTCGCCTGCGTTCTTGAGTCCGATACTGAGTCCATACTTGCGCGCCTCGCGTGACAAGAACTTGATGAAATCAATCGAGTCGGCTTTCTTCAGGCCAACGCCGTTGTTATTGGACTGCGGAGACTTAGTCGGCAGATCCACATGGTGCGCCGCCAGGAGGCATGTAGGGCAAATGATGAACTTACATAACCGTCCACATTGTCTGGATCGATGCCGTCGCAGCCCTTTTCCGCCGCGAGCTTGATTCTCCTGGCCATGATGCTACGGACGTTCTCGCTCCTCAGGTCCAGCCACTTCTCGCCCGGCCAGTCGTCCATGGCCTTGCCGAGATCCGACTTGGCGAACTCGCTGGCATCAGGACGCCATTCCTCGAACGTTCCCGCGCTAAAGTAGCAGATGACCTTTTTGTTCAGGCTGTGCAGTGCAGCGATAGTCTGGGCCGAGTTGTCGAAGAGGTCGATGTTGAAGACCTCTACGTCGGGAGTGACGGACGGATGTCTCGGGTCGATATCGAGCGATGAGTTGAGCACAATCTGCCATGACGTTCCCACGGCCGGGACCCAGGGCCTCTGTGGGTCAGTCTGTTCATTGATGGGGAGATCTTGGGCGGACATGATGAATGAGCTTCAGAGTTAGTAGGATGCCAGCACGCGCGGGGCTGGAGAGAAGAGCGTCCGCATGGTGGTCTAAGTATTCGTATTGCGCCCCACTGAGGCTGAGTCGTTTGCGTCAGGTGATCCGCAATGGGACAATAACATTCCAGTGATTCCACCTTCGGAGTTCATGATGAACAGCATGGCGTGTGAATGTGAATAGAGCTAAAAATTTAAAACAGCAGGTTTAATTTATTTATCAACATTGAACGTGTTTTGCAGGCTCAAATAGCAGCCATTCCAAGCTGTCTCATACTGCACTCAGTGAGCTGTTTGCAATCTGACTACACTCTGCTGGGCTGAAACGCTTGGCATGACGAGATGACGTGATTTTAGAAGCTGGCCATGCCACAGGAACATCCGTCTTGCTGGTATCATCCCGGACGATCTCATCTCGTATGTGCGTGATATTCATGACAGGCGACGGTATTGGCGGTCAAAATCTTCAACTGCCATCGCATTCATTCTTCCAGTCGCATTGCGAAACAAGATTATTTGAGCAAAAAGTAATTTCGCTGTGGACAAAAGGGCCTCCTCATGACCCCTCAATATCTATCGAGGCGAACCTTGTCATACTGACTATGCCCCTCGCCCATTGAAATGACCGGATTGTATTAAGTAATGTTGTACCTATATGATTTTAGTCTCCATATGGTAGGTTATACGAGGTGGGCACAACTAGCTGCTTGGGGCAAAGAGCCAGATTTTCAAAGTCCTTCTGCAAACTCTCAAGGTCATTGCTGTCAATTATACGTTTGAGGATACGAAGGATCTGTGTTGAGCTTGTGTGCACTATCATATTACCAGAATAAACAAACATCAGTGTTTGCTCTGGCGTATCACATTAGTGACAAGTACTCATGGCGTTGAGGTGTCAACTAACACCCATCAGATATTTCTTTTCTCGAGAGAGATGATCGAGCACTAGCATCCATTAGACATGACCCTCTGAGCTGCACTCTGGAGTCTGATAAGTGTCTCTCATGTGTGGCGCGAGTGACGACGAACTTCAGTAGACCAGTTGCTCGCTCCACAACATAAAATTCAATGGATCTTCGCTCCAAAACCTCTTCCCTAGCATGACAGAAATGGAATAGTCTTGGGTTGTAATTGGAAGTCTATGGGCCGAGTAACGTCACTGACGATGATTTCTTCGCTATTACTGGCTTTCTACGGAACGGAGCGGTTATGTTGAATGTAAGGTAGTCTGGAATAGGGCGTAAAATTGGGTGCCCATGGGCGCCCACGGGTACCCGTAGGTAGATAAGGATAGAAAATTGTTTTAGGGTAGGTAGATTTATTAAGTATGAAAATAAAAATACTATATAAAAATTATATAAAATAAAATAAAATATCAGCAGAATCTCAAATAGGATATATATAGAATTTAAATTAAACAAGATACATACGGAATTTAAATTAGGAGTATTTTGGTTTTATATATAATTTCTAATAAACTAGGTAGTAGTAGGCTGCTGTTTGCCACCCCCCAAACTATCCACGGGTAGCTGTGGGTAGCAGTTTACAGCACATCAGTATCTATAAGCTTAAAATGGGTACCCCGCCTGTGGGTACCCATAGTTATTTACAGCTCTAGTCTGAGCCTGTCAATACGGCAAATCGCTGGTCGAATAGGTGCTCAGTGATTGTTTCAAGTCTGGACCGAAATAATCCCAATCTCTTTCACTGCAATTAAGAACCCAGTCCCAGTTGTTCAGGATAAATATTGTCCAAAGCTTGACCCTGTACATTTGCGTTGCTTAGAACCCAGCTCTTCACTTCCCAGCTATCAATAGAACTGGTTGCCGAAAGACTGCAATCTTACCATCCCAGATCCGTGACCTACATTGCTCACCAGCCGACATCCTGGTCACACTTCGATCACGTACAGAACCCCGTATTGCCTACGCTATACCCTTAGGACTGACACGGATCGTCACATCTATCTCCAATTTGAGAACGGACAGTGAGGCTCCTAACTTAAGGTACGCGTAACCGTAACGCCGGGATATTATTTTACCACCAATGAGAGACCGTCATCCGCAGCCCAGTATCCCGAACAGGCATTTACCGTCCCCTTTCATTTCACCACGCGGTTCAATCTTTATTCGGTGAGGGTTGTGCGACCGACTTCGATTGATTCTGTTTCTTCTGCATCATGCCAAGGCGGTTAATTCGGTTGTCAGATCGCCATATTGCCAAGACCCAGAGCCTCAATGACTGCACACATATCCGGGTCACCTATAGGACTCGTGGAGTCTTAACAGAGGAGCAATGTTCCGGGCAGGGCTGATGACGACCCATCAAGAGTCCTATCCCATTACACTCCTGCCTTGTCACAAATTCGGCAATTTCGGCATATTGCATTGGTGCCTTTTCTATAATCCCGTCCTAGTTCTGGCGTGGTCTCGGCAGTCACGGCACGGCGTACTATCCCTTCCTTTACTCTTTTCACTCAGCCCCTCAGTATGTTCGTGATGAACCATTGGAGGAATTCAAGACTGCCGTATTGAACGGGGATCGGAAACAGAACGCCTGTACGAAACAATCGGGGTCAAGGTAGAAAACGCAGTATATAATAGACGAAGTCATCGCCGACTCTATCGGTTCTTAATTCTTCTGCATCACAAGAGACTTCGCATTTTCAACATTGACAATGGTTTCCCTAACCTCCACCCTAGTGCTCGCCTTTGCGGCGATTGCGGCAGCTTCTCCTTTGGCTGAACCCGTCGCTGCGCCTCTGATTACTGCTGCTCCTGACGCTTCCATCGACAAGAGAGCGACGAGCTGCACGTTCTCCGGCTCGTCTGGATATGCCTCGGCGAGCAAGTCTCAGGCGTCCTGCGCCACTATTGTGCTCTCGGGCATCACTGTTCCGTCTGGGACTACCTTGGACTTGTCTAACTTGGCAGACAACACCCATGTAAGATGCCGTCTGGTGCTTAGCCCAAAACCGGTACTAATCACGAAAATTAGGTCATTTTCCAAGGCAAGACGTCTTGGGGTTACAAGGAATGGGCTGGCCCCCTGCTCCAAATCAAGGGCAACAAGATCACCATCGAGGGCGCCAGCGGCGCGTACCTTGAAGGCGGCGGTGCTCAGTACTGGGATGGCGAGGGCGGCAACGGCGGAAAGACGAAGCCAAAGTTTTTCTATGCCCACAGCCTGACGTCCTCGACCATCACCAACCTTCACATCCAAAACACCCCCGTGCAGGCTGTCAGCATCAGTGGATGCACAGACTTGACCATCACGGGCATGACGATTGATAACAGCGCTGGTGATACTGGTGCACTTGGCCATAACACGGACGGCTTCGACATTGGCACTAGCACAGGTGTGACAATCACTGGAGCCAATGTCTACAACCAGGATGACTGCGTGGCTGTCAACTCGGGAACTGTAAGAACATTTCAGTTTAACAACTCGGTATCTTCATGTTCTGACTTGTTTAGGATATCACATTCTCCGGAGGTACATGCTCTGGTGGTCACGGTCTGTCCATCGGCAGCGTGGGAGGCCGTTCCGACAACACTGTCAGCTCTGTCACGTTCTCTAACAACGTTGTGAAGAACTCTGTGAACGGTAGGAGCAATATCCATCTAACACAAGCAAACTCATCTAATATCATCCTAGGAATCCGCATCAAGGCCAGCGCGGGCGATACGGGCACCATCTCCGGGGTGACATACTCCGGGATCACGCTCCAGTCCATCTCCAAGTATGGCTTCCTCTAATTCAACCCATGTCTCAAGTTTCGATGCTAACATTGAGCGCAGATATGGCATCCTGATTGAGCAGAACTACGACGGTGGCGACCTCCACGGAGACCCAACCACTGGCATTCCCATCACGGGCCTCATCGTCAAGGACATTGCCGGAACCGGTGCTGTCGCTAGCTCTGGGTACGATGTCGTTGTTGTCTGTGGCAGTGGATCGTGCTCCAACTGGACGTGGTCTAACGTGAAAGTCACTGGAGGCAAGACGTACGCCAGCTGCCAGAACGTGCCGAGTGTGGTTGGAGGCTGTTCTTAGATGACATAAACCCCTCTCGAGAAAATAAGGGGGTGGATTATCGCATTGACTGCTACGGCAAAGTGGAATGAACGCTCCGCTATGTGTAGTGTATCTGCGGCCTATAGTATATGCAACATGGAGGCATCTGAGATCAATACAATCACCAGATTCAGGATACACACTATAGTAACTCTGCGACTACTATTATTGCAAGTTGACACTCATAATTTAAGTATTCTCGTCACCGAGAACAGCCTCGCCCTTAACGCCAACACCCCTCCTCACAATAACCTCCTTCTTCTGCAGTGACACCTTGACCGGGTTGGGCGCGAGGAAAATGGACTCGATCTCCTCCAGCGAGCGACCCTTGGTCTCAACGACGGTGAGGTACATAGCCAGCAACTCGACAAAGTGTAAGACCAAGAAGATGGTCAGGGTCCAGAAGCCGATGTTGGCAAGTGCGACAGGAGTAGCATACATGTTGATAAAGCCGGCCAAACCGGCCAGGAGGCCCTGAGCGGACATGCCCTTGACACGCATGTCGTTGCGCAGCACCTCGGTCGGATATAGACACTGCAGTGGTGTCCAGCAGAAGGACCAGAAGACGCCGTAAAGAAAGCTGAATACGATAAAGGTGTAGCCCATAGCCGTCGAGACGCTACCCTCAGAACGGGCGGCAATTACATTCATGGCCAGGTATGCGCACCCCGTCAGAAAGGTACCCCAAAGAAAGAGCTGACGGCGGCCAAACCAGTCGACGGTACAGGAACCAGCGAGGCCACTAACAAAGGACACGACGGTGCTGATGGCGTTGAGTAGCAACTGCTGGCGCGAGCTGGTGATGCCAAGCTTCTCGTAGATGACGGGCATGAAGTAGCTGATGGAACCTCCGATGAACTGCGAGAAGACAGTGACGAGCAGGACCAGCCACATGCGGTACAGCGACTGCCGCGAGTTGACTAGGATGCGGAAGTCGTACCATACCTGGCTGCCCTTGAGTTCGCGTGCGTAGTCGATGGACGCCTGGATCTCGTTCATCTCGAGCAGGACAACAGCCGAGTCCTCGCGGCCCTCGCCGTGGTACTTGACCAGCACCCGGCGCGCCTCTTCTGGCTTGTCGTGCATCATGAGCCACCGAGGACTCTCCGGTAGCACCCACACAATTATCATCGCCGCCGCGGCCGGCACCGCTTGGATTATGACGGGAATTCGCCAGCTCCAGTCGTTAGAGATGTAGCCCGTGCCGTAAGTCGTCCACGACGCCGTCAGAGCTCCAACATACCAGCCACACACATTGAACAGTCCGCCGCCAATGCCGCGCCAACTGGGGTATGCCATCTCAATTAAGTAAACGGGAGCTGCCGTTGTAACGATGGTAACGCCTAGGCCCACCAATAGACGGCCGCCCATGAAGCCGCCGATCGTGCTGGTCGTCGCCTGGATGATCGTGCCGACGACGATGACGGTGCTACCGCAGCACATGCCGAAGCGGCGGCCGAGAATGTCAGCTGCTGGTGCTGAGAAGAGACAGCCTAAGATCTGGCCGACACTATACATGGCGAAGATGAGGCCAATGTCGGATCCATCCATGGCGACGTCAAAGAAGGCATGAAAGGGGGCCATGGCGTTGAGCGAGCTCATAACGGAGCCGTCGTAGCCATTCATACAGTTGGCTATAAGTTGAGAAAGCAAGTGACGAGTTGGTAAATGTAGCCACGACGTAGACGAGTGGGAGGAAGAACATACCAAGCGTGACCAAAACCATGACCATGTACAGCCTGATCATGTGCGGCGACCAGGCGGATGGGTTGTCCTTGGCAATGGCATCGACAAGCTCGACGCTGAAGACATTCTGGGTCTTGACCTCGTGGTTGTTGTCGTCAACATGGGCAACAGCAGGGCTAGGTTCTCTATCAGCCTCCGTCTTAGCCATGACGATTGACCAACACCAAGTTATCAAGTGAATAAGAAGGTTGTGATGGGTCAATATGAGTGAGTCTTCACGTAACCATTGATTGCTAATAGTCGCTACGAGCCAGACAAAATATCCGCGGAACGGCTCGCATATTAATAGCAGGAAGCATTCATCACCTAGTAGGATGCTATTCAATAGAGAGAGAGAGTCCATATAAGTGATTGGATAGTAACAAACATATTCGGAACCGCCCAGCATCATACAATTCACAGGAAAGGAAGTGCAAAGGTGCGGAGGGAGGTCTCCCGCTCCAGAAACGGCTTGGTTTGAGATCGACAATCCCAACACTAGGCGGGCGTGGGGTCTCGACGCGGGGCCCCGCGTTCATTGAGGGTTAGGCCATGGGTGAAGTAGGCGCACTAGTTCCAAGAGAATCACGGAAGGCCTTCTTCCGTGTCTTATCGGCGATATCCAGTGCGTGTTCACGACGTGACTCTCAGACACCAGCCCTATGGATAAACCCCCGTCAAGATTCCTGCATGAAGGGTTGGGTTGGTGGTCGCAGTGTGATCTAGCAGAGTCTGGCCATTGGACACCATAGGATTAGCCACAGTTCATGGATATCTGACAACGTGCCGACTAACGAAAATTCGTGGATATCTACAAACGTGCCGATTAACCGATCCGGGCTTACTACGTGGCCTGGCCTGATCTTCTATCGGCCAGCCGTCATTGGATGATAGGTTGTCAACAAGATGATGAATCACTTCAACTCAAGACTGGCAGACTTCCCTTGACCCGAGATCGGTGCTAGCCTCGGAGGCATCCCTTACGGCTAGGCATTTCTTACGGCTCTCGCAAGTTCGGCCAGCTGGAGAGCGTGGGATCGATATCTCGGGCCAATTTGTCCATAGACACGAAAGGAGTAAACCGCATTCTCTCTCAGTCGGGCTCTTCGCCTCAAAAAAGTGATGCCAGCTCAACAGCCCACTGTCGTGCCATCGGCTCTCGATATGAGGTCTTGGCCAGGATGGAAGTCTATGAAGACAATATTTTCCTTGTAAGATTTGCACTTAACTACCGTTTTGGAGACCAACAATTGACAATCTGCGTCTGTGGCGAAACACAGTGGCGATTCGTACACAACCACAGGCTTTGACGCAATAGCAGGGCCCCAACCCAACGCTGTGAACCCTCTAGGCAATCCGAACGAGCCATACTACGGTCATACATCCTCTAACGGACCTAACTGGATCAGGCAATTGACCACGAAATACAACCAATCGTTCATCAAGACCTTCAACCTCGCTTGTGGAGGAGCCACTGTTGCAAGCTCCTTAATACACCCAATTCACCCAGAGTATCTCAGCCTCGAACAGCAGGTGAAGGACTTATTCATACCTCTTTACGCGGGACTGCGCATAGAACCCCGGGCCCAGTCTCTCCATGAAGAGAGAGCTCCGAGGTCCGGTAGCGTTGGGGTGGAGAAATCTGTCCTGGATTTATCCGCCTCTGGAGGACCGACTCCAGAGCACGACTCCTGGGAAACATGTTCGACACTTTTCACTTTCTTTTTGGGAATCAACGATGCAGGCCTCTCCTATGCCAAGGAGAGCCCATCTGTTTATGATGAGTACCTCGCCATCTACGCCTCCCTCATCGACACGATCTACGCGGCCAATGGCCGACATTTTCTCTTCCTCCTCGTGCCCCCAATCGACCGCTCCCCCTTGACAACGCGCCAGGGCCGGCCCGCCTCTGGACGGGAGAGTATCCACATACAAGCCTGGAATGATGGCCTGTCTAAGCTCGCGAATGACTTACGGCACAACAGGCCAGATGCGTCCGTTTTTGTATTCAACACGCACGCGCTGTTCTCTAGCGTTATGGATGACGCGACGATGTTCCCAGAAACGGCAATCTATTGTGAAACAACGGGATTTTGCGAGGCCTATGCGATGGGCACTGAAGCGGTCGATACACAACTGCCAGGCTGCCTGTATTCTGTTAACCAGTATCTATGGCTGAACGATCTGCATCCAACATACCCTATCCATGACTTGTTAGCTAAACAGATTACAGATATGTTAACAAGGGTAACTAGATAGTAGGGAGATTTTCTTTCTTTAGCTTTACTCAACATTATGAAAAGAATTAAGCCTACATGGTATCAATAAATCCCTTGATGAGAGAATCTCATGTTTGAAATTACTGCATTTTCATTGTATATTTTACCATTGCGAACGCCCAAGTTTGGGTTTCAAGCTTATCTTTTTCATACGCCGAAATCATGTCTAATTTCTTAATATCGTATCCAAATTATGTTTCACAACACTATAATTAAAAACAAGTGGTTGAACTTCATCAGTCTAATTTGTACATTCGCCTTGCATTATGTGGGGAAGCTGTCTGCCAAGCCGCTTGTGCCAGAAGCTGACGTGACTGTAGGTGGGGATAACTTGGCATGGGTCATCAATTATCCCGAACGACTTTGAACTTTTTGGTGCCCGCGTCTCTCTCCAACTGCAACTATCAGTTCCCTCCGTCACCTAAGTATCTGTAAAAATAGCCTCGCCATGAACCGGCTCAGGCGCCTCATTGGGCGCTCTAACACACCAGATATCGGCGAGAGCAGCGGCGGTCCTTTTGAGTACACTCCGCTCAAAGACGCGTCCAACTTCCGGATCCTTCGCCTCCAGAACAGTTTCAGAGATGCCAACGGGGACTACAGCCAGATTCGGCTGCGTGGATCTCTCATCGAAGCCTCTATCCACAGTCCCCCGGAGTATTTTGCACTGTCGTATTGCTGGGGCGACTCGACGCTCTCCGAGGAAATCGTCATCGACGGCCAGTCGCTCAACATCACCGCCAACTGCGCCGCTGCGCTGCGTCGAATGCTGCGTGGCAAGCTTGGAAGGCATATCTGGGTTGACTCAATCTGTATCAACCAGTCTAATGCTCCCGACGCGCTCAAGGAGCGGGGCTTGCAAGTAGCCATGATGGACCAGATTTACAGGAACGCCACCCAGGTGAATGTGCACTTGGGCGAGGGCGATGCAGCCTCCGATATAGCTTGCAAGTCTCTGAAAAGTCTATCACTTGCCATGATTGGAGCAAATGTCGGGGAGGTATTCCGAAAGAAGTATGACAGGCTGGCTGATGATGCGTTGAGTAAGTACCCCAGACTTTGTTAAAACTTGGCGACTAAACCAGAGTTAACAGCGGCGACTCCCGAGTTTCCATATGGGAAATTGCACGGTGTCTTTCGCCTACAGTGGTTCAGGCGCACTTGGGTAAGTAGACACAAAATGATCATCTAGCAGGACATACGCGACTAACAGCAGCCCGCCTAGGTGGTGCAAGAGGTTGCCCTCGCCAAACAGGTCATGTTCTACTGCGGTGCTCATCTCATACGATTTGAACTTGTTGTGATGGGCGCCGACTTCACTAAGATTCCTTACTCCAAGCTCGACGTCAACCCTTTGGCGCGGCACTGGCGATCATATCTCGAATTCCATAGCCGCGTCAAGGAATTGATCAGCTGGAGAGAAGAGCATAATTCCACAGAGAAATTCACTTCACTTCTAAGCCTGCTGGTGGTACCAGGCATGCTACTTGAGGCTACGAGGCCAGAGGACAAGGTCTTCGGAATGTACGGCTTATGCAAGAGGCTCGGCTACGAGTTGCCAGCACCAGACTACCAAAAATCGCTAGCCGTCGTCTACACTGAAGCAGCCAAGGCCATTCTGCATTACGATCAAAGTCTTGAATTCTTGTCGGTGGCTACAGAAACTTCTGCCTGGGCCGATGGGCTTCCATCCTGGGTACCCAACTTCTCGGGCTGCATGAGCAAATGGTCCCCGTCGAGCCCGCCTACAATTTGTCCTGTGAGTGCGAGAGAAAGCATGAAGATCTCGGATTCGACCCAGTGTCAATACCGTCTTGGGCCAGGTGATATGGAACTCACGGTCAGAGGCCGCCGCCTTAACACGATATCTGCTGTTGGAAAGCCCTGGATAACGGACTCCTACACCAGCCTTCTCGGGGGATCAGAGAAAAATACAATGCAGTACGCTGACAGCCTCATCGACTGTATTAGCAGCTGGCTTGCGGTCGTCCAGGGCCTCCCCAGATATTCTGGCCGCGAGGCAGCCATGGAGCAGATGACACGGGTTCTGACAAACAATATCTCGGACAAATCTCCCCCGGTGCCATTTGAAGACATGGTACGCTATCTAGCTGTTCTGATTGATATGTCTGCATCGGAAAACCGCACGCGTTTTGCTGCATTAGCAAGCCTGCCAAACGCCTCTCTCAGCCGTCAGCAGAATGAGTTCCTTGGCCTCATGGCGGGATGCAACATGGCCATTACGCGAATCTTCGGCTCGATCTGGCAGACCATGTTTCGGACGGAGAGCGGTTACATGGGCATGGGGACACACACTCTGACGGGCGGTGACATAGTGGTCTTGTTTGACGGCTGCGATGTTGCAGGGGTTATCCGGCCGTTAACTAATGGTTTTAGATATGTTGGTCCCGCTTATGTAGATGGTATAATGGACATGGGGCTTGGGAATCCAGGATCGGACAGTGAGTGGTTTGTTTTGGTCTAAAATACTAGATATCTCTTTGGCGTTTTGTATGCATTATCCGGCCACTTCGCTTCCGTTGTTATGTCGCGTGAGAAATCCGACGCAGATAGAATATGCAAATGTATTCAGCCTCAAGGCTATTATTCAGTCCCCCATCGTTGAGATTGTGCTCATCGCGAAGTCATTCTCCACAATGTGCTCCGGCGAATCCAGACAGTGGCCTGTGAAGTGCTTGAATACTCTTAAAGCGCGGTTCTGGTGAGTTACTAGCATCTTGAAGACCACTACCTAGCTAGCCCGTGACATCACTAAGCTCTTGCATCTCATACAAGGATATCTCGTCAATGATCATGCTGACCGTCAACGAGCGATATGCTGCGGGATGATTATATTTTGGCGCAGGCCGAAGCTCGTGGCAGAAGTGTCCGACAGCGAAGATAGGGAGAACATCCGTCCCAGACTTGCGTGCTAGCTCTCGGCCACCACAAAAATGAGGGAAGCATTATATAGGGTAGCGCGGTTGTCACATCATTGGCCAGCAGTGGTGTTGGGTCCTGGGTTGCTATAAAACTCGAGAAATGCAATCACATAATAAGCATGTACTCGGATAGGTTTGGTAAGATGTGGAAATGGCAGCTCTAGGTAAACAAGTGTGGTAATAGCTGAGGTAACAAAGCATCTATGACAGTGCTGAATGAAGGTATACATAACTAGGTGTGCTTATTATGGGTTCCTGGGAATACATCATTCCATGGGACTGCCGGCCCTCGCAACGACGCTCTACCCTGTTGCGGCCCGGTTGACCGTACTGCCAGACCACAACTCCCGAGTCGATGCCAGTGAGTGTCCCATCGTGATGCGAGCCACTGCGTTACTGAACTTCTTCCACTGTTGCGCCTACCTTTTCCTGAATATAATTACTATACTGGGCAAATTCTAATGGGCCAAGTTAGTTAGCGTTCTGGGTAAATATGTCATTTGAGATCATGTGCTTACGGTCGACTTGGGTATGCTTGAATTTTCTTGCTGGCACGCGGTTTTCGAATAAGATATCAATCTCTCCAAAAGTGCGATCCTTTGTTTCGGGGAGGCGGAACCAACACCAGATGAAGCAGAGTAGGTTAGTTCCAGCGTAGAAAAGACCAGTCTTTGCGCCCCAACCCCAGCCTAAATCATCAATTAGCATGCGGCGCTCTCTGTAAGATATAATGATCCAGGAGAGGGGACATACCAGAAGCAGAGATCATGCGTGGCGTAACAGCGTTATTGAAGATGGCCGTAAGGTTATACACGAATCTGCCGATGACAATCGTCTTATACCTAAGTCTTCCAGATGGTGTCTCGGCCACGATCGGATAGCAAACCGGTCCAATGGTAATCATGTTGCAAAGGGTCGAAACAACGAACAGTAGGCCGATAGCAAGGTACGCATCTTTGCTTGTTGACCACCCGAGGGCACCGATGGCTATGAGGCAACAGAACATAAACGCCAGGCCGGCCATGTAGATTGTCGCTCGTCCAAAATGAGGGAAAAGAACCCAGCAGATAATGCCACCAATGATGTAGCATGCGGAAAGGGAGATGTTCAAGTTGAATGATTGGACCGCGGACCAACCTGCTGCTTGAAGGAAGACAATGACAAAGCCGAGGATGGCATTGCCGCAAAGGATTTGTGCGGCCCATACAACACAGTTCTGGATGAAGGTTAGCGTTACTTGACTCCCGTTGAATGCCAATGAGTTCTTACGATCTCTGTCCGGCGTAGATTGGTCCCCCTGAAGCACTCCAGAAGTGACGCTCCTCCAGTCTCGGCTTTCTCGAGGGCTGTCGTATGCCTGATATAAGCCAAGCTCGCCTCGATCACGCCCTCCTTGTCTGGTGAATCCGACGCGAGCCTTCTCAGGCTTTGTTTTGCAAGGTCGATCTTGCCGCGTCGAACGGCATTCCAAGGCGATTCTGGGGCAAAATAGGCCACAAAGAACAACGGCACTGGCCATACCCATTGGATATAGAATGGCAATTTCCATGCAAGATTACCTTCGATACTCAAAGTCGCCCGAACGACGCCAGATGACAAGAGAATTCCAAATCCCCAACACATACAGACCCACGCGGTAACATAAGGACGAAGAATCGTGGGAACAACTTCGCAGGCGTAGGTAGTAGACAGAGTCTAAGTCATAATCTGTTAGTTGCAATGCCCGCACTCCAGAGCTGGGGATTGATAACTTACCTGGAAAACGCCCCAAGCAATGCCGCAAAGAGCCTCGCCGAAAGCCAGAACAGACAGAGAAGGAGCAAAGGCAACAATAAAAATCGTACCGACTAGCCAGGCCATGAAAACCATCATAGTCAAGCGAGCACCGAAGCGGTCCTGCGAGTATGCATTGATCAAAAGACCAGCTAGTTGTCCGACTTGGGCCGAGTTCGAAAGACCTGACTGCCAGGCGGGAGTGATGACCTTTTTCCCCTCGACTGCGCTGTATGTACCGAAGTGCTGCTGAAACTGTTCTTGGCCGTAGAAGGAGCCGATCTAAGAGACGCAGCCGTTGGTTAGATTCCGCCGCGGTTTCAATTGATGCATTTAAACATATCGACGTACCATGACTAGATCGTAGCCTTCCATGATCAAGCTGACGGAGAGCAACGCAGCCCACAAAACAGCCTTCTTGTACTTCTTCAGAGCTTGGCGAATGGTGAGCTGCTTATCAGCTGCGTCGGCATCTTGAGCGCGTTGGATGAGCTCAAGAGTTCTTGGATCATTGAGATCGAAATCCTCGAGCTCATGTTCGGTCGCAATCACTTTGTCGCTCGTCATGGTTGGAAAGTTGGTGAGGAGGACAGTGGATGGTTGAAGTTGTCGAACGTGACTGCAATAAGGACCATGTTGATCAGTCCGCGGCATAGGATATATGTACTCGTGGCTCGTCAAGGCGGGATCCCCTCACACATGGGCTGACCCCACGGGGATTCAAGGGCTAGATTTGGAGACGGTAGATCAATCCTGGAGTCGCGCGGGGAAAGCATCAGAAGCGCTCCAATGCGATCAGGTGGCGCTTCATCTACCGCCCCGAGACATGTCAGTTGACTTTGTCCTCACAATGTGTAGTGCAGTTCCTGATGGACGGGGCACTTGGAGCTGGGCTTGAACTGGCAAATCACAGTTAATTATCCCACCGGTGTTTTGCTGGTGGCGGTCATCCGAGCACAAACGATGTCTTCTCCCACCGGGATCATGTAGCGCCCTTGTACATAAGCGCAAGCCTCATGCTCGACTTGGTGGCCTCCCACCGGACTCGATCCACCGGGCTCGTATCAGGGGCTCCAAGTTGCGTGGTAACTCCAGCCACCCAGAACAACAAGCCATCACGTACTCCGTACTTATTCCGCAGCCGAGATATCTTTTGATTTCGAATGACTGCTTCGGCAGCTTGAAGGTCTCAACCTCGCCCTTTCTTTGGGACTTGAACATACCCCTATGAGTTAGTTATTAGCCATCTACTATGCATGACGAGAAAGATAATGATCATACACCTTATGGCAATATACAGGGATTACGCGTGAAATATTGGATGCTTTAGAAGGTAACAAGCGTGTACGGAGTAGCATTCATTCATGAAGCCTACCTAGGGACTCGCATTGATTGAAGCTACGACTTGCTAAATTGCAGGAGGAGGCAATTGGTATTCGCCCACCGCGCCGGCCCCACCAGCCAGCCCAATTAAGTCAAGCTTTTGATGCTTCTCTTACTCTGAAAGGAAAGGCGGCTAAATCAGGGTCGAATGCTTGCTGCCTCCCACTGGAAACACTGGTAGCGCCGCTTGATTCTGAAAACACCATACGGAGTACTGTTTCACCTAAAAGACACACGTGTGAGATTACTCCGGTGGATACCTTGCTTTCTGGAAAAGCCCAACCGCCCGCTTCTCATTCTTAGACACCTTCTTGGGCAACCCGTATTTACACCTTCCATGGGACAACAACTAGCTCCAACAGACGCCCTGAAGATCGTCATGGCGGACAGGGAGCCTGGGAGCTGAAACCTGGGGTTGGAAAACGCGGGGCCCCAGGTACCTTGCAGAGCAAATCCGTGCAGCCATCAGGTACTATTTGAACTTGCATAATATACGGGACTGGCCCACTCCAGGAATCCACTCCATTTTCCTGATTCAGATCGTAGCAATGATGCCAGGTCACTGATGGGTCTTCATCATGGCCGTTTATTACGAAACCAGCTGGTCCATCCTGAGCACCATCGGCCTGGCAAATTTCTTCTTTGCCTGGATTGTCGTTGGCGTAACGAAGCTGACATTCCTCTCCGCTGTCCCTATCGTCGTCTCTGCCGCGAGTGCAGTCGCTAATGGTCTATGCTACTATGCTTGGTACATGGACTCCGGCAAAACGAGCACGGCAAGTGCATACGCTGTTGCGGACATCTTGTGGATGGTACGTCGATCTTCTTGGTGCTGCATCCCTCGGACTGACACACTCATCAAAGATCCAAGAGGCTGGGCTGTCTTTCTACAGTTACGCTATTCTCTCTCAAGTCTTAAGGAACCGGAAGCGACTGGTTTTCTTGGTCCTCTTTTGGGTCTTTATGCTGTGCGTTTTGATGGCAAGGTTGATCTTGTTGGCCTACCGGATCAAATCCATCCTTCAAGGCGACCAGATATTTAAGACCATCGTCAATGGAGCACACGTCGGCTACTTCATGTCGTTGGCGACCGTGGAGTGTCTTAGTGCTTTTTTCCTGCTACACACGTTCGCAGCAGCTAAAAATAAAAGGGAACAAGCTTCACTCGGATCAGATTTCATGAGACATCTCATGCGAAGTACAGAGGTGCGACTCGCATTACTGGCACTCATTGGTGTGGCGAGAGCGATCACCTTTCTTTTTCAACCTCCAATCAGTGGAGCAGTTAGCACTTCGAGTCAAATCGACGTCTTTCTCTACTCACTCGAATGTCTCTTTCCGGTTATTCTTTTGTAAGTACCTTAGTCAGTTGTTATTACCATCTAGGAAGACTAATTAAGTGCTCAACAGTATCGATATGCTAGCTTCTAAGATAGCCTTCGCTCAACAGACGCAAAGCAATTCCTACCACCTTTCGAACAGGAGGGCAGTCCGCGGCGAGCGACTTTCCTCGACAGATAATTTACCAATCCCATCAATGGCACCGACAGAATTTCGAAGGAATACCCAATCAATTCATGACACACGCATTACTCCTCGGGGTTGCGCATCGTTGTCTTCATCGATAGAGGGAGGGGAGTCATATAATGATGCATGTTCAGGTACGAGTGAAACTGGAATTGTCAAAACAGTTACCACCACAGTTGATGTTAGTAATTAGCACTTTAGCCATAGTGCATGATATCTGTCGTAACCTATGATATGCATCAAAAGCGGGTGAAACAGCCCATCGAGTAAAACGCTGAAAAATCATACTACAGCTATCAGTCTTCAACATCGTGTACTTTGAGATTACCAATCCAGTCAATCAAGAGATTATGCCGCCGAGTCTTCCTTGGAGGCTGTCTGGAGACGAGCTGTTTGCAAGCTGTGTGCAGTCACGGAAGTAAGGCAGGCCGAGAGCAATTCAGGAGCAGTCGATTGGTTCGCGGGAGCCGAGTTGAAACCAATTCCGGTACCAGCTAGTAGTTGAAGTTCATCGCTTGGATTGCCGGATGAGGTTGTGCTCTACTATGCGCTTCAAATGTGGGTAAACATCATGCAGAGGCTTGAGGCGCTCGGGGAAACGTGCAACGGGTTTCCAATCGTTACAACGCCAGCGATGCGCCGATTTCTTTGTGAAAGACAGAAATGTGAGTTATTCTCCATACTAGTAAAATCGTCTGGATATATCATTTCATGCTCTTGCTCATACCATTCGCCACGTGTTGCGTTTTCGATGGGCCCTCTTCAGATAACTCTTGCCATTGCAGACAGTTAGCTTATGTGAACCATGACTTGGATCCATTTAGTAGGATTTGCTTGACATAAGTTCTTACCGCTCTCTGAACTGCTTTGTGCAGGTCCATGTTCAGTGTTCTTTAGTCCTTGCACATGAAAATGGACGGCTCCTCGTTAGCTGTCCAGTTTCTAGCGCGTTTCGAATTTGAGACAACTGTCAGGCCAAATGCCGAGCTATCTCATCGCTTTCTTGAGTCACTTTATCACGTCGTCGTGGCGTACATGCAGCGCTGCTTCGCAGGAGCTAGGGAGAAATGCCTGATTCTCAACGTCGTACGATATTCCGTCTTCTGCACCCTAGACCATGAGCTCTTCGACGTACTATGTGACTTCATGCGCCGTCCGCCTCCAAACTCAGTCTGACATATATAAGGGCAGTGTCGTCGGTGTAGGCAAACTATCCCCCGAGATTGCCGTGGCAATTGATAAGCTCCGTATCTAATAAGTAGAAGAGATCGGCGAGACTGGAGATCCTGTCCTTCCATGATTGCGGTGTTACAGATCCGGGCAATTAGTGCCGATGGGCCATTTAATTTCCGCCACTAACGTGCCCCATTTCTTGAATGCCAAGCCTCAGATAGCCGTTGACTATTTAGGTCAGTGAGCATGAGGCACAGCAGCTAACGAATTTCATCGGATGTTCGGCGGGAGTGATTAAGGTTACTAGCTTATAACTATGATTAATTACTGTTATATAGCGTACGGCTTTTAATCCCGGGGATGACTGCTTAATCGAGTGATGTGGAGATGATAATTGTCTTGATCTAGGATGCCTCCGGCCCCCTCTTTTCTAGAGAGGGGTTTTATGTCGATGAAGGAAACAGGGATCAATAACAGTGTTTGGTAGAAGCCGTTTAACTTCTGTCCTGCATGCCAAGATGCCTGGGTCTTCCGGATATTCCGCCAGATGTAGGATTGATCGGCTTGATTGGTAATCTTTGCGGGTACGCCGGCAGAATGATCCAGGACTGAGAAGTACCGAATATAGCAGTTAACGCCGTCCGACCTTTAAGTTAGATCGATACGGTTAGTTCTAGCATCATAGCCAGCATGGATGAGGTGGTAAGCCCCGTTAACGCCGCACCTGGGCATGGCGTCATTAACTAAGGCCACGACTACGGGGTAGGACTGGCCGACTCAATTAAAGATATTAAATTCACCGCCCCCTCCGAAATGATCATTCTCTAGCTCTCATCTCCTCTTTCTCCGAAAAGGCTGACTCAAAATGCACTTCACACAACTATTTGTCGTTTTTTGTAATTTTCTCGCTGTTGCGGCTTTATACGGCAAGCAACCTCCAGGGATTATCAAGCACGATGGAAAGCCAATTGGCAAGGAAGTGGTTTACGATGGGCGTACGCCGTATAAATATTCTAGGATTTACCGAAAAACCCATCACTGACCTTGTGTCGCGCGACAGTTACCTTATATATCAGTCAACCCAAATGGCCTCAACAAAGTGACACAGCTGTCTTGTACCTGACGGATGTATTCGGGATTCCGCTACTGCAAAACCGACTGTATGCTGCCTCCAAGCCCTCCAGTGCCTCAAATTTGTACTAATCCAATTATTTCACAGTCTTGCCGACAGTTTCGCTCGTGCCGGATTTCTTACCATCACGCCTGACCTCTTTGATGGTGTTCCCGCCCCGCACGACATCACCTTTGACGCCGCAGATTTCTTGAGCAAGCACAATGTGAACGTGACTGACCCCATTATTGAGAAAACTATCGAGTACATCCGTACCAAGCTGGGCGTGAAGCGAGTTGCTGTGACTGGGTACTGTTTTGGCGGTAGATACGCCTTCCGTTTCCTGGCGGAGGGGAGGGGAGTGGATGTCGGATTCGCAGCTCACCCCAGCTTACTCCAAGATGACGAGGTTCTCGCCATTAAAGGGCCAGCCAGTGTTGCTGCTGCCGGTGAGTAATTAATCATGGAGAGAGAGCATTATTTTTTTAAAGGAGAGATCATGCTTACAAATTTCTCTAGAGGTTGATTCTCTACTTGAGCCAGCGCGACGTTTAGAGATTGAGGGCCTGCTTAGCCAGGCTGCACAGCCATTCCAAGTCAATCTGTACTCTGGAACAACTCATGGCTTTGGCGTCCGCGCAAACGTATCTGACCCGGAACAGAAATTTGGCAAGGAAGAAGCTTTCTGGCAGGCCGTCCGTTGGTTCAATGCCTGGTGAGAGGCTGAGAGCCCACGGTTGGAGTTTCACCCCGTTTGGCAGAGAATCACCATTTACCTCTGTAATTGGATTGGAATAGACCTATAATCTTCGATATAGCATTCGGGGACAAGGCTTATCTTGATTTGCTACTCAACGTTCAATGTATACACAATGTACACGTTACTCCCGATATCTCGAAACGTTTCTATCTGATACTGGATTCGCTCTGCCGGCTCTTTCGCCTATAATCACTTTGTATACAACCTTAGCCTCGCTGTCTTATGAAAGGCACTTCTCCGAGGTGGTACCACGGTGTCTGTTGGCTGCGACATTCAACAGCAACCGCTTCTGGTTTTACTCTAAGAGCATGCGAAGGGAACAGGGACGGCTCCTACGAAAATTTTGCCTCCATTCTTCTATAATCCCTGAAGGACTGGGGTCCAGGCCCCTTTACGTTGTATAGTAGTTGTGTTATCTGTCCTCGGGGGTGTTGGTGTAAAGTGCATGTTGGGGAGGTGCCATTGCCTCGTAAATACTAGTTACTGGATAGCTAGGTAGACTCTCGCACGCCGCATACCTCAAGGGAGGGCTGGAGCACTTCGTGCTAAATACAATACTACTATGAACTCCCTGTCAAGCCCATTTCATCTAAACGTCTAGAGGTATGCTTCGGCGCATATCTCAACTGTGCGTCAGGTGCATAGACGGCATGGTATCCCGTGAAAGTCTCGACCAATCCCACCCTATCCGCAAAGCCCCTTCCAGTCGGCCATTCATCCGTTGCATCGCCCGGCCAGAATAGACTCGGGTCTCCGCGCTCGAGTGCTATTCGGTGCAAATGCGGTGCCGTTCGTAGCCTCCATCGAATCGTGAAAACGCACAACCGCTTCCAAAGGAAATAACGAAGCAAGGGACCCGTGAAAGACAGAAGTAGGAGTACGCCACCAGTGAGGACAATAATGAGGATCACCCATGCTGATGTTGTAATCTTCCCCCGCTGCTCCATTAGTGTCAGCCGGCACGTGGCTAGCTGCTCCTCTGTCACGTCCACAGTCCACACTGGGAGGCCGGGTGAGACATACTTGAGCCAGCCAGCTACGGCTCGGTTGGCAGAAGTGAGGAGCAGCATGCGACTCGTGAGGGCTAGACGAACAATTTCAGCGTGCCCGCTTATATCTCGTGGAGCCAGTTGCGTCGATCCGAGGGATAGAGTGCGGCTGGCATAGACCGACTCGCTGCTGCCAGTGATGACGTGAAACAGTGGGATCCATGTATTAATCCACATCAGTTTGAGGAAGCCCAGACTTGCCCTGTTACTGGAATTCTCATGCTTGTACACATATTCACTAACCGCATCATTGCCTCTCAGAGAAACGCAATCTCCGTCTTGGCCGGGGCAGTAGGCATAGCTCGTGTTGCATATAATTGGTATGATTCCGTGAGTGTAGATGTACGTCTTACTGCCATTGATAGGTGCGCTGGTGCTCCCAAAGACCGGATCATCGCTTGGACCTGGGCTCAAAATGTTGCCAATATGGTAGAAGAGAATTGTCAGATCACCGTCGTGGGCCAATGTACTATTGGGCTCCCAGAGGGGCTGTCTCGACTTCCTGGTCGTGTTGGAGTAGGCGAATAAATTATAGCCATATCCAAACCGCTCCGCAGGGGTGAACTCCTCGGTCACATACGGAGTTCCGCTAGCGGTATTCGTTGTACCATAGAGCAGTCCATATGTATCCGCCCCGTCTGCCCTCTTCTGAAGGAGTTTGCTGCGACCTTGCAGCTTATAGCAGGTGTTCAGCACGCCGAATTCGGCATTTTCGGACGCTGTTTTGCTGGCAACCCCCGAATCGGATTGCTTTACCCAGAAGTCGATATCAACTCGGAGTGAATTATTCCGCTCGCAGACAGGCGCCCAGCGTGGACAGTCGGAAGAGATCACGACCCGGTCTTTGTCATGGGGGAGGCCGACAGACGTGGCATTGGTGGCGCTGAAATTGTATCCACGCGCGTCGACAGACCGCATCATGTCTAGAGAAAGCAATTTGTCGTAATGGGCTGAAGCCATCCAAGTGCTGAAATTAAGCATCGGACTGCAAAACTCAACTGAGCCAGGAACCCCTTGGACCACAGGAATTCCCCTGGCCAGAACCAGAGGTAGAAGGAAGGGGAATACAGTCAATACTATGGCGCCGAGGAGCCAAAGAAAAGCAATACCCCAGGCTTGGCGGTGCCGTTTGCGCCAACTGCTAAGCAGGCTTCGTTGGGCTGGCGTACTGGCAAGTGCGCCAAGAGGGCTCTTCGTGTTCGCCATGGCCACTCTGAACTGGTCGACATACCACTCTCTGTGATCTTCAGAAAGAAGCGAGAAGAGAGCCATGGTGTATGGCACAAAGAGTCGCACCGCGACTGCTTGGTATAGGAGAGTTATTAAAGCAATGGTAATTGCCCAAGTGCTGCTGCTGATGACCATCGGCCACCCATAGCGAGCTATGGTGTTCCATCGTCTCACTTGGTCACTGGGGTAGATGCCGCTGGCTGTGTTGTTCATGCTTAATCGGGTTGGCCTTCGATGCTTGAGTTTGTCGAATATTTGAGAGGAGAGTAGTCTCAAGGAAGACAAATTCTCATGTGAAAAGTCGGTCGATATATAAGGACCTCCGTTTCTATATTCTGATTCATCATGTGACATTTATTCCGGCTGGTTGTGATATCATATGTCGCCAAATTTCAGCTCCTTGACAAACCTCCAATTAAGTATCCCAAAAGACCGTTGTGGCGGCCTCCTCCGACACCCTCCCTTACAATCACTCCAGTCATGATATTTCAGTGACAGCCCAATACAAATTCGCTGGTAAATGTTGCCTTATTATCTCGTAAGTGTATTCGCCATACAAGGCGGTGCATGAATAGTATCATATACAAGAAATTCCTAATCATTATATTCCAAGGTCTACATTGAAAAAAGACTTAGAACTTGTGCCCCGTTTGCTAGCTTGGGGATAGAGGATTTCTGCATTGGTCAAGTTAGCCTAGGTCAGCCCACTACTCTTCATAGGTGTTTGCTTTGGGACAATAATGTTTCCCTGGGGCTTTTCCCTCATTCCAAACGCAAGATGATTCCATCCTGCTTGTTAAAGCTTCAAGTAGTCCCTAATCCACACCCTCCATCCTGGGGCGAGCCGGTATCCCTCAAGATGTCAACCCCGCCTTTCAGACGTGGCCTGTGACATGCTCACCCGACGGTCGACGGAAGGGCATTAGTCACCAACGGCGTAGCAAGTCAGCCTAGCGATAGGCTTTATGTCAAGCTTTCCACACTCGGGAAGCCCCGTCTCAGCAGAGTCACGTCTGAGGTGCGTGGGCGGCTGGTCTGTTTAAGGTCAGGATGAAGGTGCCAACTAAATACGTATTTGGCCGCTAATGCAAGAAGTCAGAGAGCACAATTAAATATGGTACTGAATCCGTCATCACCTCGTCAAATCTCTGTGTCATTCTGAGGATGGTTTTTGAGGATGAAATGGTGCAAAACCTCTTGACCTGCAGACAGTGAACAAGTGGTGGTAATTACATGTCATCTGATTGCATGGAGTGTTGTAGTGGCAAGGATGTAAGGATGACGTCAAGCAGTTCAAGATAATCCCTGCCCATCCTGGGCTACTGGTCCACGCGGCCAACCAGAAACAGTGAGACGGAGAGACGTAATAAAGTCGGCCAGGCCGTACATAAAATGGCCATAGGGGGGGGGGGGGCAAAGGAGAAATGGAGAGCTCACAGGCGGCTGCAAGGGACGAAAACGGCAGCCATAGCACCTTCTCCGAGTTCCGCGTAATCCATGAACGGTCCGAGCTAAGGTTGTAGCCTTGGCGATTGAGAATTTTGATAGCAAGTTGGTCTGGCGTAGTGTGCGATGGCGGAGGCGAAGGCGAGAATTCATCGATACGAATGGTACCGATGTTAGCCAAGACACTCTGCCCATCGGGTGAGACCGCCGCGACCGGTTTGCCTCTTCTGTCTCAACCCTAAGCTTCAGGTATCGCCATCCATATAAAAATTGCCTTTGGGGCAAGTATGTCAAAATGTTAGCGGGGGCCACAGTGGAATTGCTGCGCGGATCTAGAACATCCAAGCAAACTTTATATCCCCACTAACTTGCTAACAACTTCGAAATCGAGATCCTTCTCACCTCTTTTGTGACGCCAGAAATTTGTTGCCTCTATTACGACAGGACAACCCGCGATAAGCCAACCCCACTTCCGTAAGAATGAGATACTAACCTCCCACCCTCGAGGGTCCCACGGCTCCCCCCAGATGATGAGAGAAGCTGTATCACCCTGAATGTCTTCAACGCCGAGGATATCAATACCCAACTCCTTATTATCAAGGAATCCAGCTTCAAGTGCGCAGAGAATGTTGTCGCGCATCCGGGGAATAGGAATCAGATCAATCCAGGGGTGGTGCCTCACCGTCATCTGAAGTGCTGTGGGTTGAAGCCAGCTCGGATAAGCCTGCGATGGTATGAATGTGTGGACAGAACTGGGACCATGTTGATTGAAAGGTGACACGAGCTCTGGAAAACAAAGCCCTTTGAATCTAAATTCCAGCAGCGCTGCGTTTTGTGCAAGAGCATTGAGGACATTAAGCCGTATCAAAACGTGGAGATACCCAGGTTGAGGCAAACCAGAACTGTAGTCTTGGTACACTCTTTGTGCAAAGATCTGGACCTTTGCGCGGGATTCAGCAGTGTGAAGGAGGAGGTAACCCTCCGGCAGGACAGTGGTAGCAGCCACGTCACGTCTTACATCCTCCTCCGATACCTGACCGAGGTGTTGCTCGGTTTTGCCAGCAGAAAGCATGAAATGATCCTGTAGCATTGGAAATTCGATGACGCGAGGCTGCCTCCGCTTTCCTAAGATTAGAAACCCAGCTCGTCAGTCATACAGAAGCGGGCAAGTGCGCAGAAGAGGCTGGACATACGATAAGCTCTTTGGTTTAGGCGATTTTGACGCTTTCTCCGCTCTGACGTGTTTATCATGCCGGTCCAATCATCTCTCGGATTCTGCGCTTCCAGCAGCTGAGGCATTACCTCTACGTCGATAGCCAGGCCTGAGCCATTCCTGTTCACGAAAAGATCCATAGTCGCAGAAGGGGTTCAGGCACCCCAGGAGATTACTGGTGATTAGGGGCACTTTATATGCCACTTGCTTACCATGTAGCACCGCCTTGCATACCTAGCGCTAGAAATGAGACCACCAAGAAGCCCATACATTCGCAGTGGGGAACAATGTGGACGGGCTCACTTCTTGAATCCCTGCCCGGGCATCTTGCTTGGCCAGCCAGCCAGCAATTATGAAGCTGCTTCGCTTACTTTCAAAGGCGTTGTCCCCTTACGAGAGCACTCGTAATTTCAGTTCCATAAGACCATAATCTGCCGATAAGTACTTCCCCTGCGGCCGAAAACCATCGCAAAGGGGTACTCTGTACGGTTTGAACACTGGAATCCATACTCCATCGGGGGGCTACGCCAACATCCCTGCGAAGTGGACACCGGCTGCGCTAATGCAACCTGCTTACGCGCTAACATCAGGATGCGTAATAGTTAAATGTTGCATAGCGTACGGTTGTAGATCGATCAGTTGAGGCTCTACTCTACGACAATGCTAATGCAACCTGATGACAGAAGTACGCTAATGCGACCTGATGACAGAAACCTTAGCAGGCTAATTAAGCTTCGACCAAGTAGTTAAATCTCTATCCATTCCGTGGGCATTTCTTGGCTAACGGCGGTCTCACACTCGGCGTAACAGACCGTCAGGTATGCCACATCAATTGATGTCGGTGAGCTTTATTGGTGGCGTGAAACTGGATCTTTACGGAGTTTGGACAGTCAAACAGCCTCAGTAGCATTGGTAGGCGTCCGATAGCTTTAAACTTGCCTATCGGTCTCACGCTTTATAGTTCAGGACTCTAACTTCCTAAAACTATTGTCGAATGTTTGGGACTATGAGGTAAATAATAAACACAGAAATTAATCATCAAAAACGCATCCCCGACGGTGCATCCTCCAGCTCCATCAATCTTACCTAACACTAATACTGCTAACTCCGAAGCAAGGTCAAAGTCAATCATACCAATAACTATAAATTCAAGTCTGTACCACGAAGGATTCATTGAGCTGGCAACACATATGCTGCAAGTTGACCCATAGTTTGCGAGTAAATCGACCACATAGGAATCAGGGACATGTCCCCCTGGAATGGCGCCATAAAGATGACTTTCCGCTCAGAGATCCTCCAATCTTCCCGGCCGTCAAATACGGCTTTGACAAGTTTATCCTGGTAAATGCCCCAAGCAGTCACCTCTTTGCCCTCGTCCTCGCCTACGCCGAAATGGACGGCCCTGCCGTAAGTAGTCGCTTCAGCTGTTGTCTCGCCCGTGAGTTCTATGAGCTGTGTGCTGAGAGCATGTTGCGTTTGCAGAGTCCCGACCATACTCTGAACTTTGGCCCTAAGTGCCGTGATCCCTTCAATAGTGCCAATAGGCTCGGGGAAGTGTCCCTTGACATTTTCGATGAAGGCTTGCGTAAAGGTGTCCCAGTTTCTGAGATCGATGCCGATGGAGTAGCGTGCGATGCAGTTGCGGATGAGCTCATGGTCTGAAGTAGCGGGGGCCATTTTGGTTGACTTGGGAAAGACAGTAACGGTAGCGTTATATGGATTTCGTTAAAGCTGCTGCTAAATGCGTCTTGTTGGTACTGAATTGAGACAATGCACTGGCTTTGTAAATGGTCGGATGTATGAAAGAAATTGGCGAGATGGATGGGTACATATAGAGAACTCGCAACGTCTGGGGTTGTCTCCTTTTGCTACCTGAACCTAAATGAATGATTTCAATACTATGGAACAGAGTTTTGTAGATGATTAGAAATCATACCCCCTATGGAAATGAACGGTGCTTCTAGGAGCCTGCTTGGATGAGAGAACCCCGAGAGCCCGAGAAAGGTGGGCAATCATCTTCGCCAGAGCGAAAGCGAGATCTTAGATTGCCACATTACCTTGCAGATAGAAAATCTTAATCAAACTACCTGGGGTACATCTATCAGCTAAGACATACTTGCCGGGCACAGTTGTATACAGTATGATAACGTTATAACACATCAGATCATGACAAATCAATTAGTTGTCATAACGTTATGATTAACGAAGCAGCAGAAAATGGCTGTCGAGCATGTGCATGCCATGATATCGCTGAGCTTACTGCTTAAGCTGTCATGGATGAGGTCTTGCTATTTCTCGGAAGTGCATTCCAGGCGGCATGCCTCCACGAAGAGCGTCAGACTCCGCTGCTATTCCAGTCCTTACAGGAATGACTCCTGTGCGCTACCAGGGGGGTCTCGTCATTTCACTACAGCTCAACCCCCCCTAGTAGTGCATGATACGATGCCAACGCACCAGTTTGTGCGGAGTTTTGAGCATATGCTGGTGGTGGATGGGTCAACAGCGGACAGTTGATTTATAAACTTGTATATAGATCCAACTAACCCCAGATGCCCTTGAAATACGCTTAAAAACAAATAGTCTATTTCATAACGTATGGCCAGTCAGACCGCCGGTGTTGCGGGCATTGTCATAGCCCCCCCCCCCTTGTAACCAAACACTGAATCAGAAAGTAAACTAAGTGAACGATGTTACCTGGTATGAAGGTTAAATCCGAAGCTTTTCACTGCCCGCGGCATGCTTACAAATTGGGTACTGAATCTTTTTGGGAGTAGCTTAGTACGGCTCTCTCTTTTTAATTCAGAATAAGAAGGACCAGGCTCACTCCCTCCACTTCAACCAAGTACACGCTCAATTTGAATTGTGTCTTTATTTCTGTCGGTTCATGAATCCCACCCAATATGGCACCTAAGTCCGTTCTCCTCTTTGGTGCCACTGGCTACATTGGCGGCGCTTTTTTATCCAATCTGCATGCCAGATTCGGTTCGAAACTTGGCGAAAGCTTCTGTATCACACTTGCTAGCCGCCGTACTGAAAAGGCTAGGAAGATACAGGCCTTGATACCTGGAAGTACAGCGATTGAGCTAAGTCTCCAGGACCTTGTTGGACTCGAGGAACAATCGCAGAAACATGACATTATCGTCCAGATCGTATGTATCAGGACCAGGAGGCAGAAGCAAAGATATTGATACGGATGCTCTAGGCAGACTGCGATGATCTGGAGGCTACATCAGCGATCCTCAGGGGGATGAAGACAAGAAGAGATGTCACTGGCGAACCCCCCATCTTATATCATACGGTACGTTTTATTTCTCCCTCCGAGCCTCGGGTGTTAATAGTGACGTACTTCTAGTCTGGAGCGGGTATGTGGCCGTGCTATCTACATTCTAGGCTCGGCTAAATATCACCTAGCGTTTCTTCTAGAGGACCTAGCTGGCTATTCTTCAGCCACCGTCACATCGGACCTGGACTCTCACAAAATCAACGCCATTCCGCTTGACAAACCTCGTAATGAAGACATTATCCCACTGTACAACCGATATCTAAGAGGCTCTAGACAGGAACGTTGACGACGCAATCGTCAAGGCAGATGATGCGGGACATATCCGATCGTATATTCTCGTCCCGACGGTAGTATTTGGGAAGCCAAGCGGCCTGATTCACCAACAGGGCCTCGCAAACCTCACATCAATGGGGATCGGCGCCATCATTAGTGCTGCATTGGGACGTCGGGCTGTGGGTCGAGTCGGGCCTGCTGAAACTCTTTGGTCTCTCGTTCATGTAGATGACGGTGAGTAGTTTCGGAGTTGATCAATCTCGTGAAGCTAACGCGCCACATGAAAGTTGCTTCTTTGCTGCTTGCGATGGTTGAGAATCCACCTCTGAGTCATGGTAGGGACGGTTTCTACGTGGCAGAGAACGGAAGCAGACCAATTCATCCCGCTTTGCATGCGGCGGCCACAGTATTGTATTCGATGGATCTCCTGGACACGGACAAGCCGACCCTGCACGCTGCGGAAGAACCTCAGCATCATATAGTATGTCCCACTTTGGACTTAATGAACAAGCTTCAGGACTATACCAACTAAAATCTAGGTACCCTTTGTGAGCTGGAACATTGTCGCTCGCGGTGATAGGTCGAGAAGTCTGGGCTGGACACCTCGCCGGAGCATAGAGGAGTTTGAACCGTATGTGGCCGATGAAGCCAGACGTCTGGGTTCTTTGTCATCAAGCAGATTGCAAATAGATGCGTAAGATATCTCAGGACTGGAGACCCTTCCCGGAGATACAGCACCAGAGCAGAGACTGAATTGATCTGATATCAAAAGGAGTGAATAGCCGTACTGTCTTTCAGTTTCCCAATAAGTTGTTGAATCATTATATTAGGATGGCGGTCCTGGCCAATTGTCAATTTATTACTGACCGCAACAAGTGCCTCATCAAAGTGAATGAAATCCCCTTCACTCCCAGCTACCGATGACTTATAACCCCTCCATGGTCCAAGTTTTCCCAGTCAGACGCGGGGTGGCTCCAATGGAGCTGGGCCATCAACTTCTTACCGCTTACTACACTCCAACTTGATGCCCCTTCTCGACTACTTTCGATTATCCGGTCTTCCGCATCCGGTTTCGGCTTTCCTGTCTGCTGGCTTCTACTCCGATATCTATATCCTGGAAAGCTGTGATATCTATCTGCCCAATTTTTAGGGTATGTTTGCATGGGCAGACTGTGGGGACCTGGTACCTCCTAAGCCGAACACGCCACGTTGCTTCGCAATCACGGAGATCCTGGTTCCAATGCTCTCTTAATAATAGCCCTTTCCACCTTTTCATTTGCCATCTGCGCTACACGTGGACGACGGTAAGTCAATAAGCTCAAGACTTCACTGGGGCTGCAAGGATGTTTCATGCCAATAGGGCAGAGCATGATTACATCCGGTCAAGCCTTTTGAGCCTTCTAGCACCAACTCGCCTTGCCATCCAAGGTCTTCCTTTAGCATGGGCTTAGATCTCAGCGCGCTTTCTCATACTCGAGTGAATAGGCTGGGAGGTAAAGGGTAGAGTTGTGGCAATTGCGGATCCTAATGCGAGGTCGTAAGCGGGCGGCATTAGCGCTGCAGACACCCACCACTTGGCAAGGATGTTCATTACCGCTTGTAGTGTGGATATGCTGAGTTTCGATCTCACATGGCCCAGCTCGCGTTATGATACCTGTGTTTTCTCCTGATTCAACTTGAGGTAAGTGCGCCAACGCGTCATGCAATGCTGAACTACGCCGCGGCCGAGGCGGTTATGGGCGATTTGTAATGGCTGGAGCTTGATTCCATAGAATTCCACAGTGAAGTGTAATCCACTTTGGCAGTACATAAATAGCGGTCGGAATGTCGGCATACGTTCGTCTGGATCTAAGTTCTTTGATCAGCTCTCCTCAATGGCTACTCCTATCATGAAGATTGCGGTTTTGGGCGCCACCGGCCAGACTGGCTCGGTCATTGTGAAGGCTTTGTTGTCAGACACTTCGAAATTCGTGCAGTCTACCTTCTTAAATATGCGCTTCCCCTGATCTTGAATCTAATATTGTTTAGCAAGTCACGGCCCTCACAAGACCTTCGTCCCTGCAGAAGCCGGCAGTTCTGGAACTGCAGAAGCAGGGCGCAGAAATCGCGAAGATCGATCTTGCCGGCCCGGAGGATGAAATCACCAAAGTGCTCCTTGGTACAGATGTTGTCATATCTACCATTTATGGTGGTAGTGTCATGGACGAGGTTCCCCTAATCAACGCTGCTAAGGCTGCAGGTGTTCAACGATATTTGCCATGCTTCTTTGCGACTGTTGCCCCTCCTAAGGGGGCTCTTCTGCTGAGAGAAATGGTAATATATGGAATTAAAATAATGCCAATTATCATACTAATTTTCAAGCCACAGAAAGAGGATGTGTTGAATCATATTAAGAGTGTCAAAATACCATACACTGTTATAGATGTTGGCTGGTGGTATCAGGTCAACCTGCCTCGCCTTCCTTCTGGTCGCATCGATTACGCCGTGATGGAATCCACTGATGGCATAGCTGGTAATGGCAATGTCCCAATAGCCTTTACGGATTTACGCGATATCGGGACATATGTTGCGCGTATCATCTCAGACCCTCGCACACTCAACCACATGGTATTTGCATACAACGAAGTCCTCACGCATAATCAGATGTATGACGTGTTGGAGAAAGCCAGTGGGGAGAAGCTTCAACGCAAATATGTTGGTATTCCCGTTTCAGACTGTCGGAAACCTGGTGAGCAGAACTGACGGATCGGCACAGGTTGCTGCCCAAGAGATCAAGTCTCGTATCCACGATGTGGAAACAACCAATCCCGCCGCAGACTCTGCTGAGTTCGTGGCGCTCACCCAGCTGCAATACTGGTATTCATGCGGCATCAGTGGGGACAATACCCCTGATAACGCTAGGTACTTGGGATACCTCTTGGCAGAGGATTTGTATCCTGATTTCAAAGGGGTCACTCTGGAGGCTTACGCGCAAGAGGTCCTTGAAGGAAAGGGAAAACGAGTCTATGAGCACCTAATGAATTTGCCCTCTATCAAGGCGATTAATAAGGCCTGGCAGTAGCGAGGCGGGGTATGTTCTCTGGCCTCCATCTACTGCACTCTGTTCTGGAACATGTTGCCTGCTTGTCAATCTCACATTTCTATAATTGTTCTAGATTGAATACTTATTGAAATCGTCAGGCGATTGCTCGATCACTTGTCTTACTAGTGACAAATTGGGCTGAAGATGCATGTTAATTAAAGCTGAACTGAGGTATAGAACCTCTTGCCGGTACTTCATTAGCTTGTGACCTAGTTCAGCTAAGCCACTGGTTTCTAGTGTGAATCTCAGCTAGCTATATAGAGCAGGCTATCTTGTTCTTTCAAGATCACCGTACGATGGGGACTCCAGCTAGTGGGTTTATGGAGTGTGGAATACGAACCAACAGTGTCAGCCCATCTTCTCCCATCGTCCTATGAGATAAGTCTACACGAATGGTTGGATGGGCGATCTAGACGGCTAGAACATAAGAGTTTCGGCCATATCGATTTGAGGGACACATGATTCCGCCACGTGTAATTGCGGTGCTCCGGCCATCGGAGACCGTCTTCGCGAATGATGTAATCACCGTAGGGTGCCTAGTTAGGAACTTACGGGGAGGCTATGTACTTCAAGCTATCACTACGGACTTTTCGTCGTTCTTTAACCCTTCCTTTCTTCTCAATTTGTCTACTTCAGTTCGGCTATAGGATGGCATCTGGTAAGCCCGACTTCTCCTGGTGCTTTGCCTCAAACAGTGGCTCCCAGACTGTGCAGGCCCTCTTTGTTGCTGCGCCATTGGCCATTTCAGGTGGAGATAGGAAGAACTGTTTATTGCCTGAGCACTCGATAAGTTGACCATTAAGATTGGGTTGCATTAGGCACAAATCGTATGCTTCCACAACGGTTTCAATAGGCGTAATGCTGTGTAATATGTCAGCTAACAAGTTTTTGTAATGCCAGCAAGTAAACTTACTGCTCTGGCTTCGTTGCATCAATAGATGCCTGGGGTACGGCCCTAGTTACTACAATGCCTGGCAAAACAGCGTTAAGGGTAATGTTTTCTTTCTAGGAGAAGTTAGCAGAGGTTGGCTCAAGGCAAAGTCTTGGAGCGGAATGTCTGACCAATTGGAGAATCGGCGCCGCCGTTCGCACAAATTGATTAATCTGTTGCACGTTAGCTGAAGCACAATGAAACTCAGGAACATAGAGAACATCACTGACTGCGGCCTTGGCTCCGCAGTACTCGGGGAATGTCTGGTGCGGGTGAACCGAGGCGATAGTTGATGTTGCGACGATTTGCCCCCCTGGTGTTTTGTTCTTCCTCATGAAATGAATTGCAAGTTGAACCCCGTAGAGAAAGCTCTCGTAGCAGGCTTTGATAGACTTCAGAGCTGGCTTGGGTGGGATCTCAGTCTTGCCTCGATGGTTGAAAATGTAGATAGAGCCGCGGTCTGAGTGGCCTGCATTGGCCAGCAGGGCGTCTATTTGGCCCCATTTCTCCCACACCTGGCTGAAAACTTTGGCTTGATCATCATAGTCGCAGACGTCGAGTTGGAAAAAGGCTGCATTGGTTCCAAGCTCCGTTGCCACGGCACTCCCGGCTTCCTGCTGGATATCGCAGCACGCCACCCGCCAACCCTCATTTACCAGGTTCGTTGCGAGCGCTTTTCCGATCCCGGACTTACACCCGGGTCATTATTATATGTCTTGGGCTATTATTAATAACTGTACTTACCGCAGCGCCAGTAACAATAGCAACCTTGGGCGGCTTGTCGTTAATCTTCTCGGTGTTCTCCATGGTTCTAAAAAGGATATTTGATGCTTTAGGGGGGGCGCTTAGTTGATCAATGAGGCTTATACAAACGAGTTATCAATTAGCGACAAAAAAGAGAAGAGAAACTGTCGACATCCATGGCATAAACACTCAACACAACCTAAATGTACCTATCTAGTGATATGGCAAGCGGCGTAACCCGAGCCAGCATGAGGACAGCCCCGGTTTAAGAATGGGCCGCAAATGTGAAGATAAGCAACGCGGTCAACTCCGACTTGCCCCTCTTCATGACGACGGGCAATGCCGCCCAGTGGATCCCAATTGCGCGACGCGGGGCTCGCTGAATCGCGCACGATAACTTCAGTTCAGATGCATGAATCGCGTTTGTGAATGGAAACGAAGTAGATTGTTTATTTTTAAAAAAAGCTTGAGTCTCAACGGTTGAAACAATGGTTGCCACATGAAAAAGCATCTATCTCTATCCACCACCTCATGCATCTACCTAGTAGCAGTGGCATTAGAAACTGGTTGGGATATCTCTAGAAGTTTCCACCATTAACTGGTAAACATTGGCCAGTAATAAAACTAGACCAATCTGAAAGAAGAAAAACAATAGCATCTGCGACATCTGTCGCATAAGCCATCCTCCCCTTTGGTATCGAAGCAATCTGCGCCTTTCCAACAACTACATTTGGGTCCCCTTGAGGCGCACCGGCGACAGTGGCTTCCGCTAAAGGGGTCTCTGTCGCGCCTACATCTGGGTTAACAGTCTTGCGTCGACACCGCGGAGGACGTCTGATCACTTACCTGGGGCGACTAGATTTACGCGCATCTTGGGGAAATCGCGAGCCCAAGATCGTGTCAAGCCTAGAACAGCATGTTTCGAAGCCGTGTACGCTGCCAAGCCAGCTACTCCGCGAAGAGAAGCACCGCTTCCGACATTAACGACTGACCCTTGGCCTATACTGCGTACCGATCCAGGGACAATCCCCGGCGTTTCAATGTCTTCCTGGGTTGACATTCGCAACAGAGCCTCGGTAGCCATGTTCCAGGTCCCCGTAACATTAATGTCCATCGTTCTCTGGTACACCTTGTCGGTGCCGATTTTGCCTTCCCAACCTGAAATGCCCGCACAATTCACAAGTCCATCTAGCCGCCCCGGTATGGAATCCAGAAAGGCTTGACAGTCCTCGCGTTGGGTTACATCACATCGAAGTGTAAGGTAACAATCTTCTTGGTTGGCGAGTTCCTCTGAGGCCTGGGAAGCGATATCTGCAACGTAAACAATCGCACCGAGTGCGATGAGTGTCTTCGCCACAGCGAGCCCGATACCGGAGCATCCTCCCTACTAAATTCAGTCATGAAACCACTTCAGAAGGAATGTTTGAACCAACAGTAATAGCAACTTGCCGTCCAGCAAAAGGAAACAAGCTTTGCATCGCCATCGTCGTTCAAGTAAGGAGCTTGCGCAAATTCACAGAATCACAGACGTACAGCATTGTACCATCTGCATAGCAATTTCCAAATATCGGAGATACTTATCAGGTCGCCCACGAGTGCCACTTGCCCGTAGCCGGGTCTAGTGAGGAATAATACTGGGATGTTGGTCGACTGATAGCAGATGTCGGATTAAGACGAGGTGGCTCCACCAACGGATGCACTTCTCCGACATATGGCTCCACCAACTGACGCGGTTCTCCGACCCTTCGCCAAGACGGCAGGCAATTTCCAGCATGTATTGCCTCTTGCTGACCGGAGGTCGGAGGGGAAGTGCTTCTGAAGAATTATATAAGTTTATGGCTTAGAATACAACTGCCAAATCTCGACTTATACTAAGAAATTCCCCATCTCTCGGTTTCTTGAAACGAAGAACTTCGCAATCAATTTATCATCATCTCATCATGACGAAACGCGCACTTGTGACGTACGCGGTCGATGTTGACGCTTGCGCCAACTGGTGCGTCAACAACTACACATTCTCGACCTTGCAACAAATTTGGCTAACATTTGTTTTGTAGGATCAACACTCGTGACGGCTCATCCATCGGCGCCACCGACGTGTCAAGGGGTATCTTCGGAGCCAATACTGGCACTGATCGGATGCTTAAACTGTTTGAGGACAACGGTATTAAGGCCTCATGGTACATGCCAAGCCATACAATTCTCTCCTTTCCGGAGCAGATGGCCAAGGTCCGGGATGCCGGACATGAGATGTATGTACTCTTCTAGTGCGCTTCAACTTCAGCTATGGTAGGTTAACGAATACTTACCAGAGGTTTACACGGCTATACGCATGAATTCGTCCGTTTCCTCACTGAGGAGCAAGAGCGAAAGGTCATGGCTAAATCTATCGAGGTGTACCAAAAGTTTACAGGCAAATATCCAAAGGGATGGGTTGCCCCAGCCTGGGAAGTTGGCCCGAAGACCATGTCCATCTTGGAAGATTTTGGAATCGAATACGACCACTCAATGCTGCACCACGATTGCCAGCCGTACTATGTGGCAGATGTCCCCGCGGATTCAAATGTGCATACAGACTACTCCAAGGACCCCGATACCTGGATGAAGCCTATGACGGAGCACAAGCCGACCAAGGTGGTTGAGATCCCAGGATCGTGGAATGTGGATGATTGGCGTAAGCAGCTTCTCAGCAAGCCTTAAAACTTGTATACATGCTAACAACCTTTTCAGCTCCTATGAACTACACTAGGCGCCCCGGAACGCACGGCTTTGTCAACCCACGAGACGTCGAAGTGCAATGGCGGGATCAGTTTGACTTCTTCTACCGGGAGTATGATACGTTCGTGTTCTGCATCAGCTGCCATCCCCAGGTTAGCGGAAAATCGAACGTCATGCTGATGCATGAGCGCTTGATTGAGTATCTGAAATCGAAAGAGGGCGTGGAATTCGTCACGATGGCTCAGGTGTGCGACGAATTCAAGGCAGGAACGTTGCAAGGAGTAACCATCAAGGCAGGAGTTTCTAGCTAGGCAAATGTCGACAATAACTTAGATTAACAAGATTAACACAAGATTTCAATATCGGTACGAAATATCATTATTTTGAAAACCGCTGGCATCGCTGCGCGAGCAATTCTCAGACGCGTACTTCTTTGTGAGCAACTCCCTATGATTACACGGAGAAAAACTTCAAAGATACTGGCCGCCGAGCGAAGTTTGATGCTACGTCACATATACATACTTTTCTCCAGTTAAGGACTCTCAATTGGGCCTTTGCATACAATCTGGAGGATTTGAGTGTGCGCATGGTGTTTGGCCTGCATACAAGCCAAGTGGCTGAGAAGCCCATATTTTTCCAGAACTTTTTAATAGGGATTTAATTTGCCTCTTTCCTTGGGATCTTGTGGATTCCAAAGGTATCCAGTATCGTGCCGGTACAGATTGTATATTCCTAATACGCAGGGTCAGTTGTGACCAGAGCTTTACCAATGATACCATTGTTACTATATAATCTGATTTTATGGTTGCTGAAAATTAGAACCCTATCTCTATCTGCTCCTCTATTTCTGTTGGTCTACCCATGGAGATTATTCCCTTTCTCTCAGTGATATTATATACAACATTGAATAGCGTATTTGAATCATTGTTACCGTGCTGGCGCCGGTTGATAGAAGCGGGAAAATTTTGCTCGTCCTTAAACAGCTCAAGAAGCGTGTCGTGACTCGCTTTTTCGCCGACTTCCTTCGTCGCGAGCTCTTGGAGCCGAGCGGTACGCTTAGGCGAATCCTCAAGCCATAGAGGCTCGAACACTCCTTCGTGCTTCAGTATGAGATTGTTGGCATGAACAACACGGCCGAGATCATCAGCTGGTAGCTCCTGGAATCCGATACTCGTGCATTCAAGGCCCGTTGGACCGGTATCGTCACCCAAGAGTATATGGCTGCTCCCGGCCAACCCAAAAGATTCGATCTTATCCAAAGCTTCTCTTTTTGTCTTAGATTCCAATACGGTACGAAGAGCAAAGTGAATGGGCATGCGTTCTGGATCCAGACCCTTAGCGCGGATACCATTGAGGAGGCAGCCGACACCGTGTTCATTGAATCCGATTTTGCCGATGATTCCGGCTTCCGTTATCATCTGAAAAGACGGCAGGTCCATACCGGGGACTCCCTTGGGATTGACGCGCAGAATAATCAAATTGGGCTTCTGTTTGCTCTTCCAATCCCAGTTTTGCGCCAGGAACGTTGAGCCACTAGAGGTTTTCCAGCCCAGAGTGGTACAACCATCAATCGCCTCAAGGGCCATCGGTCGTCTTGAGTTTTCGTCAAAAAGCCCAAAGGCAATTTCACTGCGAATGTTCAGAGCGAGTACGTCCAGAAAGTCCAATTGGGCACCCTCTGCAATCGCTTCTATTTCCTCATAGTACCGTGGGAACTTGGCCTTGAGAAATGGCTGGAACTCAGCGGTCCTCTCGCGCACCGTGGTCCATTCCAAGTCGTTAAAGGCCTTGAATAAGACACGATAAAAGTCAATTGATCCAGCAACCTGCGCTGCGGCCTGTTGGCCCACTGCGAGACCAATCTACAAGTGCTTGTCAGCTTCTCCTTCATACATGTCAAATTAAATATCGCCGGTTTAACTTACCTCTCGGTGGTTTCCTGTTACTGTGATGTCGAGCATTCTTTCTTGGTCCAGTATCGATGATTGAGTAGTGAAAGACCGTAGTTAGTGATAGATGTCCGGGATACGCGTGAATGGCCGAGCTGTTATATGTAATGTTAATCTGGAAGAAGGTCCATTCCTACGCCGTACACATGAAGCAACCTTCCCGGATTACTTGACCCCACGTAGGTATGGATGGACAATGCCGATCTCCGACATTCACATCCCATCCACGGCTAATCCCATCTTATCGTTAGCACAATTCGGTGGGGGTGTGGAGACTCGCGCGCTTTATCCCGACACATGATCCTCGGTAATTGCTAGCGTGTCGGTGGGAGATTGGAAAAATAGAACCAGATAACCTGATGATAACGGGTCATGATCATGAAGGGTTGGCAAAAGCACGCCACAGACGAATAAAAGGCCTTCGAGTGGGCCTGAAGGAGACGGCCTTGCTCAACGAACCCGCAAACTATCGACCATTCGCCATGTTTACACCGTCGAAACTGCGAGAAGTTGTTTGGGGGAAGCCCGCAGCAACCAAGACAGAACGGAGGCTGTTGGTCAAGCTCGACATTGCAATCCTCTCTTTCTGCTGTCTGATGTATTGGGTCAACTATCTTGATCGCATGAACTTGAACAATGCATACGTTAGTGGAATGAAGCAAGACCTGAACTTTCAGGGCAACCAATTAAACGTCATCAACACGAGTAAGTTACTATCCCGCCCTTTACGGCGATCGCTGCTCCAATTCCGTACCTAACTATCGGTAGTCTTCTACGGCGGCTATGTGCTGGGACAGGTTCCGAACAACCTTGCACTTCAGAAGCTTGCACCGCGCATCTACTTCCCAAGCTGCATGATTGCCTGGGGACTGCTGACCTTGGGGACTGGCTTCGTCCATCACCCGTGGCAGATCATGGTCATTCGGTTTTTCCAGGCCATCTTCGAGTCGTCTACCTTTGTTGGCTGCCATTATATTCTCGGATGCTGGTACAAGGAGGACGAACTCGGCAAGAGGACTGCAATCTTCACCAGTAGTGGCTTAGCCGGCACCATGTTCTCGGGATTCTTGCAAGGAGGAGTACATAAGAATCTGGGTAAGAACGGTACCGACTGATGATGCCTTCAAATTAGATGCTGACTATTACCAGACGGTGTTCGGGGTCTTCCCGGCTGGAGATGGTTGTTCATTATAGACTTCTGCATCACTGTGCCTGTTGCAATCTACGGATACTTCGCATTCCCGGACACTCCAGCGTCAACGCGTGCTTGGTGGCTCAGCGAAGAGGAGAAAAAGCTCGCCGTTGACCGCCTTCCCGAGGTCGAGAAACATCGGGGTGTACTTGGCTGGAACCTCATCTCCCGCGTCCTGCGAACCTGGCATTGGCTGGGTTTCGTCCTCCTCTGGGTATTTGCCAGCAACACTGAGATGTTCTCTACCAACGCAGTCATGAACCTGTGGCTCTCCTCGACCGGCGACTACACTGTGGAGCAAGTAAACTACATCCCGACCGCTGTGGCGGGTGTAGGAATTGTTGCTACGCTCTTCCTTGGCTGGTATTCGGACTTCACCAAGAAACAGTGGCACGTGGGGATTTTCCTGTCCTTCACAGCCATTATCTCCGGTGCAATCATGCTGAACCCTCCTTCCACCGGAGCCAAGTTCTTTGCACTATTCCTCAATGGTTGCCAGTACGCTAGCCAGACTGTTCTTTTCGCCTGGGCCAACACAGTTACTCGGGACGATGACGCCAAGCGGGGAATAATTCTTGGCGCCATGAATATGTTTGCCATTGCCGTCTACATGTTCTGGTCACTTCTCTTCTATAGTGCGACGCAGGCTCCGGACTGGAGAAAGGGCAGCATCGCTATGATTTGCATGGGAACAGCTTTCTTCATCATGACAATTGGCGTCTGGTATCTGCAGAAACGAGACCGAGAGAGGATGGAACTCCACGATGGCATTCCTGAATCCTCCATCGTTGGCAAAGATGAGAAGGGCGACAACGATACTGAGCTTGGAACCAACTTTGCTAAGGAGTAGACCGGAGATGTGGAACCGTATTTTATCGGCTCCATACAATGATTGCTTGCACCCTGAAGGCCTTGTACCAGAATAATGACAAGTAGACTACTAAACCTTGGCGGTCCATCTTCTATATCTGTTAATCAATGAAGGCCTTTTAAACATCCAAAATTGCAACGAAGGTTGAATTTGAATCTGTTAACATAATAAACCATCCACAGATTATAGCCATATTTTTGATGCTGGTGCTTTGTGGGTATTTTTAGGGTATTTTTAGAGACCCTGTTCGTATTTTATATATGCGATAGAGTAAATGTAGTTAATAATGAGCTCCAGATTGTTCGTTCTATTCTTTAATCTTCATCATCCGATATCCTGACAGAGAGTCTCTCATCCACAATCCACACCAGACGAAGGCCACGATATCGCTATACCCGAGTCCAGCTTTAAGCGCCAACTGTTGAATATCGTACGACACATTCAATCCAAGGGATCATGTTCAATAAAGTGTGGATCAAGAAGCTAATCATTGTTTTGATCTAGCATGCCTCCGGCCCCCTCTTTTCTCAGCGCCTCCTCTAACCAAGGTCAGGATATCGATCTATCAGAGGTTTCGTAATACAGGGTCACAATCCCACGGTGACTTATTAATCGCACCCCGCATCTTTTCGTAGCATCGTTCCTCCAATTTCCTGATATTCCTTATCTGCCTGTTTTGCCGCAAAACGATCGCCCTTTTACATTGATGCGTTGAAGCCGATTGATGAGGTAATGGTTAGAAGTACCAGGTCTTCCTATGCCTGCGCTCGGTGTTACAGGCGGAAGAAAAAAGTAAGTGCATTACTGCTATAGCACAACCTAACCTGGTGCTGATTCTCTACTTTCGCAGTGTGATCGTGGCTACCCGTCATGTTCTCAATGCACAAGCGCAAAGGCTCGGTGTATAGGTTTGGATCGAGGCTCCGAGGCAGAGCTTCCTCGAAGGTAAGTTTCGAGCCGTGATGCTCATCCATCATCTTGATGTCGCCTCCCGAGCTAAGTTACCTGGAACCCAGCCTCGTCTCTTACTTGGAAGAAGTGGTGGCTCAATTGGAGCTGAAGCGTGAGAGCCTTCTAAAAGATCGGGAGAATTCCGGTGTCGCCATCCCACAACGCGAGCAAGTCTACACCGCCATCTCGCCTCTCACTCCTGCAGCTGCGTCGCCTGAAGAAGTAGCTGCTGCATATAGTTTTGCAGCCATAACGGCAAAGAACAGCGCACCGGCTGCATCCTTCGACACTGTTTCTCGATATCCACTGCCATACTGTCGCGCATTCTTCCTAAGTGCCGAGCTCCCCTTCCCTCTTGCGTTCCAGGAGCAACGCCAGATGAACGTCCCAAGCAGTCATGGAGGTGGACACCCCACTCAGCTTCCGGAAGAAGTTGCAGAAAAGCTAATGGCCGTCTACATCGGACAAATCCTGCCCCAGTACCCTCTTTTCCTAAAGGAAGACATAACCGACATGTTCGAGCGGTTCAAAATGTCTGGCGGTAGCCTTGAAACTGTGACAGCGGACGAGCAATTCATAATATCCATGATCATGGCTATAGCTGCACTCTCTTCCAGGGCCAGAGACTACCGAAAATTGGTCTCGGTGGCTGAGTCATTACGTCGAGATGCTTTTACTCATCTTGACTTCGGACTCAGCTCTAATAATGCCACAACCACCACCATTCAGCAACTCTTGCTATTTGCTCAATACGGCTACCTGCTTCCATCTTCCACGAACCTTTGGCAAGTCGTCGGCGACGCAGCGAGAATAGCTTTAGAACTCGGTCTTCATCAGGAAACTCCAGTAGCAAGTGGCATAGACCAAGGAGCTGCCGATTTTCGCAAACGACTCTATTGGACAGTGAGTCCCGGATGAATGAGGTCTAATCTAGCGACTAGACTAACACCATCTGCAGCTGTATTCCATTGAGAGATCAGTCGCTATCACGTCTCATCGACCATTCGCAGTCGCCGGAGATCAAGTTCACCTACCTTTTCCGGTTTTTCAAGACGACCCAAACTTTTCAAATCAGAGTCCAGATCAGAATTCGGATCAGAGATTTGACCAGGTATCTTATATCCGGTTCATTGACCGCCTTCGATTTCTTCGCCTTCAATCAGAAATCTGTTCTGTTAACATCGGAATGCGGCCGATCTCGAACCCCCAGTTGACACATGGCGGCTGGTTAGTCCACCTTGAGAGGCAAATTTCCGAGGCAAAAGTCAACTCTGCGACCCCTAAATGGTGTGACTTCATGGAATGGCATGCTATTCTGCTGCTTCATATGCCTTGTGCGCTCAATCCCAGTCCAGACGAAGCCTCTGTTCTCAAATACTTTGACGCGGCAATCCGAATCACTGACGGATATTGGGAGCTTGTAGAGGCAAATAACCTAGACCATCCCTGGCATGCAACTCACCATTGCTACGAAGCAGGCAATCTGATTCTGTACGGTCTATGGCACTATCGCGCCCTCATTCGGAGATACTATTCTCTAGCGCAAGTCTTTGAAGTTGTTCACCGGATATCCGGGTTTTTCGTACGTCAAGCGCATTGAATGCCACATCTGATATTATTTACTGACATTTAGCAGATTCTTATCGTGAAGCAATGGCCAGCCGCCCAGCGGTGTGGTGCGCTATTCGATCAGCTCCGAAAGGGGGCTTTAGGTTTCTTCAGAGAAGAAGAAACTTCCGACTCCGAACCGTGTCTTGAAGCCAGGCAGTTAAAGGAACTGGTCTTTAGGGAAAACGCAGATGTGCTATACGCCCGTGAGCAACCATCAGCTACGATCGGTCAATCGACATTCGCAACCATGTTTCCGGAATTGGAGATAGATCAGCTGTCACTGGATACTGACATGGACTTCCTTGGACTTTTCAATCTATCTGAAGCCCCTGACTTGGAGGACTTTGGCCAAACAATAATTCAGGGCGAACCTGAACAGTCTGATTTGCCAGGGACTCCGCTAGTTGCGGAGAGCGAGAACCCTACAGTACCAAATCAGCAAACGGAAGTTGTGATTGAAGAGGCTCAGCTGCACACAGTTATGCAAAATCTCCCAGTTTGCTCACACTGCAAAAAGAGAAGGATAAGGTGCGATATGAATCTTCCTGCGTGTTATAATTGTGCAAAGCTTCGCCGGGACTGTTGCTATTGGGATAACGCATTAGCCGAAGAAACATCACGCAGGTATGAGTTCGAATATGGGAATAGGTACCATAACTAACCTGGATGCAGGCACGTCCACGCCTTGAAACAGCATGTCGAGAGCCTGATGGCGGAAGTCGACGGACTTTCTCAACCTGTTGAGCCTGTTGCCACCATCTCAGATCTGCTCGCCGGCACCTCGCCATCCAATATAGCACGCTCGGGGAGTGGAATCAATGAGCGAGTTCAGAGGCATATTCTATCAAATATTCTATGCCCAGCACCATCCGATTCGACCAGCTCACCCAACCTAATGTTCTTTGGCGCTACAAGCGCATTTTCTCTTCTCGCAAATAGCCTCGGAAGGTCGATTTCCCTCCCTAGAGAAGCCACAACATCCAAGTCGCGACCACCCATTCTTCTAGAGACTTTATGCGGTTCACTCGTGCTCAATATGACGGCGAATATATCCCAGACAGAGGCGCAAAACCTAGCATGGCACTACTACCGATCTATCGAAATAACCTATCCTATACTTGGCCAAACCCTGATTAGCCAGACTCTGGATCACATCTACAGTGGTAGCTCTGTGGAAAGTGACGACAACGTGGTGCAAACACGCTTAAATTTGATACTTGCGATATCCTTGGCGTTACTGGGCCTACAAGACCAAAGGTTACAAGTTTTTGCGGACACCTATTTTCGCGATGCAGTCTCTGGTGGCCTTTCGAGCGATTTTTTCATTCATCCAACGAATCAGTCATTACAAATGATTCTCTTGTTATGCATATATGCCTGGATTCGCCCCAGTGCCATGGATGTCTGGAGACTTCTAGGTCATGCATCTCGAATGTGTCTCGACATCATCGAAGTACATGGGTCCGACAAGACTGATTCCGCCTACGCAGGTGTACTCTATCGTACGCTGTATACCCTTGAAACGCAGGTTTCCATTTCCTTTGGCAGGCCACATCAATTACCTGATGGACATGAGGTCCTCGCGTACTCGCCCGACCTCAGTTTGGTGGCCACAGGTGAACTTTCAACGATGGTGTACAACCTGGCACGACTTCAAAATCGCTTCCACAGAGATATTATTGGAAGCGATTGGGTATCTCCAGTTCCGGAATTTGTCGACCCTGCCATTGACAGTGCCCCGTGGATGTCAACCTGCGTCCATGATATCAAGATATGGCTCGATGATTGGAAGGCTCGAATTGATGCTCTCTCCGATCAGTCTCCTGCGCCGCAGAGAGAAGATGACTTGAACATGCCCCTTAGATTTTACGGCGAATTCTTGCAGTGCGAAGCTTTGCTACTCGCAAAGATGGCAACAGACCGCCGCGGCCAACTTCTCATTTCAAGCCAAGAGGAACTCGCGATATGCACGCAGCTGCTACAAGCAGCGGACAGGCTACGTCAAACCTCAGCTCTTCCCACGGGAGTGTCGCTACCTTACACATTGGAATTCGTATTCCCATTGACTTGGACCCGTGCACATGCAATTTTCACTGCTACGACAATTCTGCTGCAGCATATGCACAACACTTCGGTTACAGATGGGGAGGTGCAGCGCCTATTCCAGGCAGGTCTCGAGATGCTGGTTTCTTTACAGCATACCGGCGACCAGAGCATGTCTGGGCTCGTGAATTGTATACAACAGATGCTCAAGTCTAGTCACGTATCGACGATAGTCTGATGTCGGAGTAGATATGATTCAAATGCTTTCGAGGAAAGTTTGCACAGCCCGCTCGAAACTAGCGTCACTACTCTATATCCTGGCAGTGTTATGTCTATGGATGTTCTGCTTATACCCTTTGTACCTCTTTGATCTATTTAATAGTGGTGAACAAGGCTGGAGCCTCGTTAATAAATACCCTTATCTACCTCTATCCAGATGAAATCTTGCAATATACAGAACGATAATCCCTCCTAATAAATTCGTAAATGTCACTGTATTTGAAGTTAGCCACCAGACATTGATCCCACCCAACACCGAAGGGAAATGCGTACGGATTGTAAAATACCAGCCAATGCTAAGACCGTTGATTAAAGGAACAGTTGTACCAGTAGTAACCGCTCCGAAAAAGTATTGCATAATATACTTGCTGCAAACTACTTCCGATCTCTGATCTGGAAACACTTCTATAATCCAAATTCCAAGTCAGTCGTCTTTCTTCTAGTTAGTATAAAAAGAGGAGAGTGAAGATCCTACCGGACGTATAGGTGTTTAAACCATTCCAAGCTCCCATGAGACCAACTCCAATCCAAAATGCCATAATGATTGCTAATGTAAGCCCTCCAAATTCTTTATCCAAACCCCATCCATACAAGAGCACTGATATAGGTAGGATAAAAAATAGATAGGCTATTCCGCTATTTAAGCGGTCTTTTGGCAGGCGTAAGCCATTGCGTTTTGCCATCCAGCGTTTGACTGTACGGTCTGATAATCGGCCTCCAACAAGGCTCCCAACTATAAATCCGACTCCAGGGGAAATGTAGAAAAGACCACTGATCAAGGGCGTTGTGAGATTGAATCGTGGGTTGATAGCAAGCCTTACTGAAGTAAGTAACGCATATTGTGTTAACGCCAGCAGTCCGCAGGCAAGGTCTGCAAGAAAAACCTGTTGCAATAGAAAGAGCCTGAAAACTTTGACTGGGTTGAATTTTTGAAGTATGTCAATGTGCGAAAGTGTAGTGCTCGGATTCTTGTCCGAAAGTTGTCGAACCTCGCTTTCAATCCCGGGTATAAACAGCAGAGATAGGACCAATCCGAGCCCTGCCTGTCCTACTTGTAGCCAGTAGATAGTTCGCCAATTGTTGTATGTTATGATTATGCCTCCGATACAAGGCCCTGAATACGAGCATTAGCAAGCCAATCTACGAGGTGCGCGCTGTTCTGAAGCCATTCAACTCACCCACGGCTGTGCCCGCAACACCTCCAACCATCAGGCAGCCAACTGCTCTACCTCTAACAAGAGGGGCAAACAAATCCGCAATGATGGTCTGTCCTGCAACCATGAAATATGTTCCTGTCAATCCGGTAACAATCCTCATGGCGGTAAAACAGGCAAGATTCGGAGCGACCGCGGTTCCAATAGAGGTTAGAAATAAAACGATGATAGCAGCATTATAGCTAATCCGTCTGTTGAATACTTGACCTAGGGGCGACCAGATCAAGGAAGAACAACCCATAGCGACGAGGACCGCAGAATTGGTGAGGTTGAGAATTTCGGCGGTGGTCGAGAAGGAAGCTGCGATTTCGGGAGTGGCCACAAGCAGAGAGGTACTCGTCGAGGTGACAACCAAACAGTTCCAGCTGACAATAAATAATATGAGGTATCTCTGCCAAGTCTCGAGTTTGAGGGCATTGGTGTTGTTGTCGGATGCTCTGGCTCTCTCCAGGGGGGTTAGCCCGTCTTCCCGTAGTTCATCCATTGCTAGTGATTGCAAGAGTACTCTCGAACCGTAGAATTTGCAACCCTGGTAGCAACAATAAAGATTCTATTATGCTAAGAAGCTTGTTTAAAGCGTGATCGTCATGAATCAACTTAATACCTAGCCGGAAACATGTCACATGTACTGATCGTTCCTATATCGGACTTGAAGAAATCACTTAGACCGCATATCGGAGCAGGCTACAATGAAGGCACTGAGCCTCAATTGGATTTTTTCATCATCACGCAGTCTTTTGATAGGGCATCGGTCAAACTTCCACAACCAGGCTCCACTGGAGGAAATCAGTTCATTTCGCCGAAGGCGGCTTTCAGCGAAATTGCTGCCAGCGATAAGCGGCAAAAAGCCAATCGTCCTTTGGGGATATCGCCTTGTGCCAAAGGCAAAACCAATATAGCTAGCCTGTTTTCATATCGCAAAACTTGAGTCGGAGTTCAGCGAGTCAACAAGCGGACTAAGCCGCTCTCAATCAGCCCTTCGGTTCCCCACCCAACATCGATATCGGAGTAGTCAGTCATGCACTCGCCCCTGGAATTCCCGAGCTACACCCCAAACAATGCCTAACGAGGCGAGTTTTCGTAGAACAATATGTTGGTCAATTACGATGAGGTCGTAGATTGATTCCTCACCTGCTCTACACGGTCCTTCATTTGTATGGCAGTAAATCAATGAGCTCTGAAGATGCAACGTCCCTTTATGTCAGCGACAGCCGCAAGGCTATAGAACGAAATAGTCATTTGCTGCCAGATCAGAAAAGTTAGTCGCTTAAGGCTGTGGCAATAGGTGGCGACAGGGCTAGGTCGGAGGAAAGCTCATGATGGCCATCGAGGGTTGGCGAAGTTCAGTTGTTACTGTAGGGCGTAAAATTGGGTACCCATGGGCGCCGACGGGTACCCGGAAGTGTTTTGGGTAACCCGTGGGCGCCTAAAAGAACTCATTTTCCCCCGTGGGTACCCGTGGGTACCTAAAAATAGAAGACTGTTATAGGGTAGGTAGAATTTATTCAATGTGGAAATTAAAATTTATATTTGAAATTACAGAAATTAAAATAAAATATAAGAGAATTATTTTACGAGACATGTTTAGAATATCAACTAGAAAATAATTCATTTTTATTATTGTAATTGGAGCTCCAAGTCTCTATCTGCTTGGCGAGGGTTCTGTTACAACTACTTTATTTGAAAGGCGATGACGCATACTCGCGATTGATATAGAGGAATTACAGTGGAAACATCAACTTCCCGTGGTATTTAGTAAGCGACAGCCTATGTACTAATGTTGAGATTGCTATGAGAAGCAAGCACTAGAGCTACAAATGATTAACTGTACGTTTTAGAATCTTCTTTAGTCGTATACCTTGTGAAGCTAAAAGTATGACTTTAATGACGGTAACTTGGCAAGTGAATGGCTGTGGGGACGAGATCTAGAATAGTCTGATCTATGTTGGCTCTTGAATCTATGAACGTTTTGTCTTAGCGTTGGGCTGGAAGAAGATATACCTTTAGGGACACTGAAGATAGTCTTGATGCTGATCTCTTTTAGTAGACGGAAGAGATAGCCGTCGAGAAGGATCTCAGACATGGTACGGAGGGCTCTTTCAAAAGTCTTGTCCAAGCACTAGCAACGCCACATCAATTTATCCCTGTCAGGTACCTGAGGTACATGGGGTTATGGCAGACTCGTTCGCTTATCCGCTATAACCTCTGTAACTTCAGGGTAGTAGGCGCTGCTGACCAGGATCTAGCGGTTGCTGGTGTGCTGTAATCTGCTATTTTTCAGCGCTTGGGGAAATCAAGAAGTACTTAGTGTACTTAGCCTCGTAATGATTGGCTGACTTACTAGCGTCGCTTTTCCCTCTGGACAAGACTTTTAAAAGAGCCCTCCGTACGGACGTAGAGCGCTGCAAAACTCGAAAAAACGGGGCGCTATCATCAGGGCTGAATCAATTGAGCTTAGTGACAATAGAAGTATTACGCTAAATCATATTTAGACGCTCGTAATTTCATTTCGGACATGGCGCACCGGAGAATTCGCTAGTTCAGGAGTAGCAAACGGCGCTAGCATACGAGTTAACGGGTCGGTTGTAAATTTCGAAGTCTGGACTCTGCCATGAAAGTAAATTTTCGATTTTTCCATGATCTTTTTTCACAGTAGGGGCTGCCAGCATCCCAAATCTCTCCAGCCGTCACCATGTTTCAGCACAACACACTGCCGGCATCAGCTAGAACGTTGATTTTAAAAGCTTTCGGCAGTTTAGTTGCTGTTATTCTATGTTACAAGGCATTCTCATCATATCATAGAGAGGAACTTCATGATTTCATCAACCATGCCTCGAACAATGCTTCCATCACCCTTCTCCACCATCATGGTGGCAGCGAGTGTCTACCGCAATTTGACTCTTCCCTTATTGTCAACGAGTCAGAATTTGTACGCAGATCATGTCAACAAGTCTCGCCGTATTCGCTACCACGGGCTAGGATAGGAACTGTGACTGCTCATTTCGGTGAGCCCCAGGATCATTATCAGAAAGCGCTACAAACACACCTGCTACACAGCTTGGTTCACGACACGCAACTTGAAGTTATGTGCTCTCCAGTTATGGACGACTCGGCCTGGAACAAACCTGCCTTCATTCTGTCCCTACTCCTCGTGGAACTGATGAAGCCGGCGGAGGAGCGGTTGGAGTGGCTATTCTGGGTGGACCGAGACACTCTTATACTTGATCAGTGCCGTCCCATATCAAGCTTCCTCCCACCTGACGCTCCCCAGGACCATTCATACAGGGGCCGAAGAGAGGACGAAACGAAGCATGACACGCATCTGATTGTCACGAAGGACTGGAATGGTCTCAACGCTGGCATTTTCCTCGTCCGTGTAAATCAGTGGGCTATAGAATTGTTCAGCGATATTCTTGCCTTTCGAGATTACAACCCCAATGTAACGCTTGAGTTTGCCGAGCAAAGTGCGATGGAGATTGTCATGAAAGAGCCCAAGTTCCAGAGACATGTGGAAGACGTCCCTTGGGTGTGGTTCAATGCCTATCCTGGGGATAGCCCTGCCGAGTTTGAGGAGAGGGACAGTGAGGAGGGTCTAGAAGAGCACCATGCTAGACGAGGGGACTTTCTTCTTCATTTCGCGGGTCGCAAAGACAAGGACAAGGTCATCGATGGATGGGTGGAGATGTTGAGGCGGCAGAAGGGCCCATGGCAGCCGGAACGAATACTGAGGAATGCTAATGCGAATATCCAAAGCTTCTGGGCTCAACTGGGACACCATGCCGATTGAGGCGATATCTAGGATGGCTTAACCCCCGAGTAAGGTCACTATCCGACAAAGAAGTGAATCCTTATTATGTGATTGCCTTGGCGGCTACTTTTAAGAACCTTTATCAAGCCCGGACAAAATGAAAATAGTAAAATCAGAGCTAAAAATTCATTCCAACTTGCCATTTCTATGCTATTGGTGCCGTATTCTTAAGGGGTGTGCTTCTGTATTGAGCACGTACTTCATTCGCCCGTCACTCTTCACTTGAAACTCCGAATCCTCCGCAAACATCAGATACAAGTACTTGAGTGTTTCTGCAAGCCAGAAACTCTCCATCTTGTCGATCCACTGTCCCGCCTTGTTCTCTTCTTTCTTCATTACACTGCGTAGCCCTGCGTAACCTCCCTCGACGCGACTCATCTCGTTCAGCGCCTCAAAGGCCTCCCACGCCCAGTCCTGCCACTGCTGGTCACCCGTGGCCCGGTACGCGTAGTAGAGGCTTTCTATGGTCTCGGGTCGCAGAATGTACTCGGGGTTAGTAGGGTAGAAGCCGCTGGCGTGATAGAAGGACCGCCACTTTCTTGGTGGCGGGCGGTTGGCTGATGGTTTGGTGAGAGGTTGGTGATCGTCAACCCAGCGGAACGTCTCGGGGCTGATTCCGGCAGGACTTTGACGATATACCTCGTAATATGACTTGGCAAGCTCGAGGCCAAAATCGACAAAGGTTTGGTTTTGGAGGAGCAGACCGCCAAGAATCAAGGAGCCGCCGCAGACGCTAGCCACTGTTCCATCGCATGGCTGTTAGACAACTCGACTTTTGTATAAGTGAGGACAAGGTTGATGGAACTCACAGTGGCTAGACATAGGGACAGTTGTATTTCCACGGAACTCCCCTAGAAAGGTTAGGTCCGGTCGGGTTGTCGGAGAAGATGCCAGATATTGCATCGATGACTCGGCCGCTAGGACCCAACTGTCCTTGTACTCGACAAATGACACAGGGTCGTATGCATACATCTTGATGAGGTACTCGTAATAACTATCGGAGCCGCCTCCCCAGCCACTCTGATAGTCCCCAAAGTGGCCGTTTTGCAGCCGAACATATGTGCCCACGAGGCCAGGTAATCTGAAGCCCTCAGGCTTGGGGTGAATCAGGTGCGCTTGGGCTCTCTGCGCGAGAGCAGCGTACGTGGTATTTCCGGTCAAGTCACTTAGCCGAGTCCACTCAAGAACGAGCGTACCGAAACATGTTATAGAGTTATCGATGTTACCGAGTCGACGCGGGCGTGGATTGAAAATGACTTCGTCATCTGGGACTCCACTCGGCGTGTCAAAGGCAATGCTGAGGCTGTCTGCAAGAAGTTTGGCCGTCTCTAGCAGAGTATCTCTCAAGCGTGGATCTTGTACGAGATGCTTGAATGGACCAGAGAGTAGGTCATACGCTGTATTAACAGATACATGGTTAGTCAGTCAACCCAGCAAGAACATCGAGGCACAACACATTGTCAGGGGACAGAGTTAAAACACACTATACCTGAGAGCAAGCCTCCAAGATAACGAATCGTCGTTTCAAAGAGAGAAATAGGCTGGTCGGGAACCGCAGTGACACTAAAGTCGGTCGCGGCAATCTGTCGCAGGATCTTATCCACGATCTTGGCTTCGTTCATGATAATGGCGGTGCTTAGCCCATCAACAGCAGTTGCGCCCCAACCATTGCTAGCATGGTCATCTCATGTCAGCCTCGTCGTCAATCTGACCATGAGTCTCTAGAAAAAAAAGCGAGAAGATACTCACCGATCGTCCTCGTATGTCTGACTGACTGGAAGCAAGGTGTCGTGGGGGGCCGCATATGTTTCGTAATTGTTCCACGAGAACCGAAAGGCCTCTATGATGGCAGCTGCTTTCTGGCTATCACCCTTGGTTCTTACGGGGATTAGCTGCGAGTCCTGGCTGGCTGGACCAGGGTACGCTGGGTGAGCTCGGAATAAAAAGGTAACCAGGTGGTATGCAACAAATGCCGCTCCAAGCCATAAGATGGCTCGTTGGGCTAGTGGCTTTCTCATATCCTTTTGGGATGCCGAGAGGCAGTAAAACGCAAATGGATGGTAAGATCAGAGAATAATCAGCTGGTGTTCAATTTAGAGATCGAAACGAAAACATCTTGAACCACCGAAGTGTGGAATGTGGGCGCTGCTTGATGAAGCCCCTAGATTGCCGATTTCCCCTGACTAACCAAATCAAAAGGAGACGAATGAATCTCATCTTAATTTAACGTGAAGGACGTGGCGTAAGCTGGCGTTCTACAATTCAGTCTGTATTTGGTATCGTGGGAAGCCGGCGTCTCACTAGTTCCAGATCCGGAGCTCAACCTCCCCCCTGTCGGCCGATTGTCGACAAAAAACCGACGGCTCGACACCTCATTAGTTGGCGCCAATAGCCGAGACCGTACGGTGCTTGCAGTACGTAAGTCATTAACTACTTTTCAACTTAGTGTTTGAATTATTGATTTGTGCCCCACAGACTACCGTATTGATAACGCACCGCGGACTGGGACTCACACATCGACCAAGGCCCCAGATTAGCATCATCGAGCTCAGTTACAGAGGCCGCGCCTCGGACTTTGGAGGTAATAATAGAGTCCTGTCCCCCTTCTCCACTCTCGCCTTGCGATCTCCGTTTTTTTCTTTCTACACTCCTTACACTCCTTACATTCCTTACACTCGTTTACACTCGTTTACACTTGTTACACTTGTTACACTTGTTCATTGCTAACATGCGCTGGATCTCTCTTTGCGCCGTCCTTGGTGCGGTGTTGCTGCCGGCCGTGAGCGCCCGTCCTTTGTGTCGTCCCGACGTTACCACTACACCCGTAGCTTCGTCCACCCCCTCAGCGACCCCAGTGCCTACTCCCGAGAACCTCATCCTCAACGGGGATTTTGAAGAGGAAGATCTCTCGGTTTGGTCTTTGAGAACCGTGACGGTTGAGAAAGACGCCGCCAAAGCTCATTCGCCAGACCACTATGTGTAAGCTTGCCTCAATGCAAAAGTGATCAATGATATCCCGCTAACAGGAACAGTCGTTATTTTGTCCAGAATGAGTATGCAGTCGGCGGTAACAACCTCAACCAAACCATCAATGGTCTCGACACAACTCGGCTCTACCGCCTATCTTTCTCAGCGGCCGTGTTTGGTTCTCCTTCACTGGGCGCTGCGTCCTGTTCATTGGATGCTCTCCAGGGAGACACCGTATTCAAGTCGTGGAACATTGATACCTATTTGCGGAACCGGTATAAATCATACGACACCGAATTCCTCGTCAATAGCGAGGATATCACGTTTACTTTGAGACTCCGCTGCTCTGTTGGGGTGAAAGTCACGATTGATATTGGCGTGGATGATATTGTCATGACAGATATCGGGCCAGCACGTATCTAATGCGTAGCAGACATAACGTCCATCAGTCTTCTCTACCTATAACCCTTACTATTCCAGAGTAGACTGTGTTTTATTATTAATGTCACTCGTTCTTGCGTGCAATATTTTGAAAGAGCTCGTGCTTCAAAGAAAACTCTTTAATGAACTTGATGACCTTAAATACCTGTCGGTGCTGTCGCAGGTGGGCGCTGTGTGGTATTGGCTCGCCGAGCACTTGGCAGCCAGTGTTGGTATGTCCGGGTGGCACTGGGATGAGATGATTCCAACGTGAGATATACCAACCTAACTCTCGTTGTCATTGAGATAATCTTTATTAGGAAATCCAACAATGGAATTGTATGGTTAGCTTGTTGGAGTAGATGGAGATGTACTCAACCACTTAATTTTGCGCTATTATGGAAAAAAAGGCCCGTGGATGCAACAACGGGGCTGCCAATGGAACCAAGGAAGACGTGGAAGTTGGGCAGATTCTCCGGCGCCAGCCCTACATCAGACTTGCCGATGTCTCGCTCCCACTGATCATGATACAGTCCTTTATGATAACTTGGAAGTGCTGCTTGTCTCTTTCATCTCTTCTATTAGTGGTTTTGTAACGAGTCGAAGGCCAAGGTGACTACTAAACTTAACCGGCGAAGCCAGCAGCACAGATAATGGCATGGACCTGGCACTTCTTTCCATTATTTTGAATGATAGCTTTATCGACACCCTGTGTATGTGGTAGGAATAAAATCGATATTGCCCTAAACCAGGGCGTCGAGGCACTAATGATCAGATCAGTGGTGTGTAGACGATTATGAGAAAGCATAATACTCCAGGACCGTCTCGATGAAGGAACCTAATGTTTGAATTTAGTGAATTTTCGATGTGCACGTCACAGTTACTAAGGCCCAGGTTTGGGTTTCAAGCTGAATCTTTTTCCTTTCTGCCGGAATCCTTCTAACTTTTTCGACCCGTCCAGTAGGCCTGAAGTTAGAAGGGTTGAATTGAAGCTTCAGGCAGATGCCAAAGGAGTCTGTGTAAACAAGGCAGGCCCCTCTAATGATCAGGCATCATATTACCGCGAAATACTTCGATAAGCCCGTTACTAGAACGCGGAAAACCCGTGGCGTGGGACCCTCCAGAAGAGCAGATGTAGAACCTAGCTATCTTCGAGAAGCACTGGGAGAGCGGGCAGTACAAACAGAGTAGGCAAGGCTTGTATAGATAATAATAGAGTGGATCAAAGTCGGCAGTAATCGAGCGCATATATTATAGATACGTCTGTGCCAAATACCCTTCTAGAGATACGGTATCTCTGGTAAGGGTTGCTTGGCTAGACAATCTACCCTACCTAAATAACAGCCCCTGCCGCAAATGAGATCCCCCAAGCAGAAATCAAGGCTTGAAATACCCCGTCCAGAGTTTCCGCAAGAGGCCATCCGGATCATACTTGGATGCGATAGCTCGAAGTTTGGCCTGATTCTTCTTCCCATAGCTTGCAATGACATCTTGCAGTCTCCCAGAATAGTTCATATACTCATAGCCATATCCAAATCCCCTCTCCTGGGCCATGGCGTTCAGGTTATCAATAAACTGGTTCGTCCGGGTGTCAATCATATCATCGAGGGCCGAGTCGGTCCAGGTCATAGGTATGGAGATAATATAAGAAGGGAACTCTGCAGGTTTAAGGCCCAGAGCGTTACCGCCATTCCTCTGCATGGCCTTGAACGTAGGGTTGGTGAGGGGCTGGAAGACCATGCTTGTGTTGAGAGAAGCCCCTCGAGCTTTTACATCCGCTCTAAGCTCGTTGGCGAAGGTGGTGAAGACTTTGGTGATATCATTTATAAAACCGTTGCTGTTCACGCCGTCGCTGACAGAAGTGGCGTACCATGATTGCCTCTGGCCAAACACAGATCTTGAAGTGGTTCGAATCTGGCCTGGAATGTCCGTGATGAGTGTGTTGTTGGAAAGTGGCTCTGGGAGCCGAGAGAACGCCTCCATGGTGTCGAACTCGCCACCAGGCGCGTACAGAGAGGAGAGGTTCAGATGGAAGCCGTATACCGTTGGAATGGGTGCATCGCCGGGAGCGCCGGAATAGGTGAGGCCGAATATCAGGTGCGAGTCTGGATCCTGTCCCGAGTGTAGTTTTTCCCTGGTAATCCTGGTAAAAGTATTGAGAACGTTGGCGGTATCGGAAGCCGGCCACACCGTCAGCCGGCTCCAGACGTCGCCTTGCTCGTAAGCTTCGAGGTCAAACCGGGTAACAATGCCAAAGCTAGACCCGCCGCCACCTCTAAGAGCCCAGTAGAGGTCCTTGTTTTCTTTTGGGTTCGCGTTCACAATCTTGCCTGATACAAGAGCGACCTGGAAGTTCCGAACGTTATCGCAGCCCAGCCCTCGCCTGCCGGTCAGGAACGAGAGGCCACCTCCCAAGATAAACCCTGAAACGCCTACCGTAGGGGCGCGGCCGCCAACCACCGCGAGACCCAGGGGTGTTACAGTGTCAGTGACGTTGATCCAGCGGGCACCAGGGCCAACAGAGACTGTGGAGCGGTCGGAGGAGACATGGATGTCACTCATCGAGTCCATAGTAATAACGACTCCTGCCTCAATATTAGATCCCTTGGCGAACGCGGTGTGTCCTCCGGCCCTAACAGTAAAGGGGCTGTCATGCTTGGTCACAAGCCCCAGAGCCTTCGAAACATCTTCGGGGCATGCGGGAAGAACTATGCAGGAGGGCTCCATGTCCTGTCTGCCTGACCAGTAGACGTTGGACGCGTTGTATGCGGCCGTGTTCGGGTATGCCACCTTGCCTGGCAAAGCAGTGTTGATTATCTCGCACTGCATGCTGAGTCAATATCACCATGTGCAACATTCTCTGAAAGTAGGATACCTACTACCGGCGGGGATTTGCCTGTCGGGTGTGCGAGACATAGCAAGCCATGCATCAAGCCTGAGAGAAGAAATCCGGCAACAGCGTGCTGCATTGTGAAAATTGTATTTGAGTTAAGTCAATGGTAGGTAAGTAGAGCGGTAAGAACATGGACATAGAGATTCTACAAGATATCTGCGATGCTGATGTATCATATAATATATACTTCATAGCACCACGACAACAACAACGAGCACAGCCACAGGATAGTTTCCCCTCATCCACCCTTCAAGGGTGTCAAATGTACTGCCAAGACATCGGGGTCGCATTCGAGATGGACCAGCAATACCTGTGCTTATACGTATATCCTGGCTTTGCATCAAGCCGGAAGCGACGGATCGGCACCGGCAATACAATTTCGTCGTGGGCGTCTCGGGTTGTCGTCATAGTCTGAGCTGGACGCGATCAGTGCAACTCTGCGGGGGCACATAGCAGGGGTAAAAGAAAGAGCCCGTTAGGCGTTCCCATTTTTCAAAGTTCTTCATCTATTTAGTGGTGTTCGTTCTCGCTTTGGTTACGTCACCGTTTATCAAAAGACTGGGCGAGTCGGCCCACAACTAGTCGGTTAATGCCTTCGGCCACTGGTTGAGTCCAGAGCTTATTGCTTGTGACGAGCATGAGAAATGTTTGATAAGACTGTGCCACAGAGGTATAGCACCTAAATAATAGATATACCAGTATTCGTATCACCGTCTATCTAGATACAGAATTCTTGCCAGGTCATACTCGAATGAGGCAATGGCACAGCTCCACGTCTGTTGTGGTAGGACACAGGTGGTATCACCGACAACGTGGTAATGTTGGCTGGCCTACTAAGTTCAGTCTTCTTTTAAGAATTTAAAAGGTTGTGAACCCCATGTTTCATATTCGTATATTTTCTTAGGACAAATTAATGCAGGGATGAGAGCTACGCCCAGGGGCTGTGCACACGGTGATCACCATGCGGGTCGTGACGGACTAATAAAGCAGGGTTGTGTACGAAATACGCCGACATGCTCGTTCTCGTTGTCAAATTAACACACGTACTTTACGGCCTCATGCACCAAGCAGTGACAGGTCACTTAACCCGAGTCATTAATGTTAGTCTACCAGACAACTCTCGAAATAGACCCGCCTTTATTTTTGGGTGATATAGATCACTGGGTACATGAGTCGGCACGTATACATACTATTTACTGAGACTCAGCTCTTAAGCTACACAGGGAATAGGGGATATTAGGACTGACTTAGAGGGGGTTGCGGAGCCTTCACCCAACTAGTGGTACTCGTTCTCGTTCTCGTTCCTATCCCCGTTCGCTTTCCCGTCCCGATAGCTTTTGATGTATAGCAGAGGACACAGACGCGCAATCAACTCGCTAAGCCATGAATCATCGCGTTCCCGTTCGTTCTCATCCCGTCTGTCTTACACCTTACAGCAGGTATATAGAGCCCAAGGCTCTCAAATGTCTTCTTACAACCTTCATCCACACCAACACACGCTACAATACTCTAGCTTGTCTCATTTGCAATGAAAACCAAGAATTTCTTCAAGCGGGCATGTGCTGCGCTTTTGCTTCTGGCATCCTACACAGAAGCATTCACCCCGACGTGCCGCAACCTGCCGGGCGACAGGAATTGACCAGCAAAGGCGACTTGGGATGCCTTCAAGAGGCGAAGCACAGAGCTTTGCTACCTCTAACGGTCTCATCATTGTCGGAGGTGGCTGTCCTTCCGTCGGATTTGCTGGCGGCTATGTCCAAGGGTCCGGACACTCGCCCGTGGACTCGACATACGGCAGGCGGCCGACTAAACGCTTGAGTTCGAGGTGGTCACGGCGTCTGGGGACTTGGTTTTTGCCAATCGACGCAAGAACTCGGATCTATACTAGGCGTTGAGCGGCGGTGGCCCCGGCAATTACGGCGTTGTCACGTCGGTAACAGTTCGTGCCTACCCAGATGCGACCACTGCCGGGGCTACCTTGTTCTTCAATACAACTGGCATGCCTACCGATATTCTCTACTCGGCATTGGAGCGTTTCTACTCTGTTCTTCCGTCTTGGACTGATGCACGCCTTCATGGCGGGTTCGCCTTTTCATCCTCATTCTTCTCCATCGCCATAACAGCCTACAACCAAACTTCAAGCACGGTGGAATTCAACATGACACCTTTTCTACACATGTTGGACAACCCCAACATCACCTACTCAGTCCAGTTCGTTGACCAGCCTCGATACTATGACTTATGGATGTCAAAGGACTCTGGTGCCGTAGGAACACATTGGGGCTCTAGTGGACGTCTTATTCCGAGGGCCACTCTGCAGAATCCTGATAGCCTTGCAGATTTGATGCGAGTGATCCAATTCCAGGTCGAAGATGGCGCAATTGTAGGTGGAACCGTCCTCAACGGGACGAGCCGGACGGGCATTCCCAACGCGGTGAACCCAGCTTGGCGTCAGGCTACTGTCCTCGCGTTGACAATAACCGATTGGGATTTCTCGGGGACCTCTGAGGCATGGAATAGGATGCTGGAGAATCAGGAAAAGGCTACCGAGGTCTGGGATCCCATGTGGGATGCTGTTACGCCTGGAAGTGGTAACTACGCTAATGAAGCCGACGTTGCGAAACCCAACTGGAAGAAGGCCTTCTATGGATCCCATTACGATCGGCTCCTGGAGATCAAGCGTAGGTGGGATCCGAAAAGTGTCTTTTATTGAAATAGGAATGTGGGCAGCGATCAGTGGAAAGTCACTGCAGACGGAAGGATGTGTAGGAGTGTATGATTGGGTTGTGGCCAGAGGAAATCGCTGAACGAGGGATGGTTTTTTTTCCTTCTCCATTGATTTTGGAATTTTAGATAGTCCAATAATTTAAAGCTGGCCCGGAACCATATTTGCTTGAGACTCATAAATTGCTTATCCTAAAAGGCACCCCCCAGCGGACATGGATCTTCGAGGGTGGAAGTCGTGACAAAGCCTTCTTCACACCCTGATGCTCTATGCTTCCACGAGATCAGCCAGGATATCATGAGGACGGCGTCACCACGCACTTAAAGGCAGTCATTATTTATGCGCAAGCCATTCGGAACCTTACCAGATGTGTGAGATCTAATAATAATATCAAGCATCTTAAGCAACAGCGCGAATCTCCAGTCCTTCTAGGTCACCCTTCGTATCCCAATCCTCCACTATACTAGCATAATCAAGGAAGCCTTCGCCCCAGTTTCCTGCACGCGCAACGCTGGCCTCCTCTGCCTTGGACTTGGCCCTTTTGCCCTCCCCCGTACCATAGCTTGGCGTGCAGCCCTCAATGCACCCGAAGCCGGAAGCTGTCTCTAGGACTCTCTGCGTCCAGGCCTCTTCACCTTCTGCAGTCGGCTCAACGACCAACTTCTGTTGTGCCCCACCATCGCAGGAAGCAAGCTTCTGCCGTGCCTTCTTGATGGCACTGGCCATATGCGTTGCCATCACATCGACCATGTGCGCGTAGTTGACCGTGGCGCCCATCTGATAAACACCAGAAAGGAAGAGATTGGGAAAGTCACGACTCATCAGCCCGTACAGTGTGGCCAGCTTGTTTGACCACTTTTCCTCCATTTCCATGCCGTGTCGACCGTGGAACTTCATGCCTGCGCGGAGAGAAGGCCCTCCAGCAGTCAGGGGCTCGAATCCAGTACCATAGATCAAGATATCCACTGGGTATTCTTTGCCATCAAACACAAGGCCGGACTTAGTTATCGACTCAACACCTCGGCCTTGAGTGTCCACAAGAGTCACGTTGGGCTAGTTGAAGGTGTGTAGATAATCGTCGTGGAAATAAGGCCGCTTGCACCAGCCCGGGTACCACGGGGTCAACGACTCAGCAATCTCACGGTTCCTGACCACATCGCGTACTCGCTTGCGTATTCTCTCTTGGCGAGGAAGATCGACTTTATGCAGCTGAGAAACATACGCGGGGAGTGTTTCCTTGGTCAGCCCGGCCGTGGCGGGACCGCCGATGAGGGCAGCATACGAAGGAAACGTGGCCCAGGCATCTTGGACAAGGTCTTCATCGGGCCTGCAGCCCTCGACAAACATGGCCATGTTCTCACGACGACATTTTTGCCAGCCTTTTTTGTTGCTCACCTCGGCACGAAACTGCTCGGCATCAACCTTCTGCTGACCGCGAACGTCGACGGCGGAGGGAGTACGCTGGAACACATACAGCTCCTTGGCCCATTTGGCAAGATGGGGGGCGACTTGGATGCAAGCGGCGCCAGTGCCGATGATGGCCACCTTTTTGTCACCCAGGTTACTCAATGTTGCGTCTTCTGGGGACCCTCCGGTAGCCTCGTAATCCCATCTAGCCGTGTGAAAGACAGTCCCTTCGAACTTGCTAGAGCCGAGAATTCGAGGCAACTTGGGATTGGTCAGGGGCCCAGCCGTCATGATGAGGAACTCAGTGCGGAGTGTCATGGGCTTCAACTGGCCGTCTTTGGTTTGCTTCAGGAACTCCAAGATCCACTCGGATTCCGTATAATCCCAAGTGGCCGATTGCACCGTGGTCTTCCAAAGCGCTCTGTCGTTCAGGCCGTAGGTCGATGCGAGAAGCTCTGCTAACTTTTACTATACTATTTTATACTAAATTACTTACTATAATCTATATTACCTATTCTAGATCTGCTTATCTTATCTCTATTTTATTCTTATTAATAATAATAATTTATACCTATTCTATCTAAGATATTAGTATAAATAGATTAACTATTTCTAACTCCTCTATTAGTATCTCATTAAATACTACTGCCAGCTCGTAAAATAGCAAAGCAATTATATCTTCTGAACTTTCAGATACGAGATATAGCGTTGCGGAGTGGGTTGGTTGTTGGCAGGGTGTGGAGGTCAATCCACATCTTGATCGCCCGCCTCCAGAAACGCTCCTGTGCACTGGCGATATGCGCCTCTGCTTCTGCTACGCTTGTTGCCACCGTGAGGAATGTTCCCACGATCAGTGGTAACCGAGAAATGTGCCTGGAGGAACTACGAAGTAAGTTCCGGAAGGTTCCTCAGGCTGAACTTTGCCTGGAGGAACTACGAAGTAAGTTCCGGAAGGTTCCTTAGGCTGAACTTGCCAGACACACTGAAAGCACGGACCATTTTGCCAAGACTTTGCCGATTTTACGGTGCCATTTATGTATTTTTTACTGTCAACTTTTACTCTGAGCAATGGCTTACTGATGCGAGGCGGATTGGTCTGCTGTAAAGGGTAGCTAGATGGCTAGGGCCTAAAGAGGCCTAGCTGTGAGTAGTGTGGCGATCGGGTCAATACGCTAGCCTCGTGAGGTTAGTATACGCTAGGTCCTGATCTGGGGGGTTTATGTGATCACCTTGCTTACAGGGTTGATCACAGTGATCGTGGAGATGATTACGGTGATCATCTCCATGGTTTAGCGTAATCACTTATGATTGGTGAGAGATTTATACGTGGGCCTCATCGCACGTGACATGTGTATGTCAGGCCGTGACAAGGAGAGCCTGGCAGGCTGATTGCTCTCGAGCCGACATCGCCGACAGAGAAGCAGGAGACCACCATCAACCCCGAAGCAAGGTCGAAGCACGGGGCGAGGCCCTGGGTATTGATATTGCTCTACGAGAGAAGCTAATCCACTAGTAAGATCACGAGACAAATATCTAAGACGAAGAAAATGCAATCTCGCGGAGGTCTAGCATAAGAAGCGAGCAAGCCGGAGGGATGACAGTCTTGCGCTCTATCCCTTTGACCGTGGTAAGACTACACTTGGGCTAGTGACAGGGGATCAGACCAATAAAAATAACGCAAATGAAAGGTACCTCTGCCCCCACCTATTTTAGGTGGTGATAGAAGTCCCAGCAATTTCCCTTATTACAAAGAGCTACATTACACTCCTTACATCGCCAACGTGACTGCTTAGGGCGGCTGTTGCCGCCGCTGTCTGCCTCCAACGGCCGCGGCCGTGGCTCGCCTAGCCGTACACGCTTGCAAGCAAGGCATGCCGACGGATTCTTATTTCGGACCCAATTGTGCTGTGATACAGGCGTAAATTCGTCTCCCGTTCGAAACCACTGTCGTGACTGACTTTGGGTTGCGTACGCTGCAATGAGGTCATCAACAAGGCGTTGCCGCCAACTCTTCTGCGATGACTCCGGCTTCCACTGTGGCTGCCCTCGTAGCTGTAAAAGGAAGCTGTTAATAAGGGCTATTTCTAATAGAAAGTCCCAAGCAAGGGCCTTCCAGCCGCCCCTACGCACACGGCGATTAGGGCCCCAATAAGACCGCAGTTGGTCACCACGGTCTACAGCATTCATCTCAAGATTGTAAGCAGCTGCGATAGACGGGATAGAAAGCAGCTTGACAGGCTCGTCACCAAAGAAACGCTGTATTGGCCGTGATTGCATTTGGTCCCCTGTCGGTCTTTTCCTCTTACAGTCACTCCTTTCATTGCCCGTAAACGCGGTTGAAAGAAATAGCACGAGGGCGTTGTCTTTCCACACGATCTGATTGACCTAGCGGAAGACAAATTAGTAGGGGAAATACAGCATAATAATGTCCTAATGACTGACCTTATTATCTGCTGTAGGGATAGCTTTAAGAGTGTTGAATTTGATGCTGCCGGCAGCTGTATTATCTGCAGCCTTGAGCTTGACGAGAGATGTGTGAAGACCACAGTTACGGCGGGCTGTGCCTGTGGCCCCGTGACCAAGCTGACGGAGCCGGCGAAAGAGGTCATTAGAAGAGAATAGGTTATCGAGAAAGACGTGATATATGGAATCCGGCAGCAGATTTACTAGGGCAACAACCACAGCTTGAGTCGGGTTCAGATAGATCATCCTCTCTCGTATCCGCTGCCGGCTCTGCCGTAGCTGTGACCCTTGCCGGAGCCGTCGAGCCGGCCGGACCCCTACAGGCCCGAACTTCCGGCCCGGCCTGTGCCAAATCCACCGGAGGAAATAGCCCTGTTGGGCCACAACCCAGACTTTGAAGCCCGTTGGGATCGGCTTATTAGGGACGGTTGTTGTATCAAGGGACCGGCCAAGGAAGCGGACCATACACTCATCTACAGCGATAGCTGTGCCCGGGATGAAGAAAACTGTAGACGCATACTGTATGTGGTCAGACCAGGCGTTAACCCGGCTATAGGTCCGGCCAAGGAAGGTGATATCAGGACCCTGATCAATCGTTATAAAGTCAAAGAGACGAATATGTCGTGATAGTTGCGTAAAGCAGTCATGACTCATATACTTAGTGACTGGGTGTGAGGGCTCTATTTGCTGTAGCTTAGAAACCTTCCAATAGTCCTTAATCGCTGGTTCTATATGAATTTGCATATAAATCAGGATCGCAAGCCATGTGTAGAGTTCAGCAACAGAGGTCGGCTTCCAAGTTAACAGTCGTGACCGCGGCTTTAAAATGCGGATGCTAGCTTCGTGCTGCTGCAAGAGATAACCAACCCAGCTATTCGTGTAGCTGACCCATCCCTCTACTAGAGAAATAGGTAGGAATGCCTGGAATAGTAACAGTGGCTGCTGGGGCAGAGCTGCTAACACAGGGGCCGCGTTGGGAAGGTTCATCGGCTCGAAGTTGTAGCCGCGATCCGGGACCGGATTTTTGATTGGCCGGCACGTATTATCAGTTGGATGCTCACGGCGGCTGCCGCAGTCAACGCGAATGAAGCTATTGTCATCATACACATTGACTGCTTGGCTAGGGGGCAGTTGGGAATCCATAGGGACATTAAGAACGCATTGTATGAGGAATTAGGCGGGGTTGTTTCTGAACGTGCTCTAGGTCACTCTCTTGTACTCAGCCGCGGCAGGGGGTGGTGTGGGGCGCCAAGCCCAAGTGTAGTCTTACCACGGTCAAAGGGATAGGAGAAGCTGAGGCACTGCAGGAGGGAATCGACAGCCAGCCAGAGGGGGGCAGCCAGAGACTGGTGAGTTGACATCATCGATATCCTCTACCCCACATATTTGCACACTCGATATTACAAATCGGAAGTTGAATAACCAACCAGGAAGACTGCTATAAAGTTACGGCGAGAGACTGGCGAGTTATTAGAAGAGAGTGACAGATTCATGAACCTTATTATGTAGGACTACTGGGGCGGATTGGACTGATGCTGTGAAGGGTAGCTAAATGGCTAGGGCCTAAAGAGGCCTAGCTGTGGGGAGCCATTTTTGGCTAAAGAAGATCGGCCCCATTATATACTACAACCCATGCGCTACAACACATATGCCATAACCCACCTAACAACGCGCCATCTTATTTTTCTTGTAAAAGTCAAGTGTCATAATTGATTCTTATAAAGAAATGCTATTTAGAATGCCGAGGACCTTTTCAATATACCTCACACCTACCGCCACTCCATCCTCATCTTGGAATTCTCGTTCGTCACCAAAATCCAGGTTGTCCTCGTCCAGACAAGTCAAGCATGTCTCGACCACCTCGCTGTATTTAGTACCCATCTTAGCTCTTAACATATTGCTACGACTAAGAGTAACTAGGTGCTCCTTCAGTATATTGGGATTCTTAAGCTGTGACCTGTCTTCAGTGAGACTAAGAGCTGTCGACGGCTGCGCAGCCCCGTCGGGGTCGTAAGCAACGAGCGACTCCCACAGACCAATCTCGAGGAGGCATACGCCAAGGCTGTAGATGTCGTGCTGCATCACATAGTAGTCGACGTTGTTTCCCTGCCGCAGCGGATGCCGGTATAGATTGGACTCCCACTTCCTATCGATCACCGGGTATGTCCTCCCATCCGCGTTTCGGATGACCTGAAACCCAACTAGGCATGCCATGCTGGGGAGTCTCCCCTCCTCCGTCTCGCTGAGGCTCAGTATCGTCTCAGGACGGATATTCTTGTGTACGAACCCGTATAAGTGAACGTAATAGACAGCATTGACAAGCCTTTTCGCCATCTCGAGGCGGTCGGAAAGTGAGTCATGGGCTTGGCCGGAGAGCAGCAGTTGCCGAACCGTGCGGATGGCCGTGTATCCCTCTGGAACCCGGAAGAGGAAGGCCATGCCGGAGGTCTTACCCTGCCGCACGACCCCCTTGCAGCTAAAGACTCCAAAGGTGAGGGGATCCGAGTCTCGAAGACGGAGGGCAAACTCCCGTGCGTCTTTGGACCGGACTGCCCCGTTGGTGACCATGTCGACAATGAGCCGTCTGGAGTCTCCTGGACGCGTGGCTATCAGGGCCGTGCAGGACAAAATGGCTTCTTTGTTATAGCCGTCTAGCTCCTCTTCGCGAATAAAGACGCTCTGGGATTCTGTCGAGGGCCCTTTGAACGCTCGACGAAACTTCCGGGCTACCAAACTGAAGTCTGCTGCTCCTGTAGGTCCGGTTTTGGTGACGTTGTTGAGCGTCGCGTCGACAGTAGGAGGAGCAAGTTTGATCAAGTGAAACCAAGAAGGCTCGTAGAGTCTCTGCCAGGATTCCAGTTCTGCTATGGTATCCTCAAGGGTATCCTTCAAACGCACGAACTGTAGCTTTTTTACCATTTCGGGCATTTGGCGCCGGGAAAACTTTGAGAGATTCTGAGTAGCTGCATCCAACTTGCCCCGGAGGATGCAAAGAGTTCGCTGTTGAAGAGCTTTGTGGTCGTCGGTCATGGTGCTTTCTAGCTCCTTGGTCACCTCTAGCTGGCTGAGAACTCGTGTCCAACACACTTCAATGCGGACAATCATCTCGCCGACCTTAGCGTCAGCTTCCCGGTAGTCCTTGCATGCCTGAACCAGAGCCTTTCCCCATCTTTTTTTTTTTATCTAGTTAGCCCTTATGATCATCGGTGATATCTATGGAATTATTGTCCTGGATACATACTTTATGCATACGTCGATAGTCCCGGCAAGGCCAACAACTCCAATAGCGAACTCAGCCATTAAGTGCTGAAACCTAGAAGTCAGTGGAATTTTCGAAGGTCGTGCTCAGGTGGAAGTCCGGGATGTGTGTATTGCTACCGTTGCTTCAGTGTGCGTCTGAGTGTAGGAATACAGTCGCAAAGACAACCCAACCCGAGAGTCGATCGGAGTGCGGGGAACTGACTAGGGGTCAATCCGCCTCCCTCAAGACAGAGATTTGCAAATGGGCAACCGCGCGGACCGCCAACCTTTCTAAAGATGCAAATGGTGTGATAATGACGTAGAAGGCTGAACGGCAGTCTGAACGGCGGTAGGTGGCTTGCTAGGGTCACCCCAATAGTTGATCAACGCGTGTGCACGAGTCCTACACAATGCGGCAATTTCGCGATTCGTCAGGATAAGACGTTGGGCCTCAATCTGACAATGTCATCAACCGACCTTCTCAGAAATCCCACTCGGCAGGGTGTCCGCCACAGATATGGCACCTTCTATCACCTGCGACAGTACGTAGAATGCCGGGAAATGGTTTGTGATATATTCGAAACTGATGCTTATATTGACGCTGCACGTCGATTGCCATTTCAATCAAGTGTGTTACTTTCTCGAGCTGCTGTGTGAGACCGCGGTGGCTGGGTCTCCAGCTAACAGGGGGATGATGGAAGCCAATCTAAACGGGGGTAGCGCTTACAAGCCGGATGCATACAGGAAGCTTTCTAACCTATGCCTCTCCACATACTTATCTCACTAGGTAGCTCGCATGACCAAAAGAAATGGACCATAGGCAATGGTGATTTGCTTGATGTTAAATATCCGCGGCCTAACATATTAGCCGGTACAACCAATTAACGCACATAGTAGTGCAGCAGGTGACAAGTCGTGACGTGTGGTGTAAAAACTAGCCAAGGTCTAGATAAACCCACTTCATTCCCTGGCGCTAATGGTCACGGCGATCATCCAGGTAGAATTCTATTCAATTTCCCCTAAGATTCACCTATCGCCAAATTTGTAGAAATACTTATCTCAATGGAGCATGAACTACCGGACTATGTGCGGGACTACAAGCTGGAGACCACATTCCCTAAGAAACGCGAAGTTGTCCACATCTATGATGACCCTGATGCGCCTCCATCGTCGCAACGACGGTTGGAATGTTGGAAGCGTGACAAACGGCCCATTGGCCGTGGCGGCCAGGGGCAAGTTTTTTTACAGACATGCATCAATGGCAGTCGACATTATACCCATCGCGCAGTGAAAATAATCCCACTTCAGGATGGCGGCGGAAGACGACGATACATTCGAGAGCTCGAAACCATTGTCAAATTCTCTCACGACAAGGTACGTGCTCGTCCGGGTTTCCATGTCATGCCACAGCCAGGCCGTTGAGCGCAATAACGGGCTATGAAGGCACTTCATGCTGACTCAAACGAGTAGTACTCCAAATACTTCGTGAAGTCGCTGGGATGGTACGAGAATAAGGACTCGTTGTGTATCGCCATGGAGTATTTCCCTACAGGAGATTTGCAGACATATCTCTGCGACCACCCTGCCTTACCTGAAGACGACTCCCGCCAGATCACCAGTCAAGTGCTGCGGGGCTTGGTAATCATGCACGGAGAAGGTTTTGCTCACCGTGACATTAAGCCTCAGGTGAGTGCACTCCGAAAAACTCGACCGCCGTTCGTTCAATTTGGTAGTGGACAAGTATCTGACCTCCGGCATAAGAATGTCTTAATTCAACAACGTCCAACACCTACAGAGCCAGGCTCTTGGTGGGTTAAACTTTCAGATTTTGGTATCAGCAAGAGACTGGAAGCAGCTACTAGCGGCGCAAGCACAGTGATCGGTACCGTCGAATACATGGCACCGGAGCTCTTTGACCAAGACAGCCTCCCGGATATCAACTACCCGGCAGCAGACATGTGGGCCTTGGGCGTCATGACCTTTTGGATATTGACCAAGTCTCGTGTGTTCTCGAGTCAACGGCATTTCTTTCAGTATGAAGCGCGCCCAGACACACTCTTCCCTCGTGGCTCTTTGGTCGATTTTCATGTCAGCCTAGACGGGCAGGCTTTTATTCGTGCATTGATGGGGCCGAAGCCGGATGAACGGCTAGACTCTAAAGCAGCCATTTGTCATGCCTGGGTTCAGTCTTGGATGCCAAGTGCGCCAATGATTTCAGACGATCGCAGCGAGTAAGTCCAGCGACTCACAGAATGTTCTGAGCTGACAGTTGACGATATAGATCATCAACTTCTTCTTCCGAAAGGAGTTCGTTCGATGACGAGAGAGGAATGACAACACAGGTCTCAAACATGACTGATCTCTCCAATGCTTTCCAAGTGGGCTCGAGTACCCAACTGACCGTTATTCCACGGAAGCTTTCATACGAGGTGCTTAACCATCATATATCGAACTTCCATGCCGAAGGGTCCAGCGGCTAACCGTCTATACATGATCAGGTCCAGACACAGCTATTGCCAGCAGTAGAGATGGGGGACGAGGCCGAGGTCGAGCTACTTCTCGAGAAAGGCGCTGACCTAGAGGTCAAAGATGGCGATGGCGACGGGCAGACACCGCTATCGCAGGCAGAAGCGAGCGCGCTTGAGGCTGTATCCAAGCTGCTTCTTGAGAAAGGCGCCGACCTAGAGGCTAAAGATGGCGACGGTCAGACACTACTATCGCGGGCAGCAGCGAACGGGCACGAGGCTGTGGCCAAGCTGCTTCTCGAGAAAGGCGCTGACCTAGAGGTCAAAGATAGCAATGGCCGGACACCGCTATGGTGGGCAGCAGCGAACGAGCGCGAGGCCGTAGTCAAGCTGCTTCTCAAGAAAGGCGCCGACCTAGAGGCCAAAGATGCCTCCGGTTGGACACCACTATTAACGGCAGCAGCGAACGGGCACGAGGCCGAGGTCGAGCTGCTTCTCGAGAAAGGCGCTGACCTAGAGGTCAAAGATAGCAATGGCCGGACACCGCTATCGTGGGCAGCAACGTACGGGCACGAGGCTGTGGCCAAGCTGCTTCTCGAGAAAGGCGCTGACCTAGAGGCCAAAGATCGCCGGGGTCGGACACCGCTATCGCGGGCAGCAGGGAACGGGCACGAGGCCATGGCCAAGCTGCTTCTCGAGGAAGGTGCCGACCTAGAGCCCAAAGATATCTACGGTCGGACACCGCTATCGTGGGCAGCAGGGAACGGGCACGAGGCCGTGGCCAAGCTGCTTCTCGAGAAAGGCGCCGACCTAGAGGCCAAAGACCGAGAGGCCGGAGGTCGGGGTCGGACACCGCTATCGTGGGCAGCAGCGAGCGGGCACGAGGCCGTGGCCAAGCTGCTTCTCGAGAAAGGCGCCAACCTAGAGGCCAAAGATGCCTACGGTGGGACACCACTATCGCGGGCAGCAGAGAGCGGGCACGAGGCCGAGGTCAAGCTGCTTCTCGAGAAAGGCGCCGACCTAGAGGCAAAAGATATCGAGGGTCGGACATCGCTATCGTGGGCAGCAGGGAACGGGCACGAGGCCATAGCCAAGCTGCTTCTCGAGAAAGGCGCCGACCTAGAGGCCAAAGGTCAGGGTCGGACACCGCTATGGTGGGCAGCAGGGAGCGGGCACGAGGCCATGGCCAAGCTGCTTCTCGAGAAAGGTGCCGACCTAGAGCCCAAAGATATCTACGGTCGGACATCGCTATCGTGGGCAGCACAGCGCGGGCACGAGGCCGTGGCCAAGCTGCTTCTCGAGAAAGGCGCCGACCTAGAGCCCAAAGGTGGCGACGGTCGGACACCGCTGTGGTGGGCAGCATCGTACGGGCACGAGGCCGTGACCAAGCTGCTTCTCGAGAAAGGTGCCGACCCAGAGGCCAAAGGTAGCTACGGTACACCGCTATCGCAGGCAGCAGCGGACGGGCACGAGGCCGTAGTCAAGCTGCTCCAAACCTATACTATCACCATGAAGACCTAAGTCGTCACTGATCCGTTCTAGTCTCTCGACCCATGCGCGACCTAACCTGGACCAGGCGGTCTGAGATTGCAGAACGTTGACTAAGCGCAGCAATACGGAGTACCCCAAGTACTGATCAGGAAGGATCATACTGGATCACCGCGGGACGCCCATAATCCGGGACGATCCATTAGGGGATCATCAGGGGATCATCAGGGATCAGCAGAGGGACATGAGCCACTATGATCCCAGGAAAAGTGCACAATATAGACCCTATATATTCCCGTGGACTAGGCCATACGCTCCTCGGCTATCAATACAACTATTTTTCCCCCTCTTTGTTCTTAGAGGTTGTAGGGGCTGGAATAAATGTATCTTCCTTTAGATTGAATGTTTAAGAATTAAATACAATTATTGCTAGACGCTAGGGAGCTCTAAAAGAGAATAGGACCGAGCCGGCCAGGGAAAACAGCGATAATGAGTAATAAATAGTATAGCTAGTAGGGCAATGAATACCTGCAAAGGATATATATCAGGTTGGGGTTGGAGGCGGCGAAGATCTTAGTGATGCCATATCCATAACATCACCGGCGATAGTGCCTGGTCTAAAAGGCATCGACACCCACGCCCACATTCTCTCCTTCCTCCTTTCCCTTCAAACAGACACCTGCGAGGACGCCTACAACTGCCTAATGCATACCTACCCCAAGGCGCCACCTACCTGGTACAGGACGGTGCTTGTCAGTCTCGTTCCTTCACCAGCTTAATTGCGCTAGCACAGTTCCTCCAGGCTTCCTTTGGCGGGCCGCTTGCCGGACCGGTCCCTCCTGTTGCCAGACACGCAGAAAGCACGGGCCAGCTTTGCCAAGACTTCGTCAATTTTACGGTGTCATTTATTTATTTCTACTATCACTTTGTACTGTAAGCCGAGCATTAGATTTCGAGAATAAAGTGAGAAGAAACCTCCACTTCGCACCCTCTTCTCCAATTACCCCTTCTATTCTGTAATCAGCAGATAATAAAAGTCCCGTCAATAAATTGCGCTTTGAAATCCGTCTGCTCCTCATACTTCTCCCACTTAGGCTTCGCCATCCCAATTCGCTGGAAGACGGGCTCGTCTGAATTGAACATTGTGAGCAGTAAAAATCAAACCTCGTCATCGGGATGGAAGCCGTTTTCGTCAGGGTCCAAAGGAGACTCACCCTTCGTGGCACGCGTCGTTGCTATATGTAGGCAGAACATTGGTTGGCCCTCGAAGACCCACCACTTGTCATCTAAGCTCCAGTCGTAATCAGGATAGACCAGCATATTTGTTACTAGCTCTTTGTTGTACCTGACATCGGGATACTTCCTGCTGGAGTTAGCAGGCTGATGGCAGCTGATTATTGCAGCGGAGCCGGAAAGTGTGATTTCCCCGTATAGTACCTCCCCCCCTGAGTCGCGGCCGGTAGTGACGATTCTGGCCCTTTTAATGTCTACAGCTGGAACCCAATCTGCTATATCATCATATGTAATGCCGTTCTTGACAGAGGCCCATGACCATGAAGGTGCACGATATGGGGAAGGCTGCGGCTTTAGGTCACTGTAGTAGTTCCCAGGGAACACCCCCTCTTTCTTTTCTGCGTACCAGAAAAGGCCAATAAGGAGAAATTCTCCATCCCAGAGACCGGCCAAATATCGGACATCAGCCGCCGGCTTGTATTTCTTTATGACGCCAGCTAATGCAGGCAATATGTCATTCTCCTTTGTTAGGTCGAGGCTGGAATAGGCGGACGCTATATGGTTCCAGAGAAAGATATTGTTTTGGAACAAGAAGAGCGACTTCTTTGGAGTGTTCGAGGCCCGGTCTATGCCTTCGTTGACGCATCTACATTCACACTCTTCCCCTTCTATGCATTCCCATACGAGCTCCTGAGGACCAAAATGCAGTACACGCCGTGAGAGAATCTGTTCCTGGAAGACCCATCCACGCCGAAGCAAGGGGAACCCATCGGCAGAATCGAAATGTTGGACCTTACGCCAGACTCTTATGACGGAGTTCTCTCCTCCGTTCAGCGTAAATAAGAAGTCACAGAGCCGATGATATAGTGATTCGGAGAATAGCCCCTTATCCGGCCCTCCACTTCTGGATGCGGCGACTGTCAGGTATGCATTGCCGTAGGTCTCATGCATTCGAAGTCCTTCCTTCTGCCAATCCTTATTATCATCCTGGATTATACAGAGGCTATCAATCCACAAGTACCGCTTCTTCAATTGACGCGTAATTCCCACCGCATCTTTAAATATCTTCAGCAGGTCCCTAAAATTAATAGACTGCATACATTCGGCAATATTCTCTTTCGTAGTTTTAAACATTAAACCTATCCCCCAGCAGTAACTCAGGCAAACATAATCGGCGTAAGTATTACTTATCTCGATCAGGCAAATATCACCCCCAACAGGAACTTGAGTCTGTCCTCCGTGCAGCTCGCCAAGATCAAGAAGTCTCTTCAGTAGCGGGATTTCGGAGAGTCGAGTGCAGTTGTGGTGTTCGGAGTCGCACCGCGCAATTATGCTATTTATCCATTGTAGAGCCTCGATTGAACCTGTATTTCCAATAATATCTTGAAGAACAGACACCGTAGCGTAGTGAGAAATCGCCGGTTGGGTTGCAAAGGGGCCCATGTCAGGAATATCATACACCTGAACACTATTCTGCATTCTGCTTGCTGTCATCCACGCGACCTCCATCCATGTACCGTAGTGGTAAATTCCGATCTCCGACTCATCATCAATTAGCAGAGCGTAATTTTAGACGGCTTCCGAGATGAGTCGACAGAATTAACACCCTCTCTCCATCGATCTACAGAGGTTTCTTTTACAAGCCCATCATACCCATACATAACCCCACAAGCAAACCGCACATAGTGGAGTATGTGGAACGGCAGCATTCAGCCCGGAAAAGGGGAGGCACATAAGCTCTGTTGTTATTCCAGAGGTAAATGGTGTGATTTCAACATCCTCCAACCGCAAGGCCGACATAGTGGGACTTTTCCGGTATCTTAAGGTGCTTATTTGTCACAAGTTAGAGAGATGAGATAATATGGGCAATAGCGGGAACAGCTCCAAAATTAAAGTAATCCGCGTCTCATTGCAAATGGCCATTGACTGAATTTGTGAAGTGGCGCCGGGCTTCAGCCCTAAGCCTTTGGGAAGTGTTACAACTGTCGGACACGTAAGCGGGTTATTTACGGTCCGAGTTAATATATTCAATGCACAGGGAAGTAGATGATAATAAGGGGGCCTAATAAAGCTATTCCAATTAATCAAATCTGTTGTGTTCAAGCTGTTCTTGATTCTGGATGTATCTGGCTCCACCCCCCAGGAGCCAATAGGTTCGCGGGTCCGTACACTCACGGGAGATCCTTCTGTACGAACCGCCATGGACATTGACAGACTTCACCAGCTGAAGTACGCTAGAACAGTTCCTCCAGGCTTCCTTTGGCGGGCCGCTTGCCGGACCGGTCCCTCCTGTGCCTGGAGGAACTACAAAGTAAGTTCCGGAAGGTTCCTTTGCCTGGCCTTGACAGACACACAGAAAGCACGGACCATTTTGCCAAGACCTCTTCGATTTTGCAGTGTTATTTATTTATTTTTACTGTTACTTTTTACTATAAGCAACAGCTTACTCTAGATATACGGTTGCTTTTTAGCCAGAGTAGTATATTTATAGTTTCTTTAAGAAAGAGATATATAGACTTTTACTATTATAAGTCCATTGCACCTATACGAGAAAAGGAGATATTAGGTGATATTGCCTTATAGCTTATAAATATAACTACTAAGGTACATACTATAACTTAGCCTCAGAATCGCACTAGAGAGAAGGATCGTCTTCCTCATCGACTTCAGTTACCGAGGTAGACTCTATTATAGCATCCCAATCCTAAAACCACCTCTCGTGTCTATAGTCACGCTCGAAACGCTGCCTTGTCTCGTCCCCCAGCCTCTCCAGCTTGTAAACGGCGTCCCTCATTTGCCTATCTAATACATTCTTCGGCTCGATAAAATCGCCCCGTGCTGGCCTCCGGAAGAGATACAGCCCCCCCTACCTCTCCGCCCTCGAGAGCTGCATGTATAGGCTCATAAAACTAGGTCTTGTCGTTATGCTGCTGCCGTGAACGCCTTTGAGGTTAAGAAGGACCTCTGAGAACTGCCTACCCTGGCTTTTCTGGTCTGTCATAGCGAAGGCAGGGGCACATAGGGGTCCTGTTCTATGAGTGACCAACTGAAAGCCTGGCTTGCTTCTCGAGCTGGGGCTCTTCCCCCGCATAGAGTCGGGAATAACTATTGTTTTGCTCTTGATGATGGACACCCCAGAGTATCGATCCCTCTTGCGTGCCGAGGAAGGCGGCAGCGATAGCTTTAGTTAAGCCTCCTTCAGCCTTAATATCTCCCTCTACAACAAGCCGATCATTGCAACCATCGAGCGGCAGGAGATGCACTTCTTTATGCAGAGCCGTGTTCACTCCTACGCACTTATATGGAAGGTCGAGCCAAGTGCTTGTCGGGGGCCTGTTGAAGGCTCCCTGGAGTATTGCATTCCCGCGCTTATAGTGCCCGACCTTAGCTACCAGGCGTCTGTCTACGTGTGCTCTGCGAGTTGATGATAGAAGCTCTGACACCGGTAACAGGATTGCCCTACGATCTCTGTCTGGGGATGTGCCGTTCCCCGTGATGTCACCTGTCGTTAGCTTTTCTGGACCTATCGTTGGCTTCGGTCGTTCCCTTCTTCGCGGTGAGCATATATCAGGACTGGGGGATGACCAGCGCAAGTGTTGTGGCTTCGTGCAGCTATCGATCTTTATTGTTCTTGGCGATCCGAACAAACCCCAAGTCTTGAAGATTGATATCCTCCCTTTTTCGTTTACGAGCATAAACAACCCCAAAAACGACCTACAAACACTTGGACCAGACCCCGAAGTTGACAACCTTTACAAAATGGGCAGGTAGAAGCCATCAGAAGGAATTCCGCCGTTTGACGCGCCAGCTGCTCGTTTTGCATCTAGTCTCCTGCAACTCACACATGCGATTAATTGGCCGCCAATCAATTAATCCCACGCAGCGACACAGGTACATTTCGTACTTGAAGAGAAGAGGTGGGCAGATGGTGAATGCTCTTACCGGCACGTGTTGATTCCGCATGCTGGATCGGACTCGAGAAGTGGGACTTGCAGACGGCTTGAAGCTCTCAAACGTCTAAAATTGTCAAGAGGTCAAAGATGTGTGTATTGTTATGATTATCCCTAGCTAGCTAAGCGAGGGAATTGGAGCCTGTAAGAGGTCCCGGCTGCCTGAGGCCACAGCCGCCGTAGGCGGCCGTGGGCTTCCTTCAACAAAAATTAATCCACGGCTATCACCAAGCGTAGGGATATAGATGATTGGTGCGGTGCAACAGAACAAGTGCTTCCTTGATCGTCTTTCCGCCGCAGTCGAAGGAGAAGGATCGCACGGCACAAAACAATGGCACGCCAACGTTCCATCTCACCATCCCCGTCGTTGCCCCCCACAACGCCGGGTTGATAGACTTAAGATGGTGGCACTAGATGACATCAAAAACAAAAGGGAAAGGGACTAGCAGCAATTATCTCCATCGGGAGAATTGAGGGCGATCGCGAGGTTCCCGTGGTAGCTAGTATGGAGACAGCCATCCACACAGCCGACGATGGGAGCCCGAATGTGGGGATGGTTGACAGCAAGGCCCTATTTGAGGATGGTGATACGAGCTACAACGAGAACTTGGAGAAGGCGGTTCAAATTCTGACTGGAGAGATTCGCAAGACTAAGTGTGGTGACAGGATCAGATCAAGTGACGTCACTGGCGTTGAGGCGGTCCACTGGTCCTCATAGGTACCTACGTAGGATATTCTGAGCACCATCCGCGAACATGGGCGTGCACTCATTCCCGGTCATGAATCCGTCTCTGCTGGGGTCCGGGTGTTTCAACAAACATCTGTCCTTGATCATCGTGGTGCACATAAACATCATCTGGCTCATGACGTACACCGAGGGTGTCACCTTTTCTGGTAGCGGAGGATTGCACCACGACGCGGCTGCGAACACCTGAGATCTCGTTCTCATACGAGCCGATACCCAGCGCACATGCAGGCATTAGGTCGGAGTGGACGTCGCGACCATAAGCAAGCCCCGGGTGATGTTTGAGTACGTGCCTGGATCCGAGATCCCGTTCAGCCCACGGTTCTGGTTCCTAGCTTCTCCGTAACGTCGCTTGGCCACGTGGTGTCCAACAACCTCATCTCCACGGGACTGATCGCCCGGATCCTCCCGTCATGCTCGACGACATGGTGTCTTCCAAGTCGATGGCCGGGGATGTATGATTTTGTCTTAGCTAGCTCAGTAACATTTTCGGGATGACCGAAACCCCACCACACTTTGGTTACAGTGGTGTGCCATGGCCTGCGACATGCTGATTGGCTGGCGTCTCACACTAGCATTGAGATTTCCGCGGTGCCAAGGCCCCCGACATTGTCTGAGATTAGCGACGACGTTCGCTTCATGATACTGCATTAATACAGCTAGATCTGCTAAAAGGACTTCCTTTTCTTTTGTGCTGCCGCCGTGGTCGTCAGGATACTAATTTCCAGGTGCTCACAGATTGTCATCGCTTGGCAGTCACCATCTTCAGTGCTTCACCACATTTCTTGTAAAGCAGCATGGAATCAAGCTTCAAGAACTTTGGTGGTAGAGAGCATAGTGTATTGTTGTTTCTCATAGAGATGAACATCTCCGGGCGCGGGTGATGCCTCTATCGTCTGACTTTGCAATGGCGGCCATTGATTGGCGACACCCGTGTTCTCGCCAAATCTGATAGGCCAGATTAGGATTTGTCTCAATGATAAGAGGAGGGTATTTGCCACATATATTTCCGACGTTCGTCTTATCTGTAGACATGAGGCTAGCCTTGCTGCTAGTCCTGCAAGCTTATCTTCCTCCCTGCATTTTATCTTGCAACATTCAGCCGCTACGGCATTCTGATCGACTATATCTGCCTCTTCCAGCAGAGCTCTCAAAGGAATTTCGGCAAAAAATCTCTAGAATTCTACGTTATCTACTTCATCATGGAGATCGATATGAGATCTGGTGGGACAAATGAAGCCACCGAGGTGACTCCCCTGATCATGCCCGCTCATCGCCGACCCTGCGACGAAAATTCCGAGACAGACGTATCAACTAGCACGACCATGAGCAGATGCCCTATTGACACGAGCTATGTCAGAGAGAGCATCCCTTATAAAGAATACGCCACCATCGATTGGCTGCAAGACCTCATCAAGGGCAGCGAGAAACGGGGTCAATTTTATCAACACTCGCGAGGCGGGATTCGTGACCGATTGACTGAAATGTGGGACTCAATGCAGGGTTGGGTTGCGGCCTTTACGATAGGCCTAATAACAGCAGGCATTGCGTCCATGGTGGACGTGAGTGTTGAAACAGTCGCGGATTGGAAGGACGGATATTGCAAAACCAACGTTTGGCGAAACCGGAGAGCATGCCATTCACCCGATGGAAACACTGGGCACTGGAGATCTTGGTCGGAGAACTTTGGTTCCTCGTATTTGATCTACATTTGCCTCTCCTTGATCTTTGCAATTATAGCTGGCGGCTTGACCACGACAACCAAGATCAACTTGCCCGCTGTGGGGTATCCACCTGGTCACAAAGACAACAAGAGCAATGCCCCGCCAGGATACACCGATATGTCTGCGGGGAAGACGATGTATATGGCTGCCGGAAGCGGAATCCCGGAGATCAAGTCCTTCCTGGCAGGATTCGACATCCCAGGCCTCTTTGGCCTCAAAGTCCTGATCATCAAAGCGATTGGAGCTACCTTTGCTGTGCCAACGGGTATGTGCCTGGGAAAAGAAGGGCCATTTGTTCACATCTCCGCATGCGTCGGATACTTGGTGGCGATGCACCTTCCCAAGGTTTCAGTTAGCCAGAGGAGACTGAGGGAGATGCTCAGCGTCGCATGTTCTGCAGGCCTGTCCGTGGCTTTCGGCGCTCCCATTGGAGGCGTCCTCTTCAGCTACGAAGAAATCAGCACTTATTTTCCACGTCAAGTCCTCTGGCAATCGTGTCTCTGCTCCATGGTCGCCGCCGCCGTGCTCAAAGAGCTCAATCCAACCGGGACAGGGAAACTCGTCTTGTTCGAAACAAACTACGGCGTTAACTATGATGCGGTTCACTATCTGACATTCATAGCTCTCGGCGTCTGCGGTGGTGTTTTTGGCGGAATTCTTTGCCGAAGCAACTTCATGTGGGCACAGTCTTTTCGGCGTCTTTCGTTCATCAAAAACAGCCCGGTCTTTGAACTGGGCCTGGTAGCCTTGGTTACGGCTCTCCTCCAATACCCCAATCCTCTCATTCGTGAAACGGGTGACATTGTCATGCAACGTCTGCTTGTCGATTGCAATCACAGCGAGCAGGATTGGATATGTCAACAGGAAGCCAAGCTCACTGGTAAGGGTACATACTCTGCGTGGCTTATTTCCGGCTCGCTGTTCAAGCTGTTTTTGACCATTATTACCTTTGGCTGCAAAGTTCCATCTGGGGTAATTATCCCAGCTTTGGATGCTGGCGCCCTCTTTGGACGTCTGGTTGGCCAGCTGTTTGTTGACATCTCACCCGGGATTTTTGCCATGGTAGGATCGGCCGCATTTCTCGCTGGAGTCAGCCGAATGACTGTCAGCTTGGCAGTCATCATGCTGGAGCTGACTGGCGAGGTCAACTTTATTCCACCCTTTTTGGTCGCTATCCTCACAGCAAAATGGGTTGCCGATTGCATATGCGAGGAGGGCATCTACGAGCTGTCTCAGCACATATTCGGCCATCCCTTCCTAAACTCTGATCAAGCCCTCGCCAAGGTCAGAAAGATTAGAGCATCTGGCGACGCTGCCACTGTGGAGCTTCTCGTGCCGCCTGCCAGCATCATGGAAGGAATGACAATGTCCATGGGGCCGAGCTACAGAGTCTCTGCAATTGCGCTCCGACAAAAATTAGACAACCTCAAAGCTCAAGGCTTAAGCGAATCCGGACTTGTGGTGGTAAACGAACATGGCCGATGCTATGGTTATGTCTCGGATTTGGAGCATGCCTCGCGAGCGATTGACCAAACGCAAGGGTGGCAAGGGACAAGCGAGCTAAGTGTGTTGGAAGGCGCATTGTTTGAGTGCATCGAGCGAAACCCCTTGTCTATTCCAGGAGACGCACCCTTGGAGATTGCGGCGGAGCTATTTAGCAAGTTGGGTACTGGGCAACTGATAATTGTCGAGGCAGAAACTGCCAAGGTGATTGGAGTGGTTGTGAGAAAGCGCCTGTTGCAATTTCTCAAGGCCTAGCTAGCCCAACTGTTCTGTTACAAATGATGATGCGTATTGTGTTTAAATGGGTCTCTGTGTTAATTACTCCGTAAGTTATTCTGGCCCCCTTAGTAATCCCATTGTGTCTTTGATTCATCCTAAGGTATTACTCGTCGGCCAAGTCCGTGGATGTATGGGATATAGGAAGTAAGTTAACTTTACTGAGTAATAGCTTATTATCTTAACTAACTGTGGATGGATGGGATATAGCTCGTAAGTCGACCTTACTGAGCGATAGCTTGTTATCTTGCTATACTGATGGCTGACCGAGAATGGATGGGATATAGCGTGTATGTAAATATGCATGGACGATACCAGGCTGACTTTGTCTGTGGACTGCTAACTTTTATCTCTGCACAACGTGCAGTCTGTAAGTCAGCCTTCCCAATTCATACCATAGGCTGGTATCTGATATTCACTACAACAGCACGAGGAATTAGCGTATCACTCTATTTCGCATCTCGAAAACCAGCCGGTCAACGAAAAGGCTCCAGACTTCTCAGACAAGGCGCCTAGGCTTCCTGACAGCTACGGCTCGAAGCTTTCTGGCTCTCATGGTTGCCTAGAATTGGCTCAACTCGTCCCTCAAGATGGAAGGATCCAGCTTCCTTTCGACTTTCACTGGCAGAACCGGAAAGACGATTTTGAAGCTTCACTCAGACATGGCGATTCCAATCAACAAACACCTGCAGACAAACCACAACGGAAGATTGAAAACATGAGGTCTTTTTTCAAGAGCCCCTTTAAAACCTTCGGTACATTCATTATTCGGGATACCGGGACACCAGCTACACATGTGTTGTACGACATAGGGAACTCAAGTCTATACGTCACTATGCCTGCAGGTAGTGCTACTAGTGGTGAGGCTAGTGAAACTGGCATGAAGAAGTACTACCATAATTTCTTACAAAAACTTGCAATCACTAATCTAACTTACATTAGGCTTGCTAGTTACGACGAGCTCCCGGATTGGCTAGGCAAACAAAAACCCTTTTGTGGCAATAAGCTCGAACTTAGCGGAATTGCTCCCTGGCAAAGAATTATGTGCGTACGGCTTCTGCGTAGTGATCAAAGGCAAACTGATTTTAGTAGACTCTGCCAGGGCCTCTCCCTCGCTTCGTCGACAATGCAAGAAGACCGACACTTTCCTTTTCTTGTCTTCGAGGATGACGACGATCCGATATGGAAGATGACTGACCTTCACCTTTCAGATGGACGGATGGGTGGTAGTGAGACGACAAATCCACACTCCGATTCACACAACCCGTTTCATGTTAGTTTCTACGAGAAGTTTCCTGGGCCGGATGTCAATGGCCTAGTTCAGGCAAGTGATAAGAAGAAATTGAAAATCGGTCACCTTTACGAAAAGCCACGAGAGAACCGCGGCAGCGAAAACAACATGAGTGATGACCTAGCTTTTCGAAAGAGCTCATTCACGGTAAGTTCTTGTTGACTGCTATATAAACACAGTTCTAATTGTACAGATGATTGCAACCGCCAGACGTACTCAGGAGCAACCTCAACCACCTTCTCAGTCGAACGGCGACTACTGTTGGACGATGCTAATTCTTAGCCCTTCTGGTTTTTTCTCCTTGCCCCCTGAAAGAGCCATCGACATGATAGATGTGGGTCACATAAGTCGACAAACTGCTGAGTTATCCTGCATCGTATATGCTCTTAAAGAAATTGACGAGCGATGGAGAAAGCTCAATGATCATATTGCAAGCTTGCTGGTCGAAGATTTTATGGATCCCAAGACCTATACTACACTACTATTTGACGATGAAACATTCAGCCGGTCGAGGCTCTATTTCTGGATCCTGGGTTGTCTTAACGAGTTCAACGTCAGCATCGAAGACAATATCAAGCAATGGAAGCTTTTTCGGCAAGCTCGAATTTCCCGTGTACTTGATCCGCCGTCTAAATCGCCGTCTAAATCGTCGCCTGAATCGTCGCCTGAATCATCACCCTTTACATTCGACAAGTCTCGAGACTTCACCAGGCTTCAAGAGCTAGACAAAAGGGCTGGGGAGATCCTGCGAAGCTTGGAGGATCTGCAAGCACAATTCAAAGCCAAAATGGCGATGGTTCAAGCATTGCGCGATGGAGTACGTGATTCTTCTTTCAGTTTGTCTTTGCCCATCAAGCGTCGTCAACCTGACACCTTCAAAGCTTTTCAACGCTAGCGCTCTCATGGAGAGCAGGTCTTCCACAAGGCTAGGCCAAAACGTGCAGCTCCTCACTTATGTGAGCATATTTTATCTGCCATTAGGATTCTGTGCTGTGAGTGTTGGAACTTTTGACGGTCTCCAGGCTACGTAACGACGACTATCGGGATCCCCGCTCACGTATTTATAGGCGCTTTGGGCTATCCCGAATATCACCGATGGCGCTACGAAAATTCCTTTCATCTTGACTGCTGTTGTTGTAGGATTCGTCACATATGCCGTTGTCTTTATCCTTGGAAACATCGCGGGGATTTGAGGGAAACTTTATTCCGAGTACAGGAGCGACTTCTGCGGCAGATGGAAGAGGATGGCATCGGATCTTGGCCAGAGCGTCGCAAGCGATTCGAGGAATTCCCTCCTAATCAGGAGCGAAAAATACCATCTGAGTGGTTGATATTCGGATACCAGATACGCAGGCTATTTAGAGAGAAGAAGCCTGCAAGTGCAACTGGCTCTGATGCCATGAGCAATGGCCCAGTAAACTCAGACCAGGCAGTCTAGCACGGCAGAAACCTCGACCCCCTCATAAGGCAGCAAGGATGACCACCAGACGAACCCATCACGACAAGGAACGAAGGAGCGGGTAGGAACGACGGTGCGAAGGACATCGCTCCTGACGCTCCAAGCCGCTCTAGTCGCATCTCGCACCAAAACAAGTATATAAAACTACAGTCATTACCTAGAGCCTAGATAGCTACCAGCTTTCAATAACACTTCGTTACCTCAATCGCATTGATCACCGATCACGATTGACTATTACGAGACGTAACACACCTTGTTTTCTATTGCTCTCTGGATCACAACGCCTCTGACTCCTCTTGCCAACATAAACCTAGAGAACTGTCTCTTTGACCTTGTTGGGAAATCAGACCATTACATCTGATGCAACGCATGTATGAGGAGTGCGCTGTGGTGCCAGGTTGGGGGTATTCTGCGATTGAACACATTGGAAGCGCATATCGAGTATAAACTTGAGTTGTTAGCGGGAACGACGACTGGATTGTTGAATTTTTTACTGCTTTATGTATGCAGCAAAGGGGTCGAAATTCAGTGTTTGCTAAGATGAGATCTGGACATTCAGCTATAAAACCTGACAAAGGTCGCGACGACGTTTCCAACGGTGATTAGGAGAGCCAGGATATGCTACTTGCCATGGAACAAAATCAAATCGAAACAGTCGAGAAGAAACTCTTGGTGGATCGAGGTACGTTCTTCCGAGGGACTGCTAGGATTCGATTCCAGTACCTCCACTTTGGGCAATTGTGCCTTCGAGAGCCCTAAAAAAAGAACACTGCGCGGATAAAAGAGAAGCTCTCTGAAGAAGGCCGTCTCCGACTTGACCCAAAGAACCATATACCCGCAGTGATAAGTTAGGGAATGTTGAATTATATTATCAGATCAACTCCTGGTGGTGGACAATCGACCTATATTTTCAAGGTATGCTCGGTTCCCATAATTACGCTAGAATAGTTGTCAGATATCGGGATATCGGATTTCAACGGCTATTGCGGAAGTGAAGCTTTTCCTTCATCATCATAGGAAGAATATTGAAGCGGGGTATAATAGATTGGTCCGTGGGTTCAACACCAAGTGAGTTATATTAGGGGAGGTCTCGTGGTCAGATCCAACATCATCAACACCTTCATCATCAGACTGGAGGAAGGAACGAGACCTCTCAGTCTGATAGACCGGTCAGGGTCTTTATTTTCTTTGGTGTCTTAGTTTTCCTAGTCATACAGTTATTGAAATTGCCCTCTGTCTCTTCCCTCGATCCAAGACTGCGAGCCCTTTATCTGCCGCATCTGAGATATAGTCAACACACCTTGTATTGTCTTGCTACCCTATACTCTCGGCAGTATAGCCGTGGGCTACCGAGCAACCTGAGACGCCCTTCTCACACTCGGTTCTGGGTTGACTAACCGGAAAACTCGCAAGGGAAAAGGCCAGCTAGCAGCGTCAATCTGTCGTCGCCAACTGCCTTGCCCCCATAAACTTGCCCGATCATTAGATTAATGCCGCGATGCTCGCAATAATAGCAGGCCGATCAACTTCAAATGCTAAGATTGATTGATTGATTATCTTAGCCACGCAGGGATCGGGGTGACTTGTTCCCGTAAAATAGTGTGTCAATACTGCATATTCGCACGTTAAACCATTTCAGCACTTTTGCTCCGGTGTGGAACGTGACTGGGCAGACCGCCTAGGCAGCGAAATGTCAAGCTCCCGGGTAGGTCCTTTTTCCATCTTTCCTACGTCGCGCTTTAGGATATTATCAATGACAAAGGGACACAAGAGTACGCATACTGGAGTGCCTAGAATATCTAATATATGTCATTGCAGGTATCTTGGGATTAAACTCCTGGGAAGTAGCCTCAATACAAGCCTCATCTGATCACAAGACACAAACCATCTTGCTTATAAATGACAATCACTATCCTCCCCGTTCTGCAACTTAATTTTCCGACCGTTGGGTGACCTCTTACACCAGGTATCCCTTTAGCCTGAAGCATCAGTACAGTGGATAGAATGGGTTGTAAGATCCGTGTCTATATTGGGCACATCGAGCACGAAAAAGATACTCGAGCCTTTGCAATTTATCTTGCTACACAACAGTTAGATCTTGCCGGGAATACACCACTTCAATACGCACCTGTACGCGTAACAAAAGGTTTGCTTTCTACGATGGACGCTTTTGACTTGGAACCCTCTATTTTGGCAGTTAGCATACCGAACTGAAATAATTGGCCGTGGGGGTAGGTATAAGCCGTACATAGTATTCACATTTGAGCACCCAAACCCGTGAACATCGACGTGCTTGCCCTTATAATTACGCTCACTAAAAAGCCTGGCCTGCCAACCATTAAATTAGTCATTATTCACCATCCGAGGAGAGAGAAAATACCGAGACGACGTCTGTCGCCGCCATAGAGGAGGCGACAAGGAAGGGAAGAAAATTCAAGGGATGCATTGCTAGGAGGCATAAAAAAGATCATCAAACTGAAGACGCTGCTGATGAATGCCCAAAATTCTCGAGGCAAATTGCCTAGTGAATGTGATGGCGTAGAAGTAAAAAAGTTCCGGAGGAGGCAGACACGAACAGCTTGTTAAGGCATCTTTCAGCTGACATGGGTAACGGAACGCAGATGCCGAGCTTTCAGCTCTAAGTTCAGAGCACCCCTAGCAAGCGCTTCCCTTGGTCAACTCGTCCTATCACAGACCTCGGTTCCAGGGGATTGATGTGCCATCACGCCAATATTGCAGTAGCTGAGAGTAAAGCCTGTCTGGCGCAGATATGAGTGCATGATCTGACACGATTCTGTGCACATTTTCAGGCTGTCGGTGTAGATACGTGACAGGCAAATTCGCAGATTAATAGCCGCCTTTTCCTGAACCCTTGCCTGAACCTAACCTTTTTTCCCTCTCTCGCATTTCTCCAGGTGTATGAAAACATCACCTGCAATTTCCAGCTGGGGGGTGATAGAGTTACCCCTCATATCTCTAAAGGGTTTAGGTGAACTTGGGTTTTCCGGTATCCTGAATACTCTGAAATACCTCAGCCTTTAAACAGCCACGCTCTTATGCCCTCCCCCTTTGTGTTCTCCGCCTACTCTGTTACAGAAGCTCGAAGAGGACACATAGAAAGCCGAAGATGATACCGAGGAGCAGGCAAGGTCGCCCAAAACATCGATGGTGCCCTGACTCAGGAATCCAGAGTTCCCGGCCTATCCGAGGTCCTTGCATGCAAAGGTGCATTGGTGGTGCCCTCGGTATGAGCGCCTGGTGTCTGGTGCATATATGGCACAGCTCTTACAAAGCAGAAAGCAACCACATATATTATCCCCTGATATCTAGGCTTCTTACAATAACCACCAGTTTCTGATTTTGATAACAGTCTCGCTTAATGCTTCTGCAAAAGCCCCTTGCGAAGCCGTTTCCAGAATGATGTCTTCTCTAGGCCTGCGATGGCGAGCTCATCAGAAGAGAGCACTTCGTGCAAGCTCTCTAATGTGGTCTTTTCTAGACTAGATTTGTAATCGACAAGCACCTTGACAATGGTAGCAATAAGTATCCGATCCGCCTCAACCTGTCGTTCGGCGAGAGCGTGAACAAAGCGCAACCAGATTGTTGAGTTTTTGTACGGTCGATTGGGCTTGGCTCCCGACTTCAGTAGGAGCTCCACCATTGTTTTGGAATATTGGACCACGCCAGAGCCCGAAGCAGGGACGAGGGCATAGTCGAGAACAGGTCTTCCAGCCCCACGGTTAAGCATAGATTGGGTGGCGGGATTCTTCAGTTTCCTAGACATGTATGAATGGAAATCGTACTGAGCGGCCAGTCCTAGGAGCATATTATCCGAGTCTCTCATCGCCCACTTATACTTAAATCTCGCCTCCGTGTACGTCGCTCCCGCTGTGTCAAGAAGGCCCTCGATGGCGCTGAACGGAGCTTCGCGCAGATGGTCCCGCACGGCTAAGTGAGCGAAGAAGAAAAGGTCTTCCAAGAATTGGAGCATTTCGTCCTCGCGTAGACCATTCTGAGTCATCCCTAGCTTCATCTGCGCCACGATAGCATGACATACTAGTAGTGGAGTGTTCCGCGACTCGCCCTTGAGACTCTGTTCGAAAATGTCGTCTCCACTTGTCAGGTCCAGCAAGAAGTCCCGTACAGTTCGATGGAGGAAGTCGACCCTCAACTGAAAGAATGGTTTCGTCTCGTCTTCGTCCGACACTACCTCAAGGAGTCCTTGGCTCCTCCCGTACAGTTGTCGCCGCATTTGATCCTGTCTCGACTGGATTTCCGAGAGGTTGAACGGTTTTCGAATCAACTGGTGCAGCGAGTTCGTGTCTGCTTCCATCTCGTCGAGAAATGAATAAAGCAAGAGGAGTAGTGGTCTCTGGGAAGACGCTGCAGTCTGAAAGGTCCGCGCCGTGAGCTTGCGATAGATGTCCGGAATCGAGTTCAGCATGTGCTCGAAGAATTTCTGGAGGTCTTTAGGGAAATTTTCGAGGCGGTCTCTAATCAGCCGAACCGCGTCCTTGTTCCGGAAACCCTCCACCAAATTGCGCACTACCAGGATCACCCAAAGAAATACGCCCTTGGCGTGAGTTGCGACCTGCTGAACCACGTCGGCATACTCGGAATTTGCCTTGCTTAACTCTCGGTATTGCTCCTCCTCGTTAAATTTGTCCGTCACGTATTGAATAATGTCGTCGCTGGTGAGATCTTCGACTTTCAGAACCCACTCGGTCTTGGTGAAGGAATCCATGAATGCTGGCCAGGGTCGACTGGAAACGCAGAGTTTGATGTCACGAGTAGCCTGAATACTCCGCAGGGTATGGATCAGCTCCTCGGGTTTTCGATTGCTGTCGTAATACTCGTCTAGTCCATCAATAAAGAAGCAGAATCGTGTTGACAAGTCTGTATCCACCAAGACCCTGTAGGTTCGGAGAAGCTGGTCTTTGGACCACCGATCCTCGTCACTCTCAAAGTCCTCGATGTCTCCAATACTTTGTTTTACAAGTGGAATAAAGTCGCGACATTTGCAGAGGATCTCGAACAAGAGTGAGCGTAATAGGCCCTCTTGCGACTTTTGAAGTGTCGAACCGGCGTTCCAAAAGAAGTACTGTGCCATCACCAGTTTCTTTTCCCCCGCCCATTCCTTTAGCTGTTCTCTGGTTTCCGGCGCATGAAAAATATACTTCATGAGGGTTGACTTGCCAGATCCGGGTTTGCCGTGCACGAAGAAAATGCCACTATCCCCACGAAGCCAATCGTTGAAGCGAATTTCCGAGTTCTTGCTTGAATCGAATATCCATTGGAAGGTTGTCGAGTGTGCTCGATCGATTTTGTGGTGTCTTGCTTTAATGCCGCTAAAGTAGAGGCTCTTGAGAAAATCCTGGTCAGATGCCGTCACCTGCCCTCGGCTCTGGAGACTGTGCATAGCCGATGTGAGTTCCTGAATATCTTTCGATAGGCTTTCAGCCAATGCAGGATTCATCGGCTCTCCTGACTTGCGTTGTTTTTCGAGACTTTTCTCCAATGCTTTACGTGATTCGTCCTTCACCAATTTCTGAACGGCCTCGACGACTCGCTGATTGAGAATATTGAGCTCGTCGCGCTTGTCCATGCCCAGATTCTTGCTAGCCTTTTCCATGTCCATGATCTTCTTGGATAAGTCAGACACCTCAGTGCTATCATTGACAGCATTAGTACTAATACCCCAAAAACTCCCTTCCAACAGCGTAGACTCACAACGTCATGAATAGTACATGATCAGTGATTCTCTTTTGCAGTCTCTCAAGTCGGGAAGACAAGGTGTTGATCCTGTCCTGTCGCCAAGCGGCCTTCAGAGCGAGGGTGAAACTCCCCCATTTCGTTTTTTCACTGACTGCCAGCATCTCGGTCACTTCTAAAAGATCACTGGCAATCTTTCTGCTGTTGTTGATGATGTCTTGGAGGGTCGGGTTCGTGGACGCAACGGCTGCAAGGAATATGTTATGGCCTCGAATCTCGTCCACGATGGTGTAGAGAAACCTGCATTCTTCTGGAGCACCATCCACGGATTTATAGATCTGCCGGGTTTCTGATACCAACTTCCATGAAAAGTCGACAAATGCCAGGACATTAGCCGCGAGGCCAAGGGCCGCGAAGGCCTCCATTGTCAAATTGTTCTTGAGCGAAGTACCTGTGGCTCTGGTGGCTAAGAAATGTGGCTACGAACCGGTATACTATGAGGAGAAACAAAGCAGATGAGAACCAGCAAGCGGTGTGTCTTTTTACGGTCGCCTAGTCCGTCAATATCTGCGCTATCGGAACGGGTGGTAGGCGATTGGGTGAAGATAGGCAGTGGCTGCTCAGCTGTATACGCATGCTCTAGTTTCTGCACCTGTGTGCAGGGAGGCGGCGCCTTAAATTCGTAACTGCCAATTATCTTTGAGCAGCAAGTCGTCGGACAGATATGTGACCTACCGCAGTAAGACCTACTTAAGCGACGGATCCGCTATACATCCTTTGCGCGGTGTTCAAGTACTAGCCAACAAACCACTGCCTTGTGTCTTGTGCGGCGACCGGATTGGGAGAACAAATGGAACCCCGAGCCACTTTGTGTTGGTGGTTTACCAAATTACCTACCCCAACATCGTCCGAGGCTACATCCGATGGGCCAGAGGTCGAGGGGTCTACTTGCACCCGCCACGACATAACCCGGAAAGTCACAGCTTCAGCAATCATGCCACGTCACCGTGGCAGTGTCTGTAAGCTCACGGTCTGATCCTCATGCTGTGTGACGTCGGCAAAAAAGTCATGTAGAGGCCTCAGTGTCAGGCCTCATTTTCATTGTGCATCAGCTGAGCAAGGGTCTGGCTATGCCATTGGAGGAGACCATCATCTACCGTTCTGACCAGCCTCTATCCTTTCTGCATCCATGTCATCACCCCCCTCGCCCCCACCACATAATGCAGTCGTCTAGGGTTAGAGGCTCACATGAATCCTCTACCCCGCTGACTATTATGTTGAGGCCAGCCACCTACCCTCTCTTTTCTGCATCTATGGCATGCCCCCACCCCACTATGCAGCCTAGGTATTGGATGGCTCGAATAAGCATTAATAAGCTCTATCAGATAGGATGAACCGGTTGATATAGCTTATTGACGATACAATCTCTTGTCCCATTTCCTCTATCTATTCGGGAGGAATGCCAGCTATTTATCCCCAGAGATCAGACCGATCCCGGGCCCTGGGCCGAACCCTCGGCCCGGAGACTCAGTTGGGCCGTCCAGTCTGTTCACATTCAATAGAACACTTGCGGCAGTGCATCTCACTGCATGTATTGCAAGAGATTTCCAAATCCGATTGTGATTTGAAAAAGTCGGGGTTGACTTATGTCGACCTTGGAAAGGTAGGATCCAAGTCAAGCTCCTCGGGCGGGGATATATGTTTGACCGACGAGAGCCACTGAGAATTATCCTACCATGCTAGGAGATATGATGGCTGTGCTTCTAGTCGATGATGGGGGTGGAGGCTCTAAGTATAATTGTATCAGGCTTGATGATGTGAAATACCGCCCAGGCACGAGCGTCTGAGGTATTCAGTCAGCCTGTGTTGGCACTGAAACAAGCCGGGATGCTGGAACCACACCCGATATCTATGTAAGTCGGGTTCTCGTCACTACTCGAAGGGCATGCGGCAAACTTCTATCTTTCAAATTCGTCTTCCGCCCTGAGCATAAAACCCACACTTTATGAGTGTCGGACTTCCATGAAGCCATCGTGAAGAACTCTGAGAATATTGCAGATGGCGTCGAAGTACAGATTGTCAATGATGGCTCTGTTGATCCTAAAGATGCTACTGGGGATCAAGGCCATCTAAACGCCCAACTTGAACTCAAGGTTTAAGAAAGGTACAGTTACTAACCATTCTCCAAGTACTGCTTTAAAAACCCAAAGTAGCCCATAGAGCAAGCCCACCAACGACCCATGGAAACATCATCCTAAAGCTCATCTGCGCATTGAACTCTTGCAAGAGGTCCAGCGTTTTCTGCGAGCTGTTCCTCAAAGGCTCCGTGTCGCCAAGAGTTGGATTGGCAATCGCCAGCAACTGGTTCGATGGCCCCAGCATCACCTTTCTCACCCAGACCCAGCCAATTGGCATAATTCCCGCCGCCGTAGCCCAGATCTTCCAAGGCAGTCCAGCTCTGTTCTCCTTGTGTTCGGCGTAGGCAAGGGTGCCAATGACGATGAAGGTAGCCAAGTCAACCCACGGGACCGTGGCAGACATGGACCAGTAAAAGTACTCCCACTGCTTTGCGGCATCCTTGGGCGACTTTTGCACTGCTGGGTAGACTGCAGGTAGAAGGCGGTACCCGGATGTCATGGTACCGCCGTTGATGAGACTGCCAGCGATTGCTATGCCTTTGAGGGCGGGGAGGTAGGCGTGAATGGATGACATAGCGATTGTAAGGTATGGGGTAATAGCAATGAGAGTGAATTTAATTCGATCAAATTGACGTCCCTGAAGAGTTTTTAAGATGAGCAGACCAGGGCAACCCTCAGTCGAAAATCAAGAGCTAGAAACGGCAACACGGATAAACCGACTGGAGTCGACAAACGAAAGCGCCTTTGAGAAGAATGAAGAAGGATGGGCACGCGGATCCTAGGCCAGACGTAACAGCCGCGGGGGGTGAAGCCTTTAAACACAGAACCTTCAGCTCTGAATGACGTTTTGTGATCACACCCTAACCTGAATTGCACCCAGACATATATCAATTTTTGGTGTTGACCTGCGAAGAGCCGAGTTTCCGAGCGGCAGCCCAGCACTCTCCATTGAAGTAAAGTCCCCACACGGTAAGCAAGCTGGACATGGCAGCGACGTTTAGTTTGCTAATCAATCGTTTGCAATTGGCTTCAATTCCCTTGCTTCAGCTAAGACACCTGTATTGTCAGGTACCCCGCAAACATCTAGACCGACATATGGCTGGCTGAACTGGCATCCCGACGCTCGTATTTTTCAGCGTCAGCCCAGCATGTGGCTGGCTGCATAAGCATTCTGGCTTTAGTATATTTCAGCACCTCGACTGGCATATGGCTGGCTGAACTAGGTTTCCATAGTTCGTATTTTTCAGCACGAGACCAGCATGTGGCTGGCTGCATAAGCGTTCGGGGTTAGTATATTCCAACACCAAGACGAGCATGAAGCTGACTGCATAAGCATTCCGGCGTTAGTGTCTTTCAGCACCCAGGCCTGCATGTAGCTGGCTGAGCGAGCATCCTGGGGTTGATCTATCTCATGTGGCTGGCTGTACCCCTCACTTGGAGTTTGCAGATCCTGACAGTATCGGTAGGGACATGCAATTTCTCCCAATGCCCCTTCTTCTGAACGTATGTTGGTTTTACGGGAGATTTCCACCACACTAACTCGTGCGACTTGTTACCTAGCTCATCACGATGTGATACGTCACCAGAAACGCTGCCTCATGAGAGTTCTTCCTGACGCTCTATGACAGGATGTTGTAGATTTAATAAGGAGCAGAACACAGTATGTTCTTGAGATTAATAAACTGCCAGCTAATTCAACGAGACTGGTTCCATCTTCCCACGGACAAAGGAATGATAAAGCAAACTACAGCGAGCTAATATTGCACGCCCACTGCTGTGACCAAATTTTTTACAGCACCAAAGAACTCGATAAGCCCCATGGTCCACCACCAGGACCTCTTCTTCCACCCTTCCTCGATTGGTAGTCGCTCATCCTCGAAGATGGCCTTGACGTAACTGACGGGTATCGTCTTTCCATTCCCAAAACAACCCATCATCAGTGCTATTTGACCGCAATTCACTTGATGCTCGGCTGGTCCATAGACCAACTCTGGATTGTCCACGAGCTGCCGCTGGATGCGGGCTTTGATGAATCTGGCAAGATCGTCGATAGTGAGGGACTCGCCGTCAAAAGAGTACTCCAACATCTCTTCAATCAAATCTTGCTGGGGATCGTTGTTTCCCTGCTCTTGACCAATGTCTCGGCGTGATAGAGAGATGTCGTGCTCAATGGCGCCGTGGGAAGCGAGATCCACAAGATTGAGATACTTTTTCCCGTCGCTAATCTGGCTAGAATCCCAGCAGCCAAAGTAGTCGAAAAAGGAATAAGGGTTCTTGATGATAGCCCAGGTTCTCTGCCAGGTGCTGACAGGTTTCTTCATGTATGCCTTGGCCGGGTTTTGATACTCAAAATAGGTTGGTATGGCAAAGACAGAGCCGAGGAGTGGGCTCATCCCGACGTGTCCCATGGACGCATTGAGATCTTTCATGTAGATTTTGCGTCCGCTCCGTTCAAGATAGCCATGGTTGGCAAGAGCGTTGACGACGGGGCAAGGACTCCTGCTCGCGTTTGCAGGTGCCTTTGCGTATTCTCCGACAGCCAGGGAGGGAGACATTGTGACAAAACGGGCGAAGGGGGGCTTGGTGAGGTGAGAACCGAAATGACTAAGAGGGGAAAAGAAGATTTCTCTAACGAGAACAGCTTGGATTGACTGGAACACTGAAGGGCTCAAGTGCAAACGGTAGCTTGAGATCGGAATAGCGATGTTGGTGATGAGAGGTGTTATGGGAAAAGAGGATTTACGAGGTAGACCCCTACATTCGACTACCGTGGCAAGGCCCCGCGTGTTGGCCAGGCCGAGACCCTACCATTGTTCTAAGGTCGCATATGTGGCGTCCACTTGAATTCTTAGCATTTCCAATAACCCAGGGATCAGCCATCCATTTCCAGCCAGAGTTCGAGACATTGGTGTACAGATACTACGTAGTACAGATAAGGGGGCATATTAGTGGTTTTATTGGACGGATAAAGCTTACCTATGCACTAATGTAATTTTCCGGTGTAATATTGAAGGATAATCCCTTCTTAGACTGGGTGAGATAGACTAGTTGAGACTATTAGTTACTTAGCTTGGAGCTACTGCGCAGCTTGAGTGTGATATGTTTGAGCTATTGACTGCCGGGCAAGCCGGGACTTGACGGCACGGGACGCGACGGGAAGACGGCAATCTATGCATATTTAGCTCTTTAAAATAGTCCGACCCTTTCCGTTTTAGTCTTCAAAAGGTGGCATCCCAGACCTTTTGGGATTGCAGGTGTTCAGCCAGCCATAGCGATTCGTATAACTTATCAGCTGAGTAGATCAGCTGAGGAGTGGCTACATAAGGAATGTGATGAACTTGAGCTATTGCAGCTGGGGCGGGGTGACGGCCATAATGTATGCATATTCAGCTCTAAGCTTTGCCTTGAAATGGTGTGGGCGTTTCCGCTTTCGACCAAGTTAGTCTATGTGAAGTGCGGGGTAGCATTAGAGACCTTCAAGGATATCCACAGGCTTATCAACAAACCTAGGTGACTGGATTCATGAGTGGCTGATTGGGCAATATCCAAATGTCGAACTATCGACAACTTACAGCCCAGCCACGCCGCATGCAACCATTATCAGCTCAACCTTTCCACGGTGATTGGACCAACAACGTGCCGAACGCATGCATCTTGGCGTTCCAGACCTCGCGGGATAGCAATCATGTCCCAGAATGGGCGCTGATACGGCAGGGCAGGCAAGCAAGCTGAGGGTCAGCTCCATCATCGTTCCGAACGGCTGCCTTTTCTGTCGTTGCTTAATTACCGCGTGTTGGGGTGCAATAATAGGCGCCACGGTGCCCCATCTCATACGAAATCTAGTAAACTCAAGTTGTCACTTCGCAGTGCTTCACATGTTCTCTTTTTAAGTGCACCATCAAGCAACAACACTGAGAGCCAGGTTTCGCCTTTGTCTCTGATTTGCTACTGCTCTCGCCATCCCTTCTCAACATTGAAAACCAGCTGAATCCTGCCATCATGAATGGTCATGCAGCAGAGGCTCCTATGAGCAAGCAAGAGGAGGATATGATGCAACTCACCTTGCAGCTCAGAAATCACATAGAACAAGAGAAATACGCCAAGTTCCACGGAGACAAGCTCATCGGGGTAGGGGAGAGAGATACCCTCTTCGAGTTTTGCTACTAACGACCCTCACAGAATCCAGTTGTTCCCAAGGTCGGCTTGTGGGAAGATCTGAAGACTGTTTTTCAACCCAGCAATTGGCCAGCACTGAAGAGGTCCGCCGATGGACTCATCAAGGGCACTGGACTTGACGTAGGCTACCTGAATGGTACTCGATAGACTGTTTGCTGACACTGAGCGTAGGGACAAAGTCTTGCCACAATTGCAGGCAGTCTTTCCGATTACAGCGTCCGACGGCAAAAGTTGATCGATGATCAAGTGAAAGACAAATATGACAAGATGTTGCACCGTAAGTTTGCGTGTCTACCCAACAACTATTGGAGCTAATCTGACCTTGATCAGCACCGTTGACGTACCTTGGCGATGCCTTCCAGTACCGAACTGCGGACGGCAAGTTCAACAGCGCCATCAATCCGCATCTTGGTCAAGCGGGTGCTCCATACGCCAAAACAGTGCCGTCGAAAACAGCTCAGCTCGGCGCTCTCCCTGACCCTTCCGACCTCTTTGACAAGTTGATGGCAAGAGAGGAAGGTGGTCGGGAGAGCCAGTCGGGACTTTCTGCCATGCTCATCTATCATGCTACCATCATCATCCACGACATTTTCAGAACGAATGACAACGACAAGAACATCTCGGATAGCTCGTCCTACCTTGATTTGTCTCCTCTCTACGGATACACCACAGAGATGCAGCGCAAGATTCGGGACGACAAGTACAAACTCGGTCTTCTGAAGCCAGACACATTTGCGGAAGACCGATTGTTAAGGCAGCCACCCGGCGTCTGCATCATGCTGGTCATGTACAACCGATACCATAACTACGCTGCAAGACAACTCCTTCGAATCAATGAGAATGGTCGCTTCAGAGTTCCAGTCATGTACGAAAAGACGAAGCTTGTCTCTTTGATCAAGGAACATCTCCCTGATCGCAATGCATATGGCCAAAAGGAGGATCTTGATTCCAATGTCCAGAAGCTGTGCGCTACTTATGAGAAGGTATGGAGGGAAGCTCGAGCAGCAAGACCTCAAGAAGCACCGGAGATCCCTCCAGAGCAGCCACAAGAAAGCCCTGCAGAGAAAGCAGAACGCGAGGCTGCAGAGAAACAAAGGCAAAAGGCCCTTGATGCCATTGCTGAGTTCGAGAAGTCGGCACTGAACCAAAGGCTCATCGAGGTGACAGAAGCTCTCGAGCTTCTCCTCGAAGAAAAGAAGCTCAAGCTCGAGAATGAAGGCCCCCAGGAACTTGAAGATTTCGAAACCAAGTGCAAGGAGTTCGAGGCTGCCTGGGAGGCCGCTTGGAACAAGCAAGATGATGACCTTTTCAACACTGCTCGCCTCATCACTTGTGGCATGTACATCCAGATCTCAGTCCACGACTACTTGCGAGCATTGATGGGCTTCCACCAGTTCAACACCAACTTCACTCTTGATCCTCGCGCCGACTTTGACCAGAAGAAAACGAGCCGCGGCATTGGCAACCAAGTTACTGTCGAGTTCAATCTGCTGTACCGCTTCCACTGTGCCATCTCTCTCAAGGACGAGGCGTACACAGAGGAATTCATGCAGAAAGTGTTGGGATTCAAGGACCCAAGCAATACACCGCTTCCAGTTTTCCTCCAGACGATGGCGGCAATTAAGCAAAAGGCCGCAGAAGACAAGAGGAAGGGTAAAAAGGAGCCTGAGCCATGGGAAGTGACGTTTGGTATCCCAGATGCACCTGCACCTCAGCCAGCACCTACGATTGGTGATGGTAGTAGCAGCGCAACACCCGAGAATGGTTCCGATAGCGGAATATCCATGATTGGTGTTGCTGGCACGGAAGCGCCCATGAAGACTGATGCTGCTCAAGAGAAACCCAAGAGGTCTAAGAATTTCACGCGAAACTCCATCACAAATCTCTTCGACGACTGCCAGATGCTGGATGAACTCACCTCGGCCATGGACGATCCCATCTCCAACTTTGGCCCTCGCAATGTCCCCAAGTGTCTCAAGGCAGTTGAGATCATGGGTATCCTGCAAGCGCGTAAATGGGAAACCGGTACGTTGAACGACTTCAGAGATTTCTTCGGCTTGCCGAGACATGCGACGTTCGAAAGCGTGACAAAGAACGTCGAGATTCAGAACGAGCTCCGAGATCTCTATGAGCATCCCGACAAGATTGAGTTGTATCCTGGCATCTTCTGCGAATCAGACGAATACATGGGACTCGACCCTGGCCCTAGCGAGTCAAGCTCGGCGCTTTGGTCTGCCATCTTCTCGGATGCCATCACTCTCGTCCGCTCAGATCGATTCTACACCGTTGACTGGAACACCAATTCCCTGACCTCATGGGGTATGAAGGAAGTCACACCAAACAATGAGGTTTACAAGAGCTCAGTCTTCCACCGCTTGATCCAACGTGCCTTCCCGGGATGGTTCCCATCCGACACCATCCGATTCTTCCACCCGTTTTACACTGCGAAGCAAAACGCGATTTACGCAGAAGCGCAAGGCTACGGTGATCTATTCAGGGAGACGGCAGAAGAGCAATCAGGCAAGCAGAAGAAGCCAAAGACCGACATCGTTGTGGCTCCAGTGCAGAAGCCCCTGAAGCCGTGGTATCTTGACAAATTCAACGACATCTCCATCGTCTTGCAGGGAGAACAGAGCAAGAACTTCACGAACCCTGCATATTACTATGAGGCGAACTTGCCACCAGTAGTGAGAGCCGTTTTGGACCCGCACCAGAAGCCGCCTACAATCTCGCCCGAGATCCTAGAAGATTACGTTGAGGATGTTGAGGAGGATTTGAAGAAGTATCTTGACCAGTTGATGAGGCATATCGTCAAGAGAGAGTCGATTTCCATGACAAATTCGACATTCCAGATTGATGCCACTAGAGAGTAAGTTTCGCAACCCTTGCCTCGACTGCAGCCTGAGAACCTGGCTGACCTTTCGACAGTTTTGCCATTCCTGTAGTCACGCGATATGTCGCTGACTTCCTTGGCTTCGGTGACAAGCTGCGCAAAGTCGCCACCGAAGTCAAGGGCACGTACAGTGAGAACGAGATATATCAGCACATCACGAACTGCCAGGTTTTCCTGACCTACAACGCCGACGAAACAAAGTGGATGCAGCGTCGCCAGGCTTTCAAAATTTCCATGAAAAAGTTGATCGACTTGACCCAGAAAGGAACTCTCTGGGAGGCCAACCAATGGGACATCACACGGGCCCTGTTCGGCAAGAAGCAGACCAATTCCATGCATGAACTGGGAGTCTTCGTCGCGAAGCAGGTCTTGGACTATGAGAAGGACCAAAGAAAGGCCGCTGCTATCCTCCTCCTCATTTGTCTCGACTTTGCGTACAACGCGGTCGTTTCAGTAAGTAAATCAAGTAGTTTGATCGTCTTGCAAACGAGGCTAATTATCACCAGTTTACGGCTACATTGGACGGCTACATGAAGGACCTGTACAGGGCCGCTGATTCTCCACCGCTTACCATTCAGTCGGAGCCAAAGTGGATCGAGGTTCAAAGATGTGTCTTCGCCACTTCGAGCAACGCCGATAAAGAGCTTGAACAGATGATCCAACTGATGGCCCAAGCAACGGTTCGACTGCCGATCGTGCGCAAGGCCACCGCGACGGACAAGTACGAATTTGGATGGACAACGAAAGGAGAGAAGGTCGAGATAAAGAAGGGAGAGACGGTCATTCTCGACCTTGTAAGCTCATCCAACTGACAGCCCCTCTTAAACTCTAGACTGACAGGATTTTATAGTCAAAGGCCATTGACGAAGCAGATGTCAAGAGCGATGCGGCCAAGGTCCAATTCTTGACCTCCCAACTCAGCATTGCCGACAAGTATGGTGTCTTCTCGCCAAGACGCTTCGCCGCTATCTCGTTGACCTCGATGATCAAGTTCATCGCTCAGATGAAGAATCCCCGTCGCGGCCACGATGCACAGGGAAGACTCAAGAGGATTCGTCTCGATTCTACCCCCGAGGGTTACGCCAACTACATGGCGCCCATGCGGGTGAGCTGGATCAAGGAGCAAGTAAAGCGTCTGAAGGACAAAGAGGCTGAGAAGATCTTCACCGATGACATCCTGAGACCCGAAGCCGATACGTACCTTACGCCAACCTGGGATGAGTTCGTGCCCTTCCCCATGACGTGGAAGATTCGCTTCGATGGGTTTGGCGAATCGAATTACAAGGTGGACAATAATCCATACGGTAGGGTCAAAACTACCCCGACTCTTCCAGATTTCTGCCCGCCGTGGTATCAGCCGCAAGGCGCCAGCACTGTCGGAGGGGCATTTGCTCCTGTTGTTTGCGTTTGCGCTGACGCAGAAGCCGAAGCTGAAGCCGAGGACGAGGCTACTCAACCTCCAAACGGTCAGGCTGGAAAGGAGAAGGAGAAGAAGCACGAGCATCACTGCCCTTGCCTTGGCCACTCAAAGAAGAAACTAGAGCCCAAGACTACTCAACTGTCGACTGGATGTGGCTTGAGTGATAACCACGTGCACAAATAGTAGTCCTGCGAGTTTTACTTCCTAGCCTTTTCTTCTTTTTGAGTGCGAAATAGTGGGTAACATTAGGGTTTCGAATATCTATAATACACATTGCATCCTTAAATACCTCTTCTTTAATTTGCTGCTCGAGAATGTTTATGCCCTGAGCGCCGGAGGCCATGGACTGCCTGCATTTGATGTTCTCCACTGCAAATCCCATTCGCGGCCCTCTCCCGGAAGTTCGGTGTCTATCGCTCGGGGATCCATACCTGTAATGAGGCGAGTCGGGGATGCAGTTAAGGTCTTGGACTTCTGGGCACCGTCCTGAGGGGTCAACCGGAGCCCGCCCGTTAAGACGGTGGATGTAATATAAATCAATCCAGTTCGTCTTAACTTTATGCTCCGCTTATAAACCTCACGTGCATAATCCGGCGACGAGTCAATCGTCATAAAGGGAGAACCTCCAGGTCTAACGGTGACTTTAATCGCAAACTTTATGGACAGAAAAATGTCTTGTCGCCGCTTAGGATGCAATGCGAACCACTTGCCCATCAGGTCGTCGCTGTCACCGTACATATCCGCGATGTCCTAGTCAGCAGCGCCAATTTCCCAAGCACGGTCTAGGACTTCCAGGCGCTCGTCTTCCGAACTGAAGACGGTCAACTTGTTAGCTGAGAGTCTGACGAGGTACAACGACGAACATGGACTGGGTACCCATACCCAACTTTCCTGCAGGCAACACTAAGACTCAAGAGGCCGAAACCCACGGCGGCAACTTCGAGGCCGCCTTTGCCTGGGTATCGAGGAGGAAGATTGACAGGAGGAACCATTATGATATAGGGCTAGTAGTCTCGGAGCAATTGGTTATGCGTGGTGGTGTGGTCATTATAGCTTTACCCCGCAACCTTGGATTTCCTTGTGTTGTGTTTATGCAATATCGAGGCTGCGTTATTTAGGCGATCTTGCTTGCTGCAGCTCAACAGCCTGACTTAACTTCTTACTTGCATTGTTCCCCGACCGCGTCAATTCAGCACAGCTTCGGCAAGGTCAAAGCCCTGGTTCTTTCATATTGGAATCTTTGGTTCATCAGCGACACCCTCAAAACCACTCGTATGGCGTCGAGTGTTCTCTGTGAAGCGTGTGACGCTATTTTCGACTGGGTTTGGAGCCAGGACGAGGATTACGAGTTATCGGACACACTGAAAGGGCCAGAATGGATATCCTCGGGTTCCAGTTGCTCTCTCTGCACCATCTTCAGCTATGTCCTCAATCCGACATTATCCAAGATAGTGAGCGAGCGAAACGGAAAGGTTTGTGCCTACAGAGTGGATACTCCCTACCGAGGCATGCCCGTACAACTCCTCGCTGTGAAACCAAACGGGCAAGACTTTCGAGATCGTCCAACGCTACTCAATGTCGATGTCGTCTTCAAGAGGCTTGATGCTACAGACAAGGGTGAGTCTTGGCATGATTAACACTCTTCACCCTAAACTAACTGCAAACAGATGGAGAACTCCTTCTAAACCCTCTTGATCATACCTCGGGCTCAGCCTGGACCTTGTCCCATATTAGCCAAATCAAATCCTGGCTTTCGACATGTATAGAGAGCCATCCTGGATGCAAACATGGCGAGAGGGGCAGGCAGCTGCCTCTCCGCCTGATCGACGCCAATCCCGAAGTCAAAGGGATTTCTTGCCCTTCTCTACATGTGTCGGAAGAAGAAGACCTCGCGAAGCTCTCAATTGACGCTATGCCAACCACACGTCTCTGCCCAACCTCTAAACTTCCGGTCGAAACAGAGTATCTGACTCTCAGTCATCGATGGGACCTTCAACCTTCGCTCTTGCTATCAAATAGCACTCTAGAAACCTGGTCGACCGGGATCCCCCCACAGTTATTGAATGATCCCAGTTCGAAGGTATTTAGAGATGCTATATATGTCACGCGATGTCTCGGATTCCGATACCTCTGGATTGACTCAGTCTGTATTAATCAGGATGACGAAGCGGAGAAGGCTTCTGAAATCGCCTCTATGCATCATATCTACGACATGGGCACTCTCAATCTCTCAGCCACGGGGGCTGAGAAAGCGGCGGATGGATTGTTCTTTCCACGAACCAAGTTTACTCAGCCCTGTCAGAAGGTCCTTGCAGCGAGCTCCAAATGCAACGAGTCCCGAGGTGTCGTCGCTTGTCTAGATCATAATTGGTACAGATTTGTATCTTCCGCGGCACTCAATAGCCGTGGTTGGGTCTTCCAAGAGAGGATGCTTTCCCGGAGAGTCCTTCATTTTGCTCGTCCTCAGATGTACTGGGAGTGCTTTAGTGCCTATGAATCGGAAGACTACATTCAAGGTCTTCATGAACGCGCATCTTACCCCACGTACGGAAACAAGACCGGACTGAGTTCGTCATTAATACCCCGGGAGTCAAAGGTCTCTTACGGGGTATCTGAGTTGTGGATGAGGATACTGGCGGCCTATACAGAGTGTTTTTTAACATATCCAGTAGACCGACTCCCAGCTATTTCCGGAATTTCCCGACGATACGGTGCGCTCAGAGGACTGGGAGACGATGATTACTGTGCGGGGTATTGGCGCCCTGATATCCCCGCGTGCCTCTGTTGGTCAGTCCGGCATCCCACGTCCGAGTCGTTCAAGTATGGTCGGAGGCTTGAAAACGAGTATGTTGCTCCGTCTTGGTCATGGGCTTCCGTTGGAGGACCGGTGCTCGTGGGGCCATTGGATGACGATTCTTCAACTCATGATGGGATCATTGACATTATTCACATTTCAGTCACAAACGAGAACTCAGATCCTTTTGGAAGAGTCACCTCTGGCTCTTTATTACTGCGGGGTTTACTGCGCCAAGTTGTATGGCATAGAGAGAGCCGGAAATTGGAATGCTCCTTTGGCGACGGTACCCTCAACATGCCGTTCTGCGTGACCTGGGATTCCAGCTACTTCACAACCGGGGTTCCAATCACAAACGAGTACTGCAAGCCTACAGCATCGTCAGGCAACGAAGTACATGTGATTGAAACCGAGGCTGAAGGAACTTTGACGCCTGCCATGTGGGTAATGCTTCCAGGCAATGCTCGGGTAACTGTTTCAGACAGTATCTTTTACCTTTTGCCAATAATGAGCGCAGATGGACGCATGCATGGTTTGATATTACATCGAACCCTTCAACGAGGCCAGTATATTCGGCTGGGTACATTTTCGTTGGAAGACTGGGGTGATACTGAAGTTGAAGTAGAGTCCTCGGACGCAATGGATGTGAAAGATGCCCCGCCTGTTAAGGAACGAGTGAACTTTGCTTCATTCCAAGAATGCAAGGAGGCTCTCTTTAGTAACATTCAAGAGTTGGGAGATGATGACTCACTGGAGGTTCTGGATGATGGAATGAGGCTGATTGAGATTATCTAATGAGATTGGGTCTAGCTACAATCCTATTGCTTTCTGAACCTTTAAATAGCAAGTAGAAAAGAGGCCCCCAGAATATGCTGGTACGCCCTACTATACAAATAACACCTTGTTTGCTTTTATTTTCTGTCGCTCTTTTTTTCTGGCCCACGTCCATGCACATTAGGAATTTAAACTCACTCATCAGTCAAGGCACGGATCGTACTTGGTCGCCTGGCAAAAATGGCAAGCCGCCAAGTCTCGACCTGGCTCGATACAATACTATCAGACTGTGATAACCAGCCCAAATCTGTATCAGGAATTCCAAGCCCCAGTCATAAGCGACGTCGACTCCAGCCTCCGACACCAGAATCGTCTGCAAGACAGGCAAACGACAACGTAGCACCACAGGCCTCTCACAGCAACGAGCGCGAACGGACGCCACGAGACGAGCCAAGGTCCTCGCCTCGTCTTTCACAACCACTAGACGACGCATCGAGTGGATCGGGGGAGACCTGCTCGTTGGGGATTTTCGGACAGGTGCATGATTGGTATGGGGTGAAGGATCGTGAACTCAGTGAGTTCAACCCATTACCGCCATCTCTACAACTCCTGCTCGAGTAAATCAAACGGTTCGGTAACGGAGAAGGGATTTTACTGAAATCGGCTCGACGTCGCTTCAATAAGTTTGATGACTTGGATATGGAATGGGCTAGGAACAACAGACACTACGCAAAGGAGCGACAGGCTATTGGGGAGATTGCTTCCCCCGATGATGTGCGCAAGGTGGTTTACAAAGCTGCTGAATGCAGCGATATCCGCGCTCCAAACGCCAACTGGGACGTCGCGGTTAACAGCAGGGTTCTTGACATGGCCCTTGAACGGGCGGATGGTTATCCTTGCCTTGTGAATTCTATGTGGGCGTAAGATCCATTTATGCTTCAAAGACCTTATCACATATCTGACTGACCCGTGCTGTTCAGTTCCAAGGCATCCATTAGGGATGAGTACAACAAATGTGAGGGCGAAAAGAACAACTTTTGCGACTTTTGCGTCTACCTAGTCTCACCGTTGATTTATCTCATGACGAGGCCATATCCGACATTGATTGCCTTCGTGGTAACCCTTCGATGACAAACATCAACCACACCAGTTTTCATCCTCTTTTCGATCGCCCGATTGTCCTGAGCGTCAACACTAAGGGGAAGGTACTAGAACTTGGGATGTGGGAGGCTGCACGGTGGGCTAGTCTCCGGGACTTGCTGAAGACATATACAGCCGACACCCAGGTAACAGAACACGGACCCAATCTCCAACCACAGGTGCCCAGCATGCCTGAATTTCTCCCAGCCATATTTGTTGACCGATATGAATGGAATCTTGTGGTTACTACACACGAAAGAAAAAAGACTACTATCTGGAAAAAGGTCCTGTTGGGGTCTACGTTAAGCATACAGGGTAGCTACCAAATTATTGCCTGTCTACAATTCCTTTGACAGTGGGCAACGGACACCTTTTGGCCGTGGATGAGGAAGCTTATTCGCGGTCAATCAGAATAGTTCCCTTGTTACGTTGACTTCTGCATAGTTATGTAGGTGTTCTTGGTAAGAATAGGCTGTCATTGCGGAGTCGGAGATGTCGGTGGGCGCAGGTTGCTTGCCTTTGGACGAGGATAGGGTCGAAGGTATTGCAGGTGCCATTGCGGTGTGATATTGCTCAGCGTAACGCAGTAACCGTCTGAACAAGAGCTATCAATTTATGACGGTTGGGGTTGCAACTGTATAAACCTCACAACAAGTCAGCAACGACTCTGCCCTACCCAAACATGTACACCAGAAGTGCGTGCGTTTCCATTGGTAGGTTTCAAAATCCTTTTGCTTCCGTTTCCTGTCACCCGACATCCCGACAACCCGCTTGTGTTTGGGGCGTGAAAGAAGGGTGGCTTGGTCGAAGTCGATGAGCATAACGCGGCGGGTCTCGGGCCAGCTGCACGAGTCCAAGGTGCACGGGAACCGCTTCGCCCTGAAGCCTGTCGAGTCGCGCGTACATGTAGCTCTCATGATTCAGGAGCCGGGTTTCATGCCCGCAGGGCCATGGGTGAGGCGACCGAATCCCTTTGCCCACGAATGTGTATCCGTACGGCACCAGCTCCAGCTTGAAGAGCACGATCCAAGCCTCTCTTGAGGCCCAACAGGCAGGCCTTGGTGTCGAGCCTGGATCTTCCAAGAAGTAGTCCTTTCCAAGAAACTGCTCCTTTGCACTGCTAGCCGTCATTTCGAATTTGAATTGTTGTGTGCTACGGCGAGGCCTCTCCTTCACAACCAGTACAGGATACAACCAAGAAGACTTGAACGACCCGGATTCCTGTCACCCAGGATTTGGTCTCTCCTCGGACGCGCCAGAGACTGGTTTAACCCCATCGATCGTATCCGTGTCATGGGGGGACATGCAAGTGTCTACCGACCCTGCCGTCACTAACTACCACGAGAGGTGGCTTTCGTACTGCATGGGGGGGAAACTTCGAGCCACAATTCCAAAGGATCATGTATCCGCCACGCTAGGGTTAACAAGGATCAATATGACACCCCATTACGAGGACAATTTCTCGGTTCGGCGAGTCTACCGGGACTCTGTAGAAGCCTGACGAAGTCGACCAATTGCTCCCATCTCCGGCCGCGCCAGTTACCATCATCGCGCTCCGCTGCGAAGCTCTCTGAGCTCAGACCATGCTTCCGTCTTGACAAAGGGATGGATGTCATCTAATGCGATTTTCTTGGTCAATAAAAAAGAAAATTCTTGGTATCAGCCAAAAAACCAAGCTCGTCTCTATCTTTTCGTGCATGTATGGTTGTATGCATCGGCGTGTTTGAACTTTGATGAAATAAAATGTCCCCGTCGACTGCCTGTGTGAATTCCACCAAGTAAGTCCCCGCGGGTTCAAGCCTGGTAGGAGCCGGATTCGCATGTTCTTTTTACCCGTACCCGCATCAAAGTTGGCCAGTCTACGCTCAGCATTTTGTAAGACGATAAATTCTGTTGGATAGTCGTTTGCAAGCTTTACGTAAAATTACTTGTGTGGCGTATCCCAGACAGAGGCAAGAAGATTCTGAAGATGACAGTCACTAGCGAGAGAGGCAGGAATTATATCAGTCTCGCACCCTACTACTCCGTACACTACGTAATACATGCGATTCAGGGAGGCGGGGAAGTCATGAGACAAGCTTTGGCCAAGATGATTTAGGATCGGCTTGGCGGCTTGGCCGAGAATGCCGAGACTAGGTTAATTGGGGAAGCTAAGCTTGATCGCCCGGAATCCACACGTAATACCCGCATCTCCGCAAAGGGCAGGTAGATAAGGAGCACAAGAGAACGACCAATGATATCAGAGCTCGCGATATCGAGTGTCTTAAGACCTGAATGAAACATGACCTGTTCCGATGCACACCTTCCTCCGACGGATCAGACGGCACACACTTCGCCTCGCTGACGGAGTGCCCTGGCCCAGCTATCGCCAATTGAACAGGCTGCTGGCACAATACTGCCTTCCCCAATCGAGTACTCCGCACGGCTGCAATCGATAGCCAATGTGACTTGTCAAAGCAATGGCCCCAATAGGGGGGCACATGATTCGCCGCCGCTGTCTGGAATTGAAGGGTGCTACGCCGTAGCATGTGTTGGGTTGGGGTGCTTTTGGAGCTCTAAAACTGGGGTAGCCCTCCATCTTCCGACCTTCTTTCTCTTTTCCTTCTTTTTCTTTTCCTCCATTCCTACCCATTCCCCTCCTCTCTCCTCCGTCCTCGTCACGATGAGTCTCAAGAACGAAAACAATGGCGGCAGCGATGCCGCCGCCTACAAATCGGGTACGCTTGGTGATGAGCATCCAACGGCCGGCCAGCATTTCCCCGTCGATCCAGAGGCCGGGGACACGAATCCCCTTCACCGAAGTCTCAAGGGCAGGCACATGCAGATGATTGCCATGTAAGGGTTCAATACCAAGTCCTCAATTGCATACCAACTAATTGTCGCTTTTTTAAGTGGTGGTGCCATTGGTGCTGGTCTGTTCATCGGTTCTGGGACTGCTTTTCAGACTGGTGGACCTGCTTCTGTTTTTCTCGGTTTCCTAATTGTTGGTAAGTTGTGTACCCTGCATTGATCGCGACGCGATAGCTAACGCGCGTCTTCTTTAGGTGTCATGGTGTATGTTCCCTCGACGTGCAAGTCGAAACACCTTTCTCTTCGGTTGATGGATATTGATTGACATGGATCATTTAGATACCTCATGATGCAGGCCGTCGCAGAAATGACCGTCCTGTATCCCATCAACGGTGCCTTCACCATGTACATCTGCCGCTTCGTTGATCCCTCCTTCGGGTGGGCGTGCGGCATAGAGTACGCCATCAGCTGGCTGACTGTCCTTCCCTTTGAGATCTCCGCTGCTTGCAACATCATCCACTTCTGGCCAGGCTCGGAGGGTATCAATAACTCTGCTTGGATCGTCCCGCTACTTGTTGCTTTGGTCGTCATTCAATTCTTTGGCGTGAGGGGATACGGCGAGGTACGTTCCCACCTATCTAAAAAAAAGTCCCCAGCCTTTAGACGTATGGACGATGAGCTGACCGATTATTGAATTAGGTCGAATTCGTCCTCAGTTTGATGAAGGTCCTCGCCTGCATGGGCTTCATCATCCTGGGAATAATAATCAACTGTGGCGGCGTTCCAACAGATGACAGAGGCTACATCGGTGGAAGATACTGGTAATGCCATGCATACTTACAAGTGGCTATCAGCTAGGCTAACGTGGATTTTGAAACAGGAACGACCCTTACAGCGCATTCCTCAATGGCTTCCACGGCTTCTGCAGCGTCTTCGTCACTGCAGCGTTCGCCTACACTGGCACCGAGCTGACAGGACTGGCTGCTGCGGAAACACAGGATCCAAAGAGGGAGATTCCGAAGGCCTCGAATCAGGTCGCATGGCGAATCGGTATCTTCTACGTCGTCAACCTTCTTCTCGTTGGCCTCGTCGTACCGGCAAACAGTCCCCTGTACGGCAGTGCGACTTCCCAATCGCGTGGATCGCCTTTTGTCATTGCAATTGAGCTTGCTGGCATCAAGGTCCTGCCGTCGATTTTCAACGCCGTTATCCTGATCGCCGTTATAAGTGTTGCTAACTCGTGCACCTTTGGCTCGACTCGAACGCTTCAGGCTCTCGCTGCAAATGGTACGTGCTGCATGATGCTACGAACATGTTAACATGTTTTGAGACGCTAACACGCACTTACTGTACAGGAATGTTCCCAAAAAAGATGGCCTACGTTGACAAGAAGGGTCGTCCCATTCCTGTAGTCATTCTCCAGCTTCTCTTTGGCATGCTAGCATTCATCAACCTGGCGGATAATGGTGGCGTAATCTTCAATTGGCTCCTGTCGCTGTCGGGTCTCACCATCCTCTTCGTCTACGGTGGCATAGCTCTGGCTCATATCCGCTTCCGCAAGGCCTGGTAAGCAAATAACCTGTCGTTTTCTGGCCTGCTTCGTTCCTTCGATAACTAACTTCAAATAGGTCCGCAAACGGTCATACCTTGGACGAGCTTCCCTACAAGGCCAATTGCGGCGTCTGGGGCTCCTATGTGTGCTTGCTTATCTGCGTTCTTGCTCTGATCGCTCAGTTCTACGTCGCACTGTATCCTGTCGGCGGTCCTAACCTGGATCCCACTACCTTTTTCCAGCTCTACCTCGCCGGTCCGCTGCTGATTTTCCTTTACGCAATCTGGAAGGTCTACAGCTGGTTCTATGAGCCATCGCACCGCCCATTGTTCATCAGAACAAAGGATATTGACATCTACACGGGCATGAGGGAGAACCAGCGAGACAGGATCAGTGGTGTAGGTGTCTCGGCGGAGGAGAGACGCGCTAGCATTGCCGAGATGGAAGAGGAAAAGCACAAGGGAGGTGCTGGGGCATACATCAAGAATGCTATCCGAAACATCATTTAAACCTGGCGGGAGTATGGTATTAGAGTGGCGGGCAGTAAGGGGTCGAGGAGGCAGAGAAGGAGTAACGGCTTTGGTGAGAATAATATTAATATTACTGACAGTAAGAATTCTATATTAAGAACTATAATTATTCTCTGTTAACAGTGTATTAATTTACCGAACTAAATATTAGCAATACTATTTTGAACTAAATATTATAGTATAGTAAAGAGATCCGCTATCTAGATATTACTCGTACAGTTAAAAGCCTTCTAAATCTGATCTTCGCTTCTGCTATAACCGATTCACGACTAATTAAACCAGTATTTCTTTTTCGATTTCGGCTTCGATCGAACAAAGATGAATCGGGAACCCTCAAATTCCACGCTTCTAGGCTCGACTGCGTCAATCAGGTTCTTTCCAACAAGCTCATGTTCTTCAGCCCTGCAATGGCCTCGTCCACGGCACGCTCGTCGGGGACAGCGACGGTGCCCGCCGTGATATCTTCCTTCAAAGACTCTACTTCATCCACATGCATAGGCCTCTGAAGCATCAGCTCGGCCGCTTCGTCGGCCCGGCCGTCTCGGTACGCCATGTCAATGTGGAGGTCTAGGTACTGGATGGTCGCGTCGCTGTAGGCCCTCGACTTGCCTACGGCATTATCGCTCAGGTAGACAAAGAACAAGTCCCGGGCGGCTCGGATCTGCCCTCGCTCTTTCCGCATTATTTGCTGGTGTTATTGGGCGATCTGGATCTTGTGATTGAGTACTTCCTTCGCATCTGCGTTGCTCTTAATCTCATCGAGAACCGCCTCATCGTCGATCGTCCTCGTTTCGTCCTTAAACTCATACGAAATATGCATGTGCTCCTTCCAGCCATACTTGCAGTTTTCGTGCACACATTCGTAGCCGCCAACGAGCTTGAGCCATCCCAGCTATCTCCTGAAGGGCATGAACAATATTTGCTAATGGGACAGATATATGAATTAATGTATAATAAGCTAACAGGACTATAATCCTTAGTCTTAGCCCTACCATATTTGATTCCAGTCATTTGTTTAGTTTTGAATATTTATCTCGTCTGAAGCATGTATTTGTTCGCGCCCTTGGCAAAAGTTGTTAGTAACCCTCCAAGTTAGTTCCAAGGCACGCATGAAACAAAGTTGGCTGTAGCAAAGACGCTATTCCTGACGTGACATTGGGGGCTGAATCAAAAGTGAGGTATTTTGTTGGTCGCGGGTCGCAAGATTATTTTATCGTAGTTCTCGAGGACGGCAAACGCTGAACCCATCCAACTCAACCATCATGGCGAATCTCTTCGTCAAACTCCCTCCGGAGGTCATCTCGTACATTGGGGCCTATGCTGATGCGGCTTCTCTTGGGATGCTGCGCCTTAGCTCAAGCACAACGAGAGACGCCTTCACGCCGCATTTCGTCCGCCACCACATCAAAGACAGCCAGTTTGTAGACCTCACCAAAGAAGGTCTCGACCGGCTGCGCGTCCTCTCGTTAAGTCCCGACCTCGGTCCCCAAATCCGCCATCTGCACCTTATATGCATCTACTACCACGAGACGCCTGCCGACCCGGACCGTGATAGAACCTTCCCCGATGCTCTGATCTTCCCGCGCCGCGAACAGTGGCTGCTATACCCGCTGAGACTGCTGGATGCCCCGGAAGACCGCAAGTGGATGGACCATCGCCAGGCCGAACAGCTTGCCCTCACCGGCGCTGCCATGTGCGTGCAGTTGAGCGACGCGTTCCGTGCCTTCGGCGCCCTCGACGACATCACACTCGAGGCCGCCGTGGTACTGGGAAGACAGCCTGAGTACCGCTGGCCGCCGCACAAGGTTGAGTACCTCGCCTGGAGGCGCCTCTGGGCTCGTGCTATCCAGGCTTACCGCGTCGTCATGTCCGCCGTGGCGCGATCCCAGATCCGCCTTGGCACTCTGGCGATCTACAAGGAAACCAAGATTTGCAGCGTCCCGTACAACGAGTCTGTAGCTGTGGTCCCCAGGATCGCGCAGGAAGGCTTCGCAGCTGTCGGCTCACGCCTCAACGACTTCTCAATTAGTCTTGCAACGACGGTAACGCCTGTGGTGCCGATAAATGACGACGACTTCTACGAGCCCTTCGAAATTTCCGGCGGCCAGAACCTGTCGGATAATGGCTCGGAGCCGGAAAACAACCCGGAGTTTCAAGATATCGCGCGGCTTTTTCAGTTGATGCCTAACCTCAAGTCATTGAATATGCACCTCTACCAAACGTCCAGAGACGCCAAGTCATTCTTCAGCTCTTATTCGCCCCTCCTCTCCGCATTGTTTCACTCCACAACGCTTCTGCATCTCCGTTCGCTTGACTTTCGAGGGTTTCCAATTCAGACGACTCTTATGAACGACGTACTCTCGAAATCTCCCGGCATTCAGACCATACGCTTGCAGTACGTGTGTTTTGATGCAAGCGAGTGGAGGCAAGCACTTTCTCCATTGGCCAGTGCAAATTCGGCCGTTCGCAGTCTACATCTCTCAGATATCTGGTCTTTTAATCCCCAAGAAGGTTATGGGACAGATGTCGATTGGGGTGTTGCTGTCAATTTGGTGGCTGCCAATCCAGAGCGCATTCACCTTGCCATACCTGGAGAACCGAAAACTGGGGAGCTAGGGCTTTGGATTGAGCTCCCACCCGAGTCCGGCTCGGCGTTGAGCGGCGGAATGGCCTCATATCGGGACTGGGTTGAGGTTGCAAACCGCATTCTAGAGTGCGGCTCGCCTTCAAACTATGGGTAGCGTATATATCCATATATTATTGTGACGTCAAACTGAAGATATTAGTCTGGTGTCTTTACTCTTTTTATTGTAAGACCTAAGTTAGTCTTTAGAGTTCTAGTTAGGGTTAGAAATAAAAACTATCCATTTATATAAATTTTAGACTTTAAAGCCGGCGACGCTTGGCCCCCTCCCGCGTGGCAAGACGAATCAGTGAGGAGACATCACGGGCGCCCTCGCCCTCGTCCTCACCCATTCTTCCCGAGTCCTGGTAGCCAGCAACGGCGATCCCCGTAATCTACCATCTTCCCTCCGGTGCAGTTGACAATGGCCAGGGTGATGACACAATGGACCTGATTGCGCCATGTGCTTCTCCCAAGAGTATGTCTCCTCCATCACATGACCCCATGGACCAAGGTTTGGTCCAACCCGAAGATTCAACGCGCAATGATGAGGGCAGTCTCGCAACCCATCAACAACCCTCCGAGTCTCTTCCGCCTGAACCACTCGAGGCCATGCGTCCTACTCCTATGATGTTCTAAAAATTGTGGATAACAGCACAAGGACCCGAAATTTATTGCCTAGAAGCAATTCATCTAAGAAAAGCTCTATCTATCGAATTAACCTAAAAAAAAGCACAATGTCCAACTTAAGGATACAAGCAGTAGCACCTGTAATAGCGCATACTGCTGGTCGACGTAGCATCGACGGCAACCGCGGTCTTTCCCTGACCTCCATAACCTGATTGATCACTTATACTGATTAACCTGCTCCTCCGTCCACTCCCAATACTTCTTGCTAAGGGCTGGATCCTGAAGATTCTTATGAGCGGCCTCAACCTTCCCAAACGGTGAAACTGTAATCAGGGCGGTGTCGTTAGTAAAATACACCTTGAAAGTGGCATGCCGCGCTCAAAAGCTGGCTCCTATGTAGGGAATCGAGGGAAAGGAAAAGGGAGACTTACCCCAGCAACCGTTGTCCTTCTCGGTGATGGTGGGAGAGTGGCTTGCAAAGAGCTGGGTGTATGCACCGTTCTTGGGAGGGTGGGTGATGAGTTTCTGCGTAGGGAGTGTCAGCCCGTTTTCGCTTTCCAAGTTTTGCGTATCAAGCCAAGCTGCGGGAAAGTTGGGGGGGAGGAGGGGGAGGGGCGACGTTGACTTACAAACATGGCAAACTGCATCTTCGGCATGTTCTGCTGCAAGTTCGTCACAAAGTTGCCGGGGTTCAGGGCCTGTGAATAAGGGTTAGTTTTTTGGACATTGATCAAGTAGACGGGTGAAACGGCGAAGAGCGCGCGTGAAATAACGAACAATGCTAATGATGCCTTGGCCCTCAGTCCTCCGAGCATACTTGACAGCATGCAGAACGTTCCCGCCCTTGCTGCGAGAATACTTGGGCCAGATGCCCTCCTCGATGTGGTAGTCCATGTTGGAGAAGTCGATGGCGGGGTTTGGGACGCCATCGGCGGCGCTGGAGGACACCCAAATGACCCGGACCGAGTTCTTGGGGGCAATCTGAGCGGTTGCGGCGAGGACTGGGTGGATGAAGTGAATGAAGAGGAATGGCGCAAGGTTATTGACGCCAATCTGGAGCTCGTAGCCTTGCACCGTCTTAGAGCCCTGCGGAGGGACCATAACACCGGCGTTATTGTAGAGGACGTCGAGGCGGCTTTCCTGCGCAAGGAACTCCTGGGCGGAAGCTTTGATAGTGGTCAAGTCGTCGAGTATTAGTGGCAGGAAGATGAGCTGGCCGTTTGACTTTGGATGCGCGGCTTTAATCTGCTCCATCACCTCGCCTGTCTTGGCGCGGGAGCGGGCCGCCATGTAGATCTTGCCATTCTTCTCGTAGAGGATCGAAGCGATCTCCTTGCCTAGACCGCCCGAGGCACCGGTGATGAGAAATACCTGAGAGGTGTTAGCTGATAGGAACAAAGCACAGCGACGAGCGTCTTTCTTGGGGACATATGCCCTACCTTGCCTGCTTGGTCGGGAAGGTTCTTCTCTGTCAGAGTAGGCTTGTGAGGAATGATGGTGCTTCGGCGGACACTCATATTGGGCAGCTGCACGGGGGGTCGGGGGGGTTAGGAAACTCTGGATTGTCGGAAGGATCCAGGGGCGATTATAACTAAACAGCCTGAGACAAGGGATGGGCCGTCAAATGCGTGATGGGTATGAGAGTGTGAGTGTGGTGTGGTTGTGTGCTTGTTAGAACTGCTGGTGGGGATGGATAACAATTGACTATAGAACTTATCAGGGTCAGTCGACCGGGCGTCTTGCACCAAGGAATCTTGCACCAAGGAATATCAGAGACACCAAAATGCGCCGCCATAATGGTCGTCCCCATCATGGTCGCCTACGCGGTGCCACCGCATCGAGCATCGCACGACTTGTCGCGGATTAATCGCGGCCTCGGACCGGAGAAGTGAAACGGACTTTAGCAGGTGCCACGACCGACCGACCTCCGCATCACAGGGGGGGTTGAGCGGCCGCACTTCCGCATCACATTCTTCCCCCCTCACACTAACATTCGCGGCCGCACCTCCGCTCCCATTCACATTCACATTCACGGCCGCATTTATGCAAGGCGCGTCTCCCGGTCGGTACTTGAGTTGCAGGAACATAGTATCCAAAAATTTAAAGTGACTCATATGACAGGAGTATTTTATAGTATATTCTGTACTTTTTATGTGTATATTTTTGCATCCTTTATTATGATTTTTCCTGGCCGTTTATTGAGTGTTACTTTCTTCAGAAGCCCTCTACTGGTTGTGTCGTATGCTGAAAATGCCACCAAAATGCCCTGGCCCACCGACCCCCTTCGTCAACTCAATCAAAATACCATACTCGCCTCTACCCTTACTGAGACGTTATAGACTATCAATATATCCCGGTATGCACTACCGAGCCGCTACCTTGAGCTTAGTGTATCTAGAAGCATATCCAGATCTGCGACGGCGGTACGATATACGTCCTTACCGGTTTCTCCTAGAAGCTAATGGAACGTGGCGGCGCCTGCGTAGGCCGAGTCTATGATGAAGGGGCTTACGCGGCCTAGTGAATACGGCTGGGCTATATCTGTGTTGTCTTTGATTATGCGTAAGATATCTATACCTAGAGTATATAACTGCTCGCTCGCCAGTTGGATGATATGTATCGACTGCTTCTATATCTTGTGTTTGCTGTGTGTCTTTGCGACTGGGCTATTGAGGTACCCAGGTTCTGCTGCTATCTTTTCGGGGTAAGTGAAGCGATTAAGCGCGACGAATAGCGCCGAGCGGGTGATGTACTGAGGAGCGAGGAGGGCGTAACGGTCCTCGGGCTTGAGTGCTGTGCTTGCGCTGTTAAGGGCCGCGCCGAAACTAGTAAGCTTATAGGAAAGAGCTATAACTTTAGCGATATGGGACGTGCTCGTTAGCTAACTCTCTTGCGTGCAGCTGATAGCCTGGCCGAGATATATAGAAGCCTGATATAATCGTGTAAAGCCTGATTGCTTAACTTGGTATAGGGTGCTTGTTAAGCGGCTAAGGGCCTTGGCGATATTACTACAGTCCTGACTGCTATATCAGTTACTGCGTGTTGCTATATTATCGGGAGTATTGGTAAGAAATAAGACTACCGAGCTCGGGTTATACTAAGGGGTATTAAAGGAAAACATACTTATGCCTTATTATTAACGGGTAACCTGCTGTCGGTTTGTAGGTCCGGGATCAGGTAATGTCTTCGGCTACCCGTCGACATAAGTCTATTGAGGATATAGATACTCTACCACACTCTCCTTCTCTCTTTACCTTCTGTTCAGGTTGTCTGAAGGAAGAAGGACTGTTAGTGGTGGTCCGTTTAAAAGTTTTCCCTGCTTCTGGGTAGGCATCTAGCACTGAAGAGACTGCATAATTATACAGACGCGTAACAAGGGAGTATGGGACGACGAAGAATAAAAGGGAAGTGATCGTACAGCTTGGCCTAGTATGGAATAATTACCGGGAGTAAGACCTAAAATCTCGGCATAATATGTATAAGACCCGATAGTTATCCAAGCCGCAGGATAGATAGTATAGCTGTACTTATACAAGGCGATGAGTACTAAAGCTTGTAGACAGAGCAGTAAGATGGTACTGTTACTCTCGAGGCGAGTAAGGAAATTCTTGGCCGTTAAATACAGCCCGGCAGCGGTAATGTTGTTTGCGTGTGTAGTTACAAGCTTCATGCCGATAAACAGCATGGCGAGATCGGGGCCGGTATTCTGCACCGGCAGGCCTATATCTATCCTCTTTTTGAACACTATAGGCAACTAAGTATATATAGTGGCAAAATAATCCCGCAATACGTCCAGGACGATATTGCCTTGGCTGAGAAGCACAAGCACCGGCTTGTAACGGGTTAGAGTCTCAATTAACATACATAGTAAGAACAAGGAAGTGTGAGGCTAAGGCTGTTTATGTGTGTATGTGTGGAAAGCCCAAGAAAAGGATGGAGGGAGAAGGGAACTCACCGCGGGGATGGCACCTCGGGGAGGAGGCAGCTGGATACGGGACCAGACGTAGCAGTCAACATCGAGGAATATGGATGCGGGAAAGTAAGCTCCGGACTGCAGGCCCGGATCTTTAATTCTGGAATTAACAGGAGTGATACCCACAGATCGGGAGGACGAGGCTACGCTGCTCGGCTCCGGGCTATGGGAGTCGATAGCGTCGCACACGGTGCTGCCAGAGGTCGAGGCTAGGACCGGCGCCGGCGCCGGCGACATGGACTGCTGGACGACGGCCGGGGAACCGGTCAAGCGGCTCTCTCGAGCTCGGCGAGACGCGTCTGCAGGAAGACCCATTCGTTGGCTGTCGGTGGAGGGTCCGCGACGATGCCATATTCGCACAGGCGACCGATTCGTCGGCACAAGCTGCATGCGGGGAGGCCCTTATCGCATCGCCGCTTCCGTTTATTGCAGGCACTGCAGGCCTGATCGCTGCGCGACTGCATCTTGGGCGGCCGAGGAGGGAGGCACAGGGAGGAGGGGGAGGCGTAAGAGGAGGAGGAGGCGGCCGCTGGTCGGATCTTGCTGTGCGAGTTGCGTCACCCTTGAGAGTGAGCGGGAGATTTGCCTCAGCTCTGGCAGGTCACGATAGGGCCGACCTGGGTGTTGAAAGACAGGGGCGAGCGAGAATGGGCGACCTGGTTGCGGAGATTCTCTTGCGGGGATTCTCTTGCGGGGAAACGGGAAACGTGATGCGGGAAACGCGGCCGCACACTCCCCCATCTGTTTTCGGCATCCCCGGGGGCCTCTCGGGGAGCGGCCCCGCAATCTCCGTTGTTGTCATCGATTAACATCCACCCACCGAGTTGGGTTGGGTCCTTAAAGTCCGCCGCTAGGAACACGTAACAGGATAGAGGAAGGCTCGCTGCCGGGGGCTATGTATGATTTGCTCGGGAAGGATATATATATAATGGCTATGGCACCCTCGGAAAGGGAATCCGTATTGCAATTACCTGCTTCATCCGCAACATTTTACCTATCACTCGCTCACTATCACCGCATTGCACTGCCCTACCGCCCTCCCCAAGTTCCGTGGCCTTCGATCCGACCGAAGCCGAGAGAGTTCGCCCGTCTCAATTTGAGGCGCAATTTGGACAGCTACAGCCGCCAGCTCAGCCACTAAGTGCTAATAGGAGCTTCAGGGAGTAAGGGCGTTAAGTTTGTACCCGATAGGGATATTCCGTCCCTTAAGGGGAAGGTTATTCTGGTCACAGGCAGCAATAGCAGCCTCGGCAAGCAGTCAATCCTAGAGTTCTCCAAGCATAGCCCCAAGGAGATCTAGCTTGGGGCCCGGAGTAAGGCTAAGGTACTGGAGGCTATTGACGATATTACAGTAAAAGTCCCTAATGCGCTGCCTATTAAGTTTGTTCAGATGGACTTGGTATTATTCTCCTCAGTCTGCAAATCTGCAAAGACCCTTCTCTAGTAATCCGATTGCCTTAATACTCTTATCCTTAATGCTGGTATTATATCCATACTGCCCGGTACTACCAATAATAGCTATAAAGTTCAGTTCGGTACTAACTATATAGGCTATGCTCTCCTCTCTAAGCTCCTTCTGCCTATCCTGCTAAAGACGGCCGAGGAGCTAAAGTCTGATGTGTGCGTTGTAGTCTTCGCCTCGGCCGCCCATAAGTACGCCCCCGATAAGGAGGGTATTATATTTGATATGCTTAAGAGCCAGGCCGAGCAGATCGGCACCGTTACCCGCTACGGGCAAAGCAAGCTTGCTAATACTCTCTTCGCCAAGGAGCTTGCCCGGCGCTATCCTATGCTTACTGTCTCTTCCCTCCAGCCCGGCCTGGTAATAACTAACCTGGCTAATACTATGAGCGATAATAGCTGGATTATGCGTATCGCCTGGAAGATTACTATGGCCTTTATCGGCGTTGACGTTCTAACTGGTACCCTTAACTAGCTGTGGGCTGCGACCTCCTTTGACGTTAAATTGGGAGAGTACTATAAGCCTATTAGCAGGGCTGGCTTGGGCAACTCTAGGTACTATTCGCTGGCGATTTAACTAAAATTGCCTATATAAATTGGTATTTATGGTCTGGGCTTTGGAGTAATATTGCTTGAAGTTAAGCCGGGTTGTTAATTAGACCA